AAGCTGCTACATGGTGTAAATCACACAAGAGAAAACGAGTACAGCGTGAAGGGATCTTAACAGCTGGAGAGGGTCTACGGTTAGCTACCCTAAGCGAGTCTGCAGTGTGTGATGATGGAAAGAAGGTGAAGAAGAAGGTGCGTGCTGATGAAGGTAAGCCTACACAACGACATTGTACACGCTGCGGTGAGACTGGGCATAATTCACGTACATGTAAGAAAGAAGTATAAATAGATTTTAAAGAGATTGGCTTACTACAACTCTTAAAAATTATTCATAATTGTTTTATACTCTCCTGAGGAGTTTACATTCTGGTGGGGTCTTGGCATAGTGACCGACTCGCCTGTGTGACCGACTCGCCTGTGTGACCGACTCGCCCGTGAGGTACGTTATAGCTAACACAACTTTAGTATATGTACTGTGTTTGCGCAGCAACTTCATTCCAAGGAGACGGTTCCCAGGTTGCTGTGTCCGCCCAATGTTAACAGACCGAATGACTTGTCATAGTCGTGTTTAGGCTGAAGTGCAGTCCAGCACTATTCATTTTTCGCGAAGGGTACGCGCCGAAGAGTGAAGGAGGCTGAGTCGGGTGGCGGAGTACTTCGCAACTGATTTGAGTTCGGCAAGTTTCTTGTTTTAGTAAGATAGCACACTTCTGCAACTGTTTCTCCCACCATTTAGCAACATCGAACTTCGGAAAGGCGGGACGGTGGTGAAACCGGTCAAAGTCTGCCCACTGTTAACTGTCTTTCCAATTCTCATCGCACGTATGCGTTCACCAGAAAACCGTTTCTATAGGGATTAGTCCACTAGTCGAGGAATCCTTTGCGGATAAATGGTCGCTACCTCCAACCACAAGACGCTCCGATCCGGGATCCTTAAGAAATCATTGCATGACCTGCGCAGCCTCGCTAGGCTGGAATAATAGCTAGAGTACCGTGCGTGGTACAGTCCGAAGGCGATAAATGCCCTTCAAACACCCGTTCATTATTCTATTTCGCCCACCGACAACCTACTAGATCCGCTTCGCTCAACTCTTCACGACGCCTCACCTCTTCGCACAAGACTCTTTCAGAATGAGGGCAATCTACATGTCTCTTCTCGCATCCGGCGCAACTGCATCAATTACAACCTCCTTCTGGTTTCCCGTCAACCTTGTCGGAACTGATCGAATCACTTATGTCGCTTCAGTTATTGGCGCCGCATCGGACCGCATTACTTTGGCGGCGCATCCTACCAATGACCCGGACTACGAAGCTCTGGGTATCGATACTACTGGCACACTCACCCTTACCGTTGCCTCGACCCTATTCGAGCAATCAGTCCCGGAAATGACGGGTATCGCGGGAGGAAATCCTAAGGATTTTGGGCAAAGCTACCGATGCGAGGTGCCGTCCGCCGACGCGACGGCTGCGGCTTGCACGGGAAGTGTTGGACAAGGAATTGCCCGTTTACAACATTGTGCAACTCCTCGCAGCGCCCGACAGGCTGAGACTGTGACGAAGGAGTGGACGTTCAGTGACCCGGGAACCCAGGGGGTGGAAACCATTGTACGGACGTTTCCTCCTTCACCTACAACGCCAGTCCCGGATTGGTGCTCTGCGATATCTGATTTGACTGGGGGATCCGTTCCAAGCAGCGTCTTGACCACGACTGCAGAGGTACCAGTCAGCGAGTTTACAACCTTCACGTTTATCCTTACCGCAGGCGAGGAAAAACTCGTGCCTGCGACAACTGCTGGAGCACCTACTAGCTCGACGCCGGTGCCTACTGGTTCAGCGCCAAATTCTGGCCGCACGGGAACGTCATCATCGACCGCGGGAACTGGAGCAGCTGCGCCGATGAAAACTGTTGCACCTGCGTTGGCCGCGCTCGGGGCTGCTGTAGCGGGTTTCCTTTAGTAGGGGCTTTCGTTCGATAGCTCAATGATATGCAAGCATAAAATTACCCTTTCGTTTTTGTCCCCGTCGCGCATATACAGATATCTTCAAGTGATTACCGTGAATTATGTAGCTTATACACGATACTTTGCAGGCCTATGTTGGCATTGGAGGCCACTTGACCTTTATGTTGGGGCTCTTGCGTTAGCAAAGGATCCAAAGTTTCACAGTCGCACGAAACATGTGGATATTAGGTATCACTTCGTGAGGGAAAAGGTAGCTGAAGGACTGGTTAAAATGAGTTGGGTAGAAAGTTAGAACAACCTTGCTGATGGCATGACGAAGCCACTAAAATGGGCAGCGTTTGAGGCTTTTAGAAAAGGCCTAGGGTTGAGGAGGATTGAATAACGGAGTGCCAATCGAGGAGGAGTGTGGAAGTCGATAGGCATTAGTTAGTCATCAATGTATGTAGTTTTTCTCCTCATCCCGTAGGTAGCCTAATCAATCAATCTCTCTACGATCTACAATTGTTTCAGCGACCTCCGGTGGTCACTGGAAGAAGCGCCGGGCTCATAACCTGTTGAAACGGTAGATTGTAGAGGGTAGATTGTAGAGAGATTGATTGATTAGGCTACCTACGGGATGAGGAGAAAAACTACATACATTGATGACTAACTAGCGCCTATCGACTTCAACACTTTAGACGGGAGATCGTCAATCGATTTTCCCGGCACTAAGCTCCCTCTCTTGGCCTAGTCTATTTACACCACGCCCCATATCTCTCTAGATCAAAAGACACACACCTAATTAACCCAACTAAATTAAAAGAAAAATAAAAAGAGGAAGTAACTTTAAACGACACGCTTAAAACAAAGCAAAGAAAAGAAGAGAGAATAAAAGGAAGAGTAAGAAGGAAGAACACGAAGAAGCAGAAACATAAGAAAAAGGAGGGGAAGAAGAATGCAATGATCACACTGCTCGTCCCCCGCGCGCACGTCAAGCGCGTCAAGACGGCGCTGGAGAAGCGGGGGTTGCTGAGGGGTAGGATCAGCGCTGAGGAGCGTGGAGATGGAGGTGGCGATGGGGATGGGGATGGCAGGAAGATGATGAGGATGCGGATAGGCGCGACGTTGTCTGCTGAGGAGGTTTTGGGGTGGAAAAGGATGTCGAGTTCTGTGGATGATGCATATCAGGGGGAGAGTGGGAGTGGGAGTGAAGAGGGAAATGAAGAGGGAAATAGAGAGGGAGAGGGAGAGGGAGAAGCAAAAGACAAAAAAGACGGAGAACGAAAGGGAAAAGGAGGACGAAAAGAAGAAGGAGACGGGAATGGGAACGGAAATGGAAACGCATACGAGAGGGACCCGGGACCGCCTAACCTGTCCACCATCCTGCACCACCTCGGTCTTCCCGACCTCCTACCCCAAGCATCCACCAGCGACCCAGCCATCGCCATCGAAATAGAAATCACCCCTCCACCCTCCCTCTCCCCCTTCCAAACCCCATCATCACCAAACTACCACAAAAAGAAGAATGCCCTCCTCCAGGCCCTCGCCCGCGCACTCTCTTCCTCCCTCCCTCCCTCCCTCCTCGCCTCCCTGGACCTCACGCCCGACATCCTGCTGAACGAGTTTCCGAGTACATACACGGTGTACAAGCCTCTCCTCCTGCTACCCCCGAACGCATTGGCCTCGCCCGCGTGGCGGAAATTGACGGCTAGGATCCCAGTTGATGGGGAGGTGATGGGAAGGGTATGGGGGAAGGTAACGAAAGCAGTAGGAGCAACGTGTGTGGCTGTTAATAGGGGGATTCCTGCAAGGATGGCATGTCCAACACGTTCACCAACATCACCACCATCACTATCGAAAGCAGACGAAGGAGAAGAAGAGCAAGAAGGACAAGAAGAAGAGAACATCCTCCGCCTCCCCACGCACCTCTCCCCGATCTATGGCTATTTCGGTCCTGCACCCACGGCCCAACGGCAACACCACCCCACACCCTCCGACTTCTCCTCCGCGCTGTGGGTCTCGTGCACGCAGAACGGCCTATTGCAGACCTGGGCACCGCGCTACTCGATGTTCAGTCGAGGCAACGTCAAGGAGAAGGCGCGGATCCTAGGCCTTGCGTCGGAGACTGTGAAAGCAGCGAGGGGGAAGGGAGAGGAGTGCACGGCGGTGGATTTATACGCGGGCATTGGATATTTCGCCTTCAGTTACAAAAAGGCTGGGTTTAAGAAGGTGCTGTGCTGGGAGATGAATCCGTGGAGTGTAGAGGGATTAAGACGAGGTGCTGGGGGTAATGGTTGGTCTGTTGGTATATTCCACAACCCTGAAGAAGAAAAAGAGGAAGAGATTGGCGAACTGGATATCCTCGTCTTCCCGGAATCAAACTCACACGCCTTCTCGCGCATCTCGCAGCTCAAAAATCTACAGAGTCCCCCGCTCCCGCCGATCCGCCACGTCAATTGCGGGTTTCTCCCTTCCTCGCGGCTTTCGTGGCGCACGGCTGTACGGGTGCTGGATGTGCGGCTTGGGGGCTATATCCATTGCCATGAGAATGTGGGGGTGGCGGATATTGAGGAGAGGAGGGAGGAGGTGCAGAGGGAGATTGGAGAGTTTTTGGACGAGTGGGAGTGGGAGAGGGAGAGGGATGTTGGCGTTGCTGTTGGAAGGGGGAGGGAGAGGAAGAGGAGGGTGGAATGTAGGCATGTGGAGAGGGTGAAGACGTTTGCCCCAGGAGTAATACATGTTTGTTTTGACGTGTACGTGGAGGGAGAAGATGAGGTACCATGATAGGGGGGAAAGAAGAAAGATTTGGATTATTTATGCAATGGAGTCCTGCGCCGCAAACCCAAAATGATGTAGGATGATATACAGCTTACGTCCGACTGAACATCCAGCTGCAATTCCTCTGTAGCTGGAATTACCTACCTAGCACAAGCTAACTAGCTACAACCTAATAACGCGACAGGTGAAATTTTCTTTTTAAATATACTACTAGAAATAGAGGCACGCTACAAAGCTAATTGCAGGACCTTGTATATTGCTTCCCTGCTAGCTGTTTAAATTAGATGTGGAAAACAGCAGTACAGAGGCGCAGGGGGTTGTTCAGTCGGACGTGAAAAGATGCAGTAGAAGAAGGAAAACGATTAGGATTTTTGGAATGGAGCTCTGCGCCGGAACCCGAGAAAAGATATGCTGAATACCACGATTCGCCTGCTTTTATTGCCACAGCAATCCACGAGAAAATATATACGTCCGAAATGAAGCGAAAGGAAGCCGCGCCAGACATGACCACACCATCCAGCCGAATCCAGAAGGTGCGCCCCCCGTATATCACCAGCATCATACATGCATACAAACATTCACCTCCACCTCAGTCAACCCACCCGAAACTTTCCAGGAATATTCTTCAGCACCACCCCCTGTTTTTCCAACCTTTCCCACTCGGCCCTCCTATGCTCCTCCTCGGCATGTTTCCGAAAATGCTCAATATCCTCCGCATGCACCAAATCCTCCTCCTTGACATCATCCCCACCATGATACTTCTCCCAATGATGAATCTCGTACTCGTACTCCGCATCACCATGGTGACCACTTCCCATTCCAAAGTCCGGCAAACGCTCCCCTTGCTCCCACTTGGTGACAAACTCCTCGAGGGTGATGCTACCCGAATGGTCCGTGTCGAAGATGGAGAGGACGGCGTTGACGACGCCGTCCTTTTTTAGGTCCGGGATGTCTTTGGTTGACGGGTCGAAGAGACCGTATGTCCGCTTGATGTCGTCGGCCAGCCAGAGGCCTGTGTTGTCGTAGTCGTGCAGCGTGAAGAAGGTCGAGGCGTCGAACCCAGTGACGTGGTGCTCCTCTACGGTGATTGTTAGCTTGATGGGTCCAATGGCTCTTCAAACCGCCTCGGGAACTCATACCGGCCATGTGTCGAGTGGCCCAGTCGGCATCGTCGGGCACGACTATCTGCGAATGGTCGCCTCCACCATGGGCATTGACGTGCGCGGAGAGAAAGACGATAATCGCGCCCAGCGAGATATGCAACAATCGAAGCATATTGAAAAGAGTGGCGGATGCGGCGACTTCGGGGGTCCCTACTGCCTCTTTTCACGTCCGACTGAACACGACCGTGCGCATAGGGTGTAACTAGAATACAGCCAATTGGATTTTTTGAAGTACGTATTCTAAGTTGGATTGGAAGTACAGGGGGTTGTTCAGTCGGACGTGGGAGGAGGCGGTAAGTTGTTCGAGCCGCCTCGGAGAAATGTTGTTGCATCCCGTTCATGAGTGGCAATGAACGAAGCGGTTGATGAATATCTCGAGGTTGACTCTAGGTGAACGATTCACGGTTGGAATGCATTTCAACTCTATTATCCGGGTTCTGGAAATTTTTACGATAACTCCTCAATCAACGAGTGCGTTACGGGTATCTCATTACCACGGAGGACCTCATACAATGTGATCCAATCATGTCATATGCAGAAATATGTACAGAAACATGCAAGCCATCATGTAGACAACAGTCATTGTGACGGTCGTCAGACCGTCCTCACCTCATGCCCAGGCCGATACATTCGAAAAGTATAGGGTTTCCCTCCACAGCAAGCCATGCAATACCTACGAAAGTCAGTAACCATCTCTCATGAAAAGAAAGAATCGGCAACATACCCCCATAAACGATCAGCTTGGTGACTACCTCCACATCGTACCGCACACGAGGCTTTGTGAGTTGATCGAATAGCTCCCGCTTCTCATCCTCCAAATCCGTGTTAGGCATGCGTGCACCTCTCTCCACATAGTCGCTATCTTTGGGAGGCGTCAAAAGCCCGAGTGACACCTTGCCAGTACCCATCATCTGCTCAAGTGACTGTACACGGGAAGCCGCCGGAGTGGGGAGCAGGTCCGCTCCGAAGACCGCACCCTTATGTGCTTGACGTCCAGTAGGCGAAGGCGAAGATCGTTTGGGTATAGGAGTGCCCTCTGCCGATTTCAAGCTTTCTCTCCGCCGCCGATTACGATACGCTAGCGTCTCATAGGCGTCTGCCGCAGACTGGGGTCCAACAGACACTGCTCTTTTGCGAGGATGCACGAGGTTATTGAGCATATGAGGTATTTCAGACGCCGGAGGGATCAGATTATCGTCCCCGTGCAGATGGGGAACGCTGGTATAGTTCCTAAACAGCATAAGCAACGAACTTCGGTAGTCAGCAGAACACTTACGATGCGTTCAGGAAGAACGCTCTAGGGATAAGCATCCTGACTCGTTCCAAGACCCGATAGATTGGGGGCAAGATCTTCAACAAAGCCGGCTTCATGATTGCCCTCCAAACGAAAACGATGAGAACGCCTAAGGCTATGCGCAGCGTTGTCTTGAGGAGCCCGAGATGGTGGAAATCGAAGTGAACGGTAGACGGGATCGGAGTGTCAATGGAATACCGGCTCTGGCTGAAGTGCCAGGCTCCAAGTTGAACGCCCATGACCACGCCGGCAAAGGCGATAGTATCGTCGTAGCAAGGACAATCATCGGCAGGTTCGGGGTGTGTCCGAATCAGAACTAGAATCACCAACAATGCAATCAGCGTAGGCGTGACGTTCCCTTGGGCGATCCAGAGGTCGAATGTATGACCATATACGATCTGGATCTGGCCCAGTACGGCACCCAGGAGGCTTCCCACAATTACGTCGAGGAATCCATGCATGCCGCAGTAAAGTCTACCGAAGACGATGGTGGCCGCAAAGAAGTAGGCCAGGAGCTGTAGGCCCAGGTAGACGTTTGGGTGATGCTGCTCGGCTGTGCTCCGCAGGAGGTGGATACAGTACATGGCGACGGAGACGGCATTGGTCGAATGCGAGGACGGGAACCCATATTCAAGGGCAGCAGAACCGGACATGGTAATGCGGTACAGCGGTGGGGATAGAGGACGCGGCAGGCACAGCATATCTTTTAGAACCCCGCTGAAATAAATGCCAGCGGCCAACATATGGACCATGCTGCTCCGGTTAGCAGCCATCCGACGCATGGATATCGAGGGAGACATACGCTCTTCCCAAATGCGTGTGCCCGCACCAGAAGAGAATCGGAAGAAAGACCATATAGAACGTATGCGTTCCCAGATTTGCAGTGTAGGCGAAATACGAGTCTAGAGCCGGCGTTCGGACTTTCTCCTGAAGCAGGGCCAGGTACGGTGTCTCCCATCTCACAACGGGGATGAGCGTCTTGCGCAGGCTATTGCGCCATGCAGGGAGGCGTCGGGCATCTGTTCAAACCAAGCGCAATGTCAGCCTCCTCCTACCACCAGCATACCGGTCCTGCTGCGACGTACAATGATCGTGGTCCTTGTTGCCCGCATCGAGTCGTGGTTCTGGTGTTGGTAGCCGAGACGACTGGACCGCATCTGCAGCCTCCTCTACGTGTTGTTCAGCGTGCATCTGAGAATACATGCTGGCATGGCCGTGCAAAGACGTCGAGTATCCGAACCATTGGGCAGTGGGAGGTTGTGGAGGAGTCGAGGGGTGCCCATCGACGACATGTCGTCCATCCAGACGCCGGGGTGCGGGAGAGGCCGCGGCGCCAAGGCACAAGCGAGACGGACCCTGATCCGATTGTTGCCCGGGCAGCCGCCATTACCATCACAAACCAAACAAGGTCATCATCTTGCCTTCACCCAACCTTCGCTGCTCACGTCCACCCAGTGTCAGCTTTGGTATCTCCCAGCTTGCGCATTCCACCGCCCCGTCGTCTACGATATTGATACCGAACATTCTCCCTTGTCGCATCCACAGAAACACATTTCACCAACATGTCGGTGCAGCCATCGGCCTCTCAGAACTACGATTATCTGCGCCGGAAACAGTCCACCAGGGCACCTGCTGCCCAGAGGTCGAGCACGCCCGTCCACAGACCCGTTCGCAGCCCGAGCGAGCGAAACAGCAATGGCACCGTGAGCTCATACGGCACCAATGCGACCCGCGACACAACCCTCACCGAGCCGCCGGCGTACTCAAAGAAGCTGGTGGTTGTGGGCGACGGTGGGTGCGGCAAGACGTGTCTGTTGATCAGCTACAGCTCAGGAAACTTCCCCGAGGTAAGACGATAGCTACCTAGTCCGCATATCTCGAGATTAATCAGCCACCCAGAAATATGTCCCAACCGTTTTCGAGAACTACATCACCCACACTCCTCATCCCCCAACCGGCAAGATGGTCGAGCTTGCCTTGTGGGACACGGCCGGACAAGAAGAATATGACCGGTTACGTCCGCTGTCTTACCCCGAAACCGACGTGCTCTTCGTCTGCTTCGCCATCGATTGCCCTAACTCTCTTGAGAACGTCATGGACAAGGTGTGTTCTGGAACTAACTTAAGCCGCCGTTCGCATACTAACAGCCCGCAGTGGTACCCCGAGGTCTTGCACTTCTGCCCCACCACTCCCATGATGCTCGTTGGCCTCAAATCGGACCTCCGCAACAAGCGGAACTGCATCGAGCTCCTCAAGACACAAGGTCTGACTCCTGTCACGCCTGAGCAGGGCCGTGCCGTTGCCGAGAAGATGGGTGCCGTCTACATGGAGTGCAGTAGCAAAGAACAGGACGGCGTAGAGGAGATCTTCGACATGGCCGTCACCATGGCGGTTGGCGACGAGTACAAGGAGTCCCTGCAGCCTGCGATGGCCGGCGCGCCGCGTCCATTTGCAGGCAGTAAGAAGCCCAAGAAGAGTCGCTGCAAGATCCTCTAAGCATCATTCTCCGTTCTTTTTAGAGCCAAAGGCGCAAAGCCGACCTTCCAAACGGACTTCAGCACGATTACCACCAATCACGACGCTGGACGACACGATCGAGATGCTTAATGACCATATCATGGATGCTTTTGTCTTTCTGCGAGACGAAACTCGGTTTGCGTAACACAGCCAGCCGCTTCGGGACGGCTACTACTACATCTTTTGGACGACATTCCACACATTTCGGCGTTTGGATCGACCGTTCTGGACGTTGGAGCTCAGCTCTTCCTCGTCCCTCACCTCACACAGCCTCTTCCTTTGCTCTTTTCTTCTGTTTGTATTCGGTATTGTGGTATCTGTGCGGGAACAACCCCTTCCTTGCTGTAGTGGAATATATCTTGAACCAGCTGTCAGCTGCGTGTTCGGTCCATACCATATGACATTGCGTGCGAGCGTCTGCCGTCGGACTGTGCATCGTGAGAAGCCGAATAACTCGGAAGCTTCAACCCTCACTACTATGGAGAGCAAGTTCGTCCTCGGCTACGGTGTCTTGAAGCAGGGACTGCACTGAACGGCCGTTTTCGAGCACCTTGCCCCTTCGGAGGTCTTCGGACTGGTCATCCCAACCCAACCCCTACTTCTCGACTTTCCTTCTCGATTGTTGTCTTCTCCTTCAATTCCCTCACTTCGCCCTCTCCCTCTCCCCCTCCCTCTCGATCTGCGTAGTCTCCCCCTCCCCCTCCCCATCCCCTTCCTGCGCCCCCTCCCCAGTCTCCCCACCCTCCTGCTCCGCCGCACCCGGATCCCTCCCCATGACGTTCTCGAACTGGCTCCACAGCGCCTCCACAGGTGCAAATTCGTTGCCCACCGCGATGACTTCTTCCAGCGAGCGGTTGAGTTTGTTGATGTTTTGCAGGACGTGCTCGAGGGACTGTGTGGCGTAGAGGGATGGGTTAACTAACTATGATTTTGATGGGAGACCCCGAGGTTAAGTGGAGGGGGAGGAAAAACGTACCTGTGCGATTTCCTGCACGAGCAATTCGCGCTGGGATTCGAAGAAGGATTTCTCGGGCCCCGCGGCGCTGGTGGTCGCGTTGTTGTTGTAGGGCTGGGATTGGCTGTGGGTGCGGTTGTGGGCGTTGGTTGTGGAGGGGCGGTTGTAGGTGGACATTTTGGGGGGATGATGAGGTGGGGAACGAGTCGGAGCTTGGGGTTTTGTGTTTTGTGTTTTGTGGTTGGGGTGATGTTGGAATAGAGGTTGATCTATGGTAGATCGGATCGGATGTGGGGATAGATGGCGCTAGGTTGTTTTGGGGAGATTCAACGTCAACTCCATTTGATCGCATAGGAGAGACGGAGTTTCACATCTTCTATTCTTACAGTTGGGATGTGGCGGTCGTCTGCATTGCCCCCATGTCCTGAAGTTCACTGTTTCTATGAGCCCTTCCTTTCGTGCTGCGGGTTTCGGATTTGCAACCGTCGCGACCCTAGTTAGGGTATTGACGGCACACAGGACGAACGAGAGATGCGAAAGGAGGAGAGACTAAAGCCATATCTGTCCAAATCTATCCGATTTCCATCAATCCTAAATTGTCAATGATTGGCAATGCTTTAGGCGTCGGTACAGCGTCGCTTCCCGTCCTTATGCCCCTCTCGTTCCCCGATCAGACATCTCACCTACCATTCCACCCTCACTGCCAGCCTCCAACACCGAACGCGCCTATCAGGGATACCCCCATTCCGGTTTCCGCTTTAGTCGTCTGCACGTTCGTCTTCAAGACTTAATGTACCTCACCGACTTGAGCAGCAACGCCATGACTTCCCTCGTCTTTATCACGGTATAAGCAATTCGCGACTTGCGGACAATTCTTCTCTCGACAGCAGGGAGTAGATACAGTTGGTTCCGCTGCGGTAAAACTTGACGGCTATAGCATCTAGAGCGGTGCAACAGACAATGTCGCCGGCATGAGTTTGGATGACGCTCACTTTGTAGACACTGCCCCCACCCTGCCGCTTTCGAACGAGTACAGATATTGGATAAGGCAGGAGTGTTAGACGGGCGGGGCCCGCAACTCGTGAGGTACTGGCAGAACTAATGTTAGAACCCGCATTACTCGGTGTGCTTCATAAGTTGCTGCGGGCTCTTGAGGAGGTGTAGGCAGAGTAAACGACTTGAAGCGTTTGACTGGCGAAGGAAACCGCCATTGTCATAAATCGACGTGCATAAAACCCATCGCTCGCATGTGACCGTTTCGAGTAATCCGGAAACTTTGACAAGTTTGCGCAAAGATTGCGATATAGATACTTCGCCGCCTTGGCTATAGAAAGACATATATGCCCATGCCTAACACGATAAGCAATAGTAGTGTCCTGGCCTCTGAAGCTCCAATCAAGTCCATACATGGCCTTCCTGATACCTTGCGGCATCTTACTCACCCTATATCTCGCAGTTGCATCGCGTGCACCTATTATCGATCAGTTGGAACCCTGTGCTGGTTTGCGATCCTCTTCAATCAGCTAAAGAAGCCGTAGGCGGTTATATCGCCATCTGAATTTATGCGTAAGATAAGGAGTGCCCCAGAGCCAGCAATGTGGTCTTTGCATCCATATCCAACACTTCATAAAAGATTCCCACATATCAATGCCGTGTACCAAGAGACTTCATAGTGATGACTACGCCCCAGTTTACGAGCACTCGGGATTTCCAGAGAACGGACGCATAAATGGGCCTTGGACGAAGCAATGTTGTTGAATACAAGTACACTCCTAGAAAATTAGATATCCCAAAGGCGAGGGGTAACTTCGTCTTTTCCTTTTGCCTCTTTCAGCTGGCTGGATCCAGCAATGAACGTCCTCTTTCCCGCGCACTGCAGCCAACAGTAGCGCAAGCGCACCCTGTCCGACAGAGGGGAATAATCTCCATAACCCCAAACCTAGAACCACACCCCGACGCCGCGCTATGATGTGCAAAGCCAAAATAAAAAAAAAAGGTCAACTCCAGCCCAGCGCATATGCTTTCCCAATTATTTCCTCCATTCATTTTCCGAAGCGCCACGCTCCCAGATCATGTCTTCGTTGACGACAGTCGTATGCATGCCATGCCTGCATATCCTCGCATTGTCCCCCTCCCTCCGTGGAGCTCAACCTCTACCCTTCCAACTCAAGCAGCTCCCTCTCCTTTCTGGCCAACTCTTCTCTCATGGCTTCCGCCTCCCGTCTAAGCTTCTCTTTCCTTGCCAGTTTCTCGTCCATTGACACAGGGCTGGCTCGCGGCCGTCCATCCATGCTGGACAGCGCCGGATCAATATTCGAGTCCTGCGGTCTTGCCGGATTCAACAAGGAGGAAATGTCGTGGGGTCGATGGTGTGCGGGCGCCGGAGACGGTTCGGACGCTTCGTTGCCTTCGACAACGCTCAGACTGCGCTTTCGAGACACGCCCTGAGGGCCTGAAGGCGGTGTAGGTGGGCCTTGCGGTACAGGAGCGGCGGAAGCATTCTTGTAGAAATTGGTGAAGTCGATGGCAGGCGGAGCTCTTATCGCTTGTGACTCTGCAGGGTGTTCGCGGCTTGGAAGGACGCTCGAAGGCGCCGGGGAGACTGGCTGTTGAGACCATGCGGGAGCTGGGTGACCTGCGGCAGGTGTAGTAGGTGGTGAAGCGTGCTCAGGACCAGCGGGGGCGACTCGCTTCCGACGTTTGATTTCCTGCTTCTTCATGAGGACAGGTCGCGGTCGTCCGTGCAGTTTATGGTACAGGCCTGCAAAGGGGCGTTAGTACAATTGAATGGCAATAAGAAATCTAGGGTCAACCCACCACAAGCGTTGCAAATGGTCCGCCCTTCCTCATCCCTTCGCCATAACGGTGTGACCGTAGTCCCACAATTCTGGCAGGCTGGCACAACGCTGGTACCTGTAGCTGCGGTAGCCCCACGTCCAGAGGCAGCATGGCCATGAGCTTCCCCTACACCACCGAACTGAGCCGTCTTGGAAACACGGTTGTTGTAAGCCGGGCACCCATTGCAGCATAATTGACCTCCAGTGCCATTACACCTACCGCCTCCAGGGCAAGTACCACTTGAATCTTGATCTGCGGCGACATAGGTAGCGCCCCGTGCTGATCCACCGACCTGCCCGGCTGGTGAGACGCTTCGGTCACTGTGATCTGGTGCTGGGCTGGGCAGGGGAGCTACAGCAGGTGAGGGTTGCGCCACACGCTTCATGTTGACTGGCCGCGCCTGATTCCGCGCCTTCTGGTACAAGCCGCATGCGTTGCAGATGGTCTCTCCGGTGGGCGATCTCCGCCATAGGGGTGTCCTGGTAGTTCCACAATTGCTGTTGCTCGTCAGGTGGGTGACACACATGGATGTTAGGAGAGGACGAGAAAGATGTAGGTCGTATTCCAACACACACACTCGCAGTAACGTACCTGCACACTTGGGTGAAGGGTCCAGCTGCTCCTGTTGCGGGGCGATGCGCTATGGTGGCTGTGGAGACTGGTGTCGCATGTTGCTCCGGCTGAGAGCCCTTTTCCAAAGGAACAGCATCCTCGAGTGAATGGTAGATCTCTGAGCCCTGTTCTTGCGCGGGCTTCTGTTGACCGTGTTGCTGTTCCATCGGTTCGCTTCTTGACGTACGCTGGTCTTGCGGGTTGTTCAGTAAGCTGAGGTTTCTGGCCAGTTCGATGTCCTCCTTGCTGGGCTCTCGGGACATGATGTGAGGGTGAGTGGGTGTAGGAGCCAGCGAGATCCCTCCACTACCAGAGTGACTGGCCATGCTCTGGCGAGCGTAGTCGCCGTGGATCCGTGAAGAAGGCGCCGCGGTTGAAGAGCGGTGAGGCAGTGAATCCGAGGAGGAGCAGCTGCCTGCGGACAACTGAATCTCGAGGAAATGATCAATCGAATCTGATTACAGCAAAAGCGAACCGTCCGGCGGGATCCCGAGCTGAGTGCGAGGAGTGGGCTCTGGAAACCTTCAGGTGCGGGCGTGGGTGGCGCGCAACGTGATCCAGTTCGAAGAGCTAGGCCGCAGGAATATCCCCTTTGGGATGCGGGTTCCAGAGCTGACTGACGTGTTCTTTTCGAGAGAGCCGAATGGTGCCCGTTGGACTCTCAATTGCGGTGGACAAGTTATGGTCAAGGAGGTGGTTTTACCAGCAACACCGGAGGAAGTTTGTTTCCCCTTTCACTGTGGTCAGCGGTCTTCCGAGACAGTGCTTATGCAACTTCCCTGGGGCACCACAGACGCGCCGACTGGCGCCTGCCAATCAACGGCAAGTCGATTCTAAGCAGTCGCGATCGATTGCCCGGATACCACAACAAGCTAGCGTCGGCAGGCGGCTTGGCATTATCCCTCATGCTTGACCGCGCGTGGGGGGAGGACGAAAAGGAAAAGGAAAAAATTATGCAACGAGAGATTCATTTGTGCGCGTTCTGGATATCGAAAATAATCTATAGCATGAAGCACGAGTATAAGGCCAAATCTCACACCGACCAGGGCGCTGCAGCTCGGGCGACAAAGGTGGCAATTCCGCGTTCTCCATCGCCTTCAAGAACATACTGCACCCTCTCACATCCGACTGAACATCCCCTTGTCCTGCTGCTCTGAGTTCGATCACCTAATTCAACTATTTCAATTGGCTACAGTCTAGTTTACAGCACTAGAGCACGGTGCTTTAAGGCTGATGATATCTAGAAGGAAGCGCTTGTCAGGCCGATTACAGCGTTAGCTATATATCCCTGCGACGCCTTGCAGTTCAGTCGGACGTGAAAATGCAGTAATGTACTAGTAGTTAGAGATCCGAGATAATGAGAGATCCAACGTCTGCCAACCTGATTCTTCACCTACAAATGGGATCGACCTCCTGATGCTAATTCCTCTTGAACAACATCAGAGCGTTGTGGTTAGCTTGACTTTGCCGAGTACGCGTTTCGAATATACCTAGTCAACAGCAAGCAAAACGAATAATGATGCGCTTTTCAGGCTTCCACAGATTTGCGTTCTTGAGCAGGACTCCCACAATCCTGTCATCGATTCAACTACTCCATCTCCGTTACAAGCTGCGGGGTAACATCTTATTGAACAATGAGCTGGCTCCCTCAGCCTCTCTTCTCACTTTCCCAACAGTCCAGATATTGAATTTCATGGAAGCGCCATAGTCTTTCCAAAAAGCACATAATAGCGTACAAGAGCGTAATAGCGCTGCAGACAGATGCGCACAACGCCCTACTTGAAGTCAGGGCCTTCTCTTTGAGGATTCAACGACAGCCGTCCTCTTAAGTGGGAGCGCTTCTACACCTGCTCAGCGCCCCAGCCTGCATCGGCATCCCTGAATCTCTATCAGCTTCACGTCTTCTCACACAAGTATACCACAGACATACCGCATGTTCGCAGGGGGCTCGATAGACGGAATATACTCCAGGACCACGTATGCAACGCCAACAACACCAACCAGTGTTCCTGGCACGATACGGAACCACCTGTCACCGACGATGACCGATCCAATGAAAATGTAGACTAATGGATTAGCAGTTACTTTTACTCGAAGACCAGGATGACTTACACAGCCCACGTCCGAGGAACGAGAACATGAAGGACGCATATCGCGCCACCTGTTGGGGAATCTGGACCTCTATCAATCGAGTCAGCCATTTCCTCCGGGCCATGTCTGATCCTGAATATCGGTTTGGTTGATACGGGAGCCCTTCTTGAGAACAGTGAAGGATACGATCGAGCCGTTTGCAATAGGCGAAAGCGTATAGCTTACGGCTGTTCTCGATGGTGTATCACAGGGGGCATATAGGTAAGACATGAGAGCATGAGGGCGACTGGGAAAGTACAAGGACACGGGGTACGAACCGAGCAGTCCAGTCGCTACCACAACGTTAGCTAGAGTCCAACATCACCGAGGGAACTTCCTTACCAAGACCAAAAATGATCAAATACACTCCCAGAATGATATTTGAGCTGCACACCCAACTGTCAGCAATGCCCTTCTATAACGTACAATGCGCTCTGTAAACTCCTCGCACCCGAACCCAAGTCTGCCTCCGGCATGTAGGAGCGGGAATGCGATGACAGCGGAGATCGCATTGGAGGAATTCGACGCGGTGCAATCGCCTCCAGAGGATTCGATCCGATGCGCGACCGTGGTCGATGGAGTGAAATCGATGGATCGGGTACTCGGACTTACAAGTCGTTAAAGGGCAGCAACTTCGCAACGCCGCCCAGCAGCATGAACACCGCAACAGCGAAGTTGACTATGCGACTATTTCTATATCAGCCTTCACTCATCCCAATGACTGGGCGCTGAGTTTTTTGGAGCTGCCCCAATACGGGGTAGCTCCATCGAGCTCCGAGCTCCAGCTGCGCTCACGGCGCTGCAACGTACAAGATATCTGAGAAATCCATCGTTCCTTTCTTCGAATCGTCTCAGGAACAGTGACAGGTATAACGCGCGGATCCAAAGCTCGAGCAAGGAGCGAGATGGGGTACAGGAACAAAGCAGAGAGTAAAGAACACAGTGGTCGTTATGAGTTTGTGGTTGAGGTTGCTTGAGGAGTCGCTTGCTGGGGAGCTGTTGTTGCGCAACCTGCCAAGACGCTTTCGCTTGTTGGGGTGGAAACACCAACGTCATCCCAAAAATGTCTCATACGATGTTGAGGATGTTTCCTTGTGTTGCGGACGGAAAGAACCTTTTGGAAAAGCTAGCATAGATCACACAGATGATGCGGGTGTCAGTAATTCCTCGAGAAATTGCTGCACTCATCCGATACACATACCAATGAATACTACACCTGCTCAGGGTCAAGCTACCTCTCGTCTTGGATTCTGTTATCAGAGAATACAAGCCAATCCTCAACCCTTGGAAAGGCTGGGTTTGAATATGTATTACTGCATCTACACCTCTACATCGACCAAGTCGAAGCATCATCCCGCTACCACCATGCAACCCACCGTATCCACCATTCCATCCCCCAACCAATCCCCATTCGCCTACGCGATGGGGAACCAACTGCCTCCTGTTTATGCGATGCAGGGACTCTGCATGCCTCGCTGTCCTTCTTTCAATCCAGCAAGAAATGGTCTGGCTAAGTCTTCCTAGCGAGCGACCCGTACTTCCCAAGGGACCGGCGCAGTCAATCCCGAGGGAAGGTCCCCACGGCTCCTTATGCCGTCGGTATCTCTTGATTTGGTCTCCACTGAGGAGACCCGATCGGAGGCCCGGCGCGGATAAATCTGTCGTGAGCAGAGTTGGGGAAGTGTAGCGGCAGGTACGCCGGCGTGGAAAACCGCTCAGAACCAAATCTTGATCAATTCCTCAGACACAGCCGAAGGCGTCATCACTCCAGACTCCGTGATGATGCCCGATATAAGTCTCGGCGGTGTATAATCGACCGCATCATGCGGATTGAGGCCGGAGCACTTCCAAGAGGTAGGGTTGGGGTTTATATCCGTGGCTCCTCTATCCTCGGTCGTCCTTCCCGCCTCAGTAGTCTCCTGTGCGTCATCGCCAGCCTTGAACTCCAACACATTTTGCTTGATCGGCAGGTCGAACTGTCCGAGCGGGAAGAGACGAACGAATTTATGGCTCTCCGTGACAACGTAGAATGGCTTTTCCTTGCTCTTGGCCAACAAACCCATCTGATATGTTCCAAGCCTCGAGATGATACCTCCGTTCTCCACAACACCCTCTGCGCCCACAATCACCATGTTCACCTTCTCCAAACAGTATGCGACGGCAGAGTCCGGGATGGTAGCAACGGGTACACCGTGAGCCCTCAGATCGGCAACAGTACTATGGCCCTCTCTCGAGTCCGCAGATTCCGCCGGCGAAAGGACATAGATGACCTGGAATCGGAGGGTGCTCTCCGCCGCCTTTCGTAACAGCGCGCTGACCACTCTGGATCCTCCATTCGTGAGAATGGTAACCCCATCTTTCAGCAAGTGTTTGTAGTATTCCGCAATCTTCTCCCGGCTAGCCTTGGCATTGGCAACGAAGAGCCGCCCACTAGAAAGCAGATGATTCCTAATCGCGGTGAAGCTGCCGTTCATGATTGAAGTGCGCGTGAGCGTGTGCACAAGGTACCGTTGGAAGAGATCGGTGCCGGCCGACAGCGAGATATGGTTCGGCACCGATGCCTTGAGCTTTCCCGTGTATTCTTCAAGCAGTTCCATGGTCTCTGCAACGGTAGTGACCTGGGTGTTAGCCGTGATCGCTTCGATGAGAGCTTCGATTGCGGCAACGGGCATGGTAAGGTCGGGGTCGGAGGCTAATATCTCGTGGTATCGCGCGACCACGTCGAACTCTGGGTCCTCCGCCGGAGGATTGTTGGCGTCCTCCGACATTTTTACGAGACCCTTGAGTTGAAAGTGAGGGCTCGAAAAGGCGCAAACGCCGGGTCCCAGTAATCAAATGAACGTCCTCTATATTGAAGCAAGGCGAGGATAGCGCTGAAACCAAGGCAGTTATGATTTGGCAATTGCTGCCTACATGTTTAGAGAGCTTCAATCGTGATGCAACAAGTTCGACGGTGGGGTGTTCCTGCCAAGGCCTGAGTCATCAAGGGTCCTCAACACCATGACGATTATCGCGAACAGTGATTGCACTCGTATAGAAGAAAAGTCTTCATACTCTTGAAAATATACGTGGGACAGCGCAATATCTGTTCCGGAAGTATCCCATACTTACATACCTTACTGTCGAATTACCAAGGAGGAGAAGAGACATTGTGCCACATGCCAACGCGTATGAGGGCTTATTGGAATTGACTCTATCCGGTCTGTCAATGCGGAACAGCTGACAGACTATGGCTACTGCAATACACCTAAACTTCATTCATTGCATCCACTAATATGCACCTATTTTGTACAAGCGAGCGCCCGACGCTACTCTGTGTAGCCTGCTTGGGACGTCGCGTCTATATTAGAATGCCATAACGTAGAAGCATAACTCTGCAGCCGTCCAACCTAAAACGACTCACTCGCCTAGCTCCTCGCCGCTACTTCAGTCAACCCATTCAGGGTTCTGCAAACATATTAGCACAACCGCTCAATTCAAGAGAGAAAAACTGATGTGGGAACGTACCTTTCTGAGTATGACCACTCCCTCAAGCACACTGCTCAAACTGATATACTTCTCGTCTTCCAACTCCGCCCGCTCACCATGTGACAGCAGCACAGGTGTGCTCTGTGTCTGCCAACCCGTGATTTTCTTCGGCCGGCCTGCCTGACCAACGACATCCACTGCTTGACCAACACGGACATTAACCGTGAGCGGCTGGAGATCCTCGTCCAGCGTGATGAGGAACCGTGGGTAGATGGCTGTGGCCATGAAGTACAGGAGGTAGTGCGAGTCGCCCAAGATGAATGACTTAGCGTCGATGAGCGAGACAAGCACTGTGAGAAGGCCAGCGGCGGCGACGCGGGATAGCACTTGTCTGTCAGTGTGGAAGGGGTTGGCTGACAGGGTGCCTTTGCCCATGTGAAGAAGACCTTGTGCAATGCGGACCATGAAGAGGGAATTCGGATCGCGGTGGTAGTAGCTTGCTAGTTGCCTTAGCAGCTGTGCAAGGCGGGCGTTGTTCGTTCCAGCTCCAAGCAGACCCATGGCGAAGATCGAGTTGACAGCGACGTCGTTATCGTTGTCGTGGGAGTACCGGGACAGGGTGTCGTAGAGTTTCATCTGAGGATTGCTTGGGCTGATGAGGCCCATTGCCAGTGGGACGGCTTTCCGGATATTTGCCTCGCCGTAGTGCATGAGATGACCGAAGGTTCTCAGGATCATATCCTGACCAATGTCCTCACCCATAGCAACCAATGATAGGCCAATAACGGCATATGACTGAAGCAGCTCATCACCCTTCTTCTCGTCACTGTCCTCTTCAATGTGCTCGTTGCAGATGTGAAGCAGCTGCTGGATTTTGAGCACCGCGCCAGTCCCAGCCCATGCGCAGACTTCCGCAAGGACCGCTGTGGGCTTGGACATGGGGTGGTCAAGGGCTTTTAGTGTCTCAAGAATAACCTCAACCTCCTCCTGCTGGCCAAAGAAGAGGAGGGCAAGACCAAGTGCCATAAAGCGTGTCCACTTGCTTGTGAGCTGTTTCGTCCGGTCCTCATCGAGCAGAGTGTTCATCAGGGCGTCGGTAACTTCGCCGTTGGCGGACCCTACAAACACCATACCAAGGGCGAGTGCAGCCATCGCGGAAATCTGCATATCCAGGTTTGTGTCACTGACGATAGGGAGAAGGAGCTCCAAAAGCTCCTCCTTATTCGATCCAGCATATGCAATACCAAGTCCCATGATAGCACCAATGCGGACATGGATGTTCTTGCTATGAAGCTGGTCCTCGTCGCCAAGCAGAGCCAGCACCGGGTCAGACTCCATGCGCACTCCGGAGTTAAGGATACCGGTGGCAAGCTCAGCGCCAGCCCGGATCATCGAGTCCTCGACATTATTGTATGGATCAATCTTGTCGAGACCCATTTCAACGTCCCAAAGCAGCAACATTCCCAGGGACGCGGCCGTCGACAGCATACCCTCATCTTTCGTCTTCCACACCCAGCTGTTCTTCGTATCCGCCGTCAGCATCAACTTGTCGCTCCCAAATCCAGCGTTGACGAAAGCGTTGACAAAAGACGAGGCAAGGTTGTGTCTTGCGGAATCTGTGTTGGTGAGACCGGCCGTCCTGCTACTTTCCAAATGGGTCTTGTAGATGTCATCCGGGTGCTTGGGATCCAGGATATTGAGCTCTTTCCCAAGAGCCTTGAAGTGGTCCGTTAGCTTGGTGTTGTTCAAACACTCTTGGAGTTCAGGGTCTTCATCGTCGACCTCGAACCATATCCGTTGCCTTCCGATGAGGAAGGCCATTTGCCGTCGTATCGCCTTATCGTCGGTTGAGTTAAACGTTTCCTCGATCAGCGACCGATCATTCAAGCGTATGGCGAGGACGATGGCCTGTGTGTACTGATTGTGTTTCCTGTATATTTGGTATGCGGTGCGGAGGAACTTGTCGTTGTCGGGGTATGTCAACAGCGGCACGGTGCTGACCATGTCAGTTAACGACCTCAGCTGCAGACTTCCAGTTTCTCCCTTACCTGACCATATACAAGCACACCTTCTCGTACGTCTTGTCGTCGAGATGCTTCTCTATCTGATCAATCATCTCCAGCTCAGAGAGGATATCCACCGCATCGGCCTCGGCGTTGTGCTGCAGGAAAAAGGGAACCAGGGACAGGGCGAGCTCCGTGATGTCGTCGGTTGACTCGTCCTCGTTAACACGATTCTGATATTCTCTGCCGATCTCTAGAGCAAGGTGGCGCATGTACTCATGACCCCAGGACCATATATCTGTTGTGGGTGCCTGAAGACGGTACTTCAGGCAATCTAAGCGGTCCTCGTCGGAGTATGTCATGCCCAGAACGGAGAGCATATCGGCAAATGATTTCTAGACACCATTAACACCCATATCCACTGCAAAAGATCCGAAGTCCGAACCTTATCCTCGCCAGCAGGCCAGGAATCATACGCCTTCACCAAGTCTTCATAGTGCGGTCTTAGAAACTTCAGTGGCTTGGGTACCGCCGTCATCGAACTCGTCGACGTCTTGATGGACGTTTTGATCTGCTCGAGGGCGGGTTTGTACTGCTGGGCATCGGACGCCTACGTGCTCGGGTCAGCACACTCCGTATGTATACGAGACCCTCTCGGGAGAGTATACTCTACGCACCAGTATCCGCTCAACGAGCTGCTCCAGCTCGCTTTTTAGCTCCTGATCCTCCTCACTGAGCTCCTCTGCAATCCCAAGTCAGCATTCCAACCCCACATAAAGCTTTACGTGGCGGACAGCCACCATCCTTCGCAAACATACCAGCGGCAGGCGCACCCTTCTTGTCGTCCTGCACAGGTTTCCCGTCCTTATCCTTCTTTACCTCCTTCTCCGCCTCGCCGTCGACCGCCTTGCCCTTGCCCTTCTCCGCAGCCGTGGGCTTCCTCTCATCCTCTTTTGCCATCTTGATTACGGAACTCTAGGTACGGCTGGGAACGGATGGACGGCCTCAATGCAGTGGCGAGGGGCAACCGGAACGCACTAATGACGGGTAAATCTACAGGCGACTTGAAAATGAAGAGGCCTGGGAAGATCGAACGGTGGAGAATGTGGTGTGCGAAGAATCGATGAGTTGATGTTGGTTGTGGTGGTCGTTGATGCGCGCAGAGAGCTCCAGGTTGCACGCACCGACGCCGACGCCAAGACTCCGCCGCCGCCGCCTTGCGCTCAGACTTCAAAACCGTCCCAAAATATGCCACGGTCATAGAGTACCCCGTCAACATTCCACAAACAGCAATATGAAGCTCAATGTAAAGAATATCCGCTACCTCGGACCCGACGACTGGCGAGTCCTCACTGCTGTACGTATCCCCCCCATACTACTTCAAAATCCAATCCCTACAAAAGAACTAACAGCTAATCAAGACACCACACAGACCGAACAAGGCAGCCGGAACCACGAAGTCGTCCCCACGCCTCTGATCTCGCAACTCGCATCCATCCGCTCCGGCTCCGGCGTTAACAAATGCATCTCGAATCTCGCCAAAATCGGCCTCATCGCCAAGGTGAAGAACGCAAAATATGACGGGTACCGCCTCACCTACGGCGGCCTCGATTACCTCGCCCTGCACTCGCACACAAAGGCCTCGACGGTGTACTCAGTAGGCAACCAGATTGGCGTGGGGAAGGAATCGGATATCTACGTCTGCGCGTCAGAAACGGGGAAACAGTTGGTGCTCAAGATCCACCGTCTGGGCCGGATATCGTTCCGCACCGTCAAGGCGAACCGCGATTACCTGCGCAACCGCTCCTCGGCGTCATGGATGTACATGTCTCGACTGGCAGCAGTGAAGGAGTTCGAGTTCATGAAGGCGTTACGGAAAGAGGGGTTCCCCGTGCCTGAACCCGTCGCCCAGAACCGCCACACTGTCGTCATGGGCCTCATCGACGCCTTCCCCATGCGCCAAATCTCCAACGTCGGCGACCCAGCGAGCCTGTATGCAGAGCTGCTCTCCCTCATCGTGAGACTCGCACAGTACGGCCTCATTCACGGCGACTTTAACGAGTTCAACATCCTGATTGAAGAGAAGACGAATGAGGAGACGGGGAAGGTCACCCTCATCCCCACAATAATTGATTTCCCGCAAATGGTGTCGATAGACCACACGAACGCAGAGTACTACTTTGACCGTGATGTGGCATGTATCAAGCGCTTTTTTGAGCGTCGCTTTGGCTTCACGAGCGACGAACCTGGTCCCTCCTTTAATGACTCCATCAAATCGATTACGAAGCGGTTGGACGTCGAAGTCGAAGCGTCGGGCTTCAGCAAGAAGATGGCGAAGGAGCTCGACGCGTATATGAAGGAGCACGGCGTCGATGGCGACGCTGGCGAGATCAAGCGGGACGACGAAGACGAACTGGATGAGGGGGAAGAAGAGGACGATGATGAGCAGGACGAGGGTGAAGCGGACACGAGCACATCACCCTCTAACGCCCACACCCTGACCTCTCAGATGACCATCCTCGAGCTCCGAGACAACGACCCGCTCCCCTCCCTGAGCGACATAAAACCCCAATTCCACCCCGCCGCCTCCATCGCACCCAGCATATCCACCAAAGCCGCAAAGGCAAAAGCTGGATGGGCTATATAAACCGCCGTCCCTTGCGTCGTCTCTTCTTCTGTCCCACGACCACCCATGTAAACAAGATACCCCCAATCTAGATACTACGAAAAGCATCGTTCAAAGTGCTGAACATGTAAATGTCCACCATACGCATCCACTCCTACTAGAGAATGTATTTGCACGTCTCGCTACCGCTGCTCTCGTGCATGCACCATATCCCAAATGCATCTGCAGGCATGCACAAGATCGTGTCACCAACACAATAGCTTATTCCTTGCCCACACTCCAGCCCTCCAGATTTCATACCTTCCGCATTGGTTCTCTCACCCTGCCGATAGCGACACCCACTCCCCGTCCCGGTCCAGTCTGCGGCTCACACCCAGTAGACAACTCCCACGTAATCGGCGACGCACTCTTCTCCATATCTTGCATAATTTCGCTCCGGATATTCTAGTTTCAGTATCTCGGATTGGATCGCATAGAATGACTTTGCAGCCCAAAGAGTCGCTTCCCAGCCGACATGGATGATGTTGCAGTGTTAAGCCTACAGGATATCAAGTGAATCACCTCCGCTTCGGATGGGACAGATATGAACATAGATACTCCAGGCTGTCTGCCGCCACCGTAGAGTGTGTACCAGAGGACTTTGGAACAGTCATGAGGGTTGCAGGAAAAAGACTTAACATACGTCAGACTATCGAAACTATGACGAATCCTTCCATAGACCCCTAGCAGATCATTCCATCTGCAAATATTCTCCAATGGATAAGACCCGACCATTCAGTATCCCCCATATATCTCGCAGGCTTTCGCAAGATGTTAAGAGATATGGGATTCGCTCGATAGCACATTCGTCACCCGCCGGCGCCGTCCGAACCATGTTGGATTCACCAATGTCAGAAAAGGAAGCGGGTGAAGGTTCCAAAGCCGCCTCTCTACAGTAACACACGATTGGAAGGCAAAAGACCAAGTGGGACATGAAGTTGGCCTTCCGAAACCCAGAAAGGTAGATAAGTGCGGTAATGAGTGAGTTCCAGTCCATGACGATGAGCAAGCGAGTGTTCGGGCCTTGACAGAAGGTTCGCAGGTAGTGAGGAAGATTGCCTTCGCAATGCAGGGAATGCAAGTAACATGCGACGAGTTCGTCCGAAGGAATGTTATGCGTGAGGACTGTGTCCAAAACAGTTTTCGGGAAATGCCGGAAGTGATGTGACTGGGAGGCCATTTCGAAGAATAACTTTTGCAGAGTTGCGACCCAATCGCATAGGGTTTATAACTCGGTCAATGGTGACGCTCGACTGCTCTAGTCGTCACGGGTAGAGTCAGTGTTCGGGGAAACAGAGCCGTTGTCTTTCTTGACGGGTGTCGCAGGGTCCGCCTTGACATCAGGGCCTCGATCAGACGAGTCGCCTTGCTCAGTCTTGACATATCCTCCAGGAATGGTAGCATGAGCTACAGTTGGCATGACGGAGTGCGACATTCCCAGTGTGGAAGGAATTGCCGGAGCCCATGGCTGTCGATAACGGGGAGGCTGTCCAACAAAGGGCGTACCATTGCTATCACTGTGTTAGAGCGGCCAAGCAATGTGTATGGTACCAGGACATACCTCTGTTGTCCTTGGAGGTACACCTCATACTCATTGAGCCCGTTCTGCCCATCAGGTGAGAGGCTCATATAGCGATTAGGAGCACTCATTGCGCGGACTTGAGCGACGCCGACTTCATACTCGGCGGCGCGGAAGACTCTACCAGCCGCAGTCTGCTGCTTGAGCATTTTCTGCTCCTGGGTATCGGCGTAGCGGATCTGGATAAGGTGTTCCTCTCCTCCGGGCATCGACACAGGGGTGTTGTTGAACTTTCGAATAATCTCCTCACAAATTTCGCGACTTTCAAAGCTGCTTCCATCAGCACGCACCGTTTCAAAGACTCCTTGACTACTCACCGAGCGAACCCGACACCACGGCCCGTACCGGTAGCATCACGAAGGATCTTGCTCGAGCAGACTTTGTGAGGAGCGAAGATAGCGCTTAGTGCCTAATGGGAGTGAGCTCGTAGAAAAGAGCGCTGTTCCTGAAGTACCTACATGCTCGTTCATGTTCTTCGGGATGTTGGAGACGTAAAGATTCGTGTTGTTCTCGTCGGCAAACTTCTTCAGCTTGGCGTAAAAAGATTCCTGTCGACTGTTAACTCAACGATACTGAAAGAATGGTTTTCAACAAATGTGCAAGGCATTTACTCACTCGGGCAAAGCTCACTTCATACCCAAGATAATGGAATCCACGGATACAATTCTCGGCGTCTTCGAAGTTGTGATATTTGATGAAACCAAACCTGAAGAAACGATTAACAGATTGGCCAACAACACGGTGTCTCTGATCATTGGAGCAAGCCACTTACCCTTTGCAGAGATTGGTCTTCAAGTCGATGATAGACTTCGAGCTCTGGATATCCCCAAAGCGGCTTCCCCATGCATGGAGCATCTCGTCGGTCGTCTCTGGCAGTAAACCGCGAATGTAGACATTGGTCTCACCATTCTTGTTCTCCAAGCTGCGGTCCAATGGCTTGAGAGGTGAACTGGGAGCCGGGATCGCCCGAGGAATGGCAGGTTCCTTGTGGAGGAGCGCCAACAGATGGGGCGAGATGGGCGGCATGCTCTGCTGTTGCTTTGGCAGCGGCGCATTAAGGGCATAGGATGCGAGCTGAGACGGAGACGGCGTACCACTGTGTGTGTACACTCCACTGGGAGACCGGTCCATGATGGCTGGGGCAGTCGAGGAGCCCCAGCGGTAGACGCCATTGCCGGTGTAGGGTGTACCGGGAATGTCATTCTCGTTCGAGGACATGGAGTCACGTCGCGGACTCATCAAAGACGGCATTTCACTAGAAGATACACGACTGGTCCAGCCGGATGCCATGGGGCTATTGTCTGCAATGGCTTGGCCATAAGGATAGGCTCCAGGAACAAAAGCGCCAGCGTGGTTGTATAGTCCAGCGGCATGAGTGACGCCGTTGTGCTGATGAGTGCCGGGTAGGACTTGATACATGGAGCCCAGAATATGCTGATTGGGAACCCAGAGACCCTGTCCAGGGAGAGCAGCATACTCAGAAGAACTGACGGAGGCGCCGGACCGAGCAGCGGCCCCATTGCCGTATGGTGCGTGGAGGTTGATGGAAGTCATGGCGCTCGCGAGATTTTGCATGTCGTCTGCTACTTGAGAGCCATGCGGACCTCGACCCATGTAAGAGGCAGTGGCGGCACCTGGAGTCTGTTGGCCGTACCGGGCATTGTAGGTGTTCTGGCGACGATCGGTCGTCATGGCGTTGGCTCGAGAGGATAGTATCTTGTGGGGACTCGAAAACGGATGCACGAAGAACAGACAGCAGAAGTTCCGTCCGAAGAAACGCGAGGCTTTCGAAAAGGTGACAAAGAGCACAGCAATGAGGACGCTAGGAGAGTGTGTTGTTAAACTCGGGGAACGTTGAGAGGAAGATGTCGGAGAGAAAATGCGAGTGCTCTTGGTTTCAAGTTAGCTGGATGGCACCCAAGCTGATTATTGATCAAAAGATCCGGAGGTGCAAGGACAGAGTGAGGAGGGAGCGGATACCCGTCATTTCCAGAAGATGAAAAGGTGACGTGTGAAGGTGAAGAAATGCTAGGGCCGGTGAACTTACTGAGTCGAAAATGTCAAACTTTTGCAATGTGCAGGACTGGGTAGTGACCCCAAAGCTGCAGCACAGAGGTCAGCGAGGAGGTAATATGAGACGGAAGCAGACGGCTTCAAGATCATGGGTACTGGGAAACGGGGTGATGCTAAGCAGGGACTGACCTCTGAAAAGCTACAAAGAATGCGGCCACTGATGCGTACTGGTGAGAAAGAAGTTGGTGGTGGAGGAGAGAAGAAGAGGAGGAGAGGGATGGAAGATGAGCGGAAAAGTCGAGGAGGGTGGGGCGATTGCCGGCCGGACGCCGTGGGTGAGGAAGGAGCCGTGGTGAGTGGTGAAGGTTACCGCCTACAGTGTAAACAGAGGACAGCACCTCGACTTCCTCTTCCTCCTCGCACCGGTCGTCCTTGACGATGGGATGGAACCTACCCGCCTTCAAATTGTACACGGAAGCAGTTGCGACCAAAAGATGGCTATACAGGAAGCACAGGAAGAAGCAGAAGGGAGAAAACAACAAGTCGCGTAGGAGCTGGGGCTTCCTCCGTGTGCTCGCCGATGCTTTCTCTCTCCTCCAACTTCTCCAAAGATGGAGGCTGATAATGGATGTTGCAGGAAAAGCTGATTCAATAGCAATGTCGGTCGTCGGTTGCGGAAATAATGCTGCAGTGCTATTTTACTGATCTTCTCCGAAGGGAGAAGCCGACTTTATTATCCTGACAGCACCCTGACCATTGCCGCAGCGCTGTGCAGTGAAGCGTACAGAATGCCCCACGTCAGGAACAGACAGGTACTGTCGCTGTAAGAAGATGCAAATGGCGGCGAGGTAACGCTAATGGTGCAATCTGCGAGCTTCCGTTCATGTGAGCCCTTTTACCATGAGTGGCGGCGTGCAAGTTCCACCAACTGTTTTGCCTCATTGATGATACTTTTGCGGCCGTTAAGCGGTACCTAGTTACTTGTAGTCTAGGGACTTCCCGTCTCCTTTGCGATGTGGAGCTTCACTGCAGGTCATGCAGGCTTGGCTTGGAGCTGTCACGGCGAGCATAGCCTGGCTTCCACAACACCGCCAATACGAGGCATCTCGCCCAATAAGGCCAGAGTGCCTTATCCCAGGGTTAGTGGGGACACACAGACATGGAGTCGTCCTGATCCCGAGACTGGTTCTTGTGTAAGTTAGCTAGCCGTTGTGTTGCAGCGACCGGTAACTGTAGTTAGGCTGCTCCAGCTTCGACATGCATTCTGTCAACCGCATGTGCGGCACACACCGCTAGTCGGATGATGATCCTGACTTCGTGGGTCTGCACGCCGTCGCCTCGATGCAGTATCCCCTAACTCCCGTATTCTTAGTACACCCGGAGGAATTTGGGCGTTTAGGGCCGCCGCGGAACCTCTAGGGGAAGTAGGTAGTATGACCCGATTGCTGGACAGGGGCGTGAGCTTCCGAAAGGTTGGGACGGCCGCCGCACAGTTCGGACAATTGTCACTTGGGGAGGTCGTAGCCATTGGTACGAGGTGACGCCCTAGACGAGAGGTCTTGTAGACACCCACTGAGGGCTTCGGAAGCACATCTGTCTTTGACTCGCGATGGTGTTCCCTTGTTCCGCTGCGAGGATCAGTTTTGAGCCGTGCGTTCATTGAAAGATACAGGGACGCTGACGCAGGTATCCGGAAACAGCTCGTCTGTTGAAACATTGACAATTGCCGGTTCTCTCTGCGTGAATTCTAGAATGCCTCAGGCGACCAGGAGGGAGTATTGATATCTGCAGTCTCGGTCAGCGTCCATATGTTGTGCGTCTTTGAGCTGCATGCCTTTGTCGTCCGCGTCGTCCTCCATTCTCTTCACATCCCGCTTTTCAGACGTCGTGTAGGATTTCGCCCGCAAACCTGGGCAATGGACAGTTCAACGAAGACATCCATGGTTTCGGTTTCTCAACCAGGCGATTGCGACGTAGTACAAGGCTTGGGGGCGGCTGCAGTCTGGCCCGAACCTGGACGTTTCTCCCTTTTCTGTGTATAACAAAAATGAACAGTTCCTCCAGCCATAGCGGGCGGATGTGAAGAGAGGTCTGCCGCAAGAATTTGTTTCAATATGCATATGAGAGGTAGGGCTACGATGCTCCGCACTCGCAGTACGAAGCACAGATTTCTCTCACGGATGAGTGGCGGCTTCAAGAGCTGTGCACACTAAGTACCTGGTAATCGTCGTTTCTGCAGTGCCTTGGAATGAGCTTCCTCAAAGGACGTTCTCTGGGAACGTTTGCGTTCAGAAAGAGCTGCGGTCTTCATTCACTGATCACAGCTAGGGCAGGGAATTTTTTTGCGAAGTGATTATGAAGTCATTGTAGTCTACGGACGACGGGTTATGGTGTAGAACTGCCCAGGTGGGAGACGGTCTGATAGGGATGGTCCAGCCACGCACTAGCCACACAACAAATTCGGTAAAGTGGCTTTTTTCCGTGGTTTACTTTTCGAACTCAACCAAACCACCTGGGCACCCTCACCCATCCCGACGCTGCCATCGACTTCCGCGCTCTATCATACGCCAAACCTGACTGAGCAACCGCCTAGAGCTCAGTCCATTGCGAACACGTCACCGTAGCTTCCGATTTTTATGCACCCAGAGCCCGCTATCGCTTCCGAAAACGCGCCTCTCCACGACCCCTCCCAGAAAACCCTTCCATCCTCTTCCCAACATGGACACACCTCGTTCCCTCAGCGGCCCTCTCCGTCTCGCGACGGGACAGAGAGCGGGCTATATCCCGGGCTTACAGGCGGGACGGTACAATCGTCTCCCTATCCACCAGCGCGCGCCTCTCCCGTCAGCGAAGCCGAACCAGTAAACACCCTATCCCCACCCCCGCGCAACCGTATCGCCGAGTATGAGAACGCTCTCAATCCAAAACCGAAGAAGCGTGGAGGCGTACTCTTTGAGGTTATACCGAAGGAAAATGGTGCCAAAGAGAACAGCTCGCCCATATCTGCCCTGCCAAACGGTAATTCGTCTCCTTTTGATTTTCTCAGAGACCCAAACTAACTGGCGCACAGAGGTGTTGACGCATGCCCTTTCGCATCTTTCACCAAACGATCTGGCTGCAGTAGCCCTTGTATCACGGCGGTTCAACTCGCTAGTCACAAGTCCCCACGCATGGATGGTCGCGTTCGCGCGCTATTTTCCGGGGCCCGAGGCTCTCCTCGATGATGCTGTTCGAGAAGCCATCGAGGAGGTTGGGGATATCATCCGTTCTGGGAGACGTGCATTCACAAGGTTGACAGCGTTGGCGTCATGGAGAAGCGAGTATATCCTACGTACGAGGCTTTTACGCTCCCTCGTGAGGGGTAGGCCAGTCCAAGTTCCGGCGACTCCCTCGTCCCCACGGCCCACCTCATTGCAATTAGGTGCCCCTATCGTCATGTATCCGGTACGGACATTTACACTAGTCAACCACCTACATGCGACATTTGGAACGGGTCTGAACAAACGAGTGCCTCGGTTGATTCACGGCGCTGATGATGTAGGCATGGCAACGAGCAGCGACCCTACGACTGGGAAAGTGGATGCTTGGGGGGAGAGTGACCCCACATTCTTTGTCCAGTTCTCAGAAAGATTTCCGGGGGAAGCTGAATGGGGATTGGGTCCGGGAGACGTTGTGGGTCGCCCGAATGTTATGGATGTGTCTCAACCATACGGTATAATTTATGGCGAAGGCAGTCCTCAAGGGTCCTGCTACTACCGTGCCGTCGATGAAATGCGTGGCCACTTTATTGCAGAGACAATGGACTTCTCCAACCCGGCCGTAGGGATACCGAAACTCGGAGTCGATGGGGGTGCCGTCTGCTCTGTGTGGATTGCCAAATCGAAGACTATCCCTACCTTGACTGATGGGTTGGTAGGCATGATGATGGGATCTGCAGCTGGCGTTGTCACCGCCTGCAGTCTTGGTACTGATGGGTTGCGTGGGCAACGCCTCCAGCGAGGGGAGCTTACTGCTCGCTGGGTGCTTAGTCCTGGTGTACCAATCATTGCCATCGCTGTAGACGATCAGTACTCTGTCAAGCGGCAAGCTCAGAATCGCATATGGGCCGTGGCACTCAATGCACTTGGTGAGATCTTCTATCTTACGAAGTTTCCCAGCCGTAATCAGGTCTCGAGGGATGGTCTGGATGCCGCAGAGCATGCTGAGTACACTGCCTGGGTCACAGGTCGGACCGTTCACTGGAATCTTGTGGAGCTCAGCCGTCGTGTTGCGCGGCCCGATCCTTACAATGGCAAAAGCGCGGACGGGAGTTATTCCCCTCGGTCGTCATGGGATGACATGTGTTTAAGCGAGCTTCAGATATCTGCGGAAACGAAAGAGATTCAACAGTTTCTTCGTTATCCTCCGAAGCATTTCCGCAAAGCATGTTTGGGATGGGACATGAGGAGACGGCTAGAGGTTGACTTTGCTGGGGATGATGGTCATTACGCGGGCGAGGCTATCATTGTCTTTGAATGTGGTTTGGGAGAAGGGAACGGGTCCTCGATCAAGCGCTTTACGCGGTGCAAGACGCATGAGAAGGAGAAGGATGACGTCTCTTCGCCCTCGCCGTTGCTCCCACCGCCAGCTTCGCTCTTCGGAAATTCCAGCGATAGCAGAACCATATCGGACGGGCCAAACTCTCGCTTTCTGGAAGACATCCAGCGGACACGAAGCTCATCGCACCTGTCCTCCAGTAGTTCGCCCGAGCGCATGAAGTCCATTGAAGAATGGCGTTGCTCCCAGCTGAGCCTCGGTGGATTGAGCAATGTGCAGTTGACCGCAACTGCATTAGATCACTCCACCTATGCCGTTCTAACCATGTCGGAAGACCCAGCCCTGGGGTTCTCTACTGCCTCCACTGCGTCTTCGCCATATGCGTCCCCTGTATCAGTAGCGAGCCAGCCAGCATCGCCCGCAGATATTCCCGGCCAACGCGCCCGCTTTTTGGCCGCTGGAACCGCAACTGGAGCCGTTCTCGTCTGGGATATACGTTCTCCAGTTTCCCGTTCGTCCGGTTTCACCAATACGATCGATCCTGTGCGCATCATCTACACAGACTCACCGGAGATCTCCTGCATTGGCCTCACTTCGCTTTATCTTGTGCATGGAGGTAACGACGGCCTTGTCCAGGCGTGGGACGTTCTGGCGTCTACCACTCAACCTATCAAGACGCTGAACCCGCGGTTCTCGTCGCGTGCCCGCCGGCGACTTGTACAAGCTCAAGCATCCGCGCAAGGCGTCGGCATCAACATGTTTGCGGCCGGCGCAATCTGCCTAGATCCAGATCCGACTACTCTCCGAGGTGCAGTCTCGCTTGGCAATCAGATCCGTTACTGGAGTTATAGCTCCACCGCAGCCGATCAGTACAAGAGCAATAAACGAAAACTGCGGCGCTCGGAGCGTGGGAGTAACAACGGCGGCGAACGATTCTCAGGCACTGGGCGAGGCAAATGGAAAGATCATATAGCCAACGAGAAGTACGAATTGGAGCGCGACCAGCGAGAGAGAGATCGTCAGGCAGCTCGTTTGGCTGGTCGGTTTGGAGTGGACCTTCTAGGTAGCGAGGAAGAAGCTCTTGCGTACGCTGCCCTGCTGTCGCAAGAGAGTCTCGCAGAGGAGGAGAAGAAACGCAAGGACAGCGGGGCCAACAGCGTTTGGAGCAGTTCTAGCGCCAACCCTGCACCTAGCATTCCGGGCAATGAGGACATCGATGCTGACATTGCCGAAGCTATTCGTCTCAGTCTTCAAGATAACCCTACATACGATGGGCCGTCATCCAGTTTCGACATCCCTATAATACCTGTGAAGGGTCATAGATCACCCGTTGTGAAGGGAAAGAGGAGCGCAAGGGCGGAGTCTAGCAAGCACGACGAGTTGTCCGATTTAGAGTTCGCGCTGCAGTTGAGTCTAGCGGAGGAGCAGAGCAGGAAAGAAGCTGTGGGCGATGATGGCTTTCCAGTTCTCATCCCCAATATGAGCCACAGTGGCAACGGGAAGGGAAAGGGCAGAGCATGATGATGTTTAGAGTATGGGTCTCCGTCCTTCCTCCCCCCTGCTCGCTGGTTCATGAGCCCAGCGGTCTTTTGGTTGTTGGCTTTTCACTTCTGTTCGGTTTGTTCAACGGTGTTGCATGCTCAATGGCTTTCCTATCCATTTGGGTAGGGGCAGCTGGTTTCCGATCAATCCTTCAACTATTACCCCTTCCGCCGATATTTTAATGATTCCGTTTTATCCTCTACATGGTCTAGGATACGTGTCTACCGCTTATTGCAAGCCTTGTGTGTTGTGCGACCTTTGGCCGTCGAGTCCTCTGCCCCGAAACAGACTAGCGCAAAGGCCCTTCCCAGCTGCAACACGAACACGAACTCTAGGAGAGCGCCTGTGGTGAGGTAAGATTTAGTAGGTAGGGCATCGTCCTCCCTGGATTCTAATGCCCGATTCCACACAACGGTATCTGCTCTACGGCTCAACATTACAGTCAGGAAACACACCGAAAGACAGCCCTGCCAGAAGTCGTTCAAGATGGAGCATTATACCGGGAATTACTATTATAAACCCTTGAGAGAAGGCAGGCGAGCCTTGTACAAGACGGACGGAACATTCCCTCCGCCAGATGTACCGGCCGATACTCTGTGCGTCATCGCTTCAACCACTAATTACCGCATGGAGACGACCGGCGATCTTCGAATCCTTGAACTTCTCCCCGGGTCTTTCGACGATCCTTTACATTGCCGATTACGTGTTGCAGCAATTGAAACCGACCCAGTATACGATGCACTTTCGTACATGTGGGGAGATCCATCACCTACGGGGAAGATAATTCTCGATGGTGAAGCCTTCCCTGTGACTGGATCACTCGAGAATGCTCTAAGGCATGTGCGACTGCGGGACAGTGTACGCTGTCTTTGGGCAGACGCCGTATGTATCAACCAAGGCGATGTTAAAGAACGGGGTAATCAGGTTCATTTGATGAAGGATATTTACTCCCGATCCAAAACTGTGAGAGTCTGGATCGACGTGGATCTTCCTCCTGAAAACGCCAGTATTCGAAAGCTCTTCACTCTACAACTGCAAGGAGCCGTCGATCAGCTGGGCGATGATCCCGAATTCTGGAAGCCACTTCTCCCACTTCTTCTAAATCCGTATTGGGACAGACTCTGGATACAACAGGAACTTGTCTTCGCACCAGAATTGGTATTCCACTGCCGGGGGGTGGCCATCCCCGGGGACTGCTTGATGGCACTCCAGCTTCAGATTTTCCGGAAGTCAACTCGTGGCGGGAGACTATTCGATGCCGATGACGCGTGGCGCCAATTTGGACGGCTAGTATCAGTTACCAAGGCTCCTTCACGGAATTTAGCTTGTTGGCGGGAGATGATGAAGAGCAAGGTGCCAGTCGACCCACACACTCTCCAACCGGATTTTTCGCTCCTCAGACCAAGGGCGAGGTGGCAGCTTGATCCTAGAAAATGGGGTCCGTGGCTGAGCACAAGCCCAATCTATTTGCTGGGAATGTTGCGGCACTCACAGGCCTTAAATGCAACGGATCCAAGGGACCGGGTGAATGCCACTCTAAACCTAGTCATCGACTATGATGACGACGGTTATCAAGTGAGCTACGAAGAAAGCCTTGCCGAACGCTACCTAAGCGTTGCTCGACTACTGCCGTTTGTATGTAACAGCCTCCAGTTTCTGGCCATGGCCAAAATCAATACCATTCCCGATCCTACTGTCCAGGGCTTGCCCTCCTGGGCTCCAAATTGGAATCCGCCGGGAAACGCGGAATATTTCTTAGGCCCTTTTCACGCGGCAGGCGACTTGCCTATGTACAGTACGCCGTTCTTAGAAGATTTGGTGGACGGTATCTTACACGCGAGGGGATTTCGGTATGCTAAAATCGATCGAACGCTCTCAACTACCGACAACGCCTTCTCCCCGCTCTCGGTTTTGTCAAACTTATTCATTTCCACCATAAAGTCCACCAGCTGTCACTATAGCGATATCAGAAAGCTTGCATCCACTCTCACCGGCCCATCCATTGCTGAGCTCCGCATAGGCCGTGGTTATTTTAGCAAAAATGAGGCGGTTCTCTACACAGGCATCCTGCTTGGTTATTCTTTCGTCACTCCTGGACTTCGCATTGTCGATTTGCTTCCTTACACAACGAATGTCTATGACCAATCCCAGAGGGAATTAACCGTTGCACTTCGGGCTTTGCGGAAATTTAATGATCGTCGCCCTTCATGTCTTCGCTGGCTCAACCTTGAAAGAGTATCCGCTGCCATTCAAGAGAGACACGACCAAACCGAGCGCTTCGGACATTTCGTCCAACTGGTGCACAAAACTTTATCCTCCGGATGTCCGGCGTCTATATCTCCTACCACCACTCTAGCCATCACGGAAGGAAGAGCCTCGGTGAAATCTGGAGACGAGATATGGATCCTGTTTGGCTGTTCAACACCCATGGTCCTTCGACGTACTGTTTCACACTTCCTTGTTGTCTCACCGGCCTATATCCCTGATATCATGAATGGAGAGGCGATGGAGGGGGTAGCTACTCCCGATGACCGGGTTGGCGACTGGTCTAGAGTGTTGAAAGAAGGGTGTTTGGGTCCCGCTCCTGTAGTCTCATATCAGTCAGGAAGAAGCAACTGGTTGGTGGAAGTAATTCGCCTACGATAGCTGCCTGTTAGCCAAGATATTGCGGTGGGTAGTGATAAAACTGGTGATTGGCAAGACAAGCCCAATTTGAGAAAGAAGTTTATAGGAGTGCACCGCATAGGAACCACCCTTCAAGCTTCGTTTCTCAAGGCTCTTTTGTTCAAGTCGTTTGCGATTTGCGTTACCTGCAATTGGAGACTGTAATGGTTGTAATTCACTGTCGGAATTAGATTATTACCCCTTCGACCAGTTCTTTCATTAATTCTGTTGTATCCTCTACTTAATATAGATCCCTGTCCACTGCTCATTGCAAGTCTTGTGGGTTGTGCGACTTTGCGGTCGTCGAGCCCCCGGAAACGGACTAGCGCAAAGGCTGTCGCGCCTGCAACCTCAGAGGTAACTCGTACCGCCTGGACATTCCTAATAAGGCCCAGCTGTGGAAAAATTGGACTCAGGCCCATTCAAAAGCTCGTTGGACAGTCGTGATTCTCCAATCCCACAACCCCCATCGCCGGTCTCTGCTGAGGCCAACAGACATATGCAGCTTTCACTTCAATAGTCTATCACTCCTCTCCACTCTGCACTCCGTCTGGTTGACATCGCCATCGACTCCACACCAACAAAGCCGTCCATCCAGAAATTCACCATGCCCTTCGGCCCCTTCATCCTTCAATGGCGCACCCCCAGTCCCAACCCACCAGCTCCAACTCCCCTCCCTCCAGGAATCACTCGCACATACATCCCAACTTCCGCTGGACCCTTGGAACTCCTCTCCTCCCTCCCCTCATCCACCTCTGATCCTACCCAACCCGAAAGGCCCCCACTCTTCTTCGCCCATGGCGGCTTTGGTTGCGCATTTTTCTGGGTTCCGTACATGCAATTCTTCAGTGCGCGGGGATATCCATGCTATGCTGTGTCGTACCGTGGGCACGGAGGCAGTTGGTACCCCGGGTTATTGAGAATGTACTTCGCCCCCAGGAGCAAGCTTGTCGAGGATCTGGTTGACGGTGTGAAGTATGCCGAGGGGTTGGAGAAGGAGAGGAGAGGTGGGAAAGAGGATGTCAAAGCCGTCCTGATCGCGCATTCCAATGGCGGACAATTGGCACAGTACGCTCTTAGCAGGGGATTGGTTACCGTTGGGGGGTATTGCCATTTTGCAGCCGTACCGGCGTTCGGGTCGTAAGTTCCCATACCCTCTCTCCATCGATATATAGAGATGGCATCTAACCACCTTGCTCAGATTCTCCTGCTACAAATTCTGGGCTCCTACGGCCATCTTCCACATGTACTACCGCTGCTTTCATCCACGCTACATCCTCGCGTCAATAAAGCAGGTCAAAGACGCATTTTTCCTACCATCCACCCCAGATTCTCAAGTCCAGGAGTTTTCACGCCTGCTCTCCCCTTACGAGAGCATGCTCTGGGCTCCTCAGGGCCTATTCGCTTTCGTCACGGGCCCGGACGTCCTGAGGTCCATTGCAGGATGGCGTGTTGGAGGGCCAGATAGGATGTTGGTGCTCGCTGCCGAACGTGATGTCTTGTGCACGCCGGCGCTGTTGAGGGATGCGGCGGCGAGGTATAGAGCGGGTTTAGAGAAAATGATTAAGAGCAAGGAGGTTGAGGGTGAAGCGGATAGGGAGTGGGAGGGAGTGCGGTTTAGGTTTGTGAACGGGCTGCCTCATCATTTGCAGAATTCGGAGGAATGGGAGAGGGGGGCGGAAGAGGTGTTGGAGTGGGTTGAGCAGCTTTGAGGGCTGGGTGATAGGAGGCGGTGATGGTCTGTTGATACCGGCATGTTGCGTTAAGAGTGGCAGAAATGGGGCGAGTCTGAGTCTCTAATGAAGGTGGATTTCAGTGTGGTGGAAAGAGGGACAATCCTTTTGCTGGTCTAAGGGAAGCGGATTGAGGGATGCGGGTGTTTGGCTTCTCTCCTCTCTGTCGCTGTTCTACCCTATGTAATATACCATATCCGAGCTGTACAAGCGTACCCCGTCCTGATTTGTACGGCGGTATTCCCCATATAACTGAACATCGGCCGACGTTCCTCGGTTCTGCAATAATTTACAAGATTATATTTTCTACCCTAGGAAACAGAGCCAAAGAAATGAGCGCAAAGATCCGAGTCCGAACGAAGTGCACATGCTGTCCTCCATATTTATCCCTATAATGCACGACGGATATCAGCGAAGGCGAATCGCCCTTTGGAAAAATTCTGGTCGTGAAGTTGCAAATGTAAAAACGGCGAAGGGATTTTGGGATAGGTGCGTGCTGTAGGCGTAGGTAGTCCTTCGAAGACATTGCACTATGCGGACGTACGGGATTCTTGTAGTGCGTAATTGTGCATTTATTTGTTATTATACTGCAGATGGGACATTGATCCTAACGGCTTGTCTTCCTTCTCTAACTCTTAGCACTAAAACGTATCAACAGTATTCTCCGATCTTTTAGATCTACATGTGTATAAAATAGTTGTATGTGAACCCTACAAAAAGATGGTGCAGTAGGGATAAAAAGAGTAGGATACAATAGAGGCTGCGTGAATATGTATTGCCGCTTTCGATGTCTAATTGAATAGGGATATGACGCAGCGATAGCAGCATCGATTGAAGTTTTCTTTACGTCGACTCTCCCTCGGTATAATAATCTACGAAGCATAACTTTCTAACAGCCAAACTCATCGTCGACAATTGGTTTTTTGCGGAACAGGTATTCGCCTCCAGAGAAGAGAGAACCGAGAGTGACTAGGGTATTCCGTTGGACATAACAAAGCCGCAGTAGTCTGTGCCCTCGCTAGGCTTTTCCTAGCGATATGTTGCTACGGTGATAACTTATTAGCTGCGAGACCTCCCACGCACGCGCCGAATCTATGAAAGGGGTGTTGTTGCCTAACGCCTTGCCCTCTCTCAGTATCTTAAGAGAGATGAAAAGTTGTACTATAAGTATGGCCTGAAAGCAGCTGGTGGTGACCTGTCACCGAAGAGCCATTTATTAGGCCGGCCTCCTAACATCGCACCCCCATTTCCCACATCCTCCTTGCCAACCCATTCTTTGTGCCGGTTTTCTTGCAATGGACGTTGATCGTTGCATTACTCTCCACAACGAAATCCTGCGACATGGCTGGATCGGCCATGGCAACAATCCGGAACAGTTCGAAGCCGAGTGCCCAACTTGGACGGAGCATTACGGTGATACTGCCGAACAAATTCGCCCTGATCTCAACACCGAACTGTACGCATTCTTATCCGGCGCTCGTGTTATCGTAGAAAGTCTAGACTTTCTCTTCTACTATTGGGTTCGCGACCTATGTTCACCAGGCTCGTTGTTCAATTGTGAAGATTTTTTCCCAAACTTTATGGATGAGGACCCGGATCCCAAGCGAATCGTGGTCCTCTTTTGGATGAGAGATGAGTATAGTCATCGCCTAGGAGTGTTGTGGGTCGAGCCACCATCTGATGGAAAAGATCAGCCGCTGACAAGGACTGCCCGATAGATTCGACCAGAAGACAAGCCTGGCCATTATCTGCCCGACACTAGACGAGGTAGAGGTAGTACTTAATGGCCGTACGCCGTGGTATCCGTTGGATAGGCTCCTACAGGCCTGGCTAGATATGATCGCCAACGGCAGTATAAAGGCTGTACCTGACGAACAAGAGGCACATGGCCGCCCCTGGGTGCTTGACTCTTGCAGCGAAATCATGATTCAAAAGACAGTCAACGCTTTTGACCGACTGGTCCAGTCTATAGAGGCTCGCCTCCCAGATGCAGGTAGTCTCGCCGGCGATACCACGATCACCTATGGTCTGCTGGACGACGATGTCCTACAGCTTGCAATTGAGAGTGAGATCGTTGAAGGACAGGGCTTTGCATTCGAGTTCCTGCGGCGGGCACGCCGGCCGAGATTTTCCAGGATCGCACCCGGGTTGGACGTCCCAAATTCAGCGAATTTCCTCCTACAGCAGTCGTCGGAGACGGAGGAGAGTATGGAAGGGTCGCCGTCTGTAGGAACGCAGCTGTGGAAAGTCGTGGAGGGGTGGTACAGAAACGTACTGGGACGTCCGCAAAGTGCTAGTAAGGACGATTCAATAAAGTTGCCTAGCCTCCCAGCGCTGCTGTTGTTTCGCTCAAATAGGGTGGTGGATGAGAAGACGATCAACTGCCGGGCTTCGGGTCCATATGACAGGCGTCGACGTGGCTGGGGTTCAAGGTACAATGCAGGATTGTACTTGATCCCCCTTGGTTGCAGCCGATTCGAAGATGAGTTCCAGCTCATACTTCCCTTTGGTATCGGCGCCAAGGGGTATGCGCGAATGAGTGACGGTTCGCGATTTTGCGAAAACACCGCCAGCCGTGACCCTGAGATGGCAATGAGCAATATGGATACCTTTGCAGACCTCTATAGACCAGGATACCAGCCATTTGAGGATTTCCGGGAACATAGGCTTTTTACCTTGTTGGAGAATTGGCGCGAGAGGGTTGAGTGCGGGGATTGGGACATTGGCGAGGATGGGGTTGAGGGAAGTATGGAGGTGTGGCGGGAGGCGGACACGGAGCATGGGTGGCAGAAGTACGTGCTACCAGTTGGCTAGGCGCAGTACGCTGCCAGAAAGGAGGGCAGTACACTTCATGAGGGGGCAGAGGTCTTTTATACCGTTTTTTTGCCACCATAATTTCCTAGAAGTATTGTGGCTAGTTACATATAATTCGAAAAGCCTCACTACTTTGATCTTAAGTTTTGTATGCATCTCGCTGAGAATACTACGTGTGGTGGCCTATTAGTCATGAAACAATACACAAACGCCGAGTTTTCGTGGGCGATAGGTAGATACTGTATATAACAGCCCGTCGCTCTCAAGCCACAGTTGATTGCATGGAGACGACCGGATTGTAGGCTTTGTACACAGCCAACATCATATAGTATGTGCCAGGGCGAAAGAACAAATGGAAAGCGGCACGGCAGACACATTCCACACAGTGATCCTTACAATTAGGAGCCGTCCCGCCATAATAAAGACTTCGTTCACCGTTAGTGATAATTATCAATTATCACTTCACAAAAGATTCACGGAACCCATATGTGTTTCCCGTCACAGCTTGAGGACAACAAAAAACAACGAAATCATGAAATCATCATCGGCAAGATTTCGCCGTGTACAGAGGCGAGGACCACATCCCCAGAATGCGCTCTGCTTCTGAAGAAAGGAAGACAGGGTTGGTTGATCTTAGAAGGAGGTAGAGGGGGAAGAAACAGGGACTTATATACCCTTAAGACTCTAAATCAGCAGGATTAGTTACGCGGAAGCAGAAGATCGAAATACAGATCTCTTCGCTGATACCCTAATAATTGTAGGATTAGTTACTCGAGATAGGAACGTCGAAATACAGATATGTTCGCTGATAATAATAATCACTATCATTTTTCCATTGGATTCCTTTTCGAAGTTTATCATATGTGATTCTCCCAATAAGCGAGCCCCTAATATGCTTGAGAACACATAGTCTCATTTATTGCCTTTAATATCTATGCTATTGCTGGTTGAAGTTTTAAAAAAACCTAACCTCTCGAAACGAGAGACAAATAAGCATCATAACAGGGCAAAAAAGGGTACGAGGAGAGCTTCATATACATGCGGAAAACCGACATCTTCTCTCAAACCGTCATGTTCCCATGACCTTAAAACACCCCTCGATGCTTACTCGCAAGACACGATCACCACCATTAGTGTCACAGAATTCTTCACCCGAAACAATCCGTGACATAAATCGGCGATTTTGACGTATGGAGAAGCTTGGAAAGCAAAGGGACATAAGTCGGCCCTTCATCGCATTTTAGAGAATTATTTGCCGCGAGGAAATGTGGAGGAGAAGGTATGTATAGGAGGAGGAGGATTTATATACTCCGTTCTAGGCGGATTTTATAAGGAGGAGTGCGACTGCTTCTAAGGGCACTGCTCTTAATGGAGCTGGTAATCGCTATCATTACCACAAACCCTTTGAGACTTTCCCGGGTCTCCTAGCACCATCACCGCTCCAGCCAAGTACTGGCCAACCCGCCACAAACATTCATGTCTTCTTCCGCGTTTTGAAGGAAGAACACATGGGAGATCGTCATGTCGTTTTTGAATTGAAAAGCATAGTTTTTGAGTAACAGTGTAGGAAGAAGGAGAAGACGCAGTAGAGGGAGAATACAAGTGTTTATATACTCCTAGTCCTACCGCTTGGTCAATACTGCGAACTTTTTGATGGGGACGTTGGTGGTAATGCGCATCATCAATTCCGTCCTAAGTTGCATATGTACCCCTAGGGTAGATTAGGGAACATATTTACCTATATGCACTGCGCACCGCAAACACACATGACGTTTTGTATCGCATATTTCAGACCTGTATTTTTCTGACGCTGCGCGGGACAAAAGACATGCCTCTGTTCTTCACTGTTTTGAGCTACACAGCGCTTCGTACGATGTGAGGTAGAGGGAGAAGAAGTGGAAGGAGATGAGTGGTTTTATATACCCGGCCCAGACCAACACTACATTCCGCAAGAGCATGTACTTACAAAAAAATCCAACTCCTCCTTCGTTACCATCATCATCACCATCATCACATACTTCTCTCCTCTGCCTCCTGAACAAAAACACACTCATCGTGCGCACTCTTCCAAAACAAACTCATACTTCACGCCCGCCCCTTCTTTCAAGAGCCAAGTCCCGCAAAGCACAATCACACCATGGGCGGTCGGTTTGATGTTTTTAGAAAATGCAAAGACAGTCGCCGTAGTAGGGGAAAAAGAGTGATGTAAAGGAGGGGATTTATATACCCAGCAACCTGCCATAGCGCTAGCACTCAACCCACGATCTTAAACCCCCGATTCATTCCACGGTGATTATCATCATCACCATCACCATCACCATCATCCACTGCTTCCGTACGCCTCATCACGAACACACTTCCTTCTAGGACAACCCGCATTCCATTCTCAAACTTTCCCAGGGTTTCCAACCTTTTAAATGCCAAATCCCACGGCGCCTACATGCACTTCTTGAAGGGACTTTTTGAGACCATAGGCCGAGCTGCCCTAGTTTAGAAGGACACGTATTATGAAGAAGAAGAAAGAGGGAAGGGGGAGTAAGAGCGGCGTTTATATACATGCGCACGGTGTGGCGACATGATGCACACGTATCTTAGCTTACCGGCGCGGGCGGGCTAGTGGAAATAGTCTTGACCAGGCTAGTCTGGATATTTGGGGGTGTTTCTAAGATTGTTTTGTGTTACATAGATGTTCAGTCTATTGTCGGCGTCAAAGTTCTGTCGAGACTGCTTATGTTTGCGCAAGTTCAGTTGGTGATTATCATCACCATCATTAATTATCATCACTATCTCCACAATGTGTACTATAGCCCCAACTTCCTAGCCCTGCTTCCTTTCGAGACAGCCCATACTTCCCTCTGTCCAACATTTTAGGGCTAACGCTCGCGGATCTCAGACATTTGATTTTGTCAAAGATGTCTTCAGGTGTTCCTCACGCACATGTGTCGTCAGTATCGGGATTTTGAAAATTTCAAAATGTTAAAGTAGTGTATTGAAAAAGCGAAGGGGAGATTAGGAAGAAAGAGGGGTTTATATAGAGCGCTGGTGCGGAAACATGCGGTAGCTATTGTGAATCTCTAAATCGTGTGGCACATGTTCTTGAATACATGTCTATTATTTTTGTTCAAAATCCCGGTCTCTATCCTCAATGTCAAAAAAATCTCGTCTCCCTCGCTCATGTCCCTCCAACAGCAAAACCACCCACAATCCCGCCCTTACCATCTCTTCGAAAGCTCCCTACCCCCCCTCCCTACCTCTCCACCCCCCAAACCTCCCTCCACCTCCCCCCCTCCAACTCCACCGGCCCATCCCACCTCCCCCACCTCGGCACCCCCCTGCCCCCCTCAGGCAAACAAACCCACTCCCTCACACACCCCGGAATCTCGCTCCGCGCATGACTCACCACCAACAACGCCTGTCTATCCTCCAACCCCCTCAACACCACCTCCCCTTTCTTACTCAGCTCGCTTTCCACCGGCCTCACCCCCGCCTCAGTATAGTGCAACGACATGGTTTCCCCACGGCTGAGGAAAAGGAGGCATTTATCGCGCACGAGGTCGTCCATGCCGCTGAAGGCTTCGTCGAGAATGACGGTGTCCGGGTTGCGGATCGTGGCGCGCAGGAAGAGGAGGAGGCGCTGTGTCGAGGTCGGTAGGGCGCCGAAGAGCGGGATGTCGGACCACGAGAGATCGGACCTGGTACTAGACGAGCCTTGTTTGGTGTATATGTAACCTGGGTTCAGTTCCGGCTCGAACCAGCGCAGACAAGCATCCACTCGGCGCACGGCCTCGTCGTCGAGCCTGGGCGGCGTGATGGGCGTGTCCGCCCAGGCGGACTCGAGCGTGCGCCGGATGGACAGGTGTTTGGGGAAGAGGGCGTGGACTTCGGGCGAGGCGTGGCCCATGCGGGCCTGGATGTCGAAGATGGTGATGCCCGGTTTCCCCGGCTCGGGCAGCCGCGAGCGCTGGAAGATGCGAACGGGCGCCGAGTAGGTTTGCGGATGGTCCGACGTGACGAGGCTGAGGAGCGTCGTCTTGCCTGAGCCGTTGGCGCCGAAGATGCCCCATCGCTGGCCGCGGCGGACGGTCCACCAGAGCCCTGGTTTGGGTGTGCCGTCGATGGTTTGCGTCCAGTCGCCGAGGACAGAGGTGCTGCCGTACCTGATGCGGACGCCTTGCATTTCGACGACGGGCTCGCCGAGGGGGGTGGGCGAGGTGTCGTATTTCTCGAAGCCGTCGCGGCTCAGGAGAGGGCCAGATGCAGTAGAGGTTGGAGCGTCAACTTCAAAATCGCCCCGTTCGGAGAGATGACGACCGACTTCTCTGATCTCCACCAACTTGGGATCCAACTCTTTCTCTTCCCCCTGGCCACCCACGAAGGATTGTTCTGCCCTTTGGTACTCTTCCTTCAGGTACTTGAAGACCTCCTCTTTCGGGCCCTGAGCAGCCACGACTCCGTCTTCTCCTGCGTACACAATATGCGTGATCCACTCTGGGATCGGGTCTTGAGGTCGCAGAGCAAGCACGATCCGGGGCTTGTTCGCCTCAGCGAGCTTATACAGCACGTTTGATATATGCTGAGCGACAAAAGGGTCCAGTCCAACTGCAAACCATTAGCACTGTTCGCCAACTCGTGTCCAAGAGTATCAAAAACCGCTCCTCCCCTTCCAATCGCACAATATATCAGGAAAAGTTAAGATTAAATCAGACAAGTACTCACTAAACGGCGCATCCAGCCCCAAAACCTCCAACGCCGGCCTCCTACACAACGCCCTCGCAATCCCCGCCCTCCTCCTCTGCCCATTACTCAATTGCCCCAACGGCCTGCCCCACAACGCCTCCAACTCCAGATCCCGCACCACCCTCTCCATAACCTCCCTATCCGGCATCTTCTCCCTCACCATCTCCTCGCCCGGATTCAGCCCCTCGATGCCCGTCAAGTACCGCTCGAGCGTGAAATCCGTGGTCTCGACGCGCGACTCGTAGCGCGCGGAGAGGTAGGAGAAGGATTCGTGGGGGGAGCGGGTGGGGAGGAAGTGTACGTAGGAGATGGCTACGTCCGGGTTTCGGAGGGAGGGGTGTTTGGAGGAGATCTCTGGGGTGAGGAGGTAGGGGTAGGTGCGGGATTGGGGCGGGACGCAGATGAGGTCGCCGCGGAGGAGGCGGAGGAAGGTGGTGCGGATTGTGGAGGAGGGGGAGAGGAGGGCCCAGTGTTGGGGAGGGGTGGAGGAGGAGGGGAGGGTGAGGGTTAGGTTGGGGAAGAGAGGGGGGTTCTTGTCATTGGGGGCGGATGAGGGGTGGTTTGCGTAGAAGGTGGCATTTTGGATTTGGATGATCGGGGGTGGTGTGGTTGTGGTGGTGGTCGAGGAGTAGGTGCGTGTCGTGAGTGCTGCGATGGTAAGGGGTGATTCACGCCAGCGGCGCAATTGGAACCCTCTGCTATCGCATACCCATTTCAAATGTATATCTCTTGCCTTTCCTTTGCGCGAAACCCCCAGAGTTCTCGTTGTTTTCCACATGCTTTTCTGATGTTTTAACTTCCATCTCCGACGGATCGGCAATATATCAAATCTGCATCTTTTGCACTAACTGCGCACCGAACGGAGACAAGTCCGACTCCCCGGCCCTTCAACCGAGGTCCCTATCCTCTCCACCACTGACGTATCGCTCACAACATCCAAGCTTCCTCCACGAACTACCTCAAACAACAATACGGGTCTCGTATGAGCGGCCCCGATAGCTGAAGGCGATGCTTCCTGCATTGCAGCCCTCGCGGCCAAAGGTATGCATCGCCACATCCATACGCAACACATGTACATACATACTAACCACCAACCAGCAACCCCAACCCACCCACCCACACCACCCCTCCTACACCCAAACCCGCGCCCTCCACGACTCAGCCTCATCCCAGCATCAATCACCCCGAACCTCCTCAAACTCCCCTTCAACGCGAACCACGAACCAAACCTCACAATCTCAAACCCACACCATGCCCACACGACCCACCCCCTACGCAGGCTCCTACAACAGCGCGATCCGTCATCCCGTCTTCTTCACCTCGCAGCTGCGCAAACTGCCGTTCCCGGTTCCGCAGGTGGGCAGTCTGGCGTCGAATCCTGTGGCGAGCGGGTATGTGGAGGAGAGGAGGAGGGACATGAGTACGGGAACGGGCACGAAGCTGTGATGGAAAGTGTAAGATAAAGATGTTGAGAGATCGGGGTCAAAGGTGTACTTCTTCTCAGAGGGTTGATTGATGAGGAACGATTTCAAGTGCTGGAGGCGGCGGAAAATGCGTGTCGTGGCAAGGAAGTGTGACTGGGGACTTCTTGGGAAACAGGGTCACTATCCGCACTTCTCTGCGGTGGAAGGGTAGAAGGAGCACCGCCTGAGATTGCCGTACTCAACGCTTTTGCAAGGGATCATCGAGACATTGAAACACACTAACACATCAGAGCAGAATCATAGAAGGATGAATCCCAAAGCCAATCAAAAAGAAAATAGTATTTTATTTTTCCCACAATCCCAGGCGGTCATCTGTGCACCTGATCTTGTCAGATCTAGACAGATCCCAAAAGAGCCTTAGCGGCTCGCGAACACCTATGATCATCCTCCTCGGACTCATAAGGTCGCAGAAACGAATATCAAGAAAGACAGCCCGAATCGGGTTGATGGTCCCAGGCTCCTCCCGTAAACGACCTAACGCCTCCTGTGGTGGAAGCCCGCCGCCCTCCTCTGCTGAGCATAGGCAGTCACATACACCACCTCGGTCTTAACGACCGTGTGGGTAACGGTGACACAAGGATGTCCAGGCCTGCACGGGGGACCCTGCGTGGGAGCAGGGCCAGCGTCTTCGGTGGGAGCCGGACCCTGCTCGTAGGAAGGATTCTTGTCGACAGACGTCTGTTTGGGAGCATCAGCGGTGGGGGACTCGTACCCGCCCACATTCTCGTTGAAATCCAGAGTGGGGGCAGCGGCGGGGGTTGAGGCCGGGGTTGAGGCGGGCTGCTGCTGGTTAACGTCGCCGCTGGGCTTAGGAGCAGGGGCTGCCGCGGTATTGGGAGCTGCAACGACGCCGCCGCCCTCATTACCGAGAACAAGGCCGACATCGATGGTCTTCTTGGGCGGAGTCAAGTCTCGGCCCTTGTTGGGAGGACCGTTGAAACGTCCAGCACGGCACTCAGCCTGGAGACCCTCGCACTTGCTCTGCCAGAGCTGGCAGCCAGCGTTGCCAGTGGGGCCAGCCGAGTTCCAGCAGTCATCGGCCTGCTTCCAACAGTTTTCAGCCGAAGCCCAGCACGACGACTCGCTGTTGTAGTCGGGCACTTCCTTGCCGCACCAGTTGCCATTTTCGCAGATGCAGCCGGCCGGACGCTGGCCCTCGGTCTGGGAGGTCTGGCGGTTGACGAAAGCACCGTTGACGCCGGCAGCAGAGGTCAGCTTGGCAACAGGGGGACCGGGGAGCTTGTATTCGCTGTTGGGTCGGTTGTAGATGTCGAAGGTCATATTCTCGTCGCTGAGCTGGACGTAACCGGGAATGCTCACGGTGGATTCGGGCACCAGATCCCCATCACTCTGCAGGAAGATCTGAGCGCAGCTGGTGTAGAACTGGGGGTCGCCGGTGTTGGCGTTGTGGAGGGCGAGAAGCTCGGGGCGAGCGAGATAGTAGCCTCCCTGCAGGCCCTTGGGCAAGACAATGGACAAGTAACCGTTGTTGGCGATCAGCTTGTCGCTACACCATTGGCCACTGGCGCCATCGTAGCCGGCGTGGAACACTTTGAACCAGCCGTCACCATGGCCTGGGTCGTTGATGGCAGAATCGACCTTCTTCAGGTACACGGCGCAAGGGCCCTTGTGGCCAGGGTCCATTGACCCCCTCGACGCGTCGTTCTGTAAGCCGATTAGCAGGTGCAGTGTAAAAGTCCATATTTTCCACCTACGGGCCAGGAACGGAACTGGAACGATAGAGTAGCCCCATCGCGAACGGACTGTACGCGGGACACGCCCTTGTCTCCGCCAACGTCTGGTAGTGAAAGTCAGCATTTGAGTATGGCGAGTCCAGAGTCAATCGACACATACTACATGCAAGGTCGTTGCTTCCCAGCTTGTCCCCGCCAATGGGAAAGGTGGCGGTCTCGGGGTCCATTCTCATCCTCATTGCGACTCCATCGCCCTATCTATTTGTCAGTATCGTTCAATATAAAGTGGTGAGCATCCATACAGTATCCAGTCCGTCCACAAACAGATTCGTGAAGGCTGTATGTGCGAGGGCAGCAGGCGCTGCGGCGAGCGCGAAGAATATGGACTGGGTCCTCATGGTTATCGAAGATGCAGTTGTTCAGAGTCTGAAGATGGGTCTCGGTAGTGAAGTGAATTGGTGTGTAGGACACGAATGGATCAAGTCACTGGGACTGCGGGTGGGAGGCTTGCAAATGAACGAACGTCGGCTAGCGACTGGGAAAGAGTGACTCTGGCAAAAAGCCGAAAGAAAGACAGAAGTTGGTTTGAGGATGCAAAAGGACCAGCGCAAGGGTGAAGGGGAGAAGGAAAGGAGGTTGAGGGGAACTGGGCGGTTTTGTCAACGAGCTGGGGGACTGTGCTTTGGTGCTTGATTCGCTTTGCCGGATACGGGCCTTGGACAAGCCAAGCTGTGGACCCTGAGATGACCCAAGCAAGGTTTCTTTTTGTGATCCATACTCAGTAAAACCAGAGTTCCAAGCCTCTCTCACCTTCGACCCATTTTCCCCGCCTTCGCGGCAGTGTATTCTGTATCCAAGGGCGCCTACTCGGGACATGAATGCAGAGCTGTTGGGATCCGTTTCGTTCTGCGTTCGTTTCAACCGATGGCCTGCAAGGTACGAATTCACTGCTGGACGAGCTCGCGCCTGGCCCGAGAGAGTGAGAGGCCAAGGGTCAGCCTTAGGAACAGTGTCGACCAATCAGTAACTGTTGTTTTGTTGGCTTGGACACAGTTGAAACACCAGCCCCGCCGAGGAACCACGATTTGCGAGCACAGACAGCCGCCTGTGGCGTATTCTGAGACAGACTAAATTCAGGTACGGGCTCCGATCAGGGCCCTGGCGTCGTCGGTCCCGTCGTTCCCACATCTCCAGCAAGCGGCGAAGATCACCACTCATATCGGAGCTTGTCGAATGTAGATAGGAAACTTGAATGGTTCGTTTTCGTAGTCTCGTTTTGAATAATGATGCTGTGTGCTTCTTTTCCGGTCGAAGTCTGCTGTGATGACATTGTTCCTCGAGTCAGGGGAAGAAGGAAATTGCGCCGGAAGGGAATACAACAAGCGCTGACACCCCTTCATTACACACGCAGGGTGACGCTGTGCTCCCGGACATGCCCCTTCATAGACGGGACATTGTCTCGTGTGCCCTGATCAGTGATGAGAATTGTACGGATTGTCGTCAATTGGGCGCTGCCAGGAGGTCTCGAAGCTGTTCCGGGGATGCCACTGCTCGCTTCACACGTGGCGGGGAGAATGATTCAGTTGAGAGTCAGGAACACCCATGCCGCTGCGTTTGCAAACAGTCAACGTCATTCTTGTCTTCCGTTTCAGTGTCCCAGAACCCAAGCGGATTGACAGATTGTTTCGAAAGCGATTGAGTAACGTTTCCCCTCAACGGGAGGGGTCAATGAAAGCTTCAACGTTGAATCTTCAACAACAGTGAATGACGCATCTCAGCCATCGGAAACACTGCGTCGAACAGAGATTGCATCCGAAAACTGCCCGGCCGGGGAAGACATCGGGTGCTATGTGAAAACGGGGCGTACATGAGATCCGCTTCTGCATACGCTTTGGTTGAATGGTACAGCATTACAACGGCGTTTTCCGACCAGTCGCGGCCTCTGATGCAAGTCGGGTCACCCGAGGTGCGCGAGAGGAGATAGAAACCTAAGATCAGAACTCAAAGGGACGGGTTTGAAGCCGCAGTTGACAGTGTTGGCTCCCTAACATTCAGCAACCGGTCAAACTCCAGTTACTACTTGCTGTAGCAGTGCTCCGGGGTCATCATCTAGCCCGTCGACATGAGGCTCCCTGCTCATGCATGCATCAACCATGGATTTTCAGAAACGATGTCCAGCGTGAGGATTCTGAAGAGTGAGGTGAAGAAAAAGACGGCCCGAGAGGACCGATAGATATATATGGTTTGGAGCCAGCGGAGTCTTGGCAACCCCACACTTCCCAACCCCACGCCTGGAAAAAGTTCCTTGAGTACAGCAGTTGTTCAGCAACGCATGCGCATATGTAATAGCCATGGCCGCAGGAGACTTTTTCGAGCAGCTACCTGCTGGTATTATTTCCGCCTTGTTCGCAACATACTCGAGGCTAACAATTTTGTAGAGCTCCTTCTAATATGGCACACTCTTCGCATCCCACTCCTGCTCTCCGCCGCGGCCCTCATTGCCGTTGCCAGATACGTCCGGCATAGAAGCACCGCAATAAAGATTGTAAAGATTGAATCCCCAACGGAGGAGAAGAAAATCGAATTGAGGCCGGAATGGCTACCAGAGAATACCACTTTGCTGCCCGGACAACAAATCGCCACCTCACTTTCCAAATCCTCCAAACCTAAGAAAGTCCCCAAGATTGTGCGAGGCCAGAAGAAATCACCTACCAGAGCGCAGCAGAAGACGGCACCGGTGTTCAATCATACTACGGATAAGATTCAACCACTCGTCTTCTTCCAGTCGCTATCCGGGACCACGGAGCGGTATGCCTCGCAGCTTGCCAAAACCCTGAACGACTGGATCGCCGACGCCAAACCAGGCGCATCTATCCTCGAGCCCCAAGTGCACGACATTTCCTACATTGAATACGACGATTATTTCGTCAGCCCACCCAAGTCCGAAGACGGCACCATCAAGTACTTCTACCTCATTCTCCTCCCGAGCTACAACATCGACACGGTGCTGCAGAACTTCCTGGACAATCTGCAGGAGACGCATAATGACTTCAGGATCGATACCGCGCCTCTGAGTGGCCTACTCGGATACTCGGTGTTTGGGTTTGGGGACAAGGAGGGCTGGCCGACGGAAGAGGAGGGATTCTGCAGTCAGGCCAGAGAGGTCGATAAGTGGATGGCTCGATTGACGGGGAGGAAGAGAGCTTATCCGCTTGGCATGGGAGATGTCAAGGGAGACGCAGATGCCCGTTTAGAAGAGTGGAGGACTGGCGTCCAGGAAGCTCTTCTTGAAATCGCCGCAGGACGCGGTCTGGGCGAAGGCGTTCCGGGCAGCGGAGACGCCGTCGAAAGCGACGAAGAAGATCTCGACTCCGCCGAAGGCAGCGACGTCGAACCCGTCCCCAACAAACCCCAGAAACCCAAAAAGAACACCCAACGCGTCGACGACCTCGAAGACCTCGGCCGGATGATGAACTCCACTTCCACCTCGCCCGCCTCCTCCACCTCCTCCCCCATCCCCATCGACTTCACCACCTACACCTCCACCCCGTCCAAACCCACCACCTCAACACTCCCTCTCAAAGAAATGGTCCCCACCTCCTCCCCCACCCACAAAGCCCTCACAAAGCAAGGCTACACAATCATCGGCTCGCACTCGGGCGTCAAAATCTGCCGCTGGACCAAATCCGCCCTGCGCGGCCGCGGCTCCTGCTACAAATACTCCTTCTACGGCATCCAATCCCACCTGTGCATGGAAGCCACGCCCTCCCTCTCCTGCTCCAACAAGTGCGTCTTCTGCTGGCGCCACGGCACCAACCCCGTAGGCACGACCTGGCGCTGGGTGACCGACCCGCCGGAAATGATCTTCGACGGCATCACCGCCGCGCACTATAGGAAAATCAAAACCATGAAAGGCGTCCCGGGGGTACGCGCCGAGCGCTTCGCAGAAGCCATGCGCATCCGACACTGCGCCCTCAGCCTCGTCGGCGAACCCATCTTCTACCCGCACATCAACGCCCTGATCAACCTCATGCACAGCCAGCGCATCTCGACATTCCTCGTCTGCAACGCCCAGCACCCCGCGCAATTGCAGTCCTTGGTGCCCGTGACGCAGCTCTACGTCTCCATCGACGCGTCGGACAAGGAGTCGCTGCGCAAAATCGACCGCCCCCTCCACAGAGACTTCTGGGACCGCTTCATCGCTTGCCTCGATATCCTGCGCCAGCGCCGCTTCGAGCAGCGCACCGTGTTTCGCCTCACGCTCGTCAAGGGGTTCAATATGGCGGATGAGGTTAGGGGTTATGCCGATCTCGTGCAGCGCGCGCTGCCCGGGTTCGTCGAGGTCAAGGGCGTGACGTTTTGCGGGACCAGCACGGCGGGCAGCGCGGGCTTGACCATGGCGAATGTGCCCTTTTATGAAGAGGTGGCCGAGTTTGTGAGGCAGCTGGCTGCGGAGCTGGGGAGGAGGGGGTTGCCGTATGGCATTGCGGCGGAGCATGCGCATTCTTGTTGTGTGTTGCTGGCTGATGGCGAGAGGTTCAAGAGGAATGGGAGGTGGGCAACTAGGATTGATTATGAGAGGTTTTTCGATTTGTATGAGGGGAAGGTGCAGGGGAGTAGGATGCAGGGTGGCAAGGTGGTCGGGTGGAGGCCCGAGGATTATATAGGGGATGAGACGCCCGAGTGGGCGTTGTGGGAGAATGGCGGGTTTGATCCGAGGGATGTGAGGGTTTGGAGGAAGGGGAAGGGTCCGAAGGCTGTGAAGGAGCAGGGTGAGGCGGAGAATGAGAGGGACAAGGCTGTTGCGGTGGAGATATAATAGAGGAAAAGTGCTTGAAGTATATATTGAAAGCGAGAATAAAACATTTATGAATCAATAGACAGCACCGTATTATCATGTTTCAACTAATGGAAATGTTTTCCGTATTCCGTATATACAAGGGGATATCCAAAGTGAATTCCAAACTCGGCCGATGCTGCCGGGCACTCTTTGATCAGCACACCAACGCTACCTCTAATTGCATCCTCTGCTTTCAAGCGAATTTCTACTCCTCATCCGACTCCACCTCGGCCGTATTCTCATGGAAATTCGTGCCATGCGTCGTCTCCTTGATATATCCCGCCCTACGCAACAAGTTAGCAACGCATTCAAAAGCCCACACATAACCGAAGAAAGCAACATACCTAATCACCCAATCACCAAACCTTTCCCCCTCCTCCCTTTCCTTCGCATACCTCCGCATCATCGGTCTCAAAATCTCCAGAATCTCGTCCTCCTTGATACTACTCCTGTACAGCTTGTTCAACCTCTGCCCATGATACCCGCCACCCAAGTACATGTTGTAAGCGCCGTACGCCTTACCCACGAACGCAATCTCCGCCAACCACGGACGAGCGCACCCATTGGGGCAACCAGTCATGCGCATGACGATGCTGTCTTGCCTTAGTCCGGCTTCCTCAATGGTGGACTCGATCTTGGAGATGAGGACGGGGAGGTAGCGTTCCGATTCCGCCATGGCAAGGCCGCAAGTGGGGAAGGCGACGCAGGCGGAGGAGCTGAGGCGCAGGCCGGAGAAGTTGGTGTTGTCGAGCTTGTACTTCTTCAGCAGTTCCTTCATTGCGGGTAGATCCTCATCCGAGACCCCCGAAAGGATCAAGTGCTGATTGCCCGTGAGGCGGAACTCGCCTTTATGCACTTTGGCAACTTCGACGAGACCCGTCTTCATGGGGAAGTCTGCAGTATCCTCGATGCGGCCGTTCTCAATGAAGAAGGTGAAATGGTTCAGCCCATTCTCATCCTTCTGCCAGCCGAACGTGTCGATGTTGCTATCGAATTTGAACGGCTTGGGATCCGCAAACTTCTCGCCCCACAGCTCCTCGACCTTGCCGCGGAAGACGTCGACGCCCATGTCGTCGATGGTGTACTTTAAGCGCGCGTGCTTGCGGTTCTTGCGGTCGCCGTGGTCGCGCTGCACGAGCATGATTTTCTCGCACACAATGTGGGTGGCATCAGCCGGCACGTAGCCGAGCATGGATCCAGTACGAGGGTAGGTTTTCTTGTTGTTGTGGGTGACGCCCATGCCGCCTCCGGCGAGCACGTTGAAGCCTGCGAGGTGGCCATCGGCGCCCTTGATGGCGATCAAGCCAATGTCGTGAGCGTAAACGTCGGTGTCGTTGTGCGGGGGGATGGCGATGGTTATCTTGAATTTACGGGGGAGGTAGGTAGGGCCGTAGAGAGGCTCATGATCGACAATGGCGTCGCCGGCAATCTTCCTCTTCTGCTTGGTCTCGTCGTCCTCGAGCCAGATTTCGTGGTAGGCAGTTGTGGAAGGCAGGAGGTGGTCGCTGATCTTCTTGGAGATGGCATGGACCTCGGAATGGTACTTGGACTGCGTGGGGAGGGAGCTGCACATGACGTTACGGTTCACGTCACCGCAAGCGGCGATGGTGGTCATGAGAGCCCTGTTGATGGCTTGCATGGCCGGCTTGAGCTTGCCCTTGACAACGCCGTGGAACTGGAAGGTCTGTCTGGTCGTGAGCTTCATTGTCTCGTTACCCAGCTTTGTGCTAATCTCGTCCATCTGAATCCACTGCTTGGGAGTGGCAACACCGCCGGGAAGACGGCACCGGATCATGAACGAGTAGGCGGGTTCCAAGCCCTGGGCCTTGCGCTCGTCACGGATGTCACGGTCATCCTGCATGTAAGTACCGTGGAACTTAGTCAACTGCTGGTCGCTTGCTGAGATGGCGCCGGTGGAGGTATCTGCAAGACCTTCCTCAATAGTACCGCGGAGGAAATTCGAGGCGAGCTTAATGTCCTCGTTGGTCAGTGGCGGGGGCTCCTCAGGAAGACCCTCAATCTTGTCCACACCGAGTGCCTGCCACAGCTTGGGCTCCCACTCGGCATAGCCGGTTTGATATCCATCAGGATCTTGGTCGTCGCCAAGACCGCACTCCACCAGAGGCTTGCCGCCAAGGGCAAGGATGCGAGCGTGGAGGTCCTTTCCTGGTTTGTTGTAGTAGATCTTGTCCTCCTTGCGCGGCCAGTAGTGGCTGTCTCCGAGGGAAAAGGTAGAGAAGTTCACGGTGGCTAGATCCAGGTCGGTGGAATCACGAACGGTATCCCAGAATGTTCTACCATTTTGAGGGAACTCTCCCTGACCGGCCGTGCTGGTAACGAAGACAATGTTCTGCTCGTTAGGCAGATCTTCAATCGGATAATCATCCATAGCCATGACCATTGTCTTCAAGCCTCTTGCCTTGCCGCGGTTGGCAAGCCTCTTCGCTAGGTTCTCCGCGTTGCCGTTATCGGATGCGAAAAGCACAGTCAGAGGCTCCCCTGCAAGACCTTCCAGAAGCTGGCTGTAGGCGTCCTTGGCCTTCCTCTTCTGGAGCTGCCTGACCTCGGTTCCGTAGGAGCCGGAGAGGTTGGAAGAAAACTCGGGATGTCTCCTCATGAGCTGAGACATGTAGTTCTCCCTGCTGAGAAATTCCTCAAGCTCCTTCTTGATCCTCTGAGAGTCGAGCTGGAAGTTCGGCTCGCCCTTCTCATCTCCGTGAGGGTTCCACCGGTAAAGCGGCCAGTAGCCCACATCGACGGCCTTCTTCGTCTCCTGCAGAACCGTCAAGGGAGAATCCGTCTCCTTCTCGTACGGCAGGTATGCGAGGACAACAGAGGGACCGTCAAACTTGTCTGCCTCAATCATGGCCTCAAGCACCTGGGTGTACGAGCTGTACACTGCCACGGAAGCGACATAGGCATTACCGAAGTTCATCGCATAAAGACCGATGTCTTTCTTCCGGCGGGCAGCATCAGCTGCCGCGCGCTCAGAGTAAGGCGTAGAGTCGATGATGAGCATATTGACGTTCTCCCCGGAAGCAAGGACGTGGTGGACACCAGAGTTTCCGAGATCATATGCCCAAGCGTCGGACCCGATCAACCAAGGAGATTCCCTGAAGAAGAGCTTCTTGGACTCCAAAAGCTGGCTTGCTGCGGGAGATCCGTCAGTGCTGAGACGAGCGATCACCTCAGCCGCAAGGGCGTTCGCCTTCTCACTGTCGTCCGCAGCCAGAGCCCACTTGGACAACCAGTCCAATGGAGCATTGGTGATAAAGGGATTGCTCTTGGAAAGCTCGCGGACCTCATCGACGAGGCGCTGTCGGTGCTCCTTTCGCGCAAGAAGCGATCCGAAGCCGAATTCAGGGGTCGTGGACACCTCATTCGAGACACCGGCATTCTCTGCGCCCAGCCGATTAGCAATAAACAACTTTTCACCGAAGACCTGATTCAGGATTTTGAGGTAAGCATTTTCCAGCTCCGGTTGCTCAACCTTTGGGACCTGCTTCTCCGGGCCCTCAAGCTTGCCAATCTGCAAGTTTTGCACAGGAGACTCGCTGTTGAGGTTCTGGAAGACGCCGCGCAACGCCTGCTGTACCGTATCCTCGGTGATATAGCCCAGTTGGTAACCGACAATCGTGGGTGCGTTGCCGGTCGACTTCAGGGACATCAAGACATCGAGAAGAAGAGGACCCCACCGGGTGGTCTTCCGGCGTACCTGCTCCAGGACAGCAATCCTCTTGATCGAACGGGGAAGCTTGGGAGCAAGGGAAGCACCCAACCACGGACGGTACAACCGGACGGTGATGATCCCCGCATCAGCATAGGCCTCGGACTCATCCGCATTGTCAATCTCCAGGGCAAACAGAGCAGTGTCAGCACCGAACAGAAAAATGGCAGATTCGGCATCTTGAGGTCCAGAGTACTCGAAAGCATCGTATGACCGGCCCGTAGCCTCCTTGATCTGAGCCCAGATTTGGCCAGCAAATCGGTAGATGTCGTCAGAGGAGACAGCCTTGGACGCTAGAGACTCCACGGTGGTGGCCGAGGAGGAGGAAATGCCGCTTGCCGTGCTGGACTCGCGGTGGGAGGACCCAGTTGAGGATGCCCTGGTGCTAGTTCGCTCCGACGCAGGCACGGACTTTCCGGCTTCTGATGTGACCGTCTGCTGGCCAGCTGGGGCGTGCCGAGGAGCAGAAGCCTGGCTTCGTGCAACGGACAAGGTGGCAGTCCTTCCATCGTCGGCATAGAGAGTGGTCTCTCCTGATTTGGAATTCTGGAAAGCAGCAACGGCATCCAAATCCAGGACATCCCTGACCAAATCCTGGCTCTCATACGGGATCTCCTTATTTCTAGCCAGCGCACCAGCATCGAAGAAGTGAATTACGCCCTTGCCCGACTTGATTGCCAGCGCATGCGCCGTCAAGGCGATATCCTGGGCCTGCTGCAGAGTCTCGGACTGCAGAAATGTGAAACCAGACTGGCGAACCGAGGTGATGTCGGAGAAATCCGGGAATCCCTCGGGGTGTACGGAGACATGGATGACGACGGGGTATTGGGCGAGCTTGTAGAGGTGGGGTATCGACTTGACGAGAATGGAGGAATTGGTGGTGACGGAGGTGAGCTTCCCCGCGCGAATAGGCTGAAAGACGGACAGGAGGGGATCCGCATTCTGGCGGACTGCGAGAACCTGCGCATTGCTGCAATTAGCGTGATTTCCATTGGAATTGGACTGGCGAATAATCGATACCTCTGGCAGCTCCTTTGCGACTATGCTGGGGGCTTTGTTCCTGTGCAGCGCGTGGAGATGCTCTGAGAACTCTGAATGGGACGCGAGCGAGGGCTGTACCGAAACAACCACATCGCTGGCGAGGTATGCGACACGGGCGACTGCAGAGAAAGGTCAATTAGCCAAATTTCTTTATTGTTGATCTCTGAGAGGGTCACAAGGAGGGTGGTGTTGTCTATGCGCGGGGAAAAGGAAATGTCAAGCATCTAGGAACAAATACATACCAGCCTCTCCGGCAGTCGAGATGGAACCCATTGTCGCGGAAGAATGACGTGAAAGAGTTCACAGGGAGCAGAAGCTGAAGAGGAGAAGAAGAAGGGAAAGGAAAACAAGGGCACTGTATATTATTTTTATTTTTTCCTAACAAGGGGGCAACATTTTTCTGCTGGTGGAGTGCATCAATTCCCCTCTGGGGGTCCCTCCGATTCACTGCCGATGACCAAAGCCCTCGATCGCGTCATCGCTTAGCGTCCACCTGGACAGGGCCAGAATCGCCGGCGGCCAGTCGCAGCTCGTTATTTACAAAGATTAGTCACCCCACATGGGGGTTGCAAGGCGGTGGGGTTGCGAACGAAGGGATGAGCAGCACAAGTCCCTTCAGCAACGTTGCAACTGTCTTCGTCAGACTCTCTCCCCGAATTTTCAGCACCATGTCGTGAAGCACAGAGAGCCGTGACCGCGAATTGGAATTGGAAGCCCTGGAGGTGTCCGCCCGCTGAGCGGCTGATATCCGGCGGGGGATCAGCCGAGAGCCGATATCGATAACACACCTCCACGCTGGCCGACCATGGTCTGCCGTGTATGTGGAGAGCGGCAACTTCACACCAGCATTGCATCCCGTCGCATCGCACATCCGTTATTTGGAATTGCATGAGGACCGTGTCGCTGTCTCTGCGCAATGCCCTCCTTCACGGCCGACGAAGTCAATTCCCCTCAGGCCTGCAATCGAGTCTCCAACGGCCCCACTTCGCCCTTGGTGAACGACGTTCACCTCCCATTCCCGCAGGTGTGCAAGAGGATAAATGATCGCATAAACGCCTTCTTGGAAGAGAAGGATGTATCTTCAAGATTACAATCCGTCCAAGAGCAAACACGCAACTCCTTAGCCGTCATAGAAGAAGCCCTCGACAAATACACGTACGCCCCCCTCCAGTACGCCCCTCAACAGCACTGCGGACTCCCGAAACACTAACAATGCATCATATAGCCTCCCGCAACTCTCCCTCGCCTACAATGGCGGCAAGGACTGCCTCGTCCTCCTCATCCTCTACCTCTGCGCCCTCCACCGCAAATCCCTCACCACCACCCCGCATCCCATCCAATGCGTCTACATCCAGGCCCCCGCCCCTTTCCCCGAAGTCGAATCCTTCGTCGCATCCAGCGTCCGCACCTACTCCCTGTCCCTACTCGAATACAACAAGCCCATGAAAGCCGCCTTTGCCGACTACCTGCACGATGTCCCCACCGTGAGAGCCATCTTCGTGGGCACTCGGAGGACGGATCCGCACGGCGAGAACTTGAGGCATTTCGATCCGACGGATCATGGGTGGCCGGCGTTTATGAGGGTGCATCCGGTGATTGACTGGCATTATGTGGATATCTGGACGGTGAGAACTCCTTATAAGTACCAGTTCCCAGGAGTAGAAGAGCTAACGGGATGGCTCAGTTTATCCGCCACCTCAAAATCCCCTACTGCGAACTCTACGACCGCGGCTACACGTCCCTAGGCGGCTCCACAGACACCCATCCCAACCCCGTCCTCGCACGTCAGCCCTCGACGCCAGATTCCAGCACCGTCAACGGCGCCGCGAAACCCAAATTCCGGCCTGCCTACGAGCTGGTCGACGACGAGGAGGAGAGACTGGGGAGAGATAGCAGATGAGGGTCGTAGTAGTCTTCTTAGTTTGGTGTAGATGAGTATGCATCTGGCCCGATCGATCCCGATTTGATATTGCATATAGATGGGCGTTTGGGAGTTTGGCGGTGTGTGCACTGTGTTGCATGGGCGGTTGTAGGATAAAGCGCAGATTTGGCATATAATGATGCATGTCCGTTGTTGTTACTAGACTAAGCTTGCAATCTGGATGCATCATTGATGCGACGAGTGCATACAAGGGAAACACGTGTTTAAAGCACGAATTGGGAGGTTCTACCCAGGAGCGTATATGTAAACGGTTTGGGTATAAGAGCTTGGGAGTATGTCGATGATTATAGATGTAAGACGGAGAGGGGCAGTACTCCGTATGGCCCCATGATACAGATGCGCTATTCGTTGAATTCGCACAATCTTCCAACGGAACCATCTTATATCAAAGAATGCCCAGGTAGAAGTATGATGTGTCAACCAGAAGATGATGGAAGCCCAAGGGAATCAAGGTCGCCTCTATCTCTCTACAAATCATGCATACACAACACTCCCGAATCTATATCATATGCATCCCAGATCCTTCAAATGTCCAACCCAACAATATTCACCATCGCCCACACCTCACTTCCTCTCCGCCCTCCTAACCAGCACACTCCCATCCTCCATGCCAAAATACACCGCCACAGGCTTCTGTCCGCCGGTAATGACGCCCATCTCCTGCAGCGTCCCCTCCTTCCTCACACTCTCCGCCTCCACCCCATCCAAGCCGCTGAAAATACCCACCTCCAACACCCCTGTAACCTGATTAATTGCCTGGCTCAGCCGATTCACTTCCCACGTCCCATCACTCCCGTCACCTTTGCCCTTACCGGCGGCGACGTCGCTGCTCGTTAGGAGCGGAGTGAACGGAGCGTCGACGATGAAGAATCCCTGGTCGGTCTTCAGGGGGCCGGATTTCTCGAGCAGCGTGGTGCGGAGTTTGGGGTTCTGGGAGCCGAGTTCGCGGAGGGAGCGGAGGACGGTGGGGACGGCGATGGGGGCCACTTCGATGGGGATGGTGGGCCAGTTTGTCAGGAGGCGGCTTTGGTTTTTGCGGTAGTCTGGGGGGTACATGTCAATCAACAAGGCATCTCGACATCGGTGTTTGAGGACAAAGAGGTTGTTGGACTTAGGAAAGGAGCGAGGAGAGCAATGAGGGAAGGCTGACCAGCAACGCAAATGAACTTCTTCGCCTTCTCCGCTACCAGTTTCTCCTGGAACAAACATGCGCCTCCTCCTTTTATACAGTTCAACTCCTCGTCCACTTCGTCGGCTCCGTCAAACGCAATATCGAGCATCACATCCTCGCTCAAGCTGTCGAAGGAAATGGGTGTCAACCCCGCCTGCTCGATAACTTTACGACTCTGGTATCCCGTAGGCACAAAGCGAATGAGCGGATTTGTGCTGCGCTCTTTAATCGCCTCGACGACATAGACGATGGTGGTTCCGGAGCCGATGCCAACGTGTGAGGCTGCGGGATCGAAGTTCTCAGCTACAGCTTGCTGCGCGGCGGCCCTTTTGGCGGACTCGATAGTCGCGGAGGACATATTTGAGGTAGTGGTGGAGTAATAGAGGACGGATGGAGTGGGAAGACGTGGAGGTATTACTTTTTTGGTCGGGAGAAGTCGAGCTCGTAGCGAGTGACCGAGAGTAGATTTGCGAGGCAACGAAGCGATTTCTGTCGAAGAGAAATTCCTGCGTGATATGTGGGCGACACGAACGCTTTTTCGGGCCGGCCGTACAGAATGCTGTAGAGATTCGTAAATAGATCTGCTGCTCATGTGAAATGTTTCCAGTCTCGAACCGCCAGAGCCCCGCGGTGTTGCCCCGCGCCTACAACGCCTTAAGACCCCCACGCCGGGCAGGGGTTCTCACCGCCCGGCAGAATATGGGATGGGTACCTCGAGGAGAGCTTCTGTGAGCTCCGCAAACGTAACGAGGTTCGAAATGGCGACAGATATTCCGCCTCCGGTGCAAGGCCCAACTGCCAAGGAGAGGAAGTATGAATTGTTATGCAGGCTGAGGCTGTGTGTGGACACTAACGGAGCTCAGATATGACCGGCAGCTCCGCCTTTGGGGAGCTACGGGCCAGATGGCTCTGGAAAACTCGCACATACTCCTCATCAATTCAGGCCCCGGAGTCGTTGGTGTTGAAACATTGAAGAATCTGGTTCTGCCTGGCGTAGGACACTTCACGATACAAGATTCAGCAATAGTCTCGGAGGCGGATCTGGGCGTCAACTTCTTCCTAGAAGAGGAACACCTCGGAGGTTACAGAGCAGAGCATACATGCAACTTGCTCAAGGAGCTTAATCCTGATGTTGAGGGGCATTTCGTCACGGAGGTATGCCGTCGCCATCTCATACAAAGCACATCGCTGACAACTCAAAGCCAATCGAAGCTTTCATCGACGAGCCAGACGCGCTGCAACCGTACACACTCATTCTCGTAACAGCCCCGATACGGCCAGAGATTCTCACAATACTTTCCGAACACGCAAGCAACGCCCTAGTACCGCTTTTCTACATACACTCCGTTGGCTTCTACTCGCACTTCTCGATCCATCTTCCTCCCGCATTCCCCATCGTAGACACACATCCCGACCCTGAGACGACTACGCGCGATATACGACTTCTAAAACCATGGCCTGAATTGCTTCAATTTGCTAGAGCAAAGACAGAGGGGCTGGACACAATGGATGCGGACGACCATGGCCATATACCCTACATCGCCTTACTGTTGTATTTCCTTGAGAAGTGGAAGGAGGAGCATGAGGGGCAACCGCCACTGAACTACAAAGAGAAGACTGCATTTAGAGAAATGGTAGCAAAGGCTGCACGAAGCCTTGAGGGCGGAGAGGAGAACTTCGACGAGGCAGTAGCTGCTGTGCTGAAGTCGCTCAACGACCCAGAACCCAGCAGTGCTGTCAAAGGATTATTCAAAGAGCCGGAGTGTCTACTGGTGAAGCAGGATTCTCCTGCTTTTTGGGTCATAGCGCATGCGGTCGCGCTCTTCTATCAGAAGCATGGCGTACTACCGCTTCCCGGTTCGGTTCCGGATATGAAGGCGCGTTCTAAGGACTATATCGAGCTGCAGAACATATACAAGGCGAAAGCAAGAAAGGATATGGCGGAGGTGCTCGAAAGCGTGCGTTTCTTGGAGCGGACGACGATGAGGGAGACACCTATCGAGGAGAGGGACGTTGAGACATTCTGTAAGAACGCGGCGCACATCAAGCTAGTACGCGGACGACCTTTCCACGTAGTGCAGGCGGGTGAAAAAGTGCAATGGGGTGACAGGGCGAAGTCTTTGGGTATGTTCTCCATCCCAATCGTGCTCCTAGCCTCTACTAACACGCCACCAGCGCAAAGCCTCGCATTTCCGGACTCGCTATTACCCTTGTACATAGCCTTCCTCGCCTTTGATGAATTCGTGGCTACGCACAATAAAAACGCTCTGGGCGGTGCGCCGAAGATGCCAGGCGAGGACCATGTGGAAGTGGACACGGAGAAGGTCGCTGGTATCGCTTTCAAGATATTAACCGACTTGATAGCGGAAGGCAATACCCCGCTGGAGGAAGAAGACTTCTCGACGGTGGAGACCAAGCTGGGGGAATACGTAAAGGAGCTGTGAGTATTTTGACACTCGTCCATACATCCTGCGGCTGACGTTCTTGATCAGGGTCCGAGCTGGAGGGGCAGAGCTGCACAATATTTCGGCCTTTACGGGTGGTCTCGTCTCGCAGGAGGTCATCAAGATCATTACGGAGCAGTACATTCCGGTGGATAATACCTGCATTTTCGATGGGGTGAGGAGTAAGACGGCCGTCATACAAGTGTGATGACGGAAAATGCGTGAGGGCAGCATTGAGGGAAGGGATTGAAGCTTGACTGAGCACTCGCAACATTGAGCGCAGGTATACAAAACTGTGGCCAAATGTGCTACATAGACGGAGGCTCGGCACCTTGCCCGTACAAGTAGGAGTTTAGGCCGAGCAGTAACCGCCTGCCCATAAAAGGGATTTTATCAAACTTCAATCAGGCCAAGATATGCTATCGATATGGCCAGATTGTCCATTCACCTAGACCTGATTTCGTAGGCTCTATTTTCTGTCGTTGGGTTCCCCGTTATGCTCTGCATGTCCTAAAGCTGTTGGCGACGGACCTATACGCGCGAGGAAGGGAGGCTGAGGAAGGGAGGCTGATAGTGTATGCCACCAAAGGTAGGAAAAGGTTCGGAGCTGTAGCTTACCGTACTGCTGTGAAGCACCAGAAACCCTATTACATCTTCTAAAACTGGTTTTGGTAGCGGTATACGGACCTTCCAGCATGACTAGAAGATATCTATTTAGTACGGAGTAGTCTGGCAGATTCAACAAGAGACACGATGAAGTTGAGCAACCACAGACCTCAAATTAAGCCTTTCTTCAAGCAGGCAACCCCCGGCTAAAGTTTCTCGAAGAGGCTAGCTTACAACTTTCTGTGAACGTCCAGTCATCACGACCTTCCGCGTCGACCGCGTCAAAGAGGCCGTTCGCATCCCAGGAACAACCGTCCAAGACCATATTAACGCGTTTCTTTCGCCGTTTTTGCATTCGCGACTCTAAACCTGCGCACGCCGGCGTGCTAAGCTCACCGCATATCTCATTACCACTGTCTCGTCTCCCAAACCAATTTCACCGGCAACGCCTCCCGCGAGCCTTCCGCATCTCTGTTAAACCTCCATACTGATGGAAGCCCTCCCCGACAGCACCGACTGGCTCCGAACCTCGCTGCCCCTCTTCGCGCCCCTCGAATCCTCCCTCCGCTGCGAAGTCTGCAAAGAATTCTACTCCAACCCCGTTATAACGACATGTTCGCACACGTTCTGCTCGCTGTGCGTAAGGCGCGCGATCTCTGTTGATGGGAAGTGTCCAGCCTGCAAGGCAGCATGTCAGGCTGATAGACTGGTGCCGAATTTTGCACTCAGGGAGGTTGTTGGTAGATGGGTTGAGGCGAGGGAGGCGGCACTGGAGCTGGCGATGGAGGGCGTGGGGAAAGGAAAAGTGGAGGGAGTGGAGGCAGATATAAGTAACGCGGGGATGAAGAAAAGAAAAGCTGGGGACATGGAGGTCGCTGGTGAGAGTGGGGAGGAAGAAGGGCGCCGCACGCGGTCAAGAATGACGCGGAGTAGTAGTCAACGAGGGAAGGGTGTGATGGACGAGCCTTTTGAAATCAAGGACAGCGAGGATGAGGGCGATGCAGAGTTTATGCCAGACGGTATGGTTGCATGTCCGATTTGCTCGAAACATATGAAGGAGGAGCAAGTATGGGGCCATCTCAATAATGGGAGTTGCCCTGGCGAACAGCAGAACCCTACTGGTGCGCGGAGTACACGCTCCAGGTATGTATGCTATAGACACTTAGGAGGGCAGGAATCTGATTGTTTCCATAGATCACAGAACCACACATTTTTAGCGCCTTCGGGCAGGTCATCGAGAGAGGTACCAGCACCAGCCCGACTCCCCGGTATAAATTACTCCATGATGAAAGAAAAAGACCTTAAAAAGAAACTTCAAGATCTGGGTATTCCGGCTTGGGGCAAGAAAGACCTCCTTATACGGCGGCACACGGAATGGTTGCACTTGTGGAACTCGAATTGCGACGCATCGGAAGACAACCGCAAGTCGAAGCGAGATTTATTAAGAGAATTGGACGTATGGGAGCGGACGCGTGGTGGCCGCGCGAGTGCAACTGAGCCGATTGTTATGAGGAAGGATTTTGATGGAAAAGGGCACGCCGAGGCGCATAAGTCGCAATTTGATGAGCTTATAGCAGCGGCAAGAGCTAAGAGGGGCGTACCGAAGGCGAAAGAGGATAATGGAGATGCCACTACAGCGACGCCAGGCGAAGAACCCCAGCACGAAGCACAGCAAGATGCTGAGGATATGCCGCAACCGACCGAGGAAACGGAGACTGGAGTATCGACGATCCGAGCACAAGTCGCCGCAACCGACCTAGAGGACGCGGTTCAGTCACCCTATATCCCCGAGGCTACCCCTAGGGAAACCCTAGTACCAACAGGCGGCACCGCGGATTCTGATGAAAGGGGTATTCAGACCCCCTTTGGCTCGCCCTCGAAGAAGCTGCCCATGTTCGCCCTGCCGGAAGAGCCTGCTGTCGATGTTGAGCATTCTGCTTCCATACCTTGAACGGCTTTCTGCTTTGCATCTTGGTATGACTTGCTATGCCCAGCCCTACACACCCTGAGACCAACCACCAGCAACGAACTCGCCGGCTCCTTGTCCGTCAACCACGCTTGTTGTGCTGGTTCCCACGGAAAAGGCCGGCTTGACAGATGCAGTTACAATGCACCTGCTCCAATCCCATATGTATGTGCATCGTTTTGAATATATAGCGACTGCTGCAGCACAATGACTGGTGTGGACAATGTTGGGTGCACGGAAAGGACAGGCGAAATCGCAACTGTGTGAGGCATACTCCGGCAACTGTAGTTCTATAGCATATAAAAATACTGGTGCTGTGATCGCGGAATCCCCGGCTGGAGCTTGGATGGAATCTTGAGATGCATGCCAATACAATAGGTTAACAGGCTCTTCTTTTCGCGCCTTCTCTACCCTCAAACTACATCCTTCAGCCATGCGACTTCGCCTGCAACTGAAGAGTGAAGTGGACTCGGATTGATTGGTACCGCTTACACAATGGAAAACACATAACCATCTCCCGTGTCTTCTATCCACAAATCCTCGTTCAGATTTGACGACGGCATCATGACAGCCTGGCGCGCTTCTTCTTCCTCAGCAACAAAGATACCAAGCCGCATATACTCCCCACGATCACGCCCAGTCGGAGTCAAAATCAGACCAGCAATGTTTGGCTCGTACTTGTCTAGGTCAGGCCCTGTACGGATGGGAAGCAAGAAAAGTGGTTGCTTGCTCAAGCAATGCTGCTGAAACTCTGCGCCTATCAGAATCTCCAGGACGCCATCTTCTCCGTGCTGCACGAGAGTCCCACCTTGTTTACTGCGGTTGGCTCCACTGAAATCAAGGTGCTGTTTCAGTTCAATCTCAATCCCGCCGCAAACAAAGCGTCTTTTGCCCGATTTGTACAGTGGGATTTTGTACCATTCCGCATATATTGCTTGATGGAGTCGGCCTTGGAGACGTATTCGCCCGTGCTCCACGAGCCCGGTGTCGTCTCCCGTGGTGTATGATATCTGTGCATCGAGTAATCTTGCATGTAATGTTTCCTTTTCGTTTTCGCCTGCAGGAGTGTACGCTGTGGTATACGAGATTTCAGCGTCTACAGACGCCCATGACCAAGTCGGCGCTTTGTATCGGACTGATAAGCCGATGCGGCTTCTCGAATGGCTCACAGTCCACAAAAGGTCGCGAACAAAGTTGCGTTCCCAGAGCCCTGCAATATATCTGTCTTTCAGCACATGGCGAACCTCCTTCACAGCTCCAGCAATGGCAAGGAATTTATCGTGCGGCTTCGTAAGCTGACCAATGGAATACGCTGCTACAATGCTGTGCCAGCAGTCGTACAACCGACTATTATCTCCCTCTGTCAAGTCTACTCCCTCTGTCAAGTCTCCACGGTCCGTGCTTTCCCTCTCCGAGCTTGAATGCTGCAATTGTGCATATGTAACTGGTCCTGTCTCATAGAACCCTAGCGATTTCAACGTCAGTGGTCATACAATGCAATCTGGAAATTCTGTGGGGAAAGCCTCGCAGCTGCTCGATTCGAAGCACTCCCAGAGCACTTGCTCGGCGCCAAAATTGAGGACACAGGGGGAGAGAAGTCGCTCCTGAAGCACCCATCCTCTCCTGTTCAGAGGAGCTTTAGAAACTTGATCGTGCCACATACGAGGGTTCACTGGATAGTAATCCCTCTTAAGTGGTTCATCAGTGTGAGGCCAAACTCCACCCCAACCAGCAGAAACCTTGTGACAGGTCAGGCGGGAGACATCTCTTTCGACATAAAGTCCTCGGCTGCCGTCACTGAAACCAGTAGCCGCAATGTTGCAGGAAGAGTTCTTGTAGATCTCCCCCATCCTTGACGATTCCCGCAGCCAGTCTTCCTCCGAGTCCTGGATAATGCACAAGGAATCGATCCAAATATAGGAGAAACCAAGCTCAAGTGTAGCGAGGAGCGCGTCTTGGAAGACCTTTGAAAGGTCCTTGACGACGATGGTCTTCTGAAGCTGTTCCAAGTTGTCTTTGCGAAGGGTGAAGAACTTGCCGCTTCCCCAGCAATGGCTAAGGGTAAGATAATTCACAGCATCCAGCATTTTGGTGTCACTCTCGAGTCGGGCCTGGATGATATTGCCCTTCATGCCCTGGACATGGACCAATCTTGATGGTCGGAAAGAAAGATCTTGCCGGCGGTGCCCACAATTCTTGTGCCCAGCTCTGCAGGAATACAGCCAGTAGCGACAGAGATCCCAGACTTGAGTGGAAGCTGTTGTAGAAGGGAACACGGATTTTGGCAAAGCGGATTCGAAATTTGAATTTATGGTCAGTAGGCCTGTTTTAGGTTAGTTGCGCCCACGTTAAGCGTGTATCCTACCCTACTCACTTTCAGGCTTGACCATGACTAAATCAAGAACCACTTGCTCCTCAGGCGGAAAACGCGCACCCTTAGGGACGTACCCGATCCGAATCGAATAGTCGAGCAGATCGGACCAATCAATATTGTATTTGAGGACTCCTCTGTGGCCTTCCGGAGTGCCTTCAGTGCCTGGCGTGTTGGTGTAGTTACCCGCTTGTGCGCAAGTGTTGTCGTTGATGATTTTGCAAATGGCACAGCCCATGCGAACAGCATCTTCAAGCGCTGACTGCGACCGATGATGGAGATACCATTTCCCCATTTCGAACCACAGCTTCGTTCTCGCGGGGTGAAAGATGGACTCGCAGGTCGCGCAGAGTGTTGCATATGGGCGCTCCTCGACTGCTTGTTCAAGCGCTCTGCAAACGTTCTGCCACGATTCCTTCAACGACTTGGAAACCTTCCTTAATGGCGCTCTGTCCATCTTCTCCTCCAAGTACCTTTTGTACCGGACGTGAACCCCCCCGGGCTCATTCAATAGTTGGTCTTCGCTGGAGCCACTCTCGCTGTCTGAGTCGGCATGTAACTGCTCCCTCTTCCATTTCATATACCATTCATTCCGCTCGAAATGCTCGTTTGGCTCAGTCTGTAGTTGGTCTCGCCGGGAACCACTGTCGCTGTCCGTTTCGGCGTTATCCAATGGTGAAAATCGGTTGTCGGACTTCGTAAGAGGTGGTCCCATTATCTCCGCTTTCGAAAGATGATCAAGAGTTACAGAACGCCTACTACCAGTGTGTTCGTGCAGGTCGCTACCCGAGGTTCTGTCTTCGTCCAGAGCATGTCTTGTGGTCCGTACGGCTGTGGCTGTGCACAAGGCTGAGATACACCGCATACATGCTGTGCATACTCACAGCTGATTCAGTTGAATTCGTCTTGGAACACAGAGAAGTCAGGCCGATATTATCACTCACACTGGCTATTGTGGGGCACCAGTGAATGCGGGCAGTGGCTGCGCTCCCAATGGTTGGCCCAGGGTGGACGAATTGGGCGAAGAGGAAGGCTACGTGGAAGCAGAATCGAATTCTCCCTTCCTTCTATGTTCAAACTTTTATGTGTTACTATAGTCCTGGCTCTATCCAACTTTGAAACAAGCGGACAGATGTAGCCTGTCAGTCGTGCATCGTCACTCTTCTAAGTCGCCATCCCATGTCAGAACTGTCGGATTACCCAATGCGGCAATTGGAAAGCTCTCATATTTCACCTCTCGGCTTGCATCTCTACACGCCTGCCTCTGATCTCAGTGCAGGATGCAACACAATAGACAAGTGCAATTCTGCGTATGAATAGATACATGAACTCTGAATTTCGGCACTTTAGCTGTTAAATGCCCACCGTGGGCATGTTCCGTTGCTTGAACTGGACGCGCGTCCACGATATCTCTCGACTTCCGACGTTCTCAAGACCATGTCTGGAACTGTCATCGCGTCGACCGCCCGTTGCCATTGTTCATGCCTATTGTTATTGTTACACCTGTCCCCGCCCCTCGACTGTAACCACTATCGGGCGTGTGTAACCACAAAAAGGATGACAGCATCGAGGATTACTATGTACATCCTGCGGGCGTTTCAGAAGCTTCTGTGCCGCTCATCAGCATACCCTAGACTTGACGCCGGCGAATGAGGCTTGCAATTGCTGCCATTGGGCGACACTCTGTCCTCACGCGATTCTGATGGGCGTCCGCAGTAATGGGGGAGACTGCTTCGACAACTCGGAGGGAGTTTGGTGTTGTAGTTGTAGAGTCGTTGACGGATTGGGATTAGCGGGATTGGTGCACGGCCCGTTCAACGGCTCAGCCTTCCGAAGCTTCCAAGGTTGCTCCCCTTTTTAATCCTCACCTCTTGTCTGTCACTCTGTCCACCGTTTTCAGGACACCCGTCCCCCAGCCCTGCCTCAATTCGCCAGGGCGCGCATCCCTTTGGCCCCAATGTCCCAATCCATGTATTGATTCCCTTTGCTCGTCAATCCGCTGTTATCATGCCTCCAGGACCTCCCGCGGCTTACTCTCATAAACTACTGTCGTCCGCCGGACCCTCTCGCAAGTCTCACAAGAACGCGCAACGAAAGCAATCTCATCGATTCCGACCTCGTATCATGCCCCAGGAGCTCATCGTACGCGATCATAGCCCTTGGCTGAGTAGTCTTCGGTCGGCACTACGTCTGCTCATCATCGTCCTCAGCGGCGCCGTCGCGGGTACCCTCATACACACTCTTGAGATATATCGTGGCAACATCTCGCTGGACCTCCGCCATGGCGAGCTTCCGATGACATGGCCTGCGAGAACGAACCTCTGGCCTACATTGGTGCTGTTTACTGTTGCCGCTGCCAACTTTGTCGCGTCCGTCGCAATCACGGCTACGTCCTTCAAGTCCTTTCGCCGACCCGTCCGTTCGCGCGATGCGTATCGGATCATTGCTGGCAGCCTCGGAGTTGTGTTGTGGGCTACCGCTTTGGCGGTTTTCCATTTGCTCGATAAGTCGAGCAAGGCCAGCCTTGGCCGGTACGCCTGTACAAACCGCAACGTCATGAGCAATGGTCGCTTCCAGTACCGCGCAGTGTGCTCAGAACAGGTATGAACACAATAATAGCTCTAGGAACTGCCCTGGGAGACCTCCTAACACGTCTCAGGCTCTTGCTTTCTACCTCGCCATTGGCGCCGCCTCCGCCGAAGCGCTGACGCTCCTGACACTTGCCGTAACTGCTCTACAAACCAGGAGAGAGAGATCCGCAATCATAAACCTGGACGAGAAGAAGTCATTCGACCAAGAATTCCAGCGGCGCTACCCCTAACACCACTTTAATACTCGTCCGCAGACGCCTACCACCTTTCTGCTCTTTACATTTGTATGATTATTGCCTTTATGTCTCTGCATGATACCCAGGATTTCACATTTTTGTCTTATTATTCTTTGCGCGGTATAAAGCATAGGCGACGTCGTTCTTCTAGCGTTTGAAGCATCGCTCTGATTTTCTCAAAGCCATTTCGTTTTTCTCTTCTTCTCCAAATGCATTACCGCATCCACATCGTTGGTGTAGCATGACCAAACATTTGCTCCTACTCGCAGTTCATGATATCTACCATAAGCGCTTTAGACGGGTTGGAAACATGCGAATTGTCGAAGTTGTATAGCATTGCGCGATTCTCAATACTCCATATGTAACGCTGCGACAGTGAAGCAGTCAACCTTGTATTTCACAAAAGCCATCTTGGATTCATTTGAACCTTTTCTTCTTGTTGTTTTATTCTCTGTCCTTGCTTATTTCCTTTGTCTAGTATACAATATTTCTTAAACTGTTCTCCATCTACATTCAACTGCCGTACTGTTCACAGCACTTGCTTTTTCCCACCGGTCGAACGATTATATGAGGAGCTTACATCACCTTATCTCACCTATGTCATAATCTCTGGTTTTGGATCCAACCATGTTCCCTGTCCTCGAAACGCGACCTGCATGTCTCAGCCTCGACTCAGCCGAAACTCGTTGGACCACTTCCGCTTCCTCACCGGTGCCTCCAACATCGCAAACTGCGTTTGCTGCCTCAGCCCGTTTTATGCGCCACCCGTGCCGCCGCATGTCTCAGAGGGCTGAAAAGACCACGTTCGGTCGCTTCGTGTGGCTGGAGCCTGCACACTGAGCAACTGGGCGTCTGCGCCTGTGCCTGCGCCGCAGTGGGGTGGCTATAGAGTCCATTCTGAATGCTGTGAGAAGGATCGCCTCGAGGCACGGAGACAATCCTAAGGAGCGGTGCGCAGTCCGAGTTCACCTGGTTGAGGCTCTGCGGCGCGGTGGGTCGTGGCATCTTTTCCCTCTGCCACTGCAAGACTGTCACTGCGCACGCCCTCACTGGACCTCTTGGCATACTGGAACCATGGCATGAGGCTATCTCCGACGCTATCATCATCGGCGGATGCCTGCTTCCTCATTTTCGGCATCTCGGCAACTATGAACCACTCCAATACGCGCTGGGCACGGCCTTTAAAGGAGGAACAATCAGATGTCGATCGAGTTCTCACACGCTGCATAACCCCTCTTCAAGAGCGCTTCCGCAGTCATCATCGATGGCGGAGTTGATTCTTGGCGAAGAATTCTGTGGACCGCCGATGTCAGGACCTTGGGTGGGGTTGGGATGGGAGATTATGCAATCTCATTTCCGCTGAGAGCGCCTGCGTATCCTGCTATGTAAAATAGGAGTAATAGTCGTAGTTGTAGTAGTAGTAGTGCTAATGCATACTCTCATAATGTACAGCCAAGGACTTGCAAGTGAGAATTGATGAAGTACTACGATCGCAATACATCCGAACTATGAATGTACTCACTTTATTAAGCCTATGAGATGGACTCATCCTTCTTCGGCCCTCATTAAAAAAGTACAATCTAGAATGTCTACGGGTATCTCATCTGCATTGCACTCAACCAAGACGATGCCAGCGTGGAATCCAGCATCGTGAGAAGATGACGTAACCACCTTGTTCATTACTGCTCTCTCAACTCCCCTGTGCATTACCGAATTAAGAACGTACTGTATACCTGATTCCCCTTTTCTCCGGTTATCGCTTCTTGATGGACTAAACTCCAGGCGCATAGTACTCCCTCGCCTGCCTCGGCGGCGGTGCATAATACCCTTCCAAATCCGGTTGAGGAGGAGTTTGAATTTGAGTCTGAGTCTGAGTCTGAGGTCTAACAGGTGGAGCGGTTTGATACTTCTGCGCACCTCGACTCGACTGCGCCGCTGCACCGCCTTGGCTTCGCTCCTGCTGTTGTTGCGGCTGCACTGGACCGGATAGGGACATCGACACATCTTGCGAGGAAGCCATGTCTCCGCCTTCCCCCCTTCCAACAGCAGCACTCTTCTTCCGCCTCAACTTCCCCAACAACCCGCCTTTCCGCCCTCGCTCACTCCCATCAGCAGCTTGCACACCCGGATCCAGTCTCCGCCCCGTAACGGGATCCCTACCCGCCGCCCGTCGTGCCTCCGCTAGGAAATCTGCGTCCCTTTCTTCATCGTAATCGCTGTCGTCCTCGGCGGTGGGGATCTGTTCAGATGCTATCTCCGGTGCGTCTGCGGGTGCGGGGGCAGGCGCAGGCGCAGGTGCAGCAGGCGCATACCGATACGCGTGATGGTAGCGGTACGTGAAACTGCTGTATGGGTTGGGCTTGGAAGGGCGCGGGTCGTGGTCGCGGAAGTAAGTTTTCACGGTGTACCATGTTCCTCCCATTTTCCTTCTCTTTTTTTCCTTAATTTCTTTTTACTTTTTTAGGTAGGAGTATGGCTAGTCGTGTGTCTTGGTTCTGCCAATGCTAGCTCTTCACCGGATTTAATGATTTGTGTGCTGAAGGGTGCTTGGAAGTCTTTGCTGGTTGCGGAGAAAGAGGAAGGGAGGGTGATGGTGATGATATTCTTGTTGGTATTCGCAGGAATTTGGGGTCTTGTTATAGGATCGCGATTCTCGTGGTGGGAGCTTTTATAGCGCTTACCGGAATCTTCTCACGATATTTAATTCAGGGGCCGAAATCTTGCAGGGGGGATAGGAAAGTCAGCAGAGAAGCGGAGGCATTACGACGGAGAATTCGTTGATGTAGATTTTGGACTTGTTGACGTTCGCGACTTCGGTGTCGCAGCGATATATGTCCTTTTGAAGCACGGTGTGAGGTATTCTTGCGGTTGAAGTTAATCATGGATGCCTGGCGGATCTCTGGGTATATCGTTCATGGTGAAGTCGTGAAGTAAATTAACCGGTTTTGGACACTAGCTTGGTTCTGCCTACACAGTAATAGGTCAGATCGCCAACTTGAACCAGAAAAGACAAATAGGCATACTGGTACCTACACTGTATATTTCATCTAGCTCAAATAATTAGTCGTACAGGCCGCAACAGGAAGTGGGTTGTGTATGTAGTTAGATATGAGGACCAAAACGCTGCTTGAGGTAACTGTGTAACAAGTTTTGAGTAATAAGGCGTCTGGTTCATACGAGTCAGGCATCGCACCTCGCATAGCCCTGGGTGGGACTGACAGACAGGCCCTGGGACGTCCTTATAAAAGAACTGGTAGCGGAAACAGTTTGCGATAATGTCTTCCGGTGCACGCAATGCCATGAGCATTTTATACCACTGGTCGCACTTGTCGAGCTTCTGGACTTCGGCTTCAGGGTCTATATCTTCCCTTGAACTTTGCCAGGGCAAACTGGACCATTGCGTACCCAACGTCTAACATGGTGCATCCGGTACTTTCCTGTCCCTGGGATTAAACACGCAGGAAAAGTGCGGGCAAAGGGCTTGTCTCCCTCCTGTTCCGCCGTATCGGGACGTAGGGCCTCTTCTGACGGGATAAAGCATAGTAGGTAGCGCGTAGATTCCCTTAGACAGAAATGGTACACGTCCTTGAAATCCCATGCTTTAGTATAGAGGAATTCGGTACGTCGGTAGCCTGTGCTGCAGACGCGGTCAAGCGACGTTGATCGCATCCTGAGTTCAACCGTCGTTCGTACAGATGATTCCTGAAGCTTGGCCTCAGTCCCCGACCAACAAGCAACAGCGTGCAGAGACAGAGGTTGTCCTGGCAATCCGTTAAGATTTGCACCAAGGCTTCGCCTACGGACAGGGAGTAGTCCGCCTTATTCAATATCTTTTGCTCCTCGGGACTACACAGAGTCAGCTACGAGTAAACAGGATCCAAATTTTTACACACTTTTTATCGATGAATCGCTGGAGAAGGGTGAGCAGACTTGGGCCTTGAAGTATGCCGGCAGGGGCGGGGCCATACTGTTGATGCACAAGTGATCTGGGAGCCACTCATACTCTAGCTCTTCTTCAACAGCCACGGGTAGCAGGTGCGTTCTGAGTGCACTTCGGCAACTCAGAGCAAGCCATCACTGCTACCTTCTTCCGCATATTCGTCCGTTTCTTCCTGGTACAAGGAAGTCATATTTGTAAGATGGCAGTCTCGGTTCTTCATTAGATCCGATATTGGTCCAGTTGTGCTGTCCGTTGATCCTTCCATCCGGATGATGTTGGTCCGCGAATCTGAACAGAAAAAGATACGAGCTTGGATCGCTGAGCATAGAGACGGGATGGCTTAGCTTTCACTAGTTAGGTCGTGGGCTGAAAACAAGGGCGGCGTCAGGTTCAACAACTCATCTGCAGCCCACGGCCGGTGAATGTAGCTTACCTACCAATTCTGTTTGCCTGAAGTTGGCCCTCATTTCAACACCATGCATAGTTATAGAAGCACCATACCTCGTCGTCAATGCCTTAAAGGGTATTTAAGAAAGCATAAAGTGTATCATCTGTAGAAGAGATCTCGCGGAGCGGCTGGAGGGACGAGGGAGAGGAAGTTGGGAGATGTGAACCTGCTGACAAATTATCGCCAGGGCATAGCTTCAGCCCCAGATAAATCAGTCATTTGGTGATCTACTTGGAGACAATGAACATGTTAGCGTGGTGATGGCTTGATGGATCTGAGGTAGGGTATCTTTTCCGCGCTATGCCTAATCAGGTTTAGCATTCATCCGAAGCATACCCGGGGTAGGTATCGACAACCCAACGGACGAAACTCTCTCCCATAGTCTGTACCTGACTATCTATTGGACAATATATGGGGTGTCTGTGCTGTCCGAATTATTCATGTTATACAAAATAACACGTGATCACGCGTTTTGACTCACGCGCTCTGGCTTCGTATATGCATCTATGCTGTTCGTCCGAAAAACCTCATCCAAGCTCCACCTCGCTGCCACGCCTAGGGACGGACCGCTCATGCGCAGCAATCATTCCTATCATACAGTTCGACGCGGAGTCAAAATGAAGCCGACTATTCGGATTCGTCGCATTCCTTGCTGAATATTATGATTACACGCTTCATCGTTTGCCTCGGCGGACTTCCATGCGAATGTTGAAGTCATAGCTCTTTGTAGTATTTAAACCTCAGAACGCTCCCGTGGAGGTCTTAATTCTCAAACGCAACAACACCCTCCTACACCTCCTCACACCAGAACCATCAAGACTTTGTGCGTACAAGCGAAACGATCGATGCAACTTTTTCAATCCTAACTCTACGCCAGCCCAACATGTCCACTTCCACGGAGCGATCTCTCGAAGGCGGTTGCCTTTGCAAGTACATCCGCTACCGCCTCACAGGCGACCCTCTCATCGTCCAATGCTGCCACTGCACATGGTGCCAGCGCGAAACCGGCTCCGCCTTTGTCATCAACGCTCTCTTTGCCAGCGAACACGTCACCCACCTAGGCGGCGAACCCAATGTCATCTCTACCCCAACCGCGAGCGGCAAGGGACAAGAAATAGCACGATGCCCAAAGTGCTACGGAGCGGTGTGGTCGAATTACGGGGGAGCAGGACCACTGCTACGATTCGTGCGCGTGGGAACGTGGGATAGCCCGCATGAAGCGACTCCAGAAGTACATGTTTTTACTGCGTCCAAGGTGCCCTGGGTGGAACTCCCAAAGGATGTACCCGCTTACGAGGGGCCTTATGACGCGGGCAAAGTGTGGTCTAAGGAAGTTGATGAGAGAAGGCATGCTATGATGGAGAGGATTCAGGCACAAAGGGCTAAGCAGGAGCCATAGCTTTAGCTTAACCAGTTGCATGAAGCTGGTTTCAATGTTATGTTGGATTGCTAGCTTCTCTGTTTTACTAGAGTACCTCTATGTCCGGGAACTTCTGACTCCGAAGCCCTTTTTTTTATCGCACCTTCGACGAATCCCACGCCGCTACGATCCACGTTTTTAACTCCTTCCCAGGTTCCTTGATATATAGGACACGAAGCTACCACTCGTAGAATATAGGTCTTGAGGTCCTAGAGTAGCTAGAGGACAAGGGTCTTGGTTGGATTTCGCAGATGGAAGTAGGGTAGGATACACTGAGTGTATAGTAGAGAGTAGACCGAATTGACCTGGCCGTAGTGACTTAACAAATTAAATAAGCTGGAGATTTTTATCAATCTCTAACCTCTACGTGTGATAACTTTATACAGCACCCTCGGGATTGAAAGTCCAAAGAAACGAGACGCATCTTCCATATCGTGGCAATACTGGTCGACTCTACCTTGAATAGTAGCGCAGAATTACATTACAGAGCTTGCTGTAGTCTTCGAGCTGGTGTTAGTGTCGGCAAGACGGCATTTAAGTATATTGCAGAGAGAACGTGTTAGCCACATTTATCCGTAATCTATAGATCCCGTACATCAGCGGAACAGATGACTACGCTAGGTCGAGCCACCATTCAAATTTGATATGGAGGACAAGTGCCTAAGCAAACCTGTTACAGTGGATATAGCACGTGATCCTGCAGGTCTCCTGTACATAAAGCTCCCGCTAGCTACCCTTATACGATCAACTCAATCCCTTGTAAGCTGGGAGCCTCGGAGCGCCTCCTGCTCACAAAACCAGCGCAAACGCAAGCTGTACACGAGTCTAATATATCCCTTTAATTGTTTCCTTACGCGGCAAAGTTCCTCGGCAGTTCACCCTTAGCCGCTTTGCCACTGTTTCACCTGCGCAGTTATGCTCGAAATAGTAACGCAGTTGAAATCTCGCTGTCGCTCACTCGGCGCGACGTCTGTTAAATGGAGAATGTCGTTCTACCTTCCAGCAATCTTAGCTTGCGATTACGCTCTCGCACACTGCTTGTAGAAGATGAACGATGAACGAATAGTCGGTCGTCGCAATTGGCTTAGCACTTACAGTATTGGATACAAGATAGCCACCGGCTCCGAACCCATGTACCGGTTGTGGAGTCTCTGTATACCTGTGACGATCTCCACGGTAGCGTGATCCCCTGGTATAACCGAAAGGACGCTCAATTGGTTGACAGTGCAATAAGAGACAATTCGGGGTGAAGGATACTAATCTATCCTGCCAGATACTCCGAGTTGGCATATTGCAAGATCGGGGACATTACCCTAGGGTAAACCATGTCAAAATATATAGATACGCACACGTACAATGAGCATACATCGCTGCTCCAACGTCGTCCAGAGCCTTTGCAAGATCCACCGGCGGCATCCAAGATGAAGCTCGCACTTCCCCTCACGCTCTTGTCGCTATGTGAGTCTCATTCACACCAGAGACCCTAGGACATCCCAGCTCATAACCTAGCAGTCGCGCCCGTAACCCTCGGCGCCCCTAGCACCTCTACCCTCTCCAAACGCCAGACCAACGTCCCCCTGCGCATCCTCCCCCTGGGTGACTCCATCACCTATGGCTATATGCAGGGCCAATCCACAAACGGCTACCGCCAGGAACTTCGCGAGAAGCTCATCGCAGCAGGCAAAACTGTCGACTTCGTCGGCACCCTCCGCTCCGGCAACATGGCCGACAACGAGAACGAGGGCCACTCCGGCTGGGTCATCAGCCAGGTCAGGGGCGTTATCCAGCCAGCCATAGCGCTGAAGCCCAACGTCGTGCTCATCCATCTCGCGACCAATGACTTGAACCGCGGCAACAATCCCCCGGAGCCAGATGCACAGGCGCCGACGAGGCTGGGGGCGCTGATTGATGATATCCTGGCGAAGTTGCCGAATGCGGCGATTTTTGTGGCCAAGATTGTGCAGACGACTAATGGCGGGTTGCAGCAGAAGTTCAATACGTATAACGCTGCGATTCCGGGCGTGGTCAAGGCGAGGACAGATAAGGGGTTCAAGGTGTTCGTTGTTGATCAGAGTGTTGTTGGTGGGAGTGAGCTGAGTGACTATTTGCACCCGTGAGTACTGTCTTATAGAGATTTGAGAGGACTGGCTAACGTTGTATAGGAATGCGGCTGGATATAAGCATATGGGTGATATCTGGGCTGCTGCTGTGCTTAACAACACTGCGAGCATTACTGCGCCACCTTCTTGATAGCTACAATGTGACTTGAAAGGTTTGGAAAGCTACTCAATTATGATTCAGTTTCGCAACATAACTGTTATATTGCTCGTGCTCTGATACTATTCTGCAATAGAAGGTAATGTCGTGCTTTTGATGAAAGAAAAAATATATGCTTGGCTCCATTTGATTACACTAACCTTTTATCTTACTTGTCACTGCCTTTAAGTCATAAGCTCTGCAGCTTTCACTGAAATTATACCGCTAAGGCGTAAAGCTACGGGCGCGAATTTGAGATAGTGAACGTCTTAGGAAGGATGAGCAGCTGAGAAGATTGAATACCACGCATGATTAACTGTTGCAGCGATATGCTATTAAGTATACTTGCTGATCTCTGGTAGGCGCAATTCTGATTAGAAGGTGAGATGCTGTCAGAGTATCTGAAGTGACGCGACTCAGTATGCTACTTGAAGAGCCCTAGTCACTCTATTTGGCGGTCCTAGTTCATGCAATTTCCACCAACCAGGTCCCGACTACTCCTAGAATCCCTTGCCCCAACCGATGGATGTTTCAAAACGTCGCCATTTCTCCGATCCGCTTTTACAAAGGCATCTTGAAGCTTTGCAAAGAAAAGGAATTTCTCCTCTCAAGCTTCCGTAGTTTGAAACCGAAGGCGGAGAATTAGATTAAACAGCTCAAAGCAGGAATGAAGCCGAGGGCAATATATGTAGACGCCATGTACCACTTCGCCAGATCTACTGCATAGAGACCTGTTAACAGTTCCGAACCCAACTATTCTACTGGTCCTCACAAAATGCGTCTCTATTTCCCACTCTTCTCCCTACTTTCCGTGGCCCTTGCCGCAGGCAGAACCTCCCCTCCCTCCGGCTGTCTCGTCGTCAGCAAAACCGCTTCATCTGGCCAATACAAGACAGTGCAATCCGCCGTCAACGCCCTCAGCACAACCAGCACCTCCCCTCAATGCATCTTCATTTACCAAGGCACCTACAATGAACAAGTCTACATCCCCTCGCGAAAAGCCGCCCTGACGATCTACGGCTATACAACAGACACATCGACCTACACCGGCAACACCGTCACCATCACCCAAAAGCTCAGCCAGGACGACGTCGCCAACAACGACCTGACAGCTACTCTGCGCGCCCACTCGGCCAACTTCAAACTCTACAACGTCAACCTGGTCAACACGCGGGGCCAGGGGTCGCAAGCCCTCGCACTCAGCGCCCAAGCCGACAAACAAGGCTACTACGGCGTCCAGTTCCACGGCTACCAGGATACGGTTCTCGCCAACACCGGCGCGCAATTGTATGCCAAGTGTCTTATTGTCGGCGCGACGGATTTCATCTTCGGTCAGACTGCGACGGCTTGGTTTGATAGGGTCGATATTCGCGTGCTGGCTGCTTCGATTGGATATATCACTGCTAATGGACGCGACTCTGAGTCCAACCCTTCGTTCTACGTCATCAATAATAGTAATGTTGCTGCGGCGTCCGGGAACTCGGTTAAGGCCGGGACGTACTACCTTGGGCGGCCGTGGAGGAATTACTCTAGAGTTGTGTTCCAGAGGACGAGTCTGTCGAATGTGGTGAACGGGGAGGGATGGAAGGTTTGGGGAAGTTCGGATCCAAGGACTGATCATGTCTATTACGGCGAGTATGCGAATACGGGGGATGGGGCAAAGGGAACGAGGGCGGCGTTTGCGAAGAAGTTGGCGAGTCCGGTGGCCATTGAGACGGTCTTGGGGAGTGGCTATCAGAGTTGGGTGGATAGGTCGTACCTCTCGTAGATATTCGCAAGGTAGCGTTTGTTTGCACCGGTATTCGGACCTCCAGTTCGCAGCTTGCGAGAAACTTGTGACTTAGGGATCATCTAAGCATTCCAGACAATGGTCCAATGATACCGTGGTCTTATAACTTCGCCTTGATCGGAGCAAATGTCGTCCCTTCACCTTTCCCTATCGCTTCCACAATTTCATCCACCTTCTGCAATATCCATGTACATCCCTCATCGCTCACAAGCCACCTAATCGCCTCCTCTTCGCCTGCGTCCGGCTCAGTCCGCCAAGTTCCGTCATCCCAAGCTTTCCGCAAACCGAAAACATGGCTCAAGACCTGTGGCCCTACACCCTGCTGAGCCCGCAGACATGCAATCGCTATTATGCTTGTTGTTATGCGTCCTACATTTGCGCCGGTCGTGCGAGGTGGATCGCTGAACAATGCGCCATACCCACCGCTGAGGATGTACACGGGAAGATCTGGATGTGTGTCTGCTAGTTTGGCCTCCAGCTTCTTTTCCAGTGGGCGGTATATGGAGTCCCATAACTTGCGGCCGCGCTCCTTTATTGCTTCTATATTGGATGGTGTGGGTTCTCGGGTGGGTGTGGTGGAGAGCGAGGAAGCGACAGAGGGTGGAAGTTGCGCTTTGAATTCGTTGAGCATGTTGATGGTTCGAGGTATCTCATAGGCGTTAGTTTAAGGCAGAAGGGTTTTGTGAGACCATCAATGCATACCCCATTGAACCCTATGCACTTCAATCCCACCTCCCGCATCAGCTCCGCTATTGCGACTGCCTCGCTTGTAGCTTTCGACGCCCGTGCAACATTAAACAATGCCACCATTGAAGCTGGGGAATTCATCGTCATTGTTGCCGCTGTGGATAGGGCAAGCCATGACGGCCGCCCGAGTTTCCGTGTGGAGGCTTCTCGTTCGATCTTGGAGTATAGTGCGTCGATGTTATGCGGTGCGGGAGTGATTCCGGGGCGTGCATGGGCGGCGTTTATGAGGCCTTTGAGGCTCGGCGAGAGTTTCGACATTAATACAGATTGTCTTTTGAGACTATCGGGAAAGAGACTTGTTATGACTGTGTCGTGATGTTGCTGAAAGTCTAATGCGGAGCGACCTGGCTGTAATCAAAATGAGATCGGGTGGGATATATTGACAGAAATACAATGAACTAAAGATCAACGAAATCCACAACAAATATTTCTCGTGTCATAGATCAAAAGGATTGTAACCTCCAAAATGAACGATTGTCAAAAACGCCGTGCTCGAGGCATTCATCTGCTGATGTTAACGCACTTCCGCATTACCGAGGTGTTCCGATTCTCCCGACTAGTGACTCGTCATGTGACCACACTTAAGCACTTTACCGTTCCGGACTGTCATAATTTGAACGGAATAGACAAATCCGCCTCCGACGAGGCAATCCACCTTCAGATGCGCATTTGGTTTTTTCAAGGGCGAGCTGGAGTGAATGAAGAGAGGTTGAACCAAGCGTCATAAGCTCAGGGCTATTCCTTTTGTGTAAAGTTTACTAACCAGAAACAGAGTGCGCCAAGCCCTGCGTTGTGAGAGAAATCGACGTTCAACACATAGCATTTCGTTCACTCAAGTTATATTCCATTACCACTCCATGCTCCGCTCTCAATGCAACATTACTAAAGAGGATAGACAGCAAACCTCTCACCTTCAGGCGACATTCCATGACAATTTGGACTTGACATCGACCCGACATCTATGTACCCCAGCAATCTCGGATTGATTACATCGGGTATGAAGCCGCTTCGCTATATTACCGGCGATGTCCACAGATCGTAGTGTGCATTTGTGATTTGCACATGTCGAGCGCTTAGCCGCCTACGCTGCGTGGCGACAATAACGAACTGATGTCACGTACCGCGGTGACGTTGATTTGACTCTACCATCTAGCGTCGCAGTCCTACCTGTCCAATGCCATCCATAAACCTTATACCCGGTTCCTGCATCGGCAGAATGGAAATTCTCCGTTATTCGTTCCACTTGCGCACGGTTCCAAGCTCGTATATCGAAAGTAAAACCTGTTGGCTACATACTACCTAACGGCAGAGCATAGACAGAGAGGACTTGCCACCTCAATATTCCGTTTATAGTTGGGATCATCTGCTCCTCACTTGGCTGTGGATCTCTAGAGCTCTTTTCTCTCATTTTGCTGAGGGTTTGGCAGATTCGCGTTTTTGTTATGCCACCTTAAGCCCGTCATTTCATTCGTTCCTTGGTGCAGTCCGTCACGCCCGTCACGATGAGGCTTTCTCTTCCTTTCATATTACCGGTCTTAGGGTTCTTATCTCTACCAGCCCATTCAAGCAGTTTATTCCCGTTCGAGAAAATACAATTGACTCGAGAACACATAGAGAGCCTACCGGACGACCAAGCTAAACTCTTCGCCTTTGGAGGTCAATTTGACGAGAACTCAGCACAAGCACAGGAAACAGCGAACGCAGCAGCTCGATGTCGTTACACGCCATCCGACGGGAAATGGCCCTCCACTAAGGCATGGCAAAATCTCGCCAAGCAATTGAGTGCAGAGAATGTCCTCCTCAAGCCCACTCCTCAGTCCGTGGTGTGCTATCCGGGAACAGCGGAGAACAAAGCCAAGTGCCAGGATGTGACGAAGAACTGGAGCAATTCACATGTCCAGACGAACGACCCGATTGAAGTCCTGTCGCCCGTTTTCCAAGGCCTGACATGTACACCTCCTACTATATTCAATAGTGGAAACTGTACGCAGGGAGGATACCCGACCTATGTCATTAACACAAAGACCGTATTGGATATTCAGCTCGGCATCAATTTCGCTCGCAATAATGGACTGCGACTTGTTGTTAAGAACACTGGGCACGACTTCACGGGAAAATCTGCTGGTGCCGGAGCGCTGAGCTTGTGGACGCATGGCCTGAGAGATTTGGAGTTTATCAAGAATTATGTTGACGGAAGCGGATATAAAGGCCCGGCGATTAAGGCGGGTGCAGGCGTCCAGGCATTTGAACTCTACAAGTTCGCCAATGAAAAAGGAGTGGTGGCTGTAGGCGGCGAAGGCCAGGTACGTTCGTTATCTTGCGTACCAGTTCGTAGCTAAGACCGCCCAAGACAGTAGGGATCATGGGTGGTTACATCCAAGGAGGCGGTCACTCTCCCCTCAGCTCTTTATTCGGCATGGCAGCCGACCAGGTACTCAGCCTCGAAGTTGTTACTCCCACCGGCGACTTCGTCACTGCAAACGCAACCAGCGAACCTGACCTCTTCTGGGCCCTCCGAGGCGGCGGCGGAGGTACCTTCGGAGTCGTCACATCCGTCACTATCAAAGCCTTCAAAGACATGCCCGTAACCGCCGCCTCCTGGAGTCTCTCCAGCACCACTCTCGGCAAAGACAAGTTCTGGGCAGCCGTCAAGGCCTACATGGATCTCATTCTCTCTCACGTCGACGCCGGCACTTATAGCTACTATACCCTTTCCCCCGTCGGCAAAGACTTCTCCTTCGCAATGCAACCCTTCTTCGCCCCCAACCAAACAGCACAACAGGTGAACTCCCTACTCCGCCCCTTTTTCTCCACCCTCACAGCCCTAAATATCCCCTTCTCCCCCAAAATCACAGAATACAAATCCTTCTATCCCGCATGGCAAGCCGAATTCCCCCTGGAGCCCCAGGGTGCTGTCTCGGGCGCCCCGGGATCGCGTCTCTTCCCGCGCTCCAACTTCGCCTCCGAAACCGGACGGAACATCACCTTCAATGCGATCAAGCAGATGGTGGAAACGGGACATTCAATTCTTGGCTTCCACATGGCGCCCACGCTTGCCCGAGGCGGGAATGTCGACAACGCCGTTAATCCCGCCTGGCGCAACGCAGTCATGCACGCAATCGCCTTACTCAACTGGCCAGTCCCGTCGTCGCCTTCGTCCATCTTATCGTCGTGGAATGCCTTCTCCAAGCAGACGCTGCAGAAGTGGAGAGATATTACACCCGGCTCGGGCGCGTATTTGAACGAAGCGGATCGGTTGGAGCCGAATTGGCAGCAGAGTTTTTGGGGGAGCAAGTATGCGAGGTTGTTGGAGATTAAGCAGGCGGTTGATGTGAAAGATGTGTTTTGGGCGGCTAACGCGGTGGGGAGTGAGGGGTGGGTAGTGGAGACTGTAGATGGGCTGCCTGGGGAGAATGGGAAGTTGTGTCGGGTTAATGGGACGGTGACTGCGGTGGGAGAGGTATAGTGTTAGGTATGGCCAGTACGAGCGGCTGCGGGTGGGAGACGGGGTGAACGAGAAAGAGACTGCGGGGAGGATGTGAATGATGTACAACTCTCCATAGACAAAAAGACGGAATACAACGGCAACATAGATAACAATCGATGATTGATCATCTACCCCGATCCCTAAGATTACTGGCCCAAGAATATGATCCGCCTCTCTAGGCCCAAGTGCCCTCACGAATGCCCAAGTTGCAGCCACCACTAACGCCAACGCAATGCGCAAAAGCCCCAATCCTAGAAGTCCTCACATCCCTCACTCAAAATGATCCGCTTTCTTCTCCTCCTCCCTCTCCCTCTCTAATCCGGGAGTCAGCCCCGCTAGATCCGTCGCCGGCGCTACCGCCCCAATCAACGACCTCCGATGCATCCTGGGACTCTTATCCAGCGTCTCCGTCTCCTCAACCACGACACTCTCCTCCACCTCCTCCTCCGCCCCCTCCTCACTTTCCAGTCCGCGAATCGACATCCGCAGACCCAGAATCTGCTGCCTCAACTCCTCAATAAACTCGCGCATCTGCGCAAACGGAATCTTCACAACCCCGTCGTCGTACCCACCCCTAGCTCCATACAACCCCATCGCAACATCGAGACACTTCTCCGCCTGCAAAGACTTTCCAAGCCGGAACCAGGCCTCGGCCGCCAACACGGCGAAGAACGCTGCTTTGCGTAGCCGCGAACCCATGCGATGCGCTCCCACCCCTTTGCGGATCGCATAACAGGCAGCCACGCGCTCCGTAAACAGCGCGTTCCCCACAGGCCCCACGAGTCCCATTTCCAGGATCCTGGAGGCCCACCTGGCGGCATCGTCGGCGGCCGACGCACCCCTCAGGCGCAGGAGTTCCAAACTAAGCGCCAATGTGCGGAGGGCGTAATACGGTGCTGCGCTGCGGTCGCGGTCCGTGTAGCTGTAGGAAGCAGCTTCGATCCAGGTATCTATATTTTCCGTTCTGGTTTTACTAGTCAAGGGTCCCGTGGACATGAGCGCGGACAAGGCGGCCATTTCGGCGGCGCCGGCGTAGTGCCGCCAGGCTTTGTCGTTGTTGAAATCGGTGCGGAGAATATCGTAGGTTGAGAGGGCTAGCTTCCAGTCTCTTAGCATGAAGCTGTAGTCTGCCAGTTTGCGCATGATGGCTTCGGGGGCGTCGGGGCGGTAGAAGCCCTGCAGGGAGTCGTAGTTTGTGTTTGAGGAGCCTAGGGCGGGAGAGGAGCTGTTGCGGCTGGAACCAAAGGGCGTCCAGCGTTTGGAGAGGGACATGAAGCGGCCAGAGATGCCCCGGCGGCGGGCGAGGACTTGCTCGTTCCACGTGGCGACGTGGCGTTCCATTTGGGGGACGATAGATTGGGCGACGAGTTCGCGGACGAAGGTGCGGATGGCTGTAATGTCGGACTCGGGGATATACGGGGTGGGGTCTGTTATGTCGTCGGCGGTTTCTGGGAGAGGGTTAGTTGAGGTGGAACTGGGGAATGTGAAGATGGGCATACCTCGCTGTTGGATCTCTGCCAGCTCCTCTGCAGAGGACATCCACTCGCAGGTAGGGAGCCGCACGCTGTCATCGTCGGACGGGATGCATTGCTGGCTCTTCAATCTTAATAGATGGCAGTTCAAGCCAAAATGCCGCTTCATTTGATCAAATACTTGATTGGACTTTGCGATATCTCCCGTCTCCTCTTCGTGAACGAGCACATAATAGCGTAGATATTCGTTATCCACCCATGGGGGTGGCCGAAGCTCGCCCTCGCGCTGCTTCGCGTAGAGCCTCCTAAACTCTTCGGTGGGATTCGGATTTCGAGAGCTGACTGCAATGACGCTTGCGACGGGGTGAGCGAAAGTCTCATGGGGTACTAGGGGCAGTCCGGAGAGCAAGCGCCTAAGGTAGAGAGTATAGAAGGGAGAAGAATTTGCTTCGGGGGCGAGAGTATGGGGTTCCCCAGGAATGCCCGAGGCAGCGGTATGGGCGTTGAACTCGAAGTACTGCAAATGGCGATCCACCACCTCTTCAACCTGCGCTACATTTCCTCCTATACTCCTCGGGCGCATTGAGGTATGTGACGTCCGACTAGGATCCTCCAGACTATTCCGCGCAGTTGCCGGCAAGCTAGCAAGCCCTGAACCAAGATGTGCTCCCACGAAGCGTATGCCGAAGTCCGCATGGCTCTTACTGGCACCTATACTGTCTCTTATCGTGATCTTTCCAGGTACAGTCTCCCCAAACGGGCGCAGAAGCTGCAGCAGTCCCCCTTCGATACCCTTCCCTCGTATCATGGTCTCCGTTTCTACATCGGCCACAACAGCGACATGCGGCACAAAGGCACGCTGTATGAGAATCCTGTATTCATCCGAGACTCCCGGTTGTAAACTGGACGGCGTACCCGTGCCATTCTGTCGCGATCCTGGGGATAAAGCGGCAGGCGGAGCGGAGGCGGGAGTGGGCGTTGCAGTGCCAGAGCTCGGGCGCGAGCCCGCGAGCGATGAGGTCGATTCGAATAGCTTGTGCAGAGAGGGATTGGATCGGCGGTAGGGTAGCGACGTAAGGGACGAAGCAGGCGATGCGCGCTGTTTGGGGAGGATCACGGAGGCTTCGAGGTCGGCATACTTTGGCGGTCTCGGAGTAGCATCTTGCAGTGGGTTCATGGGCACGGGGAGCGCGGGCGAGCCGCCCTGGGAGATGATGTTGGGCGCGTAGGAACCGGGTTCGCGGGCATGTATTCTAGCAGGCGTACGACATTACTAGGAGAATGGTGGAGGGTGGAATGCGGCAGCGAGGTGAAGGTGCAGTCTGACGAGGTGTCGTGGTGTTTGTCTTTCCCGACTGGTGGGGGACCCAAGCTTTACCTAGGTATCATCAATCTTCACAGATGCACGACTTTCAATTGACACCAATCAATATACAATGTCGTTTCTGCTGTGAGCTTCCAGAAGCGTGCGTGGAAATTCACAAGGCTCATGCAGAGCGCTCTCATCGATCCTTGATTGACCTGGATGTGGGCCAACCGATTTTGCTCACCGCGGATTCTCTCTTTGCGGATTAAACGTGACCTCCGTACAGTCACATCATTCACCCTTCACCCTACAGCTTTCTGCACTTGGATCCTTCCCGCTTCGTGCCGTATGTCGACGGAAGCACGAGACGAGCCGATCCCCAAACGTCGCAAAATCTGCAACTCACCGAAGCTGCCCTCTGTAAAGCTCTTTTCAACCACGGCATCCCCAGCAACAATGAATCAAACCACCCTGGAATTGACCGAAGTCGAAACAAAGTTACGCCAGTTGCTCCTCGATGTTGCTGCCTACATTGACGAGAGTGTTGGCACTGGGCCCATCGAGAGTGCAGTCAAGGTCCCTGATGAACTCGCTCACGAAAAGGTTGTACTCCGCTTCACCGGAGGATGGGTGCGAGACAAGCTGCTCGGCGTCGGTAGCCAGGACATCGACGTTGCCATCAATAAGATGACCGGAGAGCATTTCGGATTGAAGATGCTGGAGTATCTGGACATCCCTGGGAACGCCGCCAAGTACGGCCTAGAAGAGAGAGCGGAGAGCCCAAAACCGAACGAGAGTGATTCAAAGCCCAAAGCAGAGAATGGGAAACCAAAGAAAGAGAACGGGAAGTCGGAAGCAAGGCAGAAGAGCAGGAAGGTTGGCATCGGCTTGACCAAGATCCAAGCGAACCCGGATAAGTCCAAGAATCTTGAGACAGCTACAACTAAGATCATGGGAATCGACCTGGATCTTGTCAATCTACGAAAGGAAACCTACAACGAGGTCAGCCGGAACCCTGAAATTGAGTTTGGAACGCCCGAAGAAGATGCTATGCGTCGCGACGCGACCGTGAACGCCATGTTCTATAATCTGAATACCTCCACCATTGAGGATTTCACGGGGCGCGGTTTCCAGGACATGGAGGCAAAACTAATACGGACGCCCTTGGAACCTTATCAAACCTTCAAAGACGACCCCCTTCGCATTTTGAGGCTCATCAGGTTCGCAAGTCGCTTGGGTTATACGATAGACCCAGAAACGGAGCGCGCCATGTCCAACGCGGAGATAGGAGAGGTGCTCAGAATAAAGATCAGCCGCGAGCGGGTTGGCATCGAACTGGAGAAGATGCTCAAGGGACCAGATCCTCTTCGAGCCATGTCCCTCATTGACCGTCTTGGCCTCTACCACACCATCTTCACCGACCCTACCAGAGAGCTCGGATCTGCCCCTGACCTGGCACACTTCTCGCCGGCTTATAACTTCGTCCATACAATAACGTCTCAAGAGGCGTCTGATGTTCCTTCCATAATCCCACAGACACTCGCTCGCGATGCTGATGAACGGTATCTTGCGTGGATTTGCGCCGCACTGATGCCATGGGCAGATGCTCCCACAGTTCCTCACCATAAACCCACTCAACGACCACACTATGCTGCCTATCTTGTTGCCCGCGATGGCTTCAAGGCTCCAAATAGGGTCTGCGATGTCATTTCGGCGTCTCTTCGACATGGAGAAGAAATTCGCCAAATGGTGGACCGTTGCTACGACAAAATCAAGCGACCTAATGCAACAAAAGTAGCAGATGCCGCGACTGCCAGGGACACCTTGGGTATGGCTATTCGCCGCTGGGGTGCTTCTTGGCGTACGCAGGTGCTTTTCAATTTAATCTACGAGGTAGTGTTGGGGTTTGTTTCACGGGACCGTCAGTGGTATCCCCTTTTTCTCCCTCTTCCAAAGTCTAATAGGTCCATAGGTCTCCTGGATTCATACGCCACCTTTCTGAACCAAGTGATCAAATACAACATTCTCGAAGCCCACACCTTCCGACCTCTTCTCACAGGCACCGAGCTCGCCCAAGCTCTTAACACCAAACCTGGTCCCTGGATGAAAGACGCCCTCGACGTCGTCATGGCCTGGCAACTCCGCAACTCGGACGTGACCGACCCCACCGAGGCCATCGCGGCCGTCAAAGCAAGCAAGGAGGGCGGCGAGTCAAAAACCAGTGAGCTCTCCTCTAGCCTTGCCACTCACTTCCTCACGCTTACCGTCCGACCTCTCTTCTCGCAGACAAAATCTCCTCCTGATATCACGCCGGCGGGCCACAAAGCCCCGACTTTAGACCACACTTTCAGACAGCGTCACCACTGGGAGCCTGAGCCATGGAAAGACACACACAATGCATATGTTATAGACCTTTTCCGCTGGACCCTTTCGATCCTAGATCCTAAAAGTATAGAGCAGAATTGGGCTCTCCTCATTCCGCCAATCCTCAAAATGATGGACGATATCTCCCTGCCTTGGAAGGCGAGAGGAGTCGCTCTCCTCACCCAGCTCCTCAAATCCACACCTCCACCCCTCCTCGCCCGCACCGGCCTCGGCGCCCTTTTCGAAGACTCCCTCTTCCCACTCTTCACGTATCTCCCTACTCTGACTCCAGAAGACGAATCGTGCCAACTCCTAGACAACGCATTGCCGGCCCTCCTGGCGCTGGGTGACGTCTTATATCCATCTCCTGATTCACCATCGCCATCGAAACCCTTCACATTCACTCCACCCAACACCAAAACTCCTGAAGAACCGCCGTCCGCCCTCTCCACGCCCCTCGAGCGCTTCCTCGACCGCACACTCCGCCTCGCCATCCTCGCGCCCCTCTCTCACGCCCACCCATCCACGTACCCGCGTCTCGCTACAACTCTACTTCTCCATCTCCCTGCTCTGATAGATAAAATGGGTATAAACGCCGTTAAACATCTGCAGCCGCTAACCACGCTCCTCTCGAATATCCTCTTTGAACCCTTCGGGTTGGCGTATCCCCCTCTCATGGTTGCAGCGGCGCAGGGATTGCAGAGGGTGGTGGCGAATACGTGGCCTAGGGTGAGTGTGTATAGGGGGGTAATTGTTAAGGGGTGTGTGGGTGCTTGGGGAAGGTGTGTGGAGGAAGAGGGAGACGGAAAGGAGGGTGTGGAGGAAGTGAAGAGGGAGATTAAAGAGTTGATGGCGATGGTGGAGGCGGTATTGGAAGCGGATGAAGAGACTAGGAAGGTGTGGAGGGGTGAGAAGGAGGAGTTGATTAAGATTGATGAGACTCTGAAGGGCTTGTTTGAGAAGAGTAGGAGGGGTGGATCTGAGCAGGGGCACTGAGGGCTGAGGTTGTAGGATAGAGAGAGGAGTGAAGGGTCCTGAATTAAGTATGGCTGGGGTATTCAGATTAGAAATCAATGCTGATGCCTCATTATGTCCTTCCTTCATTGACGTGACCTTCGTAACCGTTATCTGCACCCCGTGGTAATGCAGATACCCAAATACTTTTCCCCCTAACACCTACGCACCCAAACCAGGGAATCTGAATAAGCAAGATCCACCAACAAAAGCAGTACTCATACAACAACCCGCCTAACCCCCCATCACTGCCTTCTTTTCCCCCGCTCACCCCACCCTCCTCCCCTCTCCCGCCTTCCTCCCCCCACCAATTCCGCCATCACCACCCTCCGCACCCTCTTCCACATCTGCAACCTCATCCACATTCTCCTCCCCACCCTTCTCACTCCCACTCCTAACAAGGCCCTCCTCACTTCCCACAACCACCGTCCGCCTCCACGCCCAATTCTGCCCAAACTGCTCCTCATAATGCTCCTTCAACCTCCTCTGCCTGCGCTCACACTTGTACATCCAGAACAAGAGGGCGCAGAGACATATAATGACGAAGCCGAGCGTGCCGCCTACAGCGCCGGTGATTTTTGCGGTGTTGCTCGAGGAGGAGAAAGAGGCGGCGGTGGAGGGACAGTCCGACAGGGGCGAGTCGCTGGGGGGGTTGGTGGGGGTGGTGGATAGGGAGATGGGGGAGCCGGTCGAGCGAGCTGTGGCTCGAACGTCCCCGTCCTGTGCATTCGGATTCGCAGACGAGAGCGAAGGAGACGGTGAGGGTTCGGTGACGGCGTTGTTGATCGACGGGGGGAATAGGATTGAGCCCAGGGAACTCGCTTGGAATTTCGCGGCGCTGGGATTCGCGCAGCAGGAACGGCGGTCGGTGCTCGTGCGGCAGCAGTAAGTGCCTAGGTCGCAGGGTTGGATGTTCCATGCTATCAGCAGTGGGGGAGGTGTGCTTGGTGGTGAGGATGATGCATCTGTGAAGCTGGTGTCAGTCTCCAATACGGAACAAGAATATAGGTAGAGGAGTCGAAAGTAGAAGAGCCCGGATGATCAAGGAGATATGACAATACTACTCACCAACCGGGCACACCCTCGGACACCCCTTATCCCTCCCACTCGGATCCGTACATCCAGCCTGCCAAATCGTGCCGACGTACTCGCCGCCCGTGACCATGCAGAGGCCGCTGTCGAGACAGATATCGGGGGAGCCTGTGCGGCGGTTGGTCGCGCAGCAGCCGCTGTGTTGGGCGTTGGGGTTGCAGGGGCGGAAGGTGGAGTCGAGCTCGGTGCCGTTGAGGGAGTAGCACTTTCGATCTGAGGCTGCTGAAGCGGCTGTTGCGAGGGTGGAGAGGAAGAGGGGGAGTAGGATGTTGAAGAATGGAGACATGGTGCAGACGTGAAAGAGATGATTGGGAGGTTAAGGAGAGGATGGCGGGAGGCCTGAGAAGGTGGTTTAGGGACCGTGTGTGCGAATAACGCCTTCGTGCATTAAGAGGAAGATGAATATATAGAGGAGAATGGCGAAGGTGGAGAGAACGTGGAGGAGAAGAAGAAGTAGAAAACTATCAAACCCGCGACAAGAAACAAGAACAACACGACCTCACGCGCAGAACACAAGGGATGTCGTTCTGCTAGATAAATCAAACTTTGCCAGGTCCGCGCCTCTAGCCAGCTGCATACTCGACCGGGACCATCCATACACCATGATATCCAGCGCCGCATGCATAGCGCAGGTGTAACTCTCTGTACAACACACAAGCGCCGCGGCGAAGACGAAAGGGCTACCTTCGACACCTGAAACACTCCGAATTACTACAGGTACGTAGTCGAGATGGCTCGCCTTGACCAGGGTAATGCTGACGGTGGTGCAAGGGCTGGAAGAAAGGTACTGGTACACATCGTCACCCAGTGCTAGACGGCGAACGTACGGGGCGGCTGGTGTTGCGGTACGGAGAGCCAAGGTTTCTGAAGTCAGTCTCACTACGCGACGTCCGATGCTGTGGAGGCCGCCACGCCATGATTCCGCTTGAACGAACTGTTTATCCGCATTGACATGGCGTTTGCTGATGAGGGCTGATGTGGGAGCTGGAGATGAGAGCCGTCCAGGCGTGTTGTTTGAGATGGGGTGTGGAGGAGGGCGGCGGATACTTGTCATTCGTCTGTGCGGGACTGACGTGCAGGGGGCTTGGGCGTGTCGTGCAGACAGATCATGGATGAAGCAAGGGGCGGGTTCCAAATCCGAGGATTCATTTTTCTTGAGACTTTCTGGATCGGGTAAATGACAAATGATGCGACAGGTCATACTATGTAGGTGTAGAGAAGTCGTTCGTTTGGATGGGTGTATAATAGCTGTTTCCTTGTCATATGTCTTAGCTTGCGACGACAGCAAAATCCGGAGGCAGATGTTCAGACGCTCAACAAGATCTCCAGTTCCGTCAATGCGCGTCAGTAGAGCTGCAGCTATATTTGGGAATCAGGGATCTGGGTTTCGTCGTGAGATGAGATTCAGCACCAGTGTATAAAGGACCGCCCGAAGTCACTCCCGTAACAGTCGCCGATAAATACTCTCCTCTCCCGGACCTGGTAATAGCGCACGCGATATATCCGTATACCTCAGACCGCGGGCTGCACCGTCTCGATATTTGCGAATTCGTCTCAGTGACACAGAATTATTGTGATGGTCTCGTCTGTGACACGTAAATAGCGGTGTTTGACGAACACACTCAACTCACACCAGCCCTACTTACACACCCACAAGTTGCCCCATCAACAGCGCATCCACCTTCTCCCCTTTCTTCAGGCTGCCGTCTCCGGCAGGCATGCACAGTAAGGCATTGGCTCCCTTGAAGCTCCCGATTCTCGAACTACGCTGTCCGCCAGTGCTAGTCGCATATAGCAATCCGTCTTTTTTGATGGCCACTAATGCGCGATGATACTCTGGCCTCTGTTTATCCATTTTGACATCCTCCTCCAGCACGACCTTTATCCTAGGTAGTCCCGGGGGGGTGATCCCAGAAGCCTGGTGCAAGGACGGCAATACGAAGAGGTGGAAAGTAACGACCGCGGACGCCGGATTACCGGGGAGAGCGAAGATTGTTTTAGTAACGCGTTCACCAGCATCATTCTTCACCGGGATGGTGGCGAATGTGGTTGGCTTGCCAGGCTTCATGTTGACGCGGCCGAAGTGGATGGTTCCGCCTAGAGAGCGTTCAATGGTGGGCTTGAGGAGATCGAGTTCGCCCATTGAGACACCACCGCTTGTTATTATCACATCGACTTTGCGAAGGGCATCGCGAAGTGTCTGCTCCAGAGCCCCAGGCCTGTGGCATGCATGTCAGCAAACTGAGCAGTTGCCGGAAAAGGACACCTACTTGTCGGATACGACTCCCAAGTCCACGGCTTCATATCTGTGGTTGCGCACAGCCGTAAGCAGCGTGGGCCTATTGGTGTCTCGCACTTCTCCCAGCCTTAGTGCTCCTGCTCGGTCGTGCTGGATAATCTCGTCACCGGTGCTTAGCACGCCAACTATGGGTTTCTGGTACACCGAGACCTCAGCCGTGCCAACTGATGCGAGCAGCCCAAATTCACCACCGATGACAGTGATCCCTTCACCCTTTTTCATGATGGTGTCCCCCTGCTTCACGTCACTGCCGACTTCACGGACGTTTTCTCCAGGCTTGACTGCACCAGTAAGGATCTCGACCAGCTTTTCTTCTTTCCCGTCTTCGGTCATTTCTCTCAGGACGGTGTCCTCGACCATGATTACTGCATCCGCCCCAGGAGGCAATGGTGCACCAGTGGTAATTCTCGCAATCTCATTCTCTTTGAGTTCTGGTACCTCACCAGGTTGTGCGTGCGATACGATTGCAACGGGATATACACCTTTGGCGAACTTGCCGTCCTTGGGTATCTTGACCGCATAGCCGTCTACGATACTTGCACGGAATGCTGGCACAGATTCGGTAGCTTTCACGTCTTCAGCTAGAACAGCCCCGCCTAGGTTCAGGTCCACTGGAACTTTAGTAACAGCAGGAGCAGGGGTGTGCTGTGCGATTAGTTCGAGGGCTTCCGTTACTGGCAGCATTGGATAGGGAGATGACCGATGTCTGCGGGTGGGCCCTGCACTCGGATCATTTGATTGAGGCCTCTCCTCTGGTTTGGTGTGCGCCCTAGGGGTGGCGTGACCGCCATGACCGTGAGAATGACCATGCCCATGATGGTGATGATGATGATGGTGATGACTTCCTGTTCCGCCTACACGTAGATCAGCCGTCGCCCATGTACTATGAATGGACATCGGCTAATACCTGCATGTTCAGCTGCTGAGCTGACGCCAGCCTCTTGTTCAAGCTTCTTCACGCCGCCAGCATGTAGCGGCCGCGACTCAGCACCGGCAGCTTGAGCACAGGCATGAGGCAGTAACTTTAAGACGGCTTCCAGGTTCTCTTTTGCGCCCTTGGGAGATCCCGGAAGAGTGAGAATGAGAGTCTTCTTGCGCAGACCCGCAACTGGTCTCGCCATCATGGCAACTGGTGGTTTCAGTATCCGGCATCAAACTGCGTCCTCATCGAGACTTACAAGGCGTGACGGATAAAGACGCAGCCAACATGCCATGCCTCAACCATAGTCAGCAATCTTCTGTCTATATCTCCAATTCAAACTCACACAAGCCCTGGTGCCTCCTTATCCAACAATGGAGCCACAGCCTACCAATATTAGCTCCATGCTCTCCCATCCCCAAACGGCGCATACACTCCACATACCTCAGGCGTAACATCCTTAACCGCGAATCCCGTTCCGCCGCCCGTCACAATCAGATTAACAGCATCTTCGCGGTCTGTCCATGTGCGTATGAACTTTTGAATGTCCAGGATGCTATCAGGTACGATCTCCGAGATGGCGACCTCCCATTGGTCGTTTCCTAGCTCTTGGAATAGCTGTTTGAGGACGGGAATGCATTTATCTGTTGTTGGGTCCTGAGATGCGGTTTGCGAGACAACGAGAATGGCTGCTTTGAGCTTCGTGTTGGACATGGTGGGGTTGATATCGATGTTGTGTAGTTGTAGAAGTTTAAAGACGGTGGGGGATCTCCGGTTGAGCGGCACCTGGGCAGCATCACGAGATTAGCTAAGCCGGAGAGCGCAAATAGAGCCATTGGGAATGATATCTCAGAAAATGGCATGCGAGAGCGTTGAAAAGAATTTCGACATGTCTCTTTCAAGATGGTTGCCCTGAGGGAGCTTGCTTCCGTATATCACAAAATACCTAACTGATGATTCCAACATGCTGAGCGGAACATCAATGTTTTCAAGCATATTGCTCCTCAGGCACCATACTCGCTCGAGCACATCATACATGCATTATACAATGGCTTCCAGAAACATAATACAGTCATGTGAAAGATATGTGACGCCTTTAACCCAATGCATGCGCTTCTTTCCCTCTTCTTCCGAGTGCCAGTGAAGTGGGCGTCAAATGATTTGGAAGCCTAAACTCAAATACGGCATTACTCGAAATCCGGCGCGTTACTTTGGACGAGCAGACCAATGATCAAGCCGAAGAGACCGAGGATGGAACTGAAAATCTCGATAACAAGGATCTTGACGAAGCTATGTTGGGTGTTAGCCTTTCTTCCGTGAGAGCAAATAGAAGTCAACATACAGGCCCGGATCCGCGGCATCAGCCAGAGCGGCACTGCTGCCATTGATACCCACAGACACACCGCAAATGAGGTTACACATGCCCACTGTTATTCCCGCCCAAAACAGAGCATATCCGGTGTAATAGTTGCGCGGCGAGTATAGTGTTTCGTAATCAGCAACGGCGTTCAGCTTGGCTGAGAAGATGATTGCCATAATGACCCCGTAGATAGCTACCACCTCGCAGAAGATAATTGAGATTAGGTTCTTGGTTCGTATCCGTGGGGCTTTCACACCACCGCCGACAATCGAGACACCGGTTGTAAAGATTCCCCTGCCCACTGTCAGGTCTCATCGCAGGCTCCTAGTCAATCATACACACCATGCTGAGCCAACGACTGAGAGACCAATGCACAGTCCTATTCCCAGACTTGCGAAAGTATATGGTGAGACGGATTCGAGAAACTGCCCGACCTGGAAACAAACGAATAAGCGGATGCTATCAAGACGGGATGATCGTCGAGTTTACGTTGAAGGCTTCTCCCTCGCCATTGAACAGCATATCTATTTCCTGTTAGACACGGCCTTCCTCCAGCTCTCGCGGCAAACTCACATAGGCCTACCACGCCCAGCGCGACCGCTGAGCCACCAAGTCCGTATTTAAGAGACATGCTGCACTTCGGTCGACTGAAGGGAAAAAGACGCCGGGTGCAGATGAAGCGGTGAATAATACGGAAGCCTTCGAACTGGACGTTGGCGGAGGAGCTGCCCTGCGAGAGTGACGATGGCACCTGCCGCTAGTGCTCCCGCTCGCCGCTTAGTCATCCTTCACCGCCCGCCCTCCTCCGCCTTACCGTTGCCTCATGAAGTGCTCCTCCGCCACGACACCACCTAGCCAACTTCGAGCGTCGTACTCGTCAAGATGGCTGATTCGAAGCACTACTACGAGCTGTACCGGCGGAGCACGTATGTATTGCGCTTTCCGCTGGAAACGTGGGACTGACTTCAGAAGACTAGGCGGAGCATTAACGGACACGCTTGACAACCTGATCACCGAGCGCCGCATCGAACCGCAGCTCGCTTTCCGGATTCTCACAAATTTCGATAAGGCGGTCTCGGAGATATTGGCGGAAAAGGTCAAGAGCCGGCTACATTTCAAGGTAGGTTGCGAGGGGATTGTGGAACTTCGCGAATCATGCGCTGATGTGTTGCCTTCGTAGGGCCACCTCGATACCTACCGCTTCTGCGACGATGTCTGGACCTTTATTATCAAGGATATCAACTTCAAGCTCGACAATAACAACACTATTCACGCCGACAAAGTCAAGATAGTCGCATGTAACACGAAGCGCCCGGGCGAGGTCTAGAGGTCATTTAATCGGCGACATAGAGTGGGAGGCAAACGCGAGAGGAGCATGATGAAGAAGGAGGCGCGAACGGCTGCCAGTCCAAGGACGAACAAGCGGCATTGATTCTTTTGCTTTGAATTGCATTCAGAACTCCCATGATCGGGTGAAGGCGTTCAGGAATCTCATGGATATGGATGGGTACAATCGAACTTGCAAGGCAGCGCTCGGAGTTATCGGCATGGCTATCATCGAGGAAGACGATGGGGATCCGGCCTTTCTTTCTTATTCAACTAGTTCGGGAAGCGTTCCTTTATAATGGAAGGATAGCTGAATCATACATGATACCGAAAACACACTGCTGAAGCATCACTGCTAAGCATATCCGGGATACTGGAAATGCCTCTACACGTTTTTCTCTGCTTCGGCAGCGAGCGTCTGCCAGTATCGCTCGCATCTCATCTCAAGATGTTCCGAGGTTTTATCGATAAGTTCCCCGCGCAAAGAGTTCCTGTGCCACCACCGCCACACTAACCCCTACACATCAATTACGGGCCGTTCCAGGAACGTCAATCATAGGGAATGTTGATATCGCGAACCAACAACAAGTCATAACCGAAGATGTCCACATCAAGACCGCGATCAGCATGGCTGCTACTAGCGATTGCGAGTGGAGCTTGCGCAGCCTTCAACGGAGTGTTCGCAAAGCTGTAAACCTTCCTCTTCCTGAACTGTCTAATTGATTCACCATATGTTCATGAAGCTGATATCACTCCCAGCACAACAACAGAGCTCACGACCTCATGGGCGCATTCAATATCCAAAGCCCTCTCCATCAACCCCTCAAATAAACCCGTTGAATTCGTCATTCGGGCGGTAAGCCTCCTTTCCTCATTCCCGCCCTGAAAAGGTCACGGCATTCTAACGCTCTCATATATAGGTCTTCTTCGCCCTCAACCTCCTCTTCAACGCCGTAATGTGGGGTCTCTTCACTCGCGCCCTGACTCTCGCTTCCTCAACGGTGCGCGTCAGCGTCATCAACACGTCTGCGAATTTCATGATTACGGCGATTTTGGGGGCGGTGATCTTCTCGGAGCAGTTGCCGGGGCTATGGTGGATTGGGGCCGGGCTTTTGGTGGCGGGGAGTGTGATTATAGGGAGGAGGGAGGAGGGTGCGAAGGAGGAAGGGGAGAGAGCCGGGGGGACGGAGCCGTTGGTTGGGGATGGTGGTGGTTTTAAGGACGAGGAGGTTGAGGAGGATGATCTGGGGGAGGGGAGTGAGGTTGAGTTGAGGAGTGTGCAAGGGAGGGGGGAGGGGGGAAGTAGTGAGGATGAGGATGGGGTTCTGAAGTGATTAGGAGTCAAGTTGCATGATTTTCTCCCATGTTTCTGTTCCTCCATGCAGAATATGAGCAAGATTTCAAGTAAAGACCCTTGATCGCACTTCGTAGCACGGAAGTTGTAGATTTCACTGAGCAGGTAATACGCATGTGCGTACCTTACAAGGAGTGTAGAGCACTCCGAACTAGTGAATCATGCGACTCAATATCGATAAGGTAGCCCTATTAGCAAATTCGAACTTAACGCGTAGCATACGTATGCCTGCAGGCTTCTCTAAGCGAGGTATGCGTATATTGCTCTGCGACAAAGAGCTGTGCACTGTACAATCTGCTGAGAAACTAGAAGCCTTTTCCTGCACAGTTTCTCCTTTCTAAAGCTCTCTGTTTAAATTACACTTCCCTGTCTGCATGCTATTTTGACTAGAGGAAATATATCTATGTTTACTACAAGACGGTTTACAATCTCTAATAGCAACTGTCCTAGGATTTGTATCTTAGAGAGATACATTTCGCAAGTTGGATTTCGGCATCGTGAACTAAAACTGCCTATTCAACAAGCTGTATAGCACTGTAGCATTCGAAATTAGCTTGTATGTAATTCAGGGAACACAGTCTAATAGCTTAGAAAAGGGCCTTATTTTCCAACACCGCAGGGTAGCGACAAGCCCGAATCTGTAAAACAAAGAGGGAAATTAGACTGGGTTCTACGACATTTCCGCAAAGATGTAAACGGGAACAACACTTGCTATGATTAAAGAGGTTCTTTGAAGTGAATTCATTTGGCCCCTATGGGCCGGCTAGTACGCCAGACTGGCGGGATATCATTGCATAACTAGACCCTCAGGTCCACCCATCCTTGAACCGTAAACCCTCTAAAAGCCTAATTCGTAGGGCGGTATGCCAGTCCGCTGTTACGAAACCCTCCGCGACCACGGAGTCGGCGGCGCCGTCCCTTGGGGGCATCCTCCCCTTTCCCCTCAACCCCCTTCTGCTCCTCCTCCTTCTCCTCCAATGTCCCGACGGTCAAATCGAGTGCAGTTTCAGCAGTCATTCCAGCATCCTCTTGGACCTATATGGCATGTTTAGTCATAGCTCCGAAGCTTAATTTTCTTTTTCTTGTTTTTGGCACCCCCGGAGGATGTCAACTCACGATGCCGGTATGCTTCTTCTTGGGCTTCGTCCTGCCTTTGCCGACCACGACCGGGACATAGCGGTTCATGTAGTCCTCGACTGATTCCGTCTCCAGGCGTCGGGCGTTGGCCGTGTCTTTCAGGTATAGTCGATTTTCTCGGGCCTCGCGAGCGGCCGTAGTATCGGCAGGAATCCAGTTCATTCTGGTCCACTTCTCACTGGCATTGCCCTTCAACAAATCAGCGGTAGATGGCTCGTCCGTGAGTTTCTTGACAGAGGGGAGGACACCCTTCGCGTCGGGGGGCTGCTTGCGGTCATTGATTATCTCCAGATGCTTGACAGCCTCCATGTGATGGAGTTCCGGACGAAGTTGGACGATTCCAGTGACCGGGGTGAGATGAAGTTCATTCTTTCGGAACGCGCCAATCATGTAGTTGGGTTTCCAGGCCTCTCGTCCAATGACCTGGCCCCCCCAAGTGGTCGTATTGAGAACGTGGCCCTTCTCGTTCGCATCGTCGAAGTTCTTCAGGTACTCGTCGACGTTGTCATCAACCGGTGGTGGAGGCGGTTCATCGACGTCAGCGTCGGCGTCGGCGTCATCCTCGGATCCGGGGCGCTTCTTGGTTTTGGGCATCGATCTTTCGAATCCAACAGCTGGACCATAGCCTCCAGCCTGACCGAGGTTCTTAGTCTTCCTGACAGCTTCACCAAGCTCCACACCCTTCCTGCGATCATAGTGCTCGTCGTGGATGTCGAGGGGAACATCGACCTCGAAGTACCCAGATTCCGGCTTCACGCGCAACTGGGTCGGGGCCTCGCGTCCGATGAGCGGTCCTTTAACCTTCGGACGGCCAATGAACTGCAAGACGTAGAGATCATTCTCAGACGGCTCCGTAATGAACACGTCGTATTCCTTGACAACGGGATCATCTGGGTCATCCGTGTCGTACTCGGAAGACTCTTCCTCACTGGAGACCCATTCCTCGTTGTCATCTTCGATCTCCGTGATATCGGGGTGTGGCTTGTCATTTTCGCCGTCGCCCTTGGTATTCTGATGGACTGGAGGCATGTCAGGGAGGCTGTGAAGTGAAGTGAAGGCGACACTCTTACCTGTGGCCATGTTCGCCGGGTTGCGGGAGCTGCTTGCAGCACCGCTGGCCATCTCTGTGACCTTCTCTTCGCACGCTGGATTGTGTAAGTAAAACAATGAACGGCGCAAAAGGCTCAGCCTGGAAGTTATACCTGTAGTCCTAGAGCTGGGTTGAGTTCGCGGCGTCGTTGGCGGAAGTCGAGAAGTAAATGTAAACTGGCGGGGAAATTTATTTGGAGTTCACCCCACGACGCGCTAATGACGTTACGCTAACGGCTTGGCGCATGCAGATCATTAGCGCTGTCACGTGCCATGCCGCGCGGGACCCACCTTGTGAACCGCGCTGGCGAGCTTGATGAGCTCGGTGGGGTCGCAGATTCAACGACAGTCGGTGAAGCACTGCAATGTGCTGGCTCGCATGCCCGCCACATTGAACCTCCAGCTCCGGCCTTGGGATTATTACTGAGGAATTTTCCATCTTGATCTCCTCTTCATTCCTTTTCTTCTGACTTCAGCATTCAAAAGCCAATCAACAGAATTTGGAACCGGATAGCTTCTAAACCAGTTACTCTGGACCGCGAATCCTGCAAGGTCTTCTTCTAAAACGACGACACTGCCAACATGGCTTACATAGCCCCAATCCACCGACCAAGTAGCATTCGCCATGCATTGAAGCTCAATTTCCTGAGTCCCGACGATGAGTGTCTCGTCGTGGCGTAAGCCATTCCCGCTGAATATTCTGTTGTCAAAAGCTGAGCACAAGTACAGTAAAGCTAATCGGCTCGAGTTCTATACGCAGACTCCTGATGGTCTTGCGCTTCAGCATTCCAATGGCATTTATGGAAAGGTTACCATGCTACAGAAACTCCGCCCTGCCCTCTCCCCCACCGATCACCTGTTCGTCGGAACCGACCGTTTTCAATACTTCACACTGTCTTGGAATCCGGCTAAGAAGCAGCTACAAACCGAAAAGAAATTCGAAAGTGTTGCCGATAATGCTGCAAGAGAATCGCAAACGGGGGAGAGATGCCATGTGGATCCCTCGGGAAGAATCATGACTCTCGAAGTGTACGAGGGCATCATAACGGCCATCCCTCTCGTCCAGAGGGGCAAGAAGAGGAAGCAAGAGCCTGAAATATCGCATCTCGGCGAACCGCAGCCTTTAAGAATACCGGAGATGTTCGTGCGGTCCTCCGCGTTCCTTCGCCAGCCCTCCAATGATGAGAAGGCCAAGCTTGCTCTTCTGCACGAAGATACAGATTCAAAAGTGAAGCTCAGGTTTCGTGAATTATCATTGTTGGGCCAAGATACCATTGAGCTCGATGAAGGGGAAGTCTACCGCGGTGATATTGAGCTGGGCGCCAGCCATCTTATCCCAGTAGAAGGACCCTCATGTGAGTATTTCCATTCATGCTCTAGGGCGCTCCGCTAACATACGCAGATGGTATGATCATTCTAGGCGAGACATCGATAAGTTACTATAAAGACGGCGAATTATTTACCGAGCCGCTCGACGATGCAACGATCTTTGTGGCATGGGAATGCATAGACAAGAATCGGTTCGTCTTCGCCGATGATTATGGGGGTTTGTATCTGTTCATGTTACTATTGGATGAGCACGACCAGGTACAGTCCTGGAAATTAGACCTTCTTGGTAAAACTTCCCGAGCATCGGTGCTGGTATATCTAGATGCGGGCTATGTCTTTGTAGGATCACACCAAGGGGATTCTCAAGTAATTCGGATCGCGGAAAAATCGATGGAGGTGGTACAGACCTTCGCCAACATTGCGCCGATTCTAGACTTCACGATCATGGATATGGGGAACCGATCAGGCGAAGGGCAACTCAACGAATACTCTTCTGGACAGGCCCGAATCGTGACTGGAAGCGGTGCTTATCAAGACGGCAGCTTGAGGAGCGTTCGAAGCGGCGTCGCTCTTGAAGACGTCGGCGTTCTGGGAGAGATGGAACATATATCCAATCTGTTCGATCTCAAATCCAGTCCATCCCTCGGAGCGGTGGACACCTTACTTGTTACATCAGTAACGGAGTCGCGCGTATTCCGCTTCGATGCCAGTGGGGACGTGGAGGAGATTGATGAATTCGCTGGGCTATCTCTTGCAGAAACAACACTTGCTGCATCAAATGTGCCTCAGGGCCGCGTGGTGCAGATCACCCCATCTCGCGTTCAGCTCACAGATCTCGATGGCGGCATGGTAGTCGGCCAATGGACACCACCTGACGGCACGAACATCACAGCTGGCACCACAAATCCCACGCATGCACTCATCTCACTGGGGGGTGTGAGTGTGATTGCGCTGAGCATTGATGATGGACTACGGGTCGTCAGCGAGAAGATGTACGGTACTGACAGCCAAGTCGCATGTGTTGCATTACCGTCCGAAGACAGCGCTATCTGTTTTCTTGGGTTTTGGCAGGACTCGAAGCTCTCAGTTTGCTCTCTCGATACTCTGGAACCAATCAAAACAGTACAGGTCTCGGAAAACGCGGTCCCGCGGTCGCTTCTCCTGACTCAAATATTTCCACATCAGGCACCCACCTTGTTTGCCGCAATGGCGGACGGAAATGTTGTCACGTACTCCTTCGACCCGTCTTCCAATGACCTGTCTGGACGGAAAAGTATTGTCCTTGGAACGCAGCAACCTACGTTCCGGGCACTTCCAAAGGGAAACGGACTATACAGCGTTTTCGCCACCTGCGAGCATCCTTCTCTGATCTATGGCTCTGAAGGACGCCTCGTCTACTCTGCAGTTACCGCCGAAACGGCTACAATCGTTTGCCCGTTTGATTCGGAAGCGTATCCAGGCTCCGTTGCCGTTGCGACATCCCAGGACCTGAGGATAGCCCTCATAGATACAGAACGAACTACCCATGTACAAACTCTCAAAGTGGATGAAACGGTCCGCCGTATAGCATATGCGCCATCACTCAAGGCCTTCGGATTGGGCACGATCAAAAGGCTCCTGAAAGGTGGAGAGGAGGTTCTCATTAGTCATTTCAAACTGGTGGACGAGATCCAGTTCAAAGAGCTAGACACATACAGATTAAAGGAAGGTGAACTTGTCGAAAGCGTTCTCCGCTGTCAACTACCAGACGGGTCCGGCTCAACGGCCGAACGTTTTGTCGTGGGTACCGCATACTTGGACGACCAGAATGCCGTTGCGGAACGAGGCCGAATCATTGTTCTTGAGGTGACTGAGGATAGGGTGCTTAAGCTCGTCACCGAACTCGCTGTCAAAGGAGGATGCAGGTGCCTTGCAATATGCCAAGGAAAGCTTGTTGCGGCACTGATAAAAACAGTTGTCGTCTACGACCTTGAGTATAGGACTCCCAGCAAGCCAGATTTGATCAAACTTGCCAGCTTCCGCTGCTCAACCGCTCCAATCGATATCACGGTCAACGGATCTTTGATAACAATAGCTGACTTGATGAAATCAGCCGTAATCGTGGAATACACGCGAGGCGAAACTGGTTTGCCGGACAAGATCACCGAAGTCGCAAGGCACTTCCGTACGACGTGGGCCACAGCTATCGCCGAGGTCGCGGAAAACACTTTTCTTGAAAGCGACGCGGAAGGCAATCTTATTGTTCTGAACCGCAATCTGCAAGGCGCCACAGAGGACGACAGAAGGAGGCTGATAGTCAGCGCTCAGATGCTTTTAGGTGAAATGGTCAATCGGATTAGACGGATCGACGTGGCTACTGCGTCTGATGCAGCTATCATACCGAGGGCGTTCATGGCCACTGTAAGTCGCCTCCGCTTTCGGTTTATTCGTTTCATTATAAGCCGCTAACGTGCTGCGCAGGTGGAAGGATCCATCTACCTCTTCTGCCTTATCTCGCCGTCTTATCAGAACCTTCTTATAAATCTTCAGTCAAATCTGGCCGAGCTCGTCCATGCACCAGGGGACATACCCTTCAACAAGTATCGCGCCTTCAAGGACTCTGTCACCGAAACCGATGAACCGGAGCGATTTGTGGATGGCGATCTCATCGAGAGGTTCTTAGATTTGACCGAGGATATGCAGGTGAAGGCTGTCGAAGGTTTGGACGCTGATGTGGAAACGATAAGAGGAATGGTAGAGACCTTGAGACGAATTCATTGAAGCTGCAGACGGGTGTTTGTTCGCGTAGGTTGCATCACACCAGAGGACATGTTATATAGTTTCATGGTACATTTCGTTCTCCATTGTACTAGGCCGCTTCAAACCTAATAGTCGCCCTCTATGATTTCTGACCATGCCTGGGTGCCGGCCGAAGAGCACACCTGCTCATACTCCAGACGCTGTACCTAACCCCATTGTCTATCTCTGGTCAATGGCCCATGCGGTCTCAATACCCAAGCAAAGTGCCCATATTGGACCAACGGCTTCTGGTGACCTTCTCAGCCACTTCTATGGACGGAGATCCGCATAGCCGCTGTCAATATATAATCAAGAAAATGACAATTTTTACACCTCAGCATGAAGGACTACTCGTATTAGATGACCGAAAAGGAGATAGTAAAACCATCAGGAACCGGTGTGGGTGCCTTACCACCTTCAGTGACCAGCAGTGGTGAGTGAAAGCCACGTTGACCACATTCACCGCAGACCCAGCGCCACAAACAACGGCCCGTGTGGAACACCGCCACCGCAAAGCCCCTACACCGGATACATTTTTTGACCTATATAGGTCCCAAATACTTTCAATAATCCAATAAACCAAAAACGTTCCTGGAAGAAGTGACGAGTAGCCCCAGTGCACCTTTGTACATCTATAAGGGCCAGCATGCTGAGTCATCCGACACTTGAATCCTCAGGTTCGATTCCGGGTTTGTCAGCTTTACGGAATCATTTTCTTTTTTGCTTTTTTGGCTCTCTTGCTATTTGGGCTCCCTGGACTGACGGCCGCGGCCGCGCATGCACTGCAAGGGGCGATCCGCCAGAGAGCATGTGCTGTAGAGACTATGCCATCATTTGGGAGGTTGCCTTCGCTACTACGACATTCTTATTTTGGCCAGAGTGGAAGTACCTTGAGGGCAGCTTGCTGGTGGTGATTTCCCCCTCGCTTCCCCGTGGCTCACCACCTGGGCACACTCAGTGCCTTGCGAGTTCAACAACCGCGATTACCTGGCAGTACGCGCCTCCACAGCAGACATGTCCGTCCATCGGGGGGTCCTAGATCCATGATTTTTATTGATACTGCGCTCCGGTTGCGGCAAACTCGCGCCAGACTACCAAGAGCGGGAGACCGTCCGGCGACGGACAGGCAGGGCCACGTCTGCGCGGCATGGAACCGTAGCTGCCACCTAATTTGTACAGGTCGACCGGTTGCAAGCGGATGGACCGGCGAAGTCTGAGTTGGGGCGCCCTATATTGTGATACGTGGCATGGGCTCTTAAGGTGCGCAGGTGGTCACATCTATTTGGCAAGTCTAGAGATTACACGGAGCCTATACGGGCAACACCATATCTGCTCTCCGACAAACCTCTTGTACGCCACCACTTTCGCTGACAAAAGTAGGACTGTTGTCACCGTACCAGCTGTCCGAACCCTAGCACGTCTTCGCATATCTTTTGCGCAGCCGGTCCGCCTCCAATACTCAGCACACGACCATGCATCATCAAGTATCTTCGCTACGGCAACTTTCTCGATAGCCGGAAGGATGCCTTCATAGGGAGAATGTGCGAAGGGCTTCACAGGTCGTCTTGATGCGAACCATCTGGAGGCTGCATTCGACTTTCTTGCTGCGGCATACGTCTAATAAGAAAGTGGGGTTATGGAAAATCCGGTGAGTTCGCGCCACCCCAGCCCATAAACCGTCTCTATGTCCTATCTAGTGGCTATCCTGAACTACGGTATTCTGTCTCGGAAGTGCGTGAAGCACAGCTGCGCGCTTAACTCTCGTGCCTGATTGGTTGACAGGAAGGGACACACGCTCTAAACGGTCTGACATTGGATCCCTGACCCAAGCGCTTAAACAGGTAGTTTAACGTCGCGACTCTCTTCTAATGTCTTTATCCTGCAAGTGCCCGCTTGAAGCGGCTGGCAATCGATCTTACGAGACGAAATGGAGAAACGAAAATCAAGTGCGGAGAGAGTCAGCGATTGTACGGTGCGGCGTCCAAGTCCCTCCCCAGCTGCGGCCCGATCCCGACGGAAGCTATCCGCTAGTGTCCGAGGCTGGGGAATGAGAAAGAAGTCTGGCTGTAAGTCTAGCAGCGTGACCATGCGTATAGTTGTGGTCGGAAGGCCTAACCGTTTTAGTGCGCTCCATGACCAACACACTTGTAACTCATAGCTCATTGCCCCAGCACAATTTGTTCAATGACCCTCAACCTCTCTCCATCGTTTGCTCGACATCCCACGGCTTGAGTTGGTACCATCCCTGGCTTCGTAGCCAGCTTGACGACCTACCGCATACCGTCCGACAGCTTCGTGTCGGGGAAGGAACATTATGGGAAGATGAATGGATTTGAACGAGTTTTCGCCGCCGTGGCTGCGTTCATCCACAATAAACAGGCCGTGACCATTGATGATGTGGTTGAGCACCTGCGCAAAACGCAGGTATTGGAGACCGTCCCGTGGACATGCAACGCGCAGAGGCTCCTCGTTTTTGCAATTCTTGGCTGGCAGTCTATGCTATACCGACCGACGTTCAACACCTGCTCCCTGGACGAACTCGCAGTCCATCAATATGATATGCACTCAAACTCGGGCCTGGTATTTGACGCTCACAAAGTGTCAGTCGAGCTCTCAGACCGCCCCTTGTTTGCCCTTCTAAAAGGGTTTGGCAACCTGCTCCCTGCCCCTTCTCCCAATACCGCCCAAGTGGCGAGCGAAAACAGCAAAGCTGCAGCAACGTGGCTAGCTTTAGACCCAGCCGAGACAAATGCGTACCTTCTCCAGACACTTCTCCACGTACAGATCCGATGGGTGGACTGCCTAGCGCTGCACCTTGACTACAACAAGTCGGAGCGAACGCTTTCGCTTTTCATGTATCCTTCGTTCTGCCTTGCCGCGCTCGAATCCCACGGAGCCATATACGCGTTTGCGAGTACCGAGAAGAAGTCCTTCGATCCACGTGCGAATGAACACGATATATCTCAATTCATGCGGGAAGTCCTCCTATCCTATCGCCTTTTGTTCGGACAGCATGGCCCTTCAAGGAAGCTCTTCAAACATACACTCAAGCCGGCGGGTCAAACGCCGGACGAGCTACTGTCTATCCTTTGTATGGAGAAGAATATCAATCAAACCTTAGTTCAAAACCTGCCGTTGTATATTAGCGCCCAGCATTTTCCGGTATTGTCCGAAAGAATCGAACTCATTGCAACAGATCTCAAAACTTGCCGGCCTTCCTCGATGGGCCAACTTCTTCTGGATCGACGTGATAAGCTGCAGTACTGGACTTTTTGGCTTGTTTCCATACTTGGAGGCATAAGTATCGTTCTTAGTTTTATTCAGGTCGTCCTACAAGGTTTTCAGCTTGCAAAAGGGTGATCGGCTGCATGCGTCCTCTCTGATATCCTAGAATATCGATACGTGCGAGATTGTACAATATGATATGGAGTTTCGGATATATGGATCGGATCTTTTCGTCTATCACTGTGTCATGGCATTTTGGTAGTTTAATCGTAGTATCGCTTGGTTTCTTCTTCGCCGTCCTACTTTGTAGTTTACTGTACGACTTCTCAAAAGGTGTGTATATTAGTCTCAGTGTCCACAATGGTCAAATATGACTGATGAATACCTAGCATGCTCGTGCGGTTTGCATCGCTTAGAACAGCCACTGGACGAGTTGTTTGCCCAATAATCTTAGGACTCAAATGCACACCTATTTCATTAGTCATTAAGGCTGTCGAATCAAATCGGCAGTAGAACCCCGCTTTGTGTTATCTCACCACAAACTCACCCTCACCCTAAGGTGCCTAACCCCGCTTACCTCTATCTCCCTTGGACGGAAGCCAATCATCTCGGTCGTTACTATCCAGTGCGGTTTCAATCTATTCTTCTAAGCCCACACACCTGTCCCTAAGCTACTCATCTATTTAAACACCAAGAGCAAACATGGGTGTCACCCATGTTGTTCTCTTTCAATTCAAGGCATCCGCTAGCCCCGAAGCCATCAATGATGTACGTTCCCCTTCCGCATCTTGAATCTTGACAGGAGTCCGATTGATTGCGAACCTAAAGGTTTCTCAACGCATGCTCGGACTAAAAGATAGTTGTATCCATCCCACGTCAAAGAGAACGTATATCAAGTCTGCATCCGGCGGTACCAATAACTCGCCCGAAGGAGTAAATGTATGGTCCATCTTATTCACTTGAATGAAACATTTTCAAGCTCACCATCTTCATCCGCTGACTGCAACGGCTCAGAACGGCTTCACCCATGCGTTTGTCATGGAGTTTGAGACAGCGGAGGACCGGGATTACTATGTCAACGAGGATCCTCTCCACGATGAATTCAAAAAGATTGCGGGCAAGGTATTGGAGAAGGCGCAGGTGATCGACTTCACTGATGGCGAATTCAAGTTGTAATGCATACATGTAGCAGCCTGGGCCGGAGGCCTAGATACATAGGTAGTGATATAGGCGACGGATGTTACCCACACACATCGACCTTCTCAAGCACAACGCTCAGTTGCTTGCCCCTGTTTTGCGATATACTCCCGCTTAACCACAAAGTGAATCATTGCAATAGGATCTCACGGCAAAATCATACCCCAAATCTCTACGTAACAGTACTAATCTCTAACTACACGTTTTCACTGTACTACGCTAGAGAGTCATGCTGTAAAACGTAGTCTAGGAGATCTCGTTTACACGGTGATTTAATGCCGTGGAAGATCAAGGCCTAGCTATGGAAGCTGACAGGACTTATCATAAGGAAGAACAACCTGATCGCCTCCAATGTATGATGAATTACTAAGCTAACTCAAGCCATCGCGATGTTTTTGAAGCACCTTGTAATTTTAAGATGGTTTTCTGTCGTGATTGCAAAGTCATCAAATTCAGGAGGAAGAGGAATGCGCCAAGAATTCGGTCAAGTTTCTCTGGGTTTGTGCAACAATCGATAACCGAATCGGGCCCAGCGCATCACGTGCAAGACCCAAAATATTTTTCTTCGCTCAACGCTCTTCACCCCCTCTGAACACGAATCTCCAGCTGAATTTCCTGCAGCGGATACCGGCCTTCTTTTACCAAACATGGTTCGAGCTATGGTGCCGTTTTGTGGCCGCTTCCCCCTCAGGCTCGTTGCTCAGGCGGTCCGTTCCTGCCATCTGGCTGACCTCGGTTGATCGTGTCCCATTCTTGCGGAGGCCTTGGACAATCCCGCGTCTTGCCGCACGTTTAACATAACATCTCCCAAACACCCTTGTGCAATCAATCAACACAATGCGGACAATTTTGGCGACAGCATCGCCCCTCAGGCGGATATTCCCCTTACGGCAGGGTGCGAGAAGATGTTTTTCGACCTCACAGAATCTCCAAGCAACATGGGGCTTCATTGGCCTAGGTCGCATGGGTATGCACCCAGAGCGTGTCCGATTGATCTCGCAGCATGCTAATGCATGTTGTTAGGCTATCCAATGGCGAGGAACTTGAGGTCTAAGCTACCTGCGGATGACATCCTCTTCGTGCAAGATATAAACAAAGCGGCGACTTCTCAATTCCTGGAAGAGAACCCTACTGGAGTCCGGGTTGCCGAGAGTGCACGGGAAGTTGCTGAGAAAGCGGTAAGTACTTCTGTATCGGTATCCTTCATATTTCCATGATGAATTTATTGTCCTATCTATGATCTAAGTTGGGGATTACTTGTAATCCTTTACCATGATTCATTTTATATAAAGCCAATCCTCTGAACTTGTTTCCTCTGTCCACTGTTGATCATCGCCTTCGCGCTCTGAGCAGAGCTGACCTCAACAGGAAATCGTTGTCACCTCTCTGCCGGAACCTCAGCACGTTTCAGGTGTGTATCGTCAGATGCTCGAGCCTGCCACTCTTCTGAAAGAGGGCATGACGCAGGAGCGGTTGTTCATTGATTGCTCAACTATCGATATCAAGACTTCCCGCTCTGTTGCTGAACTTGCGCGATCAACTGGCCAAGGAACCTTCGTTGATGCTCCCATGTCTGGAGGCGTCGTGGGAGCGCAAGCGGGTACACTAACTTTCATGATTGGCGCTGCTCCCGAGGACGTTGAGCGGGTTACTCGCGTGCTGTCCATGATGGGCAGGAAAGTTATCCACCTTGGTCCGCAGGGCTCTGGTCTCGCTGGAAAACTCGCCAACAACTACCTCCTTGCCCTCAACAACATTGCTACCGCCGAAGCCATGAACATGGGCATCCGATGGGGCCTCGATCCGAAGGCCTTGGCCGGGATGCTCAACATCAGTACCGGCAGGTGCTGGCCTAGCGAGGTCAACAACCCCGTCCCCGGCGTCATTGAAGGCTCACCTGCTTCTAGAGGTTATGAGGGTGGATTTGGAGTGGCTCTTGCCAACAAGGACTTGAAACTCGCCATACAAGCGGCTAAGGAGGCAGGTGTCAAGCTTGCTCTGGGAGACACTGCAAAGGCTCTGTATGATGAAGTGGAGAAGGCGGACAACTGTAAAGGCAGGGACTTTTCTGTTGTCTATAGATACCTTGGTGGCAAGGAGTAGATTAGTCTGCTGAAATGAGATACCACATATCATAAATAGTGTTTCAATGACCATTGTACCATCGTGCGAAGCCTGGAAGCCAGTGTTCGTCTGAAGGACAACCCCACACTCAGCCCAGAACGGCTAGACTTGCTAAGCCACACGTAAACGCCACACTACGCGTCATACGACCTGTCGCACGGTCAAGGCACCTCATGCGAATCTGCCATCTTCGCTTTCACGATACTTCCAAACTTGAAACCACATATTCCTCTGAAATCCATACAAACCCAAACTCACAACAAAGATGTGCGGCGCGGATTGCTTTTTGATGCTCCTTTCGGTTCTTTTCCCTCCCATAGGCGGTACGTAGCTCTCCGCATCCATCCAGATTGGCCAGGCTCCAACAACCCTGTCAATGTGGCCACGTTCTGAACCCGAATCAACCGCTAATTCTCCTGTGTAGTATGGGTTAAACGCGGTGTCTGCAGCGCAGACTCGCTCATCAACATCGCGCTCTGCTGTCTCGGTTTCCTACCGGGTCTGCTTCACGCCTGGTACATCATCCTCAAATACCCCGACCCGTACGAATACGAGGGACTCCAAGGAGGCGAGCGTGCAGGAGGCACAGTCACATACTTTTACGTCGCTCAGGGCGGACCGCCGGGACATGCGAACTATGGTACTGTGGGAAGCCAGCCCTCGGCCGGTCAGTTCCCCGGCCAGCAGGAGAGCGGCGTCGTGAATGCGTTTCCGCAGCCGAAAGCGAATCAAGGTGGACAAGCGAAGGCCCAGCCTCAGCAGCATGTGCCGAATGGCGAGGGGAGCAGTCAGCCGTCTGGGCCGCCGCCGACGTATGCCGATGTGATAAAGGGGGACCATAAGGTGCAGGGTCCGTGAAGGATTGATGGGACTTGATGGTAGAGGTAGAGAGGAAAGACTACAATGCTGTCTTGTTCTGCTTTTGCATATGCCTTGGCCGCTGCATATGGCGATGAAGCAGGTGGTCTGTTTGATCATGGTAACGGACATGTACCAAGGCATTCTCTTGACTGAATGGACGAGTGATGCTCACGTATGTATGTATGTCGGCGCTGAAGGAGCATGGGGAATATACCTCTGGAACATGCTGTTATGATAGTGAAATGTTCTTGCATTAACAGCGCTGCTCGTACATTATGTTCATTGGTCAATCACAGCCCAGCCATTAGACGACAACATCCGTCAAGCTTTTCTTGGTGGTTTTCACCTGGCACCAAGACATAGTGGCCCATGAAGAAGACTAAACCAAACAGTTCGACAGATGATTCGCGTGGCACATCCGACGAATCTACATGATGCCCTCCTAGTCTCGAGTATTTTCCTTTTGATTTTTGCATTGTTACCTCCATATGAAGTCAGAGTGCAGGAACTCTTCGAGGCCGTCAGCATCGACTTCCTCTCGGTGGGAGGCGTATGGGAGGGCTGGGGAAGATGGTGTCCTGCATACTTGCGGAAAATACGAGGGCAGGCAAGAAGACAGGGAACAGAAGAGGCCCATTGAGGTAGAGAAAGAACGACAGTATGTGGAAGTGGGAATAAAGAGAGAAGTCGAACGTGAGGGAATCAAAACAAGAGTTGGGGAAAGCTGATGCAGAACAAAATGAGGCTGGGGATGCGGGCGCTGAAGGCACGGGGAGAAAACGCATTCTGGGAGCCGGTAGAAGGAAAAGTCCAAGAGGGAGTGTTCTGACTTAGAGATGATTTCACCGCCCAAAATGAAACTAAGAAGCCCGTTGCGGGTTGACGGGATGAGTCTAAATTTCAGTTAGTTGGGCAGAGTGTCTGACACGTAGTATGTCTCTCCGCTTATTATTGGCTCAGCAGGATTAGAGAGCCCAGAATGTATACCTTTATACGTACAGCTTTCTCCTCTCACGCTCAATTTTCCTTGGGAGGAATTGCAGGGCATGCACAGGGGTCTTTGTGACGTCATCCTCATTCTGTCGCTTTGATTGTCCAACCCACCTGCCAACCTTCTCTGAGGGGATGGAGAGCCAATTTAGAGCGTAATTAAGGGTTAACGAAATGATGCAATAGCGTATCATACACAGTAGAAACCATAAACACCTTACGACGGAACCTCCAAAGGGCAGTTGGGACGAGATGAGGACCAATTAAGCTTAGCCGAACCACGCTTAAACTTTCTTGTTTGGGCCCAAGATCGGGGGTGAAAGCTTATTATTGCACCGTCCCGTCCCTGCCAACACATATGCCAACACATAATGGACAATGATCCTTACAAACTTCTCTCTCGTCTTGATGCATTTGCGACAGGGAGATGCACAAGACAGCGCTAATAAACTGGGTGCACGTGCAAATAAGGTGGTGTATTTACCTCAATGAATGGCGGTTATGAATAAAGCACAGCCGCACGGGGACGGAATCTCAGGCACTGGATTCTCTTTATGGCTAAGGTGTCTTTGTTTGCCAGTCGCAAGCGGTGGCTTGCTCGCGATCGTCCTGTGCACAGGGCTTGGCAACTAACATCGTCACTGTTTTCACCCCTGTTTCAACTGTCGTACTCAACTGGGCCTTCGTCATACACTCCCTCAATTAAATCGCCCTCGCCCTTTCCTGGGCAGCCGTGGCCGTACTTTCGCCGGATCTCTCTTGCTCCCTAGTGGTACTCAAAGACAGCGCTGCTTCAAATACGAGACATCACTGCGTCCCGCACGATGCGTACGTCAAACGCTCCCCAAGCTCACCAAAGCTTCGCCTCGAAATCCGTTGTATATGCTGATCGTCGCACACAGATAACATCCGCTTCAAGGCGCATCGTGTAGCGTCGCGCGTCGACGATGGCAGCGTCAACTATAACCCCTTTGCCCGACAACGTAGCCGAAGCTCAGTCGATATCGAGAATCAGCTCCACAGGAGAAGATCAGAAGGACATGCACGCCCCGTCATAGAGGAACAGCGACGATTGGAAAGCCAGCAGGCGGAGAAGGAATTCCCTCCTCCGCATCACGCCGACACAGCACCGACGATCTCAGATACGTCCGCAGGACATGACTACGCCCAGGCTTCCAACTCGGATAATGAACTTGTCGCAGGAGACACGGAGGCAGGAAAAGAGTCAACAGCGGTCGGCAACGGCAGCGCTCTCCAAGATGGACCATCATCGCATGTCCAGAAGCGAGCCAGATTCAAAGGCATATTCAGGAAATCCCATGAGAATGTCATTGACGCGAGCGAAAGCGCCGAATCTGAGGATATGGACGCAGAGGCGAGGAAGAAGAGACTTCATAGGAAGAAGATCCCGGTTGGCGCCCAACTACGTGCCGTGTTCCTTGGATCCTGGATCAATCTGCTCCTTCTCTTCGTCCCGGTTGGCTTCGCTATGTACTATTCACACAAGGTTGGACCTGTCCCAATATTTGTTATCAACTTCGTCGCCATCATTCCACTGGCAGCCTTACTGAGCTATGCGACGGAAGAACTGGCCATAAGAGTTGGGGAGACTTTCGGCGGTCTTCTCAACGCGACTTTTGGGTATGTCTGCTGGACTGGGTAGAGGCTTCGACCTTCACGTACATAGCTAACTGTTGTACAGGAATGCTGTCGAGTTGATTGTATCAATCCAAGCTCTGATCAAAGACGAGATTGTAATCGTCAAGACTTCCTTGATTGGAAGCATGCTTTCCAATCTTCTGCTTGTGCTAGGCATGGCATTCTGGCTTGGTGGGCTCAATCGTTTGGAACAGCATTTCAACGTCACAGTGGCTCAGACCGCTGCTAGTCTCCTGGCACTTTGCATTGCTAGTCTCATCATCCCCACGGTCTTCCACAATATGCTGTTGGAGGATACCGTGCCCGACGGACAAAGGAATCAAGAACTCGTGAGTCATGAGCTATAGAGTTTTATGGAAGTCCACTCACTAGGTTTTAGTCTCGTGGCACCGCCATTATCCTTCTCTTTGTGTACGGCTGCTACCTTCTCTTCCAACTGAGATCCCACGTTTCCATGTACAACGCTCCAAGCAAAAAATCACCCAAAAAGAAGTCAAAAATCGAAGAAGGTAGCGCGGCACGTGGGATTGCCGCTGTCGGTGCAGCCGCCTCGGTCGGTGGCCTGAATGCCACCAACGTCTTCAAAGATCCCGAAGAAGATGACGACGATGACTTAGAGGAACCGCAGCTGTCAGTGATTGGTGCTTTGATTACGCTGGCCATATCCACCACTCTGGTAGCATTCTGCTCAGAGTTTATGGTTTCCAGCATTGAGGGCATCACATCTACGGGAAAAATCTCCACGACCTTTGTCGGTCTCATCCTTCTCCCCATCGTCGGCAACGCAGCAGAGCATGCCACTGCTGTGACAGTCGCGATCAAAGACAAGATGGACTTGTCGATTGGTGTCGCCGTGGGCTCCAGCATGCAGATCGCTCTTCTCGTCCTGCCGTTCGTTGTCGTACTCGGCTGGATCTTGGGCAAAGAATGCATGACGCTATACTTCGACACCTTCCAAATCGCTCTTCTGTTTGTCTCAGTCCTTCTCGTCAACTATCTGATCCAAGACGGCAAATCTCGTAAGTTTACAGTTGTTTATGCCTGCGGTACACAGCTAACCTGGACCAGACTGGCTCGAAGGGGTGCTTCTCGTATGTTCGTACCTTATTATTGCGCTGGCGGCGTGGTTCTACCCCAATATCGAGGAGGCCAAATGCTGAGATAGCGCACTTCGATCTTCTGGTTTCCTTTGTCTATCCCGCATCAGGCGGTTTTCTCTTGCGTTCCAGACTGTCTTTCTCGACTCCAACCTATTCACATAGAGTTACGGCCTTCGGTGGAATCTGATCATAGAATGCTTTATACCCGGTGGCCAACACACGAATATGCGGCCATATATTTCCTTTTGCCCTATATGGATGTGGTACTTTGATCTGGAATATTCCCTTCCATCAATTTCCAATGCTGTCTTACATGTGCTCGTCCCCCGTCCGTCCGATTGCTGTAGGCAGCGTCAAGGCGTAGCCTGGCGGAATGACTTTCTGTGGTGTACTGCGTGGTTATAGAACTTGCCGTCCAAGATAAGATCTCATGAGCTTAATTGTCTTAATCTACTCAAAGCACGACTTCCTTATAATCCTATTCTACAAGGAAGCTAGAGAACAGAGTCTGGTCATCCACTAGCTAATTCTTTTCTTGCGAATATCTTAGCACCTTGCGGCAGAGGTTGTTGAGGGCGTGCACACCTGGAGGTGGAATAGGTAGACAAACCTAGCCACCCGGCAAGCATAGAGTTGCCATTGATGCCTTCCACCGACCTTTCTCTTCTTCCCACATTCATTCACCCGCTCGTCTGGCTAGAGACCCAGCCACCTTATGGCGATTGGCAGGGCCTTGGACGACGGGAGTGTTTAATGGGTTTTTGATGACGGTGATCCATCGCTGAGTTGATGTACACTAGATACTAAAGAGGTGGCCTGAACAAAGTTGGGGCCATATGATATTCGCTGTTTAACGGCAGCGGAGTCTAACGCTAATCTAGGTGTATTCTATTAAGGTGTACTATTTGATTTCTACTTCCGCTTGCCTTTGGACATGGATCGCTGGCTTGGGTCGGTACGCTCCTTCTTGGTGGGGACCGAGAGGGAAGGAGCTGTCAACATGCAACTCTGGACTTGCTGTTCCTCAGTCATGACACGTCGTCAACGGAGACTCATTGCCCACTGATCATGTCCCCCGCCATGAGCCAGAAGCACGTCAACACTCCCGAACATTCATCCAACATTTCGCATCCATATCTTGCTGGCGGTAAGGTGAGAGCTTCGCGAAGCGCCGTCACCTTTGGTTCGCGAGTATATAAGGATCTCTACCTACCACCTCTCCCTCTTCCTCCATCACCACACTCTCGCACCATACTCTACCATTTGGCTCCGGAATCGTCATTAACGCGCTGGCCACCGTACCTCTCCCAGCCCCGCTACTTCATCCACTATATAAAGCTACCCATTACCTCTCCTCTTCCCTCTCCTCTTCCCTCTCCTCTTCCCTCTTCTCTTCCTCACCCACCACTTTACTCTCCATCCATCTTATAATCCATACAACTCTGAAGTTCCTCCATCCCACTCAAGCTTCCTATACTACGCAGTTCAGCGGCGCTCTACAAGCCCTAACCGCTTAGCTGTGCTCAAACCCATCAAGTCTCACATCCCCGATACCTAAATACACCTATCCTTCATCCATCACGTCCTTCTCTCTTCTCTTGCAATCTCCCACAATCTCACTTTTTCCCACCCTCAACCGTCTTCTCATTCTCCACTCCACTCACTAAAAGCTCTTTTCTTTCACTTACCTCCATCAATCTGGTACCAGTCTCACAGTTCCATCCCAAGTCCTTGGCCTGCAACCATGAGGAACCCCACCCAAGATCCCGACCCGCACGTTGATCCAACGCTTACGACGGCGAAGGAAGACATTCAAGAGTTGGAAGGCCCGCAGCCTCATGGGGAGGCAAATACAATGCTTGCACCTACGGAATCGATTGAATTGCAGTCGGGTCAAGATGACAAAAGCACACTGGTTGAACTCTCCGGCCAGCATGACCGTCATATTCAGGGTCTGTCACAGATGCATGACAATGTCCTGAAATCCAATCAGGACCAAATTCCGAGTCAGGACATGCCAGACTTTATCGGTCGTGATCCAATATCAGGACAGCTGGGCGATGCTGTGGACACAATCCTGAATACGGAAATGACCGATTATATTGAAGGTAGTGGTGACACTGTGATGCCGTCCACCGAATTCACGGCAGGACAGATGCAGGAAGCTCCATGCTCTTTGATGAACGAAGAGCGACAGTATGACACTGGGAATTCTCTCCCGGTCTTCGAGCAGCCAGACCTCCCACAAGGCGAAGATTCGCTGTTCATCCCCGAGACGCCCGTCACTTCCACCGAGTCGGTGGCTCCGCAGTCAACAGATATTGCAATGCCGCCGCCGAATAAGCAGTCAAGCCTCCCAGGCCAGACTCCCGCCCTATTCAGGTTTGAGTGGATGCGGCAGGTATATCGGGCCTCCAACACTGCAAAGGGATCTGGGAATACCAAAAGCTTGCCCGGCCGCCCGATTCCCGTACATGCTCAATTGGACAATTTGCCGCAAAACAGATCGGCGTCATTGGTTCACCAGCCCGCAGCAGCTGATAACGAGGAAAAAGAGCACACGAGGGCTCTTCAGAGTTTTGAAAAGACTAAAGGGCACTACGAGGCTCTGAAACTTCAAAATGGCGGCAAATTATCTTTCAGACACGAGCTCGAATGGAGGAGGATCGCAGAAGCTGAACAGATCCGCCTCAAGAAAAGACAGCGCGATCTCCAGATAATGAAGGAAGAGAGAGGCGGGAGTGTTGATTCGAGCTTATTCCCCAATGCAGTCTTACTAGACGAGGAAGGTGACGGTTTCTACAAGGACAACATTCAAGGCTCCGGTACAAGCTCGACGCAATCGCGCAAACCAGATTTGCCATATAAGCAGCCCAAAAGGTTGAGCCTAGCAGAAGCAGAGTACAAGTCCATGCTGGAAGGTGTCGAGGCATGGAATGATATACCACCGAGCAAAAAGTCTAAGAGAAATCAGCCATCTGAGGAGGAGGACGGTGGCGGCAGTTCACAAGCACAGTCCAGGTCTAAGAAGCCGAGGGGGAAAGCATCCCACACCACTCGACCTGAACCTGCAGCTAATAAGAAACCGACAAAGCGCACCCGTCAATCAGCCAAGCAGAAACGTGAGAAAGAGCGCCAAGTGAAAACTGTGCGAAGTCTTTACATGAGCGATGTCTTCAAGGATCAGGCAGCCGAAGATGCCCCTGATCAACCGACTTTCACATCGAGGACGAAGATGGAGGCATTGAAACAACTTGTAGCCAGTGCCACTCCAGAAAATCAGAAGCAAGCCAGCGCAGATATAAAAGTTCTTTTAAACGCAACGAAAGACTTCGACGGTCGTGGAAGCGTCAAAGCTGATGGTAACGGCCTTTGGACTGTCAAAGGAATGAAGACGGCTTTGAAACCCTACCAGGTGCTTGGAACAGCATTCATGCGGCGACGTGAAAGAGCATCTGAGGAGCCTCGTGGCGGTCTCATGGCGGATCAGATGGGTTTAGGTAAAACGCTCATGATGCTAGGTGAGCACTGTCGCTTTATGAAAATGCTGTTTCGACGTTCCCATAACTGACACTTAGGTAGCCAACATTGTGAACGGCAGGCCGCCTCTTGGCGAAATCAAAACCACATTGCTGGTTGCCTCACCCAGCCTCCTCACTCAGTGGGAGCGCGAAATTGAGACGCATACTAATTGTGGTCTGAAAATTATGAGGTACGGTACTGGGACTCGTTTGGCTAGCAACGCTAGTGCTCAAGTTCTCGCACATTTCGACATCGTCACCACCACTTACGGTGAAATCTTGCGCTCTTATCCGAAGAACAATCCTCCCATCGAATTACAGACAGCGGAAGACAAGATAAGTTGGTGGAAGGAGCAATGGGATAAGAATCGGGGCCTTTTACATCGGGTGAAGTTCTATCGTATAGTGCTTGATGAGGCTCAGGCGATCAAGAATCACTCCAGCAGGACTTCCATCGCGTGCAGGGCACTCATGGCAGATCATCGATGGGCATTGAGCGGCACTCCTGTGTTAAACGGCCTGGCGGAATTATACCCGTACTTCAAGTTCCTGCAGGTGCCACATACTGGAAGCCTAAAAATATTCAAGAACAATTACTGCGACACAAACAACCCTGAGAACGCTGAGCGGCTGCTCCTTCGCCTGAACCAATTTATGATTAGAAGGACACACCAAGAGTAAGTTCAGCACCTATCCTTGCTTCAAAAGCTAATATCGGGACTCGCAGTGTAATGTTCGGTGCCCCTATTCTGAAGCTTCCCAAGGCGGAGCAGGCGACTCATTGGTGTGACTTCAATATCGTTGAACGGAAGATCTATGACATCGTCAAGACACGATTCAGCGAGAAACTGAACGGTTTGGTCAAATCAGGAGACTTCAATAAGTCTTACAGTAATGCCATGGTGTAAGTACAAATTCGTACGGTCATTGTCGCCCGCTGGAATGTGGCATTTATGGACCTTAAACAACGCTCGTGACAAGCTGACGGCAAGCAGAATGCTTTTGAGATTACGTCAACTGACCGCGCACGTTCTAATGCTACAATTCGTGATGAGGGACCTGCTGGAGCTCGAAGATATCGAAGGAATACGCCAAGTTGTCGAAGACTTTTCAAAAAATGGAGAGACTAGCCACACCATTATTGCCATAAGGAAGCAACTTGACGATTTGAACGAGAGCAAAAACGGAATCATTGAGGGATCCAGCCAGGATGGAGTCGAGGATTTTAGCCCCGATCGAGACGATTACGGAAACAATCCCAACCTGATTACCTCAGGAAAGGCTTTTGGTAAGCGGTACGACTTTAAGCCTTACCTCGACAGTTTGACAACTGGTGAAAGCTACGAAAAGGCTAAGAAAAGAGCCAAATGCCACATTTGTCACGAAAACCGAAACAAACTTTGGCTCACGAGTTGCAATCACTTCCACTGCGAAGAGTGCTATAAGAAAGCAGCTGAGGGTGGAGATGATGTAAGAATCACTTGCGGAGTGGAAGGCTGCAACCAAGCTTTTACCCACGCCCGGGAGTGCGATGGAAATGGTGACCGCGTGGATGACCATCAGCGTGAAACAAGGTCCGCGAGGAAGAGCAAAGAGCGTACTCGAATGGACAAAGAGGACCTAAAGGATGATTGGCTGTCTTTCAGTGGTCAAAGTGTCCTCCCCTCTGCCAAAACCCTCGCAATCAAGGCACAGATACTCAACTGGATTACCGAAAAGCCGGACATGAAGATCATTGTCTATACTCAATTTCTGCCGATGTGAGTCCCCGAAGGCCCTCTGGAGTTCTTTATCTGACAATTGCATAGGATCCGCATTTTGGCCAGGATGTGTAGGGAAGAAGGATGGCTTGCTGAACAGGTAAGATCGCGCTGGGTGACGGATCTCTGCAACTCGGATTGCAGGCAATTCTTCCTGCAGCCACATAGTCTCCTTCTTTTTTGAGTAACTTAAGCTGACGAGTCCGTCAGTACCACGGCAAGCTCTCCTTCCCTGCCCGCGACAAAGCTATCGCCAGATTTGCCGATGACCCTGAAGTGAGGGTCCTGTTGGCATCTCTTCGCTGTGGAGGATGTGAGTCTCTTTCCCCGGCTTCCACTGCACTAATTACTGACCAAAGTTACAGTGGGCCTCAACCTCACTATGGCCTCTCGGGTCATCATGGTCGATCCATGGTGGAATTCGGCAGCAGAACAGCAAGCCTTTTGTCGAGTGTTCCGTATTGGTCAAGCTAATCCCACCTTCATGACCCGGTTCTGCGTGAGAAACACTGTCGATGAGCGGATCATCAGTATGCAAGAACGTAAGCAAGCGGAGATTGATGAAATTATGGAGGACGATGGCACGCGAACCAAGCGGTACGTCTAGCCACTTTACTATCCCTACATGAGCGGACACTGACGTTTTAGGCTCAAACTACGTGACATTATGCGCCTGTTTGGGCCCGTCAGCGAGGATTCCGAGGGCAGACCGTTCATTCTTGTCCATAATTCAAATCCAGCTGGGGGGTTCCACGCTGATGAGGATCACGAGGGTTACGCAGACGAGGAGTAGGAAGGCGGACTGAAGGCTGTCGGGCAAAACCGCTCGGTGAATTCCAAGGTATCTTTTCTTATTTGTGTGCAATATCTCGGATCTGCTTTAGTTCTCGGGGGGGTGCCAAAGGGATGGTTTCGGTTCTATGAAATATGCGGCAATTTGGCTAGGTTGCCGCCTCCACATCAATCTCGGGGCTTCTACTTTCAGGTTTGAGTTCGACACGTATATAGAATACAACTGTATATTATGTATAAGACGGAGGCCTAATTTGCCCAACCGTGAAAGAGATGATCACGGGACTGCCCATTTGTCAGCACAAGCCACAGGAAGCTCCACTTATCTCGGCCAATCACCTGGCGAATAAGTCAACCCACCTTCTCGAGGGTGCCGACTTGCTATCTGCTGCAAAGGCGTGGGATGCGGCGATATGGCCCCTTCAGCAGCCTGCTCCTCCTTCTCGTCGACATCATGACACTGATACCGACATGGAGGCGAGTATAGACCTTCCAGCACGCGACACGCCGCCCAAAGGGCGTAGGAAAGCCAAAAATAATGACAGAGACGGCATTCAGGACGATGGCTCAAAGAAAAGGCGCTGCATATCAAGCGCCTGCGTGCCATGCCGGAAGCGAAAGTCTAAGGTGCGACATCTCCGGCGCTCTAGAATATCTTCTTGGGAAATCGCTTGCTAACCATCGTTTTGCTCGCAGTGCGACGGCACAACCCCCGCTTGCTCCGCGTGCGCCGCTGTCTATAACACCGAGTGTGTCTATGACCCTAACTCGGACCATCGCCGTAAGGGTGTGTACAGGAAGGACCTCGACAGTTTGAAGACACGTAATACGACGCTACACACGCTCATCCAAGCCATTTTGAACTACCCCGAGGATGAAGTGGCGGAACTGGTGCGGCAGATACGGACATGCGAGAGCCTGGACGCCATGGCAGATGCCATCACCGCGAAAGAGAATGGAGAAGACTTGCCAGACGACGACGTTCCTGTGCGCTCTTCGCATCCTGCACCGGGACCGGGCACTGTTCCCACTTTCGAGAAACACTTGTCCGGCAAGATGGGAGAGCTGAGGCTGGAAGACGGCTCAACCCGCTATATCGGCGGTACCTCCCACTTGATCTATCTCGGAACGGGCAGCGACACCAGCGAGCAGGAGGTCACCCTGTCGAACACCGAGCAGTACGCGCAGCAGGAACACCCACTTACATCTTGGACGACGGTCACTTCAGACCCCGAGCTTGTCTCACACCTTATCAATATGTACTTTTGCTGGCATTATACCTTCTTCACCACCCTCTCTAAACCCCTCTTTCTCCGCGACTTCAGACTGGGAAAACCACCGCCAGGCACGAGGCGGCAATATTGTACGCCTTTACTTGTCAACGCCATGTTGGCGTTGGGATGCCATTTCACTTCGAGGCCCGAGTCGCGGGCTGTGCGCGGCGACTCGTCTACGGCGGGAGATCATTTCTTCAAAGAAGCGAAAAGACTCATCTTGGAAGGAGACTTGCACGAGGTGCCCGCTCTGACTACGGTGCAGGCCTTGGCACTTATGTCCGTAAGAGAAGCAGGCTGCGGTAGGGAGGCTAAGGGCTGGGTATACAGCGGCATGAGTTTCCGGATGGCATGCGATCTCGGTCTCAATCTGGATTCGGGAGGCATGCAATTCAGCAAAGGGATAGATGAGAATGAAGAGGATGCACGGAAGATTACATTCTGGGGCTGTTTCCTGATTGACAAGTACGCTCTCATGCTTCTCTCATATAACAAGGCTGCTTCTAACCGTTGCAGATGTTGGTCGAACTATCTTGGACGTCTTCCGCAGCTTCCCAATACGATCGTAACAGTGCCGAAGTTTGAAGTCTTTCCTACTGAGGATGCCGAGATCTGGTCCGCTTACACAGACTCTGGTTTTAACCAAGCGCATGCGCAGCCATCGAGGACCAGAGCAGTAAGAAGACTATCTCATTGTCTCTGCGCATCCTCAACATCTTGCTAACTCGTTCTAGGTAGCACTGCAAATCTCGATTCTTTGCGGTATATCCAGTGACCTCATGAACTTCTTTTACAACCCCATCGATATGGACAAGGCCAAAGGCAAGCAAGCGGAGCTGAAGAAGCTCAGTGAGATCCATCAGCGGTTGGAGACTTGGAAACGTGAGCTTCCGAAAGAGCTTGAGCCGAAAGAAGGAGGTTTGCCAAGCATGCTGGTGATGCAGTAAGTGTTGCTCTCTTGCAACCTGCACGTTGGTGTATTAATCCATTGCAGCATGTTCTTTCAATTGCTCTACATTCACCTGTTCCGACCCTTCCTCAAATACAACCCGAATAACTCGCCGCTGCCAGCGCACGTATCGCCGAGGAAACTGTGTACGAATGCGGCCCAATCGATATCGAAACTGCTGCGATTGTACAAGCGGTCCCACGGCCTCCGGCAGATTTGTAACATAGCTGTCTACATCGCCCACTCGGCTTGTACGATTCACCTGCTCAACCTCCCGGAGAAGAACGCAAGGAGAGACATCATTCACGGTGTAAAGCATCTCGAGGAAATAGCAGAGAGCTGGCTATGCGCGCGGCGGACACTGGGCATTTTCAGCGTTCTTGCTAAGAAATGGAAGGTTGAGCTGCCGGAAGAAGCAGCAACGGTACTTGCTCGCACCGATGCCAAGTTCGGCCGCTACGATGAGGTTACCTCTCCCAAGTCGATCACATCCGAGTCTGAGAACCTCTCAGAGCGACATCCAAGTCTGCCTGCCGCCTCGCCGTTGCAACCGTATAGTATGCCTGTGACGAGTGGTTCTACATCCGGTTTCTTCAACACCCAAGGCATCCCTATGAGCTCCATCGCTGCTGTATCCGAAGCCAAACCGCGCACCTCCGAAGCCCACCCCATCCCTCCAGACTCGTCATCAAACCTCGCCTATCCCCGAGCGGCCCGCGATCCGGCCACACCCGTGAGTTCCGCTGGCCCCCCTGCTGGTCCCCGCCGATCCTTCGATGCCAGCAGTACAACCGGCAACTCGCCCAGTCACCTCTTCGGCGGCGTTGAACAGCTGCTGCGCGAGGGCGAGAACTGGTGGATCCGCGACCAAACCCAACTGGCCAGCGGCTTCGGCAACTGGGGCGACTTCTCCGCCGGAGACCTAGCCATTCTCGAGTCGACAGCGGTGTCGCTGGCAGGGAGTTCCGGGAATCCGGGTGCGCCAGCGGGCACTGCCGCCGTGAATGGCGGATATAATCCGCTAAGTCCGGTTGTGGAGATGCATGGAGTCGGTGCAGGTCGGGTGGGGGTCAGCACTGGCATGAACGGGAATCTCAATGCGAGTGCAAACGGCAATAATCCAAATGGGCTGAATGGCCTCGGTGGCGTGCAGGGGTATGGAGGGGCGCTCAATTCGTATAACGAGCATGAGTGGTATCAATGATCTAGACGGGGATGCATAGAGGGGCCGACGGGATGAGGAAAAGGGGGATATGGCGTTCGGGATATGAATACGGTTGATGACAATTTCGGCTTTGTTGGACTGCCTTTGGGAGGTAGCAATACGTTGCTGCACTCACGGTGGCATGGGGATGGATCCATGCCTTACACAGGATTCACAGAGTTTAATGTGTCTCAGATGTGTGCGTTTTTTTGCTCTTTTTCCGCTCAAGTGGGCGACACGAGTAGAGGCGGATCGGGTCCGTTCCCTCTTTGGATCTTTGGCGAGCTAGATGGCAAGATTGGGGTTTCTCCTAGGGATAGATACCATATGGAGTCGGGCAGGGGAGACCGTCCCGAGAGACTGTTTCAATATCTGCAGGTCGACAAACAAGATCTTTTAATCTATGCAGGTCAGCGAACAAGAAGTCTTCTTTATTGTATGCTTAAATCCGAGGCTTATGTTGTGTTTCGCTCCATTTTTGTAGGAAGCGGTGTAAAATCTTCGTGGCGAGGATATTATAGCACCGGTCACGTGATATGTAGTTCTCCCATACTCCCTCCATGCGCTTCATTGTGATGGAGGCAAAAGTAGGGAGAAAAAGGAACAGCTGACATAAACTCAAGGCATCACAGGTGTCTTTGTGTCATGTATCGAAGATAGGTAGCACCAGCGAACGCCTCGCTTTCCGACGGCCAATTGCGGCCAACGGGTGATAGGACCCCCCACCGGTGATCGTATTGGATGTCTACAGCCTCAGTCTTGACAACGACTTGACAAGAGAGTGTTTCTTTACTTCGCGCTGAAGGTTGTAAGGCCAGCGCTGCTCTGTTTCAGTAGAAACCCACGGTCGATTTGTCTGAGTTTACAATATGTCGGAAGTTCGGATTGTTGTGGTTGGGTGAGTGCATATTTGGTTTTTCTCAAGCCTGATGCTTGCAATTGAAGAAGTGGTTCCTGAGGGGTTTTCATGTGTGGTGAAGAAATCGATTTCATGTTCGAGCATGTTTGTTCTTCGTCTTCCGTCTGAAATTTCTTGTTCTTCCTTTCATCTATTCGTCTTGTCATTCATGCACCGTCTATCACCCGATTCCAAATTCTATGATACATAGGCATTTCCCTATGAGGCCTTTTCATATAACCACCCCCCAACATCCAATTCTCTTTCCACTCTCTACTACTAGCACACAACCCAATCCCACTAACACCCCTCCCAAGCGCCGGCGTCATCGGCCTCACCACGGCCCTCACCCTCGCCCGCTCCCGCAAGCACAACTACACCATCACCGTGCTCTCCAAGCACATGCCCGGCGACTACGACATCGAGTACGCGTCTCCCTGGGCGGGCGCCAACTACCTACCCGTCGGGACCCGTGGCTCTCTGCTGCAGAAACTCGAGCAGGCGACGTGGCCCGAGTTGGAACGGATCGTGAAAGAGGTGCCCGAGGCCGGGGTGCATTTCCAAGAGACGATTGTGTATGGGAGGAAGAAGGATGAGGGGACGCCTACAGGGGAGTGGTTCCGCGAGTTGGTGAGGGAGGACGCGTGGTGGAGGGATGTGGTGCCGAATGTAAGTTGTGCAAGTCACTTGTTCACTCTTTTCCATTCACTTTCCCTTTCGTATCAGTATCTCAGATTGGTGAAGAGGAAAACCATCAGTCGTCAGTCAAGTATGAACAAGTCATAGGAAACTAACGACTTCAACCAGTTCCGCATCCTGCCGCGCTCCTCGCTCCCCCCCGACTGCTCGACCGGCACATCCTTCACCTCCGTCTGCATCAACACAGCCATCTACCTCCCCTGGCTGCTAGGCCAATGCCTCAAACACGGCGTCGTCTTCCAACGCGCCATCCTGCCCTCCCTCTCCTCCGCCCGAACGCTCCACCACTCGGGAAAACCCGCCCACATCATCATCAACTGCACCGGCCTCGGCGCCCTGACCCTCGCCGACGTCAAAGACACAAACGTCTACCCAGCCCGCGGGCAGATCGTCCTCGTGCGAAACGCACCGGGCGCAATGTACACCGTCAGCGGCACCGACGACGGCGCCGACGAAGCGACGTACGTGATGCAGCGGGCGGCGGGCGGCGGCACCATTTTAGGTGGGTGCCTGCAGGCCGGGTCGTGGGAATCGGCGCCGGATCCGAATCTCGCGAATCGGATCATGCAGCGGAGTGTGGAGCTGTGCCCCGCGTTGGTGCCGCGGACGGGCAAAGTGACGGAGTTGAGTGTGGTTAGGCATGGTGTTGGGTTGAGGCCGATGAGGAAGGGGGGCCCGAGGGTGGAGAGGGAGAGGGGCGTGGATGGCGGGTGGGTCGTGCATCAGTATGGGCATGGGGGGTATGGGTATCAGAGTAGCTGGGGGAGTGCGTGGGAGGCGGAGAGGTTGGTTGAGGGGATTTTGGGGGAGGGGGAGAGGGAGAGGGCGAAGTTGTAGGTTGGTGAGACGATATGGGGGTGGGGAATGTTGGATATTATAGACGATGTATAAATGAATACAGTGTTGTACTGCCTCTTTTCACGTCCGACTGAACACGACCGTGCGCGAAGGGGTTATTGACCTTCTACTTGGCCCTTTCTGCGCCTCCGTCCAGGTATAACCAACCTTAAAACACCGTGCCCTAGTGGCACAACTAGAATATAGCCAATTAGATTTCTCAAGATACGTATTCCAACTTGGATTGGAAGTACTTGGGGTTCTTCAGTCGGACGTGGTACGAGGCGGTACTCTATACAGCTTGTGGGATCTAATTTGTTGTGATGAACCCACGTTCCCCCTCTTGAATGCAGATACGCCACGTCTATCAACTCTCTCTATGGGGCCCTATACCGCACCCATTACCTAGAACTTCCCCACCAGCAAATTCCCAATCATCTCCCTCCCCGTAATATACGCCGTCCGCCACAACGTCGGAAAATCCAGCGTGCTCGAGAAAGCTGCGATAAACCTCAGCACAAACCATCCAAGATAAACAAACAAACCCGGGATATACTCACTGTCGGCGAACCCAAACCCCAACATCGGCGGAATCCAGCCCCTCGCGTACTCGAGCGCAAAACACGCACTCTCCATCTTGTACTGCTTGACGTCTCCTCTCCTGAGATGGTGGACGCTGCCCGCGGGGTAGACCTCAGGGGTGTAGACACCGGGGCCCGGGGCATAGGCCAGTTGGGTGCCGGAGAGGATGTGAAAGTAGTCGTCGGCTGTGTGGCGGCCGGTGTGGCCTTCGGTGCCGGTCGCAGAACCTGTGAGGGAGGGCGTTAGGGTGCGTGGAGTGTCGATGGATGGGAATGGGAAGACGACGGGAAGGGAGAGTGAGGGAGAAAAGAAGAAGGACGAAGGAAATTGAATGATCAATAGACAAAGAAAGGACGCAAGGAAACAGGGGACGAGAAAATGATATCGTGGGAGTTTTAACTCCACATATCTAACCCAGAGAAAAAAAGTCCGGAAACTCAAGACCAACACCCGAAAGATCCACATATCAAGAAAACCGACTCACCAAAAACAATCAAATACTCCGTCACACTCGCATGCAAAATCCACATGGCCCCCATCGCACCCCCGGCATTATTAAACACCCACTCTTCGTCCAAATTCACATGGCGCTTCGTCTCCTCCCTCGTACTCAGATCCTCGACTATATACTTGACCACGGCAGCCGTGTCATTGCCGTGTTTCTCAATCGCGGCCAGAGACACGGCGTGCAGCTGCTCAGGGTTGAAGATATAGAAAGACTCGAGACGGGAGTCGAGAAGGAGGTAGAGCGTGGTTAGCAGGGGGAGGAGGATGGCTAGGCCTTTGAGGATGGGACGCATCTTTCGGAAGGTTTCTGATGTTTGATGAGGACGATGGGACGATAAGATAGGAGAAGGACCGGAAACGTAATGATGAAGGAAAGGGAAGCTCCCAACAAGAAAGACGCGATCGACGCGTATTTATTTCTATGATCACGCGCAAAGATTTGTTTCTCCCAGAGTTTTGGCCCATAAGGGGAAAGTCTGGGGGAAACGCCTAACCGCGCGGCCCGAAGCCAGGGGAAATCAGTTCATAATCAGAGGCTTGGCTGCCAAGCGTCATTGTCCTATGTGCTACCCGTGTACCAGTATCTACCGTGAAAGCAGAGAAAATAGAAGCTTTACACGATACATACTGTATAGCAGGACAAGAGTGTGGAGAGACTTGAGGGTTTCGAGCGGAATACTCCTGTTCAACACCTTGTGGAAGGCGATCAGATTGGAAAAGATAGCCTTGTCAAACACTGGAGCATCACCAAAACTACGATCACGGCCAATTGAAATTTGAAACATTGATTGATAGACGCATCTATCTGTAGGAACCACCCAGTGCATCGCAAACCCAGATCTGCATCCTGTCAACCGCCACCACATTGACCTTAGTTGCGACAAGTGCAAACAATAGTGAAAGGTGAGGCGTTAATCCGCTTCTAAGGGAAGCCTGCAACGTTCAGACAAGCAAGAACATGCCTAACTGATCCGACTCAAGACACTGTGGAAGGCCTGCCGTTATTTGCTTCGAAGGTCAACGGAATCGAACCAGAATGCCTAGAGCAGTCCAGGCTGACAATGACAGGAGGAAGTGCAATAACAAGATGTGCTGCAATACGAACCCACGTTGGATTCTTCAATACCCGAACCCTGGACACCGTCATGGTAAGCCGAGTCAGAGGACAATGGCAAACAGATAAGCCGAACGCCTTCTATCCGAGAACGAGGAAACGCATCCATCGCAATAGATCGGTTGAGCTTCTTCAGAAGTTGTGACTTCAATGGACCGCATCGGTGCGCCTAGCCCATGTTTGACCGGAGCGGGTGCCATTCCATCCGTTGCCGCCAGAAGGCCGAGTGGAATTGCTCGTGTTGGAGCCCTGTCCCTGATAGCTGGAGGGCTTGCGAGGACGGGGACCGTTGCCACTGCTCGATCCTGCGTTGTTCGAATTGTAGTTGGTGCGCTTGGGGCCTCTGGGACCGGCATTCCTCCGCTGCTCGCGCTTCTTCGGCATAGTCTTCGTGATAGATGAACTCATACCGGGCAGGAGGATGATGACGTTGATAGTATCGGCATTGCGATCCTGCTCAACCCCGTTGTACATAGGTTTGGTTGTGACCTCCGGAGCGCGCGGGTTGCGGAAGTTCGGTCGGTGCGTCGGGCTGCTGACCGGTGCCTCGCCAGCGGCTCGATGGGCCATATGCGGAAGCTTGACTACCGGAAGAGAACCAAACTCGCGTTCTTCGAGCATCATGTTGTCAGCGCTGGAACGGGTGGTCACATCCTTGAGACTCTCATCGCTAGTCTTCTTGGCAACAGCAGACGGCAACGAGACTGTAGCAGGGGCCTGAACCTCGCGGACCTCGAGCGGAGCCTTCGAGGAAGCAGCGACGGCAAGCGCGCCTGGTTTCGAAACACCAGCGGGTTGGACTGGAACAGAGTGTACGGTGGTCGGCGCCGCTGACGGAGCAGCTTGCGGCTCAGCCCAAAGACGATTGAAACGGGCTTGCCACTCAGGATTCAAAGCAAGCGGCCGAGCACCCATCCCCAAGCGGACCCCGGAGGGCCTGCTAGGCATGCTCACCGGGCCCTGAGGAGGAGTCAATATCATGTTGTCCATAGCTGGCGGGAGGCGCACCGTTGGAGTGGGCTTGGGGAACCGGACCACAGGTCGAGCAGAGCCTGTCTCATAGACTGGGTGCGTCTCGATCTCGGGCGGTGGAGGAGGCGGGGAACCCGAACTGCTAGCTTGAGGAGCCGGTTGCGTGGTCGCCTCAGAGGCCCTTGGGAAGAAGCGAGAGGACCTGGCAGCCGTGTTGTTGGCAACGGTCTGAGCAGGTGCTTCATTCGCGACGGCAGCGATACCCTCTGCGCGGACGGGTTGGGTGGCCTCGGGTTTGCCTGCGTTCGTTGCAGTGGCCGGCCCGCCGGCCTTAGTGTGGACCGTGGACTGCGACTGACCCTTCTGATCGGTATACGTCTCGTGGATTTCGGGTCTGAAGGACTTTCCGCCCATGCGCTCAAACTCTTGAAGATTCTTCTCCATCGTGGCAATGTCGTCGCGACGAATGGCAGCGGCGAAGTTGCCCCAACCGTTGGCGACTGGGGGCGCGATCGGACCAGGCTGCTTCGGGCCCGCAACGAGCTTGGGAGCATTCATGGTTTCGACTTGGGTAGCCATTGTTGGTTGCGCGAAGGGAGGATTAGGTGTAGTCTGCTGCGGTTGCGAAGGTTTGATGGGCGGTGGCAAGCCAAGTGAAGGTGCTTGCCCGGGCTGCTGAGACTGGGGAGGAAGTTGTGGAGGACTCGGTCGCGACTGACCACGGTTGTAGCTGAGGTCGAAGTTGCCGTTGCCAAGCGCTCTGTCTTTCGGTTGCGGAGGGCCCCAGACGTTGGATGCCCAAGAGCGAGGTTGCTGAGGAAGCGTGGAGGACCAAACTGATGGTGTAGGCTGGGAAGGCTTAAGAGGTTGAGAGGTGTTGAGGGGAGCGTTTTCTTGGGGGCGAGGGCGGCTTTTATCTGCCGCCGGCCCGTTATTGTCCTTATTCTTACTATTATCGCTGGTGAGTGAGGAGGGGGGTTGGGGTTTGCCAGCGGGTGGTGAAGGTGAAGAGGGAGGTTGAGCGGCAACGCTTGGGCTAGTTCGACCCTTCACAGGAGACGCGCTTGGCTTGGGCACCTCCTCCGCCCCACGCGTAGGCCTCGCAACACCACCCTCACCAGTATGCATCTGCTTCTTCACCGGCTGCGGCTGGTGCACCTTCATCATGCCATACTGAGCGACTTCACCCTCCGACTTCGGCACAGGCGGCTTGGGAGGCGACTGCGCGACCGCCGGCGTAGCCTTCGCTTTCTGTGGAGACCTCTCAGCAGAGCGCGACGGGGAGGTGTCCTTCGACTTGGGCTTGACATCGTCGGCAAGACCCATGGCCTCGAGCTTCTTGCGTAACCGTTCTTTCCTCGCCGCCTCTTCCTGCTCCTCCTTCTCGCGTTCTTTCTGCTTTGCCAGTCGCGCGCGCTCCAGCTTCTCACGCATCAGTCTGTTTTGAACCTCGACTGCAGTCTCGGTCGGCACCACCTGTGTAGGAACAGTACCTTCGTGGGTTCCTGCAGACCCGACGGATCCGTATGGCGATAATGGCTGCACGTTGGCCATGCGAGGCGACGCTCTCTGCTGCCATGCTCCGTGTTGATCCGTGAGGGTGTGCTGTGCCTCGCTGAGTGGCCCCTTGTGAGCAAGTTCTGGTCGCGGCAGACCCGGGCTGACAGCTTCAGTGCCGTTGACGGCATGCGAGTCACGTCGCTGCATGTTCAGAGCCATGCCTGGGTGTTCTGGTCCTCGTCGGTCCATAAACATTCTCCCGCTCCCGCCACTAACATTCGATGAGGTGCGTCTACGGCCCCATGCAGGAGCATCACTGCTGGTACGTGATGTTTGGAAGGCCGCTGACGGCTCCGCAGGACCTTCTTGCGGAGGCCGCTGCAGTAGCGATGGCTGATGTCGAAGGCCACTGTCACGGACAGAACCACGACGCATTTCACTAACCGGTTCGTACCGTCCGCTCTGAGAGTTGAATAGTTCCCTGCTGCCACGATCGTCCCGCCACGACCTGTTGAAGTCATCCGGTGCCATTTCTCGAGTTGGGAAGTGCGGATGCGTAGTTTCGTAACCTTGAGTTTCTCGCTGCGAATATCGAGGAGGCACGGGCTGTTGTACGGGAGGATTGATCTGCACAGGCGGCACTTTGTCAACCGGGGGCAAGGCGGCCCATGGTGATTTGACAGGTGTAGCCGATGACGGTTTTGCGACAAGTGTAGGCTTCTCCGGCTGTCCCTTGAGCACCAGGCTGGACTTCGCTGCAGTTGCTTGTGCATGTGCGCCTGGTTTGAGAATGGTCTTAGTACCGCTAGTCGCACTCGGTCGTTGAGAGCCGGAAATTGTGCTGGGGACTGGCTTGGGTATATTTGCTGCTGCTTCCTCCTTCTTGCTGGCACTCTTGACGTCCTCTGCTGGCGGAGGTATGCTCTCGACAGCAGCTGCGGCTACAGAGGATCTGGTGCCATCCGCCCACTGTACTGTATCTGGCGCCCAGTCATCTTCGTCTTCGTCAATATCTGCCCACTTCGCTTCTTTGCTCGACTCGTCCGCTTGCAAACGCGTAGCCAAATGAATTCCATACTGCTGTTTAAGCTCCTCATCCGTGAATTGTTTCGGTGGCGGTGGGGCAACGGGTTGGTTCTTGTTCCACACCTTACTGGCATCTGGGCCGGTGCCTAATCCGTTCGCTTTCGACAAGGAAGAGCGAGAGATGTTTCCGATTCCGCTTCCTGACTTGGCCACTAGTCTAGGTTTCGCAGTCGGTTGGGTTGCAGTACTTGTCTGTCCAACGCCAGAAGCCTTATCCCCCGGTCGCGCGGTTGGTGTGGACACCGCAGATTTGGCCAAGAAGTTCTTGGTTACAGATACAGACTTGAAGGAAGGGGGTTTCTTTAAAGAACTCGTTCGCAAATGACCCGCATCGCGCTTCGTCTGATCTACGCTTCCGGGACGGCTGATGTCGGTATCTGAAGCACCACTGACTTCTCCTGCTGTCTGAGGTGCTGAGAAGTCCTCTGGTGCAGATTGCTCCCCCGAATCCCCGTTAACTAGTGCTTCCTTCTTGTCAGTCGTAGTTACCGCAGCGTCTTGTCCCTTGTCCGACCCTTTCGCGTGGTTCTGTACTTTGTCAATATGGCGAGCCAGCGGGGGACTCTGACTTACGTCCGGAGCATCTGGACCAGCCTTATCCGATGTGTCTGTTGCAGTACCAGCGGCCCCTTCTGTTCTACTCTCCTTCTCGGTTTCGGTATCTGTGTATCTGGGTTGGGCGTTCGGGGTTTCCGAGGGCGCCTTGCCGTCGCCGGCGGGAGTGTTGGTAGACGTCGCAGTATCGTCGATGGGCGAGGGGCCACCCATCGACTGTGCTTCCTTTACCACATCGTGGGCGATCTGCTCTGCCATAACAATTTGCCTAACTGTATTGGCAGTAATGAGGCTCCGTCAGAAAGCTGTTTCTAGATATGCGCTCGTAGACAAGGGTCCAGATGCTGGTAGCCGTGCAGGTGGCGCCCAAGCATCCAAGATGCCCTGTTCCAAGGAATGCAGATGTGGATAGGGTGGGTATATGTACCTATTTTCAGGTCCTAAGAATCGCCACGAGGAAGAGGAGGCGCCTCCGCAGAAACGTCGACTGCGTCGTGCTGCGGAGAAGCTAGCGGTGTGGGCGACGGTGGATCGCCTTCGACGTGTACCAGCGGAGCTTGTAGCGGCGGTGATGGAAGCCTTTCTGAGTGCGGACAAGCTCAGGGACGAAGTAAATGGAAGAAGAAGGCCTTCTATAGGAGGCGGCCGCTGTTCCGAGGCGGGAGGTGATGGTGGTGGTATGCTGTAGGCACAGGAGGAAGCAACGAGTGCCGTGTCAAAAGAGACATCACGGGCCAGCGGTTCTTGGCAACCCTAAAGCGGCGATTGGCCTCCCGGCACACCCGTAAACGATCCAGGTGTTATCGCGCCGATTATGTGCGCAATAGGACTACTGTACGTGTGAATAATACTAGGTCTATCCAGAAGTGGTATCCTGGCATCTGCTTCCACCCACAAGAGCACAGTCGTGAGCTTTCTGTATGAATGCTACGTATTGGATTGTTGTTATGCGTCCGTCGTCATTGCGCCAAACGCGTGCACAGCCACACAAGATGAATGTTGTAGCTGCAAAGCCAGGACAGCCATAGCCAACGAAACAATGCGAAGCAATCGTACAGACCACACGGAGAAGTGGATGAAGGCTCATAAACCTATGAGATTGAACTGCTACATGCTATATGTACACATGCCGGTTACGCCTAACCCGATCGGCCTCTGTCATGTGGTATCGCATCCGTCTAATGAGCATTGTTCTTGTGGTGGCCTGGTCATTCTGAGTCAGTACCGTGCTGAGGACATCCCAAAAGTTGCGACTTACGCAGATGGAAATAGTAGTTCTGCGCATAACCAAGGAGAGTAAGGACGACGATAGCGTGAACGAGGGCTAGACGAAGTGTCAGCACAATGCCCAGTTTCCGTCCCGCTGCACATTACTCACGCTTCGCGGAGGCATTCTTGCCGAAGTACGCCTTCTGGTAACGTCCAAAAAGGCCCTTGGCCTCACGCTCGGGAGCCGGTCCACGGGGCAGTTTCTCGTAGAAGCTCACGACTTTCTGCATGCGGACGGCATTGGGAGATGCTCCAATAGCCTTTATTCAATGTCAGCATCGGGGTCAATTCCTCTGTACGGTGTCGCCGGTGGATCGGAAGTGGTGGGTCGTGATACGAATTCCGCGGTCCAATGGGTGAGGAATTAGGCCGGCGCGAGGCATCGGAATCATCAAGAAGAAACTGGAGGGGATCTTACATTGGGAGAAGCAACCTGCGGAACTCAGTTAGCAGGTCAATTACAATCGGTCGGCGTCTCAGTCGTACCTTGGGAGGAATGAGGGTCGAGAGACCGCGCTTCTGAATAAAACTCATCTTGACGGCTGCACACCAGTCAGCATCAATTGAAATCGTTTCTTTGAGCGTAACCAATCGCAGAGTCGTACCTGGGCTGGCAAGATGGGTCGACTGGTGTGAGGACGTGGGGAGGGTGGGTGCGAGGACGTTGAAGCTGAAGGGTCGCAGAAAAGCAAGGCTTAGTCATCATCGTAGCTTGCATCGCGGGCAGCTCAACCTCACTTCAACATCAAGCCCCTCCGACTTCGACATCACGTCGCTGACCACACCACCATGTCAGCTCTTTGCAGGCCAATCTCGACTCGGCTGCAGCTCGCTGCTCTGCGGCCCTCCGCGGCTAGGGCTATCGTGCCCCAACACCGAAACTACGCCAGGGATGTGCAGGAGACGACGCCGGAGGACGCACCTGGCCCCCGGGCGACTGGCGATTCGACACAGATCAGAGAGCAGAGCGCGGCGGAGGGAATGAGGCACCAGCCGGATTACAATGTTGCCATCGACTACAGGACATCGTGCGCTGCTCCTATCCTGACTTAGCCGAACATGACTGACATCATTCAGCAACTTCTCCCCGATCCCCAAGCGCGTCATGGACGGCAGTGAGCCTGGCGAGTCCGTCGCTGCAGCTGTTCTCTCTGGCGCCCCTATCGACCTCCAGGCACGCACCGTCCGGTACGTCCCTCACATTAATGTCTGGGCGTCGTAGACTGATGAAGAGCAGCATCTACCGTCCCACCAAGGCTGCGACGCAGTCCGGAGAGTGGCACGCTCGCCACTGGCTTATGGACTGGGACCCGCTTCCCAAGGGCCACAGATGGGAGAACCCCCTGATGGGCTGGCAATCGAGTGCCGATTTCATGAACGGACACCGCATCCAGTTCAGGACGAAAGAAGACGCCATCAACTTCGCGAACAAGCAGGGCTACGAGTACTTTGTACAAGAACCGAACGAGCGAAGATTCGTGCCAAAAGCTTATGCCAATAATTTCTTGCACTCCCCGAAGAAGCTAAAGATCATTCGAACAAAGTAAAGGCAGTCGGCCGCATGGAATTTGAAACGGGGGCGAACATGAGCGAAGCGAATCCATTCTGTACATACAAAGGTCCAAGTATACACCATTTTCCTTTTATTCTTCTCAGCGCATTTGCTAGCGGAGATCGCGCGCCTCCGAACTGCCACTCGGAGGTGTATGCAATGTGCTTGCACTTTTATCGTGATGTACTGTACCTGAACCATTCGGGTTTCCAGGCTCTGGCTCCACGCCCGCCAAGTGTGTGAGTAGAGAATGTTTGCCCGTGCATGTGGAACTCCGGAGCGTGCCATTTGCTTAGGAGGGTCTCTGTCGAATCACAGCCCATTGGGGGCAACGGGTCCAGCTGCGCATGGACATGTCCAACCTGGCTAGGCTGGTGACACAACCATGCCTCACACCGCTGAGAACATTCATGGGTTCCACCGCCTTCGACACATAAATGCCGTCTGCAAGGCCTCCTTCTCCTCGTCATCAGCGTTCCTCCATTCCTGGACCGATTTTGAACCGTAAGAATATTCCTGGGAGGGTATTGCAACGTCGACATCCGCCTGTCCCTGCTCCGGAGGCTTTCGCAATGCTGGGGCTTCTGACTGTCTCTCTCACTCCGGTGGGTGGTATGTTTGACTATCGTGCAACTGATGAATCGGAATTGCACATCCGGCCCCCATAATCATTTCCCACTCTTCAGCGCATGGTATTCCGCTTCGACCGTTCCTCTCCTCTTCCTTTCGGCTCTCATATAATCGGTATCTTCCATGCGTCAGCACACATCTCTCCGCTTTGGTCTATCCCTTCCCTTTCTTCCTAGGTTACGGCAACCATGTTTTCCCTTTTCTTGTATGCGGTCCGCATTCTGTATTCTTCCTGTATCGACATGGCATCAGCGGTCATGTGTTCATTCCCAAGAGCATCTGCTCCTTCATCTTCGCGCGCCGTCCTTCATGATTTTGAAGAGGAATCCAGGGTCCGGATGTTTGATGTATCTCCTTGAGATCTTTTTCCGCCGAACAAGGCCAACCGTCCTGACCGGTTGTTGGTGCCGGGGACTACTGTCATCTTTCTGTGTGGCTCATGCCTCGAAAAGGAGTCCCCGGTCTTCCCTCTGTTCGGAGAACAGTTTTCGGGTTCAGGACAGAGGGACACATTATCCCCCTATGTTCGCTTGAAACCTCTCTTCGCCATGTCAAGGAACCTGTGTGTGCTGCTTTTCTCGGCCGCTTGTAAGAGGTGGGACTCGGCGGATGCAGTGTCTGCGCTTGAGGGTTTGCTCGGCTGTCTTGGGGTGTCGAAGTCTGTTTGAGGATATGAACTCAGCAGATGCCTCAAGATAGAAAGAGTGGGAGCATACTCCTTCAGGCCGAGACTACATGAGATATCGGGATCAAGCCTGCCTTGAGGAACGTCCCGGATGCCGCCAGAAGCTCTCTCGCTCTCCCGGGCTTGACGGTTGTACTCTGGAGGTTGAGCAAATAAACCCAGCAGCCCATGCTGCCTCGTCCCCTGTGTGTACTTGGCCTTGTTGCGTCCGAGAGGATTGTTCTGCGGCTGCAGTACCTGCATTTGCGGGCTCGACTTGTATGTTCTCGCAGCAGAGGATCGAGAGAAGCCTTCCAGGAATTACTTTTAACACAAGTTGCTATACGGGAAGAGGTGGGAGTAAGCTCTTGGAATGAACGAGATGAGTGTGGTATGAGGGCGCCCTTGGGAATAACCTACCCACCCTGTCGAATGTTCTCCGCGTCCACCGCCATGGCTCTGAGCTCCGGCAGACGGAGTCCTTGGGACTCCCGCTTATGATCTCGACACACAGATCCTGGCTCCGAGTGTTGGCAGGGGAAGCGGCTTGAGTTTGAGTATGCGGATTCTGGATCGGCGGTTTGTCTAATGGCTTGCTGCTTGGAAGGAGGAAGAACCCCCGAAGGAATGATGCCAGATGCTTGCCAGAAAGAGAGACGAGCGTACATACTTGCACGCAACAGGATGATGCTGGAACAGGTGCCAAGGGGTCTTGGAGTATACTCACACGTGCTGTTGGATGTTTCCGTGGTCCCATGGTCCTGTCGAGACTCGTTATGGCTCCATAACACCGGACGAACGTCCATGGCCGAGAGAGTTTCCCGAAAGAGGCATTGGCAGTCTGGTAGGATTGGCCTTGGTATGAGGTTTGCTTAAGCTCCCCTTCCCGTTGAAGATCGCCCCCGGGGCTGCGGCTACGAAGGGAGCATGGTGACGCTGAGAGGAAGAGTACCAGTCATGAGAAGTTGTTGCCGTTCCTCCCCGCCCGGTGGTCGTGGTCGTAAGTGGGTCCGGTGTGTAGAGACGTCGCTTCGTCACCGCGGCGACGGGGGCAGGGAGCTTCAAGAGTATGAGCAGCACGAGACAAAAGTTTGGGACACTGGTGACCTGCATGATATGGTTGAGGCCGCCTGCGCGTTGGCCGGTCCTGATACTGGCTTGCTACAACTATCACGAGGACCTTAAAGGGTTAGGCGGACCTATATGCTCTTCGTCACCGCAAGTGGTCTCTCTGCTATACCACGTTGACCTTCAGGTCGGTCACGGGACTCCAAGGGTAGGGGCACGGTATGGGGCCTTGAGTGAAAGGGTTCGATCCAACCAAAGAAAGCTACGAGCTGCTTTCAAGTACCTGGACGAAATATCCCCCCAAGCTGCTCGTCGTTCCGGCGTTCTCCTCGAGCCGTCCAGCACTAGCGTCATCTCTAGTGTTGATACTCCTCTGCCTCCGCTGCCTCTGCGCCCCTTCCCTTTCTACTTCACCCCCGCAACTCTCTCGTCACTCTTTCCACCCTCTCACCCACAACGTTTCTCACCAACCTCATCTGCTCAACAAGAGCTTGCTTCGCATCACCTTCGGCTCCCCAAGGAGCTCTTTTCCCGTCAGCTTCTCTGCTACGCTCGTCACGTCGTCTCGCCTCCCCGCGTCCTCATAGCTGTGAGCAGCTGTGGTAAAGAGCAGGACGAGATCAAGGTAAGCTCACGTCCCCGAACTGCGGCAGCAGCTGCTGCAGCTTTCTGCTGCTCATAACATACCACTCACCTCATCTCGGTGCTGGGAGTGCGATCCTCCTTCCCCAAGCGACCTTTGGCTAACCTGGAGGAGTAGCCAGAACTCTACGCGTTCTTAGTCGTGTAGCGCCAGCAGTAGCTCACCTCACCTCTACCCTTTCTTGTCACTGTCGTCAAGCATGGGTCGTGGCTACGGATACGATATGAGTTACGACCGCCTCGGTGCTATCGCCGGCCACCGTCTCGCCCAGGAGCAAGCAGTGGTAAGCATCGACTTACATCTCTTCTTCATCTATCTCTCCTGCTAATATGCACTCCTACTAGGTCAGGGAGAAAGCGGCCATCCTTGCCGTCCTGGATGCCAAGGCCAAGGCGGACTTAGTCAAGAAGCGTGAAGCTGCTCGCAAGAAGGCAGCTGAGCGTCGGGGCCACGAGCGCGAGAAGAAGGCAAGGGCCAAGGCGAAGAAGGACCTAGAGCAAGCTAGTGCTAAGCTTCAACGCGTCCACAACGAAGAGCTCATGGCGCAGCGCTTCAAGACTGAGGACGAGGACTCTTCTATGCTCCCGTTCATCAAGGAAGAGGAAGAGGACAACATGGACTTCAACTTCCAGGACGACAACGCTGACAGTGATGTCATGGCCGTTGACCGCACGGGAATTGAGGCACCACCAAACTCGTACGTTGAAGAGAGCGCCTTCGAGAGCGCCGCCTTCGTCAATGCTATGGGGTCCACGATCATCCGCCGCAACAGCGCCATTGCCACCTCTGGTACCACCGATGACCACGCTTCCGTCAACAGCAGCGTTGGCAACAGCACTCTCAGCACCTCTGCGACTGTCAGCGCCTATGCCTATGCCAATATCAGCGCCGGCACTAACGGCTTCGGTGGTACTGGTCATCGGGCCAACGGCTACTATGACAACAGTGCATTCGACGAGGCGTTCTACTTCAACGAAGGCCCTGGCAGCAAGTACGCCAACGGCCGTGAGGTTGCTATGGGCTCCTACTATTGAGCTCCTAGTTACGAACGACTCAACCGCTCTAGCGGTAAGTCTTCCTATCGTTCCTCACAAGCGAAGTATGCAGTTGAACGAAGCTGACTGAAGCTACTAGGTAGTGTCTCGCTTCATCTAAGCGTAGTCTTCTTCATCTATGGGCTGTTAATCTCAGGGCTAATGGGTATCGGCGTCAACGGTTCTCTGCACACATGGTTATGTTCCCCGGGTTCCTTATTCGGCATCAGATACCCAGCTCCATTTCCTTGTGTGCTCTCAGCCGTCTTCTCTGATGATTCCTGCGCTGTTTGACCTTAGGGTCATCCTAGCAATCGACACTCGGCGCATTCGCCGTCTAATGTTTGGGGGGTATATCACACAATGAAAAAAAGGCTTTACAGAGTCCAAACAGTGGACATGAAGTGAAAATATGCACATCTTAATCGTGACCGTGGTACCGTGAGCGCCTCTAACTCACAGCCGGGATGATCCTTGCCAACTCCTTGTAGAACACTGCGGACAACTTGCGATTCCCGCTGTCATTGGGGTGCTCGCCGTCGTAGGTGTCGGTCGTGACGTTGAATCCAGAGTTGTTGTCCACGACGATGATGGGAGATCGTTGCGTGCTCTTTTGAGGTGCCCACGTTGCGATTGCCTTGTTGAGTTCTGTGATGCGGGCGTTGGCGCCGTTGAACATGTCTGGTCGCATGGGGATGAGCTGGGAGAACTGGATGATGATGTATGTCAGCAACGCGGGTCCACATTTAAATCTAAAGCTATAAAAATGTGTGACTTACAATGATCTGCATATTCGGCTTACTCGCCCTCATCTGATCGACCAGCGTCGAATACGCAGCCAGCACATCCGGGATCTTCTTGTTTTGGACCATATCGTTGGTTCCCAGATGCATGACCACGACATCAGGACGAGCGTTGGCGAGGATGTCCGGAAGCCAGTTCTTCTCGACGTACTCGATTGCTAGGGCGCCGGGGCGGCCTTCGTGGTCCGAGTCGAAGGGGAAGCCGCAGTCTTTTTTTGTCGGGGCGTTGCCGACGAAGTCGATGTTGGGGTAGCCGGTGGTGGTGAGGTTGCGGTAAAGGAGGGCGCGCCAGCATTCCTGGGAGGTGTTGGTTTGGTATTGGGGAGGGGGTTGTGGGGGAGGGAGGAAGGAGGAGAGAAGAGAGATTGGAGTGGGGTGGTTGTGTGTGCTAGGGAAAATGATGGGGAAGAGGGTAGATGGAATTGGCTATGGCGACGAAAGGTGGAATAGAAACATGGGAGATATGGGGTGTGTGGAAGAAGGAATTGATGTGGAAGGAATGATTCGGATCAGAGATTCAAACTCGTATATGAACTTACAGTGACGATTGATGCGCCGAATGGCATTATCCTGACTGTCGCTGATGCTTGACCCACAACAGTGAGGGCAGCCGCAAAGGAAATGAACTTCATATTGGTAGTAGGTCTGCGAGAAAAAAAATCTCGGAACGATTCTCGGCGCAGTCGTAGGGGTAAGGTTGTTTTACGGTTCGTGGTTGTGGTTGCGGTTGTGGTGCCGTCTTCAAACTTCCTTGAACGTTTATATATTGGGTAAGGACGAACGGCCTTTGAAACTTGCAGACCGTCTCAAGTGCAAGAGCGGAGATGGCGGAGAGCGGCGCCACACCGTCCACAGAGAATCAGTCAGTGAAAGAATAACCGGAATAAACTTCAGGTGGCTAGGGGAATGGTTGACAAAGGATGTTAATCGAGCCCGCACAATGTATTGTGAAAGGCCTTGAATGGAGGCTGTGTGGTGTTGTCAGGCGAATGACTCGGCAGGATTGAACACTCAAAGATGAATGCGATGACGGGTACTCCGTATAATAAACAGAGCAATGCAACAAACGGAAATTACCATCATCTTATAACAATCCTAGATGACCTCTGTGATTGCTATTACCGGTCCCAAGGCGGCTGCTGACTTCCATGGCTGAGCCTTCACCCTGGTCCATGCTAACAAGGTGTGCTCGCGCGAGACCGCCCCACGAGCGTCTCCAACACCGTCACCCAACACCTCATATTGGGCATCGTGAGAACGTTATCGCACGGGAGAAAATGTCGTCTGATGTGGCTTCGGGCACGCTACGCGTGGCCCAGGCTGTCCAACCAACAGCAGCTGCGCCGCGAGACACAGGGTCCGGGAGAGGCGCAAATGATCGTTCCAACACCAACTTTTCAAAAGGCTCGTGGGTTCTAGATGACCTTTGCAATTAGCGGCAGATGGTAGTCGGTGACTAGCGATTGCCAAATGTACCCCCGCTTTCGGAGCGAATATATCCAGATTGTGACGATAGGTAGAGATTGCATATTTTCAGTACCCTTGCGACCTGGTCTGGCGCCAGCATTGTTGTGCATCTCCGCCTTTGCGAGGCGCAGCCCTACTCGTGCGATCAATCTCTCTTTTTTCCTTTTTTTGTCTGCTGGCAATGCTGGTGTAAGCATGGCCATCGGAGAATTTGTGATCGTTCCAGATTCGCTGGAACCCCTGGCATGTTACTCGCTTAGAGCAAGGTGGTCGTTTGGGCTGACGAGATGTGGTGAACTGTGTGGGGGCCTCAAACGTTCCGTTTTGGGAAATACCTAGTCGTTTCAGCCTTGTGTCTTCATGTTGGGGCAAGTTTCGTCTTTTCTTCTCGTGGAGACCGGGTGTCATCTACCGCTGTGGAGACGCGAAGGAATAATCGTAAAGGTCGATGAAGAACAGAGCAACTTGATGCTCGTTCCGAGCAGACGGACCAAGACCGGGATCCCGTCCCGCCTTTCTGTTGAGCTCTTGATATATTGCTCTGGTCGCCTGAACAGCGAGCTTCTCAACATCATGCGGCACAGAATGCTGTCACGGAGTCTCATGATAGCGTCTGTGTCAAACGAGCATGGAGTGCAGACGGGGGAACGCTCCGTTGCGCGACTGTGGATTCTCAAGGGCCATGACAAACAATCTCCTCGTCGCTCATAAACATCGCCTTCACTACACAGGTGGTGTAGTTGTTCTGTATGGGGAGCCGGGATGATATTTAAGGTACAGTATGGGCATCGGAAACCAAACAGTGTAACTCTTAGGTAGATTGTGCGAGTTTGAGATCCTTCGCGTGGTCGCTGATGTAGTTGATTCCACCTCGACAATGCGCAGCAGACTGGCATGTTCGACAAGGATTTCAGTGAATAAGCCAGGGATTGTCTTGACAAAGACTCAGACTCGAAAGGCTTTGTCCGCAGGAAACTCTGTCCTAGAATGCGACAAAAAGACAGCCCATGCAAAGTATCGGAAATGATTACGCCTAGGATCCGAATTTGGCAAAGGAACACAAAGCTTTTGAGGTTGAAAGACGCTACAGGCTAAGCTTTGGAGATCGTCCATGCAGTGCGATGCAGATTCCTGACTAATGCCGATCTAGTTTAAGCATCAGAGGCGTCTCGCAATCATGTCTCACATGGGTAGAGAATCATTAACCGTGGCTTGCTTAGACAGGTTGTCTTTATAGCCTCGACTGAAGGCTTCAAGATCTTCGGTGGCTGGCTCCAGTCATGTCTCTTCAAGTCCTGCTCTTGTGTAAGGAGCCACAACGTCTCGGCGGATGAGATACGGATCTGTTTGAACTGTCAGCCTGGGCCTTCGCATTGAGTACGCCCTTGCTGACGAAAGTAGTAAATGTACGGAGTGGCCACTACTCACATTAGGAAAAGGATGCAGCAGCATGCTGGCTAACTTGTTGATTGTATCGATTCGTGTGGATGGTATGTTTGCTAGGCCCCGGTAAACGTCAAGGGCCAGATGAAGCTTTTGCATGTGCGAGGATTTGAAATGCGCCTTTTGTGTGTAGGAAAGGAGCGCTCGGAAGCTGGGAAGTGCGTTAGCAACTTTCTTCCAACGACGGGGGTATGATGCGCATACTTGAAGGTAGTTGTTACCATGCGCTGCATGACCTGCATGTCAAATAAAAATGCTATGACCTCGAGGAGAGGTAGCAGAGTCCTATCATTGTCCAGACTGTTCTTCAAGAGACCGAGCAAGCAGTTTGCCACATCCAATAAAGTCAGTCCGGATTCAGAAGTCTCGTCAGTGGGTAATGAATCCAGAGTATCCAATAGTGCGGCTCGAGAGTTCTGTACAACTGACTCTGATCCCATACCTGCCGAACTGGCCAGCCCAAGACAAAGTCCTTCTTTGATGTGATCGGGAATAGGTTGGTGGAATAGTTTAAGGGCATTCGCAAAGTATTCGTATGAGGAGACCCCGTCGGCAGTTCTATGGGCTACCTCCTCAAACTCACCGTACGATGTCTGCTCCAGGACATGTGCAGCGCGAGCGCGGATCTTGTCGAGCTTCTCCACAGAAAGTCTGAGTACATCTCCATGCAATTGCTCGCCGCCGTGAGAGTTTCGGAATTGTATGCTGGCGGACCATGCCGTTCCAGTCGTGATCAGGGCTTCGAGTCGGACCAAGGAGCCGACGTCGCCTCTCTCTGTAACCGTATAATCGTTCAATGAAATATGTAAAGCTTTGCAAATCTGATCCACGACGTCTTTGGGTAATTGCCTGGACTCATGAAACCCTGCGTAGCTTTCCAATAGCACAGTCATGGCCCGCAGAGCCACCGTGCGCGCCTCAACTGCAACTGCTGATGTGCATCTGAAAGTGAGAACTCCGATTATCCGGTTCTGGAGTGTACCGCAACCCCTAATAGCCCCTTCGAGAAGCGGATACGCAGCACCCAGAGCTATTGCGTACCCCGACCAGCGCAGTCCGTTGTACGACGCCTCGTTCTCAAGTTTATCCAGCCAAGTGGAAACTAAGGTGTCTTTCTCGCCTGGACTCTTCTTGTCCAGAAGTTCCAGCACACCTTGCGTGGCCTTCGGAATAGCCGCCAGAACGGTGTCTTCATGTCGCGCAAGGCAGAGGTTCAAGAGCCGGGTCATCTCCTGATATGGTAAAACAAGTTCTGGCAAATGCTGCCCCTTCCGAGACATAGCTGCCATTTCCCCTAGAAAGTTGCAGATCGCAGATGCGGTGAATTCGGGCCGCAAAGCTGGTGAGGCGAAGGCGCTCTCATCCAGCCGCAGAGCATTATCGAGCAGCGTCCAAAGATGAGTGAGATCCGCACGTGTACTCGATGTTCTCTTCCCGGTTTCTAATATTCCGGATTGTGGTGAGAGCGACTGATTGACTAGAGCGGAAAGGCACATCACAAAACCCTGCCGTTCTTCAATCTCCCTGGGCCTCAATATCTTCAGCCGCTTGACTACCTCCTCGGCCACCCTCATGATGACGGGCTGGTCCTTGTCTGCTGACAATAAGCCGACTGCAGAAGCCGCAAAGAGGCGAGATGGTGCATCCAACGATCCTGTCCCTCTCCATCCCAAGAGATTCTGAAACAGGGCGTCCCAATACGTTTGTTGCAGTTTTGCAGCATTGACAGCAACGGTACACATAGCTCTTTCTCTGAGTCCCACAGCATGAAAATCCACTATCTGTACGAGAGGTATACCATCGCTCACTGTGTCGGGATGCCGCCCAACAAGCTCTTGCAGGGCGGCAGACGAGCCTCTCCGGATATTGCCCGCTGGGTCCAGACATGCCACGACCAGGAGTTCCGTTGCAACCACTTGGAGTATGGAGATGTTCGTAAGATGTTCTGACGCTCGTACGGAAGATGTCCGCACCGCAAGTAGCTCGTTGGTAGTGTACCGGCGAGCCAATGCCCAAATACCAAAGCAGGCTGCGTCCCGGACGTTGGTCCCAATCGACCTTCCAGTTGCGGATCTTTGCTCAAAAGCGAGGGCGAGAAGCAAAGCGTTCAGTATATCGGGTAGTTGGGATGTAGATACCGCCCTTCGGTAGAGGAGGTGTGAAAGTGTCAGGGTCAGTCCATGCCACCGCAACGGATTGACGCCGCTCAAGTTACGCTGAGAGCCTTCCCAATACACGTTCTCGTTCAATGAACCGAGGATGGCATCCACCACTTCCGCGGACATCTCTGGATCCAGCTTCATAGTGATGATACTGAGTGCTTTGCTGGCAGAGTATCGGACTGGTGTGTCGCCATCCGCAAGCGCATCCAGAAGAAACTCTACGACTTCCTCCACGACCATGGTCGGATCCAGACTGCTGACGGAGGAGGTATCCTGCAGTGAGTGGACGACGATATTGCGGAAACTCTTGATGATCATTTTCCTCGCCACAGCTGAAGACTTGACAAAGCTCAAGCTCTCATCACTGATAATGTTATGGCAAGTTCGATATATATCAGACAGAAATGGGCCGAGCTCTTCATTCGTCGCAGAGCTCACCAAGCCCGCAAGAAAGGAGAGTATCCCAAGGTATCGGTGGATATTTGAAGGGTTTTCGTCGACTTTTTCGAAAGATGATAGAGCCCAGGTAACTATCGCACTCAAAAGCCCAAGCGCTTGCATATCTGGACGGACACATAAGCGGACGAGCAGGTTTGCGGCCGCCCCACGCTCTTTGCTGGCAGACTTCAAGCCATCAACGCAGATAACCAAAGTGCGAATACTAACCTCCGGGACTTCAAGCGGAAGTTCGACACCGAGCGCAGCGGATGTCTCTTTGGAGGATTTCAGAACCGACATCGAGGCCAGCGGAAAAGGGGCAAGCATTAAGTGGGACAACCACAGAAGTTGTATATATCGCTCGACCCATGGAAGCATACACTGCGGTAAAGATTCGCCATCTTCGCGCACAAAGTTCCTCCCTCTTTCGAGTTCAGTGAGAATAGGCTCCAGATAGCGGGGCTCGTTGTTGAGGAATCCTTTAATAACCTTCTCACCCCGGACTTTGCAGAAGAGGTTGAGGATCTGGCATATCACATGCGAAGTCGGTAGGTAGCCCTTCTTCGGCTTGGTAGTACTCTCAGATTGGATTATTTCAAGGTAGGCAGAAACCAAGGGAGGGAGGAAAGTCTTGAGATGAGTATCAAGCAGCTGTGGGTCCTCCTGGAACGGCTCGATCTAACCCAAGGTCAGCAAAAGCATGAGGTAAAAAATATCAAACAGTTCTAACCTTGACTACCAGCCGACGCATGTCGACTTCTTTCACTTGGTAACGCATGACATAGTTATCAGCTCGTTTCTTCCGGAGCAGCCTGGGTAGCAATTTCTCGATATCCGCAAGCAACAATGCGGACGACCGCAGCAGTCTGAGATCGTCATCCTCTCCAGCGTTCATATTCATACAGAATGAAGTTTGAGTGATTTTTGGTGCTGAACTTCTACCTAGGTGCTGTTGATGGCTGGATAGGCCCTGGCACGTGCACTCGCGGGGCACCTGATTTCGCGTGACGCGACTCTGCCGTGCATGGTCTAACAGCTCTCCCAACTTTTCAATACTTAATCACCACCTGGATTTCACTCTCACAGCTCAGGCCCACTATGGCAGATAAATACAAAGAGTATCTCGCCACGCGAGTCCTGGCCGAAGGCAAGCCTGTAAGCCTTGTTCTCCGCTTCCGTCCAAAAGCAACACCTCCAACGCGTGAAGCTCACACTTATAGATAACCTATCGGCTTCTGAGTCGCGCTCTCGCCGTCCATGTCAACACAGCGAAGCAGTACGTCCGCTCTCTCTCACCATATACGCCAATTGATCGTATCTCTAGAATGCTCTACGATTTCCACACCAAGCAAAACGCAAGGACCCCCAACTCCGTTCACGCTACATACCTCATTACGGGCCGAAAGCGCGCACTCGAGCAAACAAATGGTGCTAATGGCGGCGGGGTGGAGGACGAAGACACGGTCATGCAGAGCTCCCCGCCTTACATGAGTTCAATGCCGGATATAGAAGCTGAAGAATCGGAGGAGGCCGCTGCCGAAGCACCAGTCCCTACCACGACGATCGTGCTTGTAAAAGAGGAGGAATTAGAGTGTATGTGCGGCAGCTATATGTAAGAGAACAGCCATCTGACCGGTTAAACAGCCGCGAAAGCAGAGTTCGAGGAAATTACGTCCATCCAAGTGTACAGCCTGGAGCCCGGACCGCTGAAAGTAAGGACGCGTTGAGCATGGAAGAGACCAGAATGTTAATGGAAGCAGGATATGCGCATACTATCTGTCTGCAACCAAGAAATAACTACTTCGTATTCTAGCAGCGATCCTTTGCAGTGGTGGGAGGTGTACGGCATGGTGCATAACCCGTATATCAAGGCATGTATCTTACCCTTCAACTCGACCCCAGTGCTGATACTTTAACAGAGAAGGACAGGCAAGTATGTGCCTCCGCCAACGACAGCGTCAACAAAACCCTTGGCTTCCAAAACAGCACCCAAAGCGGAGTCGAAGGCCCCGGCACATCCATCAGAAGAGAAGTCCAAAGCCGCGTTAATAAGCAAAGGAAATGTCTCGGAGGATACTTCAGGACGCTCGACACCTCAACCTGTCGCTAAGACGACTACCACATTGAAGAAGTCCGATTCGAAGCCAAATCTCAGAAAAGACGCCTCGGATATCTTTAAATCATTTGCAAAAGCAAAAGCGAAGCCAAAGAGTGCTGGGGCATCTAAAGACTCTACTCCAGCGCCTGCTAACGATGGTACGAGTGAAACATCCATTTCTCCGAACCCAGGGCTAATCCATAGAAGTTCCGATGCAAGGCATGTCCGAAGATGAAGGGAACGACGAAGATGACGCCCCTGAAGTCAAGATCGACGAAGAGAAGCTAAAGCAGCAACGCCAGAAGCGGAAGGAGGTGAATGAAAAGCTGCAGCAGATGATGGACATGAGCGACGAGGAGATGGCGGACGTTGAAGAAAAGGGGTCAGAGCCATTGCGAAAAGAGCCAGAAGAGGAGACAGGCTCATCAAAAACCATCGAACCGGAGCCCACCGCTACAGTGACCTCGCAAGGCGGGCGGAGACGGGGTCGAAGAAAGGTCATCAAGACGAAGAAAGTCAAGGACGAGGATGGATATCTGGGTAAGTCTCGTATCACCCGCGGCAGATTCACCCTTCCATCCACCGAACCCCAACGTAGAGATCAGTTTTCTAACTCTCCCACAGTTACCAGAGAAGAAACAGTCTGGGAGTCCTTCTCCGAAGATGAACCACAACCCGTGAAGAAGCCGAAGCCAGCTCCTAAACCTGCAAGTACGGCGAAGGGGAAGGGGGGCAAGATGGGGCAGGGGAGCATTGCGAATTTCTTCAAGAAAGCCTGAAAGAGGGGTGCTCATTATGGGACGATGTATGTCTTGAAAAGATGAATAGGGAGTAGAGCTACGGCCATCGACCCTCCTTTGTCGGACTTGCAAGACTATGAGGGAGATGCCATCGAGCCGAGTTTGGGCTGCCCACTTTCGGGGTCCAAATCACTGCTGCCAATGATCCTGCCAAAATCCCGAGCTTGCTGTACGATGAGGAGCTTCCGCGAGTGGTTCGCCTGAAAGAGAAAGATATAGCTCGCTGATATGAATTCTTGAGCTCCTCTACACGTAGCACTATGCGATTCTTCGCCGGTGTGAATGACAGTGATCTCACATTTTCCTCTCGAGACTCAAGTCATCCTCTCGCACCGGTCTGCACTTCAGGAGATGAATCCGAGTATGTAGTGTACTACGGTTACAGATATATCTTCCAAAAGAAAAAAGGAGTTCAAGACGTCGCCTCCTCTCTTCACCATCTCTGTCTGTCCCATTCCCCGGCCCGGTCCCGTCTCGTCACGTCCGCGTTCCATCCGTCGCAATGCTCGTGCTACTCCTTACCTGCTCCCTCTCCCTCTCAGCAAAATCCACAAACTACATCCCCATGTCCTCGCAGGACACTTTCACGCAAACACGGAATGTCCAAAAGGCTGGGATCACGTGCAGCGGTCGTGCAATGCATCAATTGATCCCCATGTGGATGTTGTACAATGTTGTACTGCAGGACGTGAGCGTTTGCCTGTTTCAGCTAGGTCACTTGGCTCAGAGAATGAAGTCGGAGAAACTGTCACATGCAGCTCGTTTTCGGTACTAGCAAGCTGCACTCCTCTCACTTCTCGCACGAAAACCGCATAGAATATCCGCCTTCTGCTTCTCGCACCCCGCCTTCACCGCATCAGACGTCGACCCCTTCCTGATTCCTCCCCACACATTCTAAACGCAAGAAGTCATCCTCATGCCTGCACAAACCCTTTCTCGGAAACCGCCCTCGCAAAGTGGGCGAACAGTAAGTAGTACTTGTAAACACGCACGAGTTGGACCCGTGACAGATAAATTACCCTTTCACCACATGTGCATGGAATCCTTGCGGTCCTCGCTTCTATCTTTAGAAGGATTCATCGTTGTCGTATCGACTTCTCCGGCGCACAATGATTGGTCATTCATGCAGACGATTCTCCGTCTCATGTTCGAGAAAAGGAAAGAGACGAAAACGTCCGTGGAGAAGGGCCATTTTTCATATGGCGAAGGAAGTCGGGGTGAAGACTCGTGACAATTCCTCGCAATCCCTCGCAAAGCATGCAACTTCCAGCGGTGCGGCTCGCATCACCTCGCCTCATACCACAGTACGTGCATACGTCTGATTGAGGTTATTGCGAGGCGCTCGCTGCGGTGCGTTTCTCCACGGGCGTTGCACCTCGGCGTTCCCGCCCCGTTGCTCGACCAGTCCATCCCAACCACCTGCATCTATGGACAAACGCATGCCAACTAATTTGAAGTTTTTCTCGTGTCTAATATGGGAGGGTCCTTTTGCCCCGTTGCCCAGTGTAGTAGGGGTGCATGAGGGTGGGTTGGTAAAGGATGAAGACTTTGGTGCCCAATGTGAGATGCGCATCGTTTGCGTCACGCAAACCATCACCGCGTCCTTCTCGTTCCTAAACGTAATGCTAGAACATCTAAGCGAATTGTGGAGAACGAAACGGGCAGAGTCCATTATGGTAATGTTGAAGTTGCTCACTACGAGAGGGTCTGGTGTTAGTGGGAAAGGACAATGAGCTTACTACTGGTTTACCGTCGCATTAAACGCCATCAACGCGGTATCAGCCTAACCATCCAACCCGTAAGCATCCAATCTCCTTTCTTGTTTCTCCTTTCTTCTTTTTTCTTTCGAGCGAGCCCTCATCATGGATTTCTGTTCATATGGAGGGACCACGGAAACTTGAACCGCCAAGAGAACCAAGACTCGCCGGCGGCGGGAAGGCTCGTCCCGGTTAGCGCACGGGTGGACCTCGGGAGTGGAGTTTTGGCGGGGCGGGTTTAAACTGTTCCTGAAAGGTGTGCCCAAAATGCCCCCCACCGCCAGCAGCTGTGGGCGCCTCATCCCATCACCACATTCCTGCAAGAAGTGGACTACTCAACACCTGGGCAGAAAAAGCGGCCACCTGTCTTGGACATCGACACCAAGTCCAATGATCCTGCTCGGGCTCCTTAAGCAAGGCGTGAGCAGACCCTCGGATTCGCAAAGCAGTTAATGAAATGATAATGACCTGCAGCGAGACGGGGATCCGAAAACGCTCACCACTGGGAGTACACAGCCTGCACCTAGCAAGCAGGGTCAGCGCTGTGACAAGAAGGTCGGCGACCTGAGCCGCATCTCTGGGGAACCTTGGGTAGACGACATCGCCAATGACGAGGGACCGTTTGTATTAATAAGGGTAGGATAGATTGGGCGGGCGGCAGCGCTTAAGATACCCTAGGGTACGAGGGTGCGGGGTGCGACGAAGCGCAGAACACATGTCAGGGCAATATAAATGTTGTTGCACGGCATTTGTCTCGTGCAGCGGGAGGTTGGGTAAAGGGAGGGATTGGCAGAACTTCTGAACCGTTCTTGTTCAGATGATACTGCTTGTTTCATCAACGAATCTGGTAGAATTTCATGTAGTTTGGTACATTACCTATATCAGCTCTTGTATAGAGTACGGAGTACGGAGGTACACTGTAGCGAATCGTTGGAGCACAGAATGTTGTTCGCGAAGCGGTGTAACTGCGAAACGGATAGATGCAAGTCGTTTATCAGAATAAACCCCCTCCCACGCAAGCAGGGTCGCACTGCCGCGGACGCACTGCAGCCGAGATATTGAATATCGACACCTTCGTAACCTTCGTTTGAATGTAAAGTCGTCTCCTCAGGCCAGAATGGGGTTTCCACTGGAGCGTCTCTAGCATGTGGCTTGCGTTGTAGAGTGGAGCAAGATGAGATATAAAGTACCCCTTTTGTACTATCCGAAGCGCCCTATTTTCATTGATTGAATGTGGCTGACTCGCAGTATGAATCTCCATCGCCGGATATTCATCCTCGATTGCAGGGTACCTCCTAACGGGAATTCGCGCATCAGAGTGTATACGTGGCCGCACATTAAGAAAACATCAAGAGCCTATGGCCATAGCTCTTCCGTCTTCCAGCCAGCATTCGCACGCGTGTCTCCGCTTTCATCAAACGTATATCGGTACCGTCTGGCAGTGGCAGGGTCGCTAAGGTTGATCTGCTCGACCGAATCTGGGACAATGATGACGACGCGGAAGTTCTGGCGGGCAATGGGATCCTCAGGGTCAGATACGGTTGCGCCCAGCTGGAGGTTCTCGGAGTCGTAGGGTGCTTGGACCGGCTGTCCTGGAGGAGGAGCTTTGAAAGAGCCTGGCAATACCATCAGTCATTGGAATGATGATAAGAAAGGATGCATATGAGTAGGCACCTTGGATCACTGGAGATTGAGCATCAAAGATCGCCGTCAGCTCTCTTGCCCAACTCCATTCCTTTTCTCTGGATTCATCCACTATCCTCATTCGTTTTCCTACTTCGCTTTTCAACGTGCGTACACCGCTGCTCTCCTCGTTGCCTTCAACATCTTTCGCAACGACGAAAGCTCTGCCTTTGATTCTCCACTGCGTGCCACTTTCCTCGCACCACCACACGGCTTCTACTGGGCCTCCACCACCGCTCCCCTGCGTCTGCTCTTTCTTGTCCGCATGACCCGCGCCCGTCCGGAAAATCTGGCCTACTTTTTCCATTCTTACATCAGTGGTGAACATTGGTAAGTCACTCTCGTAGACCTTTGGATTTCTAGGTGCTTTGCTGTGGGGATTCTCTAGTAGCTCGGTCCAGAAGCCGCGGAAGATACAATATCGGGCTCGAGGTACGTAGGGAGCGGGGGCCCCTGGAGGAGCAACATCAAGCGTGCTGAAAACAAATTGGGGGGTTTTCATCTTGGAGACATGCTGTTTGAATAGCGACTTCCATGGCGCGGGTGGGAGCACCGATGCTGTCGGAGCTGTGTGCGCCATTGCGTGCAGGAGACGCGTAAGGCGGGCGGTAGGAGAAGAAGAAGCTATGGTTGTTGCTGTGATTGTCGATTGAGTAGGATAACTGCAGGGGAGTTCTGTGAAAGCTGTGCTTGACACGGTGTGTTTTGATTCTGACGTTCAAGGAGGGGTTTCGTCATGAAGATTTGCTAATCACCGAGGAGTGAGCACCCCTCTTCCGCGTCCATGATGAGATGCGCTTGTCAATTAAACGTCGCACTAGGTATCAGCACGCAGAAGATGAATGTCCTGTTTACACAGAACAGCTTTATCGTCCACGGATTACGTGTGTTCCTGCGGTTGCAGCGTGGTTGATGGCCCCAGATGCGGAGCGGACCTCCGCCGTTAGTCTTGGCACTCTTGAGCTTATTCCGTGAAACACTGATGAATTCCCACCAGTCGTCAGAAGCCTTTCACACAATCAGCCAGGCGCCTCATCCGCAGTTTAACGTGCATTGCAACTACAAACTTCGAACGCAATAATAATGCCATAGCGACAGCGATCGAACGAACGACCCCAGAACTCGAAGTGAGGCCAGCTCACCGTGTCAGGATGAGCCCGACCAGACATGGGATAGTGCCTATAGCAACGCGGTGTTAAGGTCCACCATTGTGGGAGGACGGCGACGTCCCCCATGAAGGAGCAAGGGGAGGCAGGAACATGCTTCACCAACCCTGTTGTTTATGCTGGGCCGTCGCCATGCCAAATATCTTCGCCGCTCCGGAGACCTTTGTGTTTCTCCAGCTTTCTCCAGCTTTGGCTCTACCACGGGCATCTTCCGAAATGGAAGACTCCAACATGCTTATTACTCAGTTTCGTCGCCTCTGCCTTTTGTCGCGCTGGGTAATGTCTAATGGAGTTTGCAGAGAGGTAGAATTGCGGGTCAGTCCAGATCATCAGTCACGTTCTGCTGAGCGGCATTTCACCCCGAATCCTTACTATGTAAGCGCGGCATTTCCCGCCTGTGTGGCTACACCGCTTCGATTCCAGTAACAAGTTCAACGACACGAACGGAGGACGGCCAGTCCTGCTATTGCAACTTATGGAGAGGGGCACAGCGGGGAGACAGCCAATCGCCAAATCAGGCAACCCTTCGGCGAAGGCGACACATGCTGACAATAATGGACGGATCACAGAAAGCCCGGCATATGGGCAAATGGGTCTGCTTTCTCTCTCTCCTGTGGTACTCTCGACTACACCATACGAGTATACCGACGGTTGCTGCGATGCCCTCCCTATTGCGACAGCGGCGCAGCCAATATCCCAATCTGGACACAGGAGAGAACTACATAGCACATACTACTTCTTTAGTATACAGCAGTGATGAAAGGCTCGGGTAATAACTAAAGCGACGTCAATTCAGCCAAACGCGGCGCTGCGCACTGCGGAGGGCGGAAGCCCGCCAGACGCGGCCCGCCCATACTTTACTGTATTAGATTCCCCCAGCCAACGGCCACCACCCGCAGACTGTGAATTGCTCCCCCTTGCCCACCTCGCATTCACCTTGCAGGCCTTGTCGTTCCTCATCGTCACTCCTCTTCTTCCTCCCCCCGACGCCCGTCCCTTGCAACCTCACCATGCCGGCCGCCTGGCCGATCCCCCATGCCCATCTCGTACAAGTCATGAACCCCTGCTGCTGTCCTCCCGCCCTCTCATAAACCACTCGCCCGCTCTCCCCATCGCGCGCCTCACCCTGCATCCTCCCGTCAGCCTTCCACCGCCATCCCAACGCCATTCCCCACCAACCCTGACGACAGTTCCTCACTCCTCCTCAACATCATCGCTCGCGTCGCTGTCGCTGCGACTTCTCGTGCTGGCGCCAACCCACTAACCGGCCCGCTCCCGGTCGGCCCCATCGGTCCCATCTATCCGCTTCGCCTCGACCCTCTCTCACCTCCGCGACCGTCGCTGTACCTTCACGTCGCACGCCGCACGCCGCCAAACCATGGCGGACATCGAAAAGTCATTCATCTACCTGCAAGACACCATCCCATCATGGTTCAAAGAAATTGCTAGTATTGAGGAGAAGATAATCCGCATGCAGGAGGAGATTTCCCGGATGCCAGCTCAACATTCACGTCCAATCAAGAAAAAGACGGGTTCTATGGAGTCTATACGGGACCTGGATCCCATCAAGGAGAGCCCGAACAAGCCCACCGCCGTCCCGGCCGCCCAGCTATCAACATGGAAGCGGAAACCCGCGTCACTCGCCTCGGGCACTTCATCGCCCACCCGTTATCGATCAAGAGCCATGATGATCATCGTCCACTACGATGGCCAAATACAAAAGCAGTTTGAGACGCTCGTTCGGAGTATTGGCACCGGTCGGAACCTGTTGCGAAAAGCTAAGATGGCTGCCAGGGCCCAAGCTCTGGCCGCGCTCGCCAGCTCCGACGACGACGACGACGGGTCGGACGAGGATCTCATGGCCAAGATCCAGTTACGCCGCCGGAATGGTCTTCCGTCGATGCGAACCCAGAGTGCCATATCCAACGGACGTGCTGCGACTTCTACCTCCACCACAACCCCAGAATCATTATTCGACTCCACCGATAAGCTGTTGGAACAGGCGCAATCCCTGTGCGAAAGAGGGGCACATCAATCTTTACGAGAAGGTGACTGCCGCAAGGAGCTAGCAGGGATGAGGAAGTCCTTCTTAGAGGTGCAGGAAACCGCTGCAAAAGAGGTTGCAAAGTATAATGCGCAGAAAGAGCAGGAAGCGGCACCGACTGCGAACCCGGAGCCCGAGACGGAGCTGGCTTCATCTCTCCCGGTGCCTGACCGTGTTCTTCAACCCAAGCTCGCGTACCAAGACACCAAGCCGCTAGTACCTGCTGTATGCTCCGTCCCGACGGCACATATACTACCGAAGGACACGGTCCTCGAGGTAGACGATGACGATGAGGACGAGAAGGACTTCGTCATGCCGCCAATACGAATGATGTCTCGAGTGTAATGGCTGCATCCCCCCTTGCATTTTCTGCGTTCAAGCGATTAGCATTTCTCTCTCATCACTTTTTGGGCCGGCGTCATTGGGAATATCTACTGGAATGGGCAACTCGAACTGGACGACCTTACGCTGTATTTACGACCTTCTCACTTTGCATTAACGATTTGGGCGTCAGCTCTTGCATCTGTGTCCTGAAAAAAATATAGCAATGGCTCTATCTGCATCTACCTGCCTTTGGCTTTTACAAGGCGATCTTGAGAGCTGAATCATGTGTTCATCTCTTCCGCTTGGCTTTTGGCTTCTATGCCACGCTCACTGGCTACGTATAAATCATCTTGTAATTACCTCTTACTTCAAACAAGTCTTTGATCTTTCTCTCAAGCATGACAACCTTTCTTACGATCCACACACCATTTTGGTCGACATTCTTCTTCGTTCCCCAACTCTCTAACAATCAAGGCATCACCCGGACTGAGGATGTCTCGAGGTACTTCCTCTCGCTATCTTCTTCCAACCTAGTAAGCCTCGCAGATATTCCCAAGCGAGCTCTCTGCTATTGAGCATTAGGAACTCCTTATCATACTCAGTTCTGAACAGTCTCCATGCTCTCGGCGGCGAAGAGCTGTGACCTTTTCGGCACCAATCCAGTTCCCACATCTTCTTGATAGACTATGATAATACATATCAGGGTACTGTGAAGGAGCTTGGAACCATCGGCTCAGGGGCTTTCGCAATATCCATAGGAAAACGCATGATGATTGCGGTTCTAAGCTATACTGATTACGCATCTTCAAAGGGAGAAAGAATTAAAAGAAGAATGAACCAACCTGCATCTCTACCATATGAACCAACCCGACGACCCTCACGACACACCTCAGTCACATGTTCTCACGACTGCCAGGCGTTCACCTGGGCACCCGTGCACGCGTCCAGCGCGTGCCTTCCCTCTCCGGCAGCACACTTGCGTCAGTTACCCGCTTCTCCCCTCGGAAACTCGCCTTCACCCCCAACTCGACGCTCGTTTTCACCTTCACCCTCATCTTCACCGGGTGCGTTTGCTGCCAAGATGCCGCCTGCATTAAGTGACTACGACTCAGATGGGGAGCTGCTGTCTTTCTCACTCACCACCTCCACCGCCCCCACTTGCACGTCTAGTCTTGGAGTTGACAATAAGGTACGTCGTTAAGCCTCTGTGACGATACAAGACCATTGAATTGCTCTCATGCTAATCATGACGGCTTAGATCCCGCCGCGTTCACGCACCTTGATCGAGTCGGCGGGCGAGGAAAGCGGTGACGGCGACGGCCACAAGGAGGAGCAGTGTGAGAATAACGTTCCGTTGCAGAATCTTGAAAGCAGAGGGTTGGGAGCGTCTACAGTAGGTTCTATCCCCTTCGGCCCTGCCGAAACTGCCATCTCTTCCTTGCCTTGCCTTTGCCTTGATTGCGTTCGTTGTGGTGTGGCATGAGCTGAGAGCGCTTTTGTGCTTGGAGCGTCCGGTTTCGCGTTCTTGTTCGAGCGAGACGTTTTCGATTGAGCGTTCTGGGATTGGGGACTACGAGGAGGACAAGCGGGACATAGTCGAGTCAGACGACGACGTTGTGGTAAGTCTCTGCCATCCCACTGCCTTTTCTCTTTCCTTGTGTCGTGTCATGAGCTGAGAGCGCTTTCGTGCTTGAAGCATCCGGTTACTGTTTCGAGCGAGAAGTCTGCTGTTGGGCCTTCCGGGGTTGGGAAAGAAAAGGAGGACCAGGAGTTTTTAGTTGAGTCGGACGACGTTCTGGTAAGTGCTATCTCCCCGCTGCCGCACGCCTGCCATACCCCTTGTCCTATCTTGCTGCCGTCTCGGCACTCTTTGCCTGTGCTAAGGGCGTCGGAGATCGCGAAGCGAAGTGTTTCCCGGACGAAGAGAAAAGCTTCCAGCTTGAAGGACAAGGATGTTGGTGGTTCAAGGAAGACTCTGGTAAGTCATGCCTTCCGCTCTCCCAGTGTTCAACTAACGGCATGTCAGAAAACGGGATCCGGGAGAAGAAAACGGTCTGCCATTTGTGACGGTCTTGACGTGAACAACATCATCCCATCCGACGACCAACCCGTAGAACAGTCCTCAGCTCCTACGCTCCCTTACAATACCAGAAGCAAGGCTCACGGCCATCGTCCACGGAACGAACTCTGTTACGACCAACGCTACCATCCCCTAGACGAGTACACGCGTCCGAAGAGAGCTGCAAAGATGAGGGAAGAGCACGGGGTGGACTTGCCCGATTCAGCATCCGACTCCGATGCTTATATGCATGTGGCGAGTGATAGAAACAGGAGGTCGACCACGACAGAGTCGGCTCCAACCAGACGTTCTCTGCGTCCTTCGAACCGCTCTGTTCTGTACAATACCAATGTTCATCCGCAGGACGAGGAGCTCGAGGAGCTTTTCAAATGCGAGCAGGAGGATGAGGAAGTCAAGGAGTCGGTTGAGGAGGACATCGAGGAACATGTTGATGACGGCGGCTTTGCGGACGTAGAGGATGGAGCAGAGGGATATGATGTCGAAGAGGAGGGAGAGCATGATTTGCCCTGCCTTGAGGAAGAGAATGGAGAGGAGGAAGTAGAGTATCAAGAGTATGAAGCGGGAGAAGACCAGGAGCAGTACGATGCGGAAGAAGGGGAATATGAGGGACAGAACTATGCGGAAGAGGAGGAAGAATACAACGTGCAATATCACGAAGAGCGGGCGGATGATGAGGCACAAGATAACGAAGAAGAAGAAGAAAATGAGCGAGAGTATGCGGAAAGCGGCGAGCGAGGAGACGAGGGCCAGTATGATGGCGCAGCCGAGACCACTCACGAGCCAAGGCAAATGGAACAACCGCTGCCCTCGAGAGAGCAGCTAGCTGAGGAACGCCCCCGACCGGGCGATCTCTCAGATTCTGAATTCTGGGAATTCGCTCACCTGCTCCTTGATCTACAGGAGGGCGGGGTAGACTCTATACGTGAGGAATCCTACACGAGCTTTCTGGCGTACCTTCGTCTCGGTACTGGACAATTCAGCTGGGAGAAATCTTGGCTTGCGGAGCTTGAGGAGCTCGAGAAATCGGGCGCGCCAGGGGAATCGCCTTGGCCGTACCAATTGCAGAAACCGGCCTTCGAGCTCTACCTCGACGCCGACGACATCGGCAAATTTAAAGAGCGACTCCGCAACATCAACTGGAAGGTTGAATTCATGCTTGAAGAAGGCCACGATGTCGACACGAAGGAGAACGAGCTATCCAGGGGCGAGGGAAGGGAGAGCAGGGTGGAAATCGGACAACGTCTCGGGACGTACATTGATGCTATCTGGGACACGCCTCATCGCTCGTCTAGGCGTCGGGTTCTGCGTCTGCGCGTGAGGACTGAGAACGAGAACAGTGTGCTTTACGACGTGGGGCTTGCGTGGTCGCGGTATGAGGCTTTGCAGGAGCAGTTCTGGGGTGCGGTGGATGTGGCAGAGAGGGAGATGTGGCGTATGGAGGACGAGGACGAGGACGAGGACGAGGAGCAGGAGGACGAGGGGTAGGAGTAGGGTGTTGCTCGAGCGCAGCGGCGCCGTTTCTGGGGTTGGGTTATGTGCTGGGATGGTATGTGGGGATTACGCGAGGGCTTTTTCACAATGCAGTCCTTAGGCCATTTCATCTGGTTTCTTACTAGCTGTTTAGCAGAGGACTTTTCTCCTCCTGTTTTCTAGCTCAGGGCAATTTAGCAGGAGAATTTAGGGATCTGTAGACTATGAACACAGCAAGTTTTTTTTTTTTTTTTTTTTTTTTTTTTTTTTTTTTTTTTTCCGCGGTGGCAATAAACCGGGTGATCATGAGCGATTTCCGTCATCTCGATTTGATTATCCCTTCAGACTTGATCATCACTAAACCCTCCGAGATTAATGCCTTGTACCCCTTTCTCAATTACGTGACTTAGAGCAATACCCATTATTCCGACTTGTGATAGCACACTACCCTCACCCTGAAGCGTAACCCAGATTATTCCACCGTGGCGTAAACTATTGTATCCTGAGCAAATTCATTTCTCAATGCGCAACAAGCTCCTTTCCAACGCCCTCTTATCCTGTATTACAGAAACGGCACTATTGCATACTACCCTCAAAGCACCACTCGTTCATACTTTCGTCCCTCCTACGAGCAACCAAGTCGACAGAAAAACGTCCCACTCCGACTTCTTTCTAATACCGAGCCGCTCACGCTACAAGCAGGAATGACTAACCAACTCGCTAGCACCAGGGGAGTTAATAGATTTTATAGTCATGGTTTGATTACTGTCGCAGTAATCACAGTCGTAACTACCGTCGTAGCCGTCGTTATAACAGTCGTGCACAAAGCAGCAGCAGAAGGCGAACCATCAACAACAACCCTCCTACACCTCCCCGCAGCCCCCGGTCTCCCACGCGCCTCGTGCACGCAAATCAGACCCGGTCCGCAAGGCGGTCGCGATGGGAGGATAGCTTGGTCGCAGAAATCTCCTTCTTTGCCTAGAATCGGTGGAGGCGTGCACGCTGGTGGTGATGTAGTTGTTCTTGTCGGTGTCGGTGTCGGTGTCGTGGAAAGTGGGATACCGCACACGCCGCCCGCATCGGGGAGACGGGGGTCGCGCAGGATGCATGTGAGGCCTGGGGCGCAGGGGGGGTCGAGGGGGAGGATGAAGCGGTTGCAGGGGGAGCCGGGGTGGCCGTAGGTTGGGGTTGGTGTCGGTGTTGAAGTTGTTGGTGTAGGAGGAGAAGAGGGGATTCCGCAAACGCCGCCCAAGTCTGGGATGCGCTCGTCGTGGAGGATACATGTGAGGCCTGGGGCGCAGGGAGGGTCGAGAGGGATTCGGTAGCGGTTGCAAGGGTCGCCTGATTGACCGTAGGTTGGCGTTGGCGTGGATGTGGGTGTTGTAGTGGATGGCGTTGATGGGGTTGGGGTAGCAGAAGATGATGGGGTTCCGCATACGCCGCCTAAGTCTGGGATGCGCTCGTCGTAGGGGATACACGCCAGGCCTGGGGCGCAGGGAGGATCAAGGGGAATCTTGAAGCGTCCGCAGGCGTCGCCTGGCTGGCCGTAGGTCGGTGTCGGTGTCGGTGTTGCGGTGGTTGGCAGCGTTGAGATTGTTGGGGTTGAAGAAGATGATGGGATTCCGCAGATGCCGCCCATGTCTGGGACGCGCTCGTCGTAGAGGATACATGCGAGACCTGGTGCACAGGGAGGGTCCCCGGGAGGGAGGGTGAAGCGTCCGCATACGTCGCCGATTTGGCCGTATCGCGGGGTTGGGGTGCCTGGGGTTTCTGGGAGGGTCTGGGTTGAGTATGGAGATCGGCGGGCGAGGACGTGAGCCTCTGAGGGAGTGAGGAAAATGAGGGTGCTGTGGGGAGTTAGCGTATGTTGAAGTGAGGAGGGAGATATTTGATATTTACTTTAGCAAGAAGCTAACTGCCAAAGCAGCGAGGCGGGCAGAGGCCGACATGTCGTAATGTAATAGAGTGCAATAAGTTGATGCCGCTCTGTTCTTAACCAGTGCTCTGCCGAAAAGTTATATGCCTGGTCCGTGGACAGAGAGAAGTCCTAGATGGAGAGCTTGTTGCGTGGTGGAAAAAGTTCGAAGGCTCAGGTCCTGAGCTCGACAGCTATAAGCACCTAGTTGGAGTTGCTCCAGAACAAATAGAAGACGTGAGCAAGGTAGAAGCTGGCAACGGTTTCAGGGAACCGTCAATGGCACCCCGTTACAATCTGACACGCCGTTACAATTTGACGTAGTCCTAGCGCGACGTTGTAGACTCTCAGGAGACTGAATATATATACTCGCTCCCAGCTGCAGATCATGAGATCCAGCCATATGGAAAACCCTTGCATAGGGAGCTCACAGTGTGGTGGTATGCCGAGAAGTTTTGCTGCATAGCCCAAGGGTATAGCCAGGAAAGCTTACTGTCTGAAGATTGTAATCGCAAGTCGTATCTGCTGAAAATACAGTCCTGTACGAGGCCTAAAGAATAGTTGTGGTGGCCTGATGACCACTAGGCCAAGCGTCGGGTAGTCCTAGCAATATATTGATTCTGCGCAGGTAAGTCGTATACGAGAAACAGTATCCCTTGCGTGGACAAAGAATCAGGTCAATAGATATCAGCCAAGCAGGGTAAAGTCGTGTTGGATACTGCACCTCTCCACGTCCAACCAAACGGCCAGCAGCCGTACGAATACGACCGCCCTTGTGATTGGCTTCGCAGCGCCTCTATCCAGATATAGTAGGCCTCCTGCCTTTTCGATGGCCTTTTCAATGGAGTTGCTGACAAGTGACCTGCAGAGGGATGTTCTAGTCGGACGTGAAAATAGGCAGTGCACATCGTTCCTTGGGTTAACTCGGGTCTCCTCGACGCAAAAGTTTCTTTCTCTCCAAGTTGCAGAGTCGTTCGTGCCATGGGAGAAAGGAACATGCTGATGTCCATAGGTAATATATCCTAAATACGCAGAGAGAGTGCCTATCCGATTAGCGCATCGGCTCCGCTCGTTTGCCATAATGCCCAACGAGGCTACCTTTCTGAATTCCAATCTTTTACACAAGCTATCTCTTTACAAAGCCCAAAAGCCCTTCCGAGTGCTCAACGCCTCGTATGCAGGAAGATATAATATACATGTCTCCAAAGCTTGCATCATCACTCCAGATCATGCGTTCTGCTTCGGCTTCTTCGTTCCGTATTTCGACCGCGACGTAATGCGGTTTGCGACACCACCCTGACACAGTTAGCTCCCAGCTCCCAGTGTCCAGCTGCAGAAAATGACGTTGAGGATACGCACCAGATCCAATGCTCCCCTAACCAGATGGTATTTCACACCGGGGCAATCCTGTGCACGACCACCACGAACCATGACTACTGAATGCTGCTGTACATTATGTCCTACCGTCAATTAGCAACCAGTCCTTCTAACCCTCTTCCATCTCCCCGTCCTCTAGGCATGGGAATACACACCTTCACCAGGGATATACGCCGTAACCACCTTCCCACTACTCAGCCTCACCCTCGCAATCTTCCTCTCCCCCGAATTCGGCTTCTTCGGCTTCGTAGTCGACACCTTCAGACATACGCCCTTCATCTCCGGTCGATTGGCCAGCGCCGGCGAGCGCAGTTTTCGCGGCGGTTTGGGGTTTCGGCCTTTGCGGATGACTTGGATGAGGGTCATTTTGGGCCGGGATTGCGAGGCGGAGAAGTTGCGTGTTGACAATGGGGTTTGGGATGGTGCGGTGACATTGTGGAGAGCGAGGAGGGATTGCGGCGTGCTCCGCGGTGATGGAGGGGTGTAGCGGTGGAGAATGGATGGCCGGGCGAGGCGTCCTAATATTTGGAGAGGCATTGTGAATGTATGATGGTGTTGCGGCGGCCGAAGGTGTGGTTTGATGAGGTTCAGAGTTTCGAGATGGGAATGCTTGGCGGTGAGTTCGGTCCGTGCACAAGTACTCTCTATAAGTCTCAGAGTACGTGAACATATCATGTATACATGTAGTGGCACAGTGGTTCCCCAGACACAAATGTCGTAATAATATTGACATGTTTCATTTATAGGACTGAGTACAATCCCATCTGCCATTCAGACATGATGTACAGGATATCCGTATTCATAGCATATCCGTTACCGGACCAAACCCCTTAAACCGGAATGTCCACTCCACATCGCCATCGTCTGTATCACTCTCTTCCATAATCCAATCATGAAAGCGAGTATCATCCGATGGCGGTCCATGATATAAAGGTACCTAACCCTGTGGCTGGCCCTGGCCCTGTGTGTGCGACTCCGTCAATGCCCCCTTGACCGCCTCAAGGAAATCCCCATTAGTATACGCCTGACTAGCATCCCAAATCATGACACCGCCAAACGCATCCTTCTTCCGGAATTCCTGGATGATTGGAGCAAGTCGTGGGGCTGGAACGTAGCCTCTACCAGCGGCACCAGTGTTGCCCGGAACGCCCACGAAGATTTTGACGTTTTTGTTCTTGGAGGCGGTTCGGGCCCAGGTATCCCATTGGTGGAAGTTGAAGGGGTTTGGTGAACCGGGGACGTAGTTGTGGACTGCGAGCAGAGTTAGTATATTGTGGTATTATCTCAGTGGGACGGGGAGTGCAATGGGGATCGGTCAGTGGCTCAGTGAGCTTGAATTCCGCGCAGGGCAGGAATCAGAACGCCCTTGTCCCCTCCCCCCTCACAGGACGGGGAATGAGCCTAAGGCCCAGAGACTCGGCGTCATCGTCCGTCTCTTAGTGGATGTACTTACCACCGCACCAGTTGTTATAGAATTGGACAAAGACCATATCAAGCTGAGCCTCCTGCATGAGTTCCTTCATCCAGACGTCGGGATACGGGCACTGAGGAGCAGCTGAAAGATAGAACTTCCGACCATTACCAACGCCGTTCGTGTAGTCGTCCATCAGTTGGCGGAGACGCTGGGCGAAGACACTCGAGTGAGCATTGGGACCTTCGAAGTCGAAGTCGAATCCGTCAACAGAAGCATATCCGAATGGGCGATAGACTTGAGAAGGGTAAGGATGATAGATGTCGTCCTGTGGCGGACCGAACATGGCCCAGATCTTGCCAGCGGCAGCCGTGGCGGCCTCGGGGTTGGGGAATCCGCCTTCCGTGTAGGCGTCGCCTCCGATGGAGAGGAGGACAGTCTTTCCCTTCTTGATCTGGCATTCCTGAATGTCGGCTCTTTGGGCAAAGTTAGCAAAGAAACTGACTAAGGGCAGTGAATGAGAGATCACGTACTCAAGGTCGGGACACTGGAACAGACCAGTGCTACCGGGGAAGTACGTGCACTTAACAGGGTCCGGTGGAGCCGTCACGCCTTGGTTGGCGAAGTTCTGGGTCGGTAGTCAGTGTGCGCAGTTCTGGTGTTATAACCCATATGGACATGCACTTACAAGGACAGGATTGCCATCGTTGCCGACGAAGCGGAGAAGAAAGGCGACGATAATGATCTGACAGCTCAGTCAACGAACCATGAGAACGAATCTTGGGACATCTTACGTCAACATTGGGATCTATTCAAAACCGTTAGCCGTCATCCACATCGATCTCACGGAACTCTTTGGGGATGAGGACAACTCACTGTCACAGTACTTGACGAGGCGATCCTGAGTCGTCATCTTACCTGCCGAATTCTGACCTACGAGTTGTTTAGTATATGCTATGGCTACTGTACTTGAAGAGGCTCACCCCAATACAGAGCGACGTTGTTCTTGGAGCTGATGTTGAACCCGGCTATACCCTCGCGGGCGGTAGCCAGGAGCAGGAGGAGAGTAGAGAGGAGCATTTCGAAGGATAGCGTATGGTTGTGAAGTAGGAGGTTGGTAGGATTGTTTGGGAAGGAGGTTGCGTGAGAGAAGGAGGTTTATATATGCGCCCCTTCGTCGGGGGGCATCGCATGGGTTGTGCTATGACCTAGTCACATCAGTGAAAGGCTATGCTTTCCACTCCATTCCACCTGAAGGGGCACCAGCTCTCCGGATACCAGCACGGGGCAGTTCGGACATGAGTGAAAGTCTGGCAACGTTTGTACGTGTTCCGCTATTGGTCCATGGGTCGTCCTTGACTCTCTACTTGACAGGGAAGTTGCGGTGTTGCCGTTCACCGTTCACCGATTACGTCTTCACGTCATGGACACTTGGGCAAGGGTCACAGTAACTACACAAGATGACGCAGTTAAATGTATGTTGCCGAGATCAATAACAGGTTGATATTGGTATTCTTCTCGACTCCGCCGAGTACCAGATGGCTACCCCCTTTTCGAGTCCACGCCAGAGCCAGAACGCCAATAAATGCAGAAACATGCGTCAAATCCATTGATAGCAGCCTCGTTCACGCTTCAAGTACATCTACGATTGGTCCTCCATCGTCATATCCTCGAAATCATCCAACAGCTGCTCCATCGGGATCTCCAATCCCTCATCATCCTCACCCACATCGCTCTCCTCCACATCCATGGTATCAGCTTCGGCCGCAGCCCGCAGTTGCTGCTGCTCGGCCTTGTACAGGGCCAAACCAGCTCTCAGCTCCGCATCCTCCTCCACATCGCGCAAGAACATTTCAAAGTCGCGATCCATACGTTCCTGATCTTGCTTCCGGGGTAGCATCTCGCTCTCTTCCTTGGCCATGCGCTTGAGGCGCCAGTTCCTGCTCTTGCCCTTCTTCTTGCGTGCGTAGTGTTTCTTAACGAGTACGACGTCGGGGATCGTACTTGCGTACTTGGATCCTTCTAACGCATCGAAAAGCTCGTTGTTGTAGTTGGTGCCAGTCAGATGGTAGCCCATTACCGAGTCTCCTACGTTCAATATACTGCCCAAATGGGTGCGTGTATAGTATGTCTGGTCGTTGCGGCCTAGATCCGCAGCTCTTGCTACGGTTGCTTCGGCCAGGGTATATCGGCCCTTGGACGGACCTAGAGGCTCAATATCGAGAATGACGAACTCTGCAAGTTCTTGTACATCGGCCAGTGGCCGGAATGGTGCCCGCCAGTAGACGTCTGTTGAGATGTCGGCTGTTTGCAATGTGGTCGGGTCCATGAGATAGACAGAAGTGCCAATGCGATGGCACAAGGTAAGAGGATTTATATTGCCAACCTTCTTAGCCATAGGGATGGGGAGCACGACAAGATCGTCTTTGCACTGATAGATTGTTAGTTTTGTTTTCTGGTCTCTGTCTTCTTGGTTAAACTTACAATTGGCACAATCTCTGCACTATATGAGAACTTGTAGCTCTTCGTACTCGTGTGCACATCCATGCTAATCAGCTCTTGACTCTTCTTGACGTTGGCCGGCACAACGGCCTTCAAAAAATCCACAAATCCCTCAGCATGGTTTCGCTGAGCAAAGTAGAAATCGATCCCGTCGTGCACCTCCTTGATATTTATTGCATCCTTGTGCGCTCCGTGCTTCAAGATCAACTGCTCGAGGAAGAGGAACGTTCGCTTATGTGGGACCTTCTGCCGCACCTGCACGACCGCTCGCCAGGTATTGTGGGTATAACTCTTTGCGCAATCTGCCGGAATCCGTTAGTATACCGAGATCTACGTACAGCAGGGTGGCGAGTACTGACCAGGACATTGGTGATAGTTCTGCATATACTCCACCTCAAACGACTGCTGCATAATGGCCCCCTCCGAAATTTCCGACTGCACCGTAATCTTGACCTTTATCCTCCTCGAATGCGGCTCCGTCCAGATAAAACTCGCATCGATAATCCTCAACTTGTTCAGGCCCCTCAGTTTCCGCAAACATAGCGCCAGCAGTTCTCTGCTTTCCGGGGGCGCAACGACCCATGAGTTTGGAGGTGAGAGCCATCGATCGCAGTCACGGCACATGTGAAGAGTCGCTTCTCGCTGGATGCCTTCCGTCACATCGGTCTTGAGTTTGATGCAGTCGTAGCAGAATGCGCCGGATATCGTCCCATCGACAGGCGCCCCGCAGTCCGCGCAGAGGATGGTAGCGGCGTTTTTGAGCGCAGGCGTAAAATGAACGGGTTGGTCGACCTCCATGTTGGGTGTATGGTATCGTATGGCAAAACTGAAGGCAGAAAACGAGGAAAAGGGAAAGGTGAAGGGTTTATATGAGTAACACCGCCACGGAAAGCTGTCAACCACCAAATTGATGCTTTGAAATTCGTCGCCCCCGCCAAAATCTCGGCTTATCTTATCGCCACGTGCCCAGCCCTGTCGGCGAATTAAGCGCCGACGCCCAGAAAGTTTACGACGATCGACTTCAGATGGACATTTCCATCCTGTCAATCCCATTTACACCGTTCGCAAGCAATCATGTCATTATCTAGAGCGGTGGCTCCAACTGCCGGCTGCTATGCTTGCAGCGCTTATCTAACCCGAACATTGGCTTCATCGGTCGCCGCCAATGGTCCTTCTACGCTCCGCAGCTCCTGGGCTGCATCTCGTCCTGCTCGAAGACAATATACGTCCACAGCGCCTCGAAGGGTGAGAACCCCCAATCTTCCGCCCGTGGACAAAGACCCAGGTTCCGACTTCCTGGAAACCCCTGGTCCGGAGCCCATTCCCTCAGAAACCGAGCCAACTCCGCCCGAAGAAACAGCAAAAGTGGACACGAGAGGAAAAGATACCACAACCGCCTCCACCTCTGCAAAAACGACCTCTTCCAACCCCACACCTCCCTCAGACCCCTCAATCCCCTGGTACCTCCGCACGCAACCGCTCCCAACCACACCCTCCCCCGAAGATGCCCGCGCCCTCATTCCCGAGCTCCCCAAGAACCCACCCCCCTTACTCCAAACCCTCCTAGAATACATCTGCCTCACCGCCGGCCTCGACGACCTACACCTCCTCGACCTCCGCCACCTTGACCCCCCACCCGCCCTGGGACCCAAACTCATCATGATCATCTGCACCGCGCGCAGCGAGAAGCACCTCCACGTCTCCGCCGACCGCTTCTGCCGCTACCTGCGTCGCGAGCACGGACTCAAAGCCGATGCAGCAGGACTACTGGGTCGGAACGAGTTGAAGATTAAGCTGCGGCGGAAGGCGAAGCGCATGAGGATGTTGGCGAATATCGGCGGGCGCGAGCCCGAGGGGAATATCGATGATGGGATCCGCACGGGCTGGATTTGTTGTACGATCGGCAAGATTGAGGCGCACCCTGAGGATACGGATATGCCGGGGGTGTCGGATGTGGAGGACTTTGTGGGGTTCAGGGATGTCAAGCCCGGGGTGAATGTTGTGGTGCAGATGTTTACCGAGGAAAAGAGGGCGGAGATTGATCTGGAGAGGCTGTGGGGAGGCGTGTTGAAGACGCATGAGAGGAAGGATGGGGTGGCCGAGGAGCAGTTGAGGGAGTTGGAGGAGCATCTGGATGGGGAATTCGTCAAGGAGATGGCCCAGAAGGAGGCGGAGAAACGACTGAAGGAAAACCCTCTGGACGCTGATGTTGGTGGAAAACGGGAATGGGAATTCAAGAGGCCGAAACCTTCTGTGGGTGATGTGTTTCCTCCCGCTTCGGAACCCAGGATGCAGCAGGTGCGGAGGCTACACACAATTGGCTTGAGACCGGCATTCTAGCATAGGCATCAGACTTGTACCATATACCATTTGCAAAAGATTCGGCTTGTAGTTAGATATACCCAAACAACTGTACAAAAACCCAACACCACGGCATGCGAAAACATTGATACATTTCCACCAACCCCTTTTACATATTTTAAGATTCCCTCTCGAGTGGGCCCCCTTCTGCGATACGCCTCCCACGGTACAACCCACAGCAGGACTCAGCAGTAGCAGAAGATTCCCCTTGTAGTTAGATATACGCAAACAACTATAGTACCAAATCTAACATCACGGCATACGAAAGCATCAAGACATCTTCACCAACGACTTTTCACATTATTTATTGTTCATAGAGGCCACTTTCTGCGATACGCCTCCCTCGATACGACCCACAGCAGAACGTCAGCAGTAGCAGCGCCGACGAGAGCCATCAATACCCGGACCTCCATCGGCAATGCACGTGCAGATGCCCAGGCATTAAACACAGACGTCCCAAGTGGTATTGTACACAAGCGCCACCCAACCCATTCATTCATTGCTGTGCACAAAAGTATCCCCTCCCTAATCGCCGATTCCGCCACCAGGCATAGACATAGTACATTACCACTCCTTTTGACCATGACCATGTCACGTTGATCTGGAACGTCCAAGCAGTGTACGGATCTCATCATCCCTGTCACTTGAGCGTGGGAAAGAGACGTACGACTAATACATCGGGGGCCTGCCGCCAACACCTTGCCTTGGGCCCGGGCCGCCAAACTGATCGAACTCGGGACGCCCCATCATCATGCGCGGGTCCTCACCACGCATACCCGGCGGCGGACCGAATCCAGGAGGAGGGAAATAACCCTGTGGAGGTCCTTGAGGAGGCATCTGGTTCATTCCAGGCCCACCAGGACCACCGGGTCCGCCAGGTCCGCCAGGGAACATCCCTCCTCTGCCAGCCATTTGCGGGTTGAAACCTGGAGGTGCTGGATGGCCCAGTGGAGTATTACCGGCAGAAAACGGCGGCATCTGGTGTGGGCCCAAGCCAGGAGGAGGCTGCCTGATACCAGCGGGCATATTGAACCCAGGCGGAGGTCCAATGTTGCCCCGTTCTTGGGGAGTCGGAGGCATCCCATGATTCCGCGCACCGTACATCTGCATATCAGGGAGAGGCGCAGACGGTATTCCCATGTTGGTCATTTGGCGGGGAAGCTCGCCGGCCGTGCTGCGGCGCTGCAAGCTTGCAATTGCAGGGTCATCGTATGGCATGGGAATATGGGCAGGTTTCGGTCGCATAGCCTCCTCACGTTGTTGTTGTTGTTGATGTTGTTGTTGTTGTTGTTGTTGATGTTGTTGTTGTTGGCGGAGCTCCCGCATCTGTTGCTCACGACGCATCATCTCGTTCTCATTACCATAACGGAAACGCTCCTCAGCCAAACCAGGAGGAAGGCTAGGGCGAACCTTGGGTTGGATCTGAGGCTGAGGCTGAGCTTGAGGACGCGGGCCTTGATCAAAGTACGCCATGTTAGGATTGTCTAAACTTTGCCGTGGAGTCAGTTGGTTCATTGGCTGTGGCGTGTTACGGGTCTGCATAAGATTGAGCAGAAACTGAGCACGCTCCGCGTCCTTGGAAACCAGGTGATGGGTCGGCTCTTGCTGAGCCCTACTGTTGAGAAGTGCTTGCAAATGAGCATCCTGCGCGCTCGTATTTCTAGGAGGGGGTGACTCAAAGCGGGCCTCGCTCTCGAAAGTAGCGTCTGGCTCCAATAAACCCCATTGTCTGGAGTCGGTCCTGGACTGGGGTGGCCTATTTGACGAAGGTCTTGGGGCAAGAACGTTGTCCAACAGCGCTTGTTGTTCAGCAGTCCGAGACGGTTGTTGACGTGGCGGTTTGTCCTGTGGCTCCGACGGCGGAGGCGACTGCTGGAAGTTGAGAGGAATACCTCCTGGGACAGCGCCATTTGCAGGTGTATCCCTGGCTGGTGGTGTAGGCTGCGCTGGCGCAAGATTTACACCACCAAGCATCTGTAAAATGCGCTGGAAGCCTTGTTTGTCAGCATCATCACTCGGATTGGCGCCGGTTTGAGGAGGCGGTGGCGAAGGAATATTGGTCAAACCAGACTGGGTGGATGGCGTCGGCTCCTCGACCTTCTGGAACATCTTCATCTCCATGAACCTGGACTTCTTCTGCTCTTTATCCTTGACGGACTTTTGCGTGGTTGCCTCCGTCAAACCCGCATTGGCTTCTTCAGAATGCTCCTTGGCCCACTTGCTGAAGAGACCCCCAAGGCTGTCCGGGGCAGCGAAAGGTGAGGTAGCAGGTGGCAGCGATGACATTGGATTTGAAAGCTCAGCCGCTGGCGTCTCCGCCTTCTCCTCCTTTTTCTCAGCTGCTTTAGTCTCTTTAGCCTTCATAGCCTCCTTCCACTGCTGTATTGCATCCATTGGACGCTCTGTCGTCTTCTCCTTCTTAACGGGCTCATCCATCCATTCCGGAACTGGCTCAGGTTTGGTCTGTTGACCTCCCCTATTCCAGTCACGGTCCCTATCGCGATCCCGGTCGCGGTCTCGATCCCGGTCGCGCCAACCACCCTGCGCGCCTGGTCCAAAACGGCTTCCTTCAGTCTTTTCCGAAGTAATATCATCACGGCGTCCCCATCGTTCGAACTTCTCGCGGCCCGCAGCACCAGTACGTCGCGTTGGAGCATCGCCGGAATCCAGGTCATCTTTCAGGGCTCTACTACGCTCGCGATCTCCCCCACGCCCAAAGCTGCGGTCGAAATCCTCCTGTCCCAAACTCTTCCGGCCTTTCTCGTTTGTCCAGCCTTCGCCCTCCTCACGGGCGCGACGCCCATTCGTATAACCAGCTTTCTCCCGTCCACCATCGTTTTCACGGTCGCGTGTCCATCGCTCACCACGCGCTCGAGGGGTAAAAGTATCTGCGTCTGCGTCTGCTGAACTACGCTTCTCCTGATCCGTGACCTTCGCAGCGCGTGAAGCAGACGTGAATGAGAGTTTAGGAGGCCCGAACACTAAGTCATCCGGTTCTGATAGCGACGCATTAGAGACTGAATATATAACATCCACGGGTGAACCTACGTGTGCTCGTCTTTCTGCCAAAATGACCCATCCCACCGGCATTCAGCAGAAGTCCGCGGTCACCACGGGCATCACCGAGCGCCACACCCTCCGAATTATTGCCCGTCCGAGTGCGTCGATTGTTGTTGTTGGTATTAGAATTCGTCTGCTGGTCAGCCGGCACCTCCATCCATTGCTCTATTGATGGTAAGGCATCCGGCTTTCGCACTAACGGCGAATCTCGCAGGAATTCTAGCTCCTCTACTGTGTACCTGGGACCCCCCATGTCGGGCGGCAACAAATGAAGGCGGAGTGCGGTGTGTGAAGTTCGACGCGGGGTAGGTTCTCGGTTGGGGGGTACTGTGTGTGGCGAGCTTTATGTTGTTGTTGCTCGCCCTGGGGAGGACAAGCGTGGCTGCCTGCGCCGCGAGCCTGGCGCGAGATATCTGCTATATGCAACCAAAGCGACAATTGCCTTCCTGAATCCGGGCAGCGTAATGTAGCGATATTGAGGACAGAGGCGGAATGAATGGAGACGGCGAGGGAATGAGTAGAGATGCTGCAAGTTATTGTTTTCAACGATGAAACGGCTAATAGGATGCTTCTGGACCTTCCCGCGGCAGAGAAATCCAGAGCTAAAGCTACACTTACCCTAGACAGGCCCCTCGGCGGTGATGGTGGGGAGTTGAGTCTGCTCAAAGACAGCGGAGTGCCAATAGCGGTGACCAGGCGAATAGGCCGATATAAGACTGTCTTGCGGGGAACAATAAGAAACTGGTTTATTGCAGGGTTCGGAAGCGGTTTCGTTGCGGGTTGCGACTGGAGGACGTTGTGGGTTGCTTGGTTGTTGCTCTCTCACGACTTCTCGTTTGGGTCGGCACGCGCAAGGGTTCACGGAATAACAAAAGGCCGATGCCGATGAGCGCCGATTGCAATGGAGACACTGATCTGCTGGATGTCTCGTTCAAAAATGGCCGAGTTGATCCTCTGCCGAGTGTAGGGCATCTTGGAGCCCTTCTACAATCGACGAGACAACTCTCCCTGTTTCCACGCTTACTTAGCACGCCCCCTTCAATCTGCAAGTAACCTTATTGATGCTCCGCTACGAAGTCTCTTGAGTTGTCCGATATACTCCGCTCGCTCCTAACCGTGAATACTCTCCCTTCAAGCCAGAGAATCTACCAAAACAGGGCCCATACACCTCTCCATAGTTCCCCCACTCCAAATCTCCACCTTCTCCTTATCAAACGTCTCCCAAATCCTCTTCGCCACCAACCTCAACATCTGACTATTGCGATCATTATCGTCCAACCTCATCTTAATCCAATCCACCACTCCACACCTAGTAACCAGCGTCGTACTCCCTCCCACCGCCGCCGCTCTCAACAACAACTTAATGATTCTCTCCTTCGCAGCCGCCGAACAAGATGCTGAAGCGTAATGCGTAAGCAGTCTTTCAAACACATTTCTTGTCCTGAAGATCTCCATGTCCTCGGGAGTTCGCAGAGAGTCGAACAGGTAGTCCAAGTACCAATCTACCTCTCTGTGATAAGAACCGTCATCGGTCGCTTCTGTAGTGATCGTGTTTCTTCCCCAGTACCGTGGAAGATTCTCGACCGTCCATTCCGGTCTCTTCATGAGGAAGGTGTTTACTTTGACAAACATGAAGTGCGAGGGGTCGGCTAGTACGGGGACACACCGGGCCGCGAATACGCCTCCGACATAGGGAAATGGCGAGTTGTTCACAATAGGGGTCGCTGTTTCTAGGACTTCGCCGAGGAGAATCTTGTGTTGGAGCAAGTGTTCATCTCCGCTCGCCTGCCATCGTGTTAGTTTACGTCAAGGGTGGATAGAGAGACAACCTACGTCGATTTTGGCCATCAACTGCTGAATATTGCTGACAGCTTGCAAGCGAATCTCGGTGTGCTTCGAACAAAGACACAGCAGCAACTCTCCAACATCCCCATCATCAATAGCTTCGTCTATCTCTTTTCTTCTCCAACGGTTGAGTCCCGCATGCTTCTCATCCTCTTCAGGTGGCAGCATTAGGTCCACACTGGCAGCCTCCGTCCTTAGGTCACTTGCTTGCTCCGGTTGGACAGAAGTACTATTCGATCTCTCGGAGCCGCTGAAATCCGCTCCAGTAGCTGACTTCAGTGCCTCCTTAGCCTTCTCCTTGGCCATCTTCCACGAGAAAGAGTCTTTAAGAACCTGCTGGTACGCTGGGTCGGCTGAGGAAACGAGCGAATCGCGCACAGCTTCGAGCAAAGTTTCGTCCTCCCCTACCAACTTCAACAGGTACAGGAGCTTCGCAAGCCATTGAGCCAGCGGCTCAGCCGGGTTGCCTTTCTCAGGTTTGCCTCCTTTGAACGGCCATTGTTCGACCAGGGTCATGAGTAAAGGGCTGAAGGGAAGGTCGGACTGTGGGCTGAAAGGTGCAAAGGAACCGGTGTTCCCATCCTTCTCCAGTAGACGGAAGCGCATTGTATCCAAGTCGTCGAGGTACTTAATGGGACTTCTGACGAACCGTGCACAGCAGTCGTCCAGGAACTCGAGTATCTGCGTCGGTGGCGCCGAAGAGCCGCATGACGGTGCAAGGCTAGCAATAACAGCATCCAGGGCGGTTGGATGTGTCCTCATCTGAAGCATATCCTGATCCTGCTGAATGGCGCTAAGGAGCGATTTGACACCTTCGTACATTTCTCCCTCGTGCGAGGTTGCGACAAGCTTCAAAAGCACGGTGAAGGGGGAGTTTGGCAAGGATTCTATTTGGGTTAGCTGTGCTGCGGAGATTCAAGGAGTTCGGAACATACTATTCTTCTGCCACCAGCGTATGGAGGACGAGCGCCGCGCAACCTGCAGCCAGTGCTCCAGCTCCAACACCCTGAAGGCCTTGTCCTCATGGCTCTCTGATGGCTTGTCTGCTTGCAACAGAGCATTACAGAGCGGAACGGACACGTCAAATTTCTCCTGAAGCGCAACCAGTGGAATAACCTCGTAATAGAGACGAAGCAGCCTCACGATAGCCTCTCGCATCATATCCTTCTGAAATGTGGGGCGGCGAAATGCCTGAATAATGACCTTCATGGGCGGACATCTGCGACAAAATTCGGCGACCAACCGGGTACTCCCATCTCTCCAAGCCCGCGACACTTTCGATGCGGAAGCAGCAGAATACTCCTGCAAAACAGACCGAAGTTTGTGAAAAGCGACAGTAAGCAACCGGATAGCGAACAGGTTGATCAAGTCGGTGCTGCTGTTCAGACACTTCGTCAAGACTTGTTGGGTGAGTGGCTGAGGCAGGATGCTTTGGATAACGGACGATACTGCAGGCGGACTAGGCCGATACGCGTCCTTTCCGCCAAAGTATTTGGGTATAGGCAGCTCGATGGCCTGGTGCAAGAAAGCAGTATATCCTATCCAGGTGGATGTAAGTTTCGGCTCGTAGTTGAAAGCTTCCTTTTGGAAGAAGTACGCGGCAACAAGCTCAGGGCAGACTTTGAGGATGGTGAGGAGGAGTTCTTGCTGAAGTACGCTGGCATGAGGACGTAGTGATTGTATGAACTCCCCAAGGATAACGTTTCTGACACGGCCCATTTGTGTTTCCGCAGCATCAATAGCCCAGTACGCAGGTTCCCCAGCGTCTTCCATAATGAGATCTTCGTCGTCGTCTTCGTTTGGAGGAGGATAATAGCCGTATGATGGAAGCATGACTCCATGGGCGGGAGACGTGCAGATCATACACAGAAACTTGTGCGCTCGCTCAGCAATAGCTTCGGAACCCTCCTCTTCACTCGCCTCGTATCTGTAAAGCTTGGATATATCGGACAGAGTCTTACCGGTGACAATCCGGCTCTTCGTGATTCGCATGATAGCCTTATCCAGAAAAACGTGATTCTCAAAGGTGTTCAGAATGTCGAATATGAGAGCCGGCGGATCAGCATGCAAATGGGTAAACACAGCCCGCACAACGATCGAATTCGACAGGATCTCCGTCTTATCGACCTCATCCTGGTACGTCAAATGCGCGAGCAGATACCGAACCGCATGCGTCCTGATGCTCGGTTTCCGTTTCTCTGCCTCCACGTCGGCCTTATAATCCTTCCACAACGCGATATTTCTCGTCAGGATCTTGGGATCGAGAGTAAAGTCCCGTTTCGAGTACACTGCCTTCGCATGGGCACCTTCATTGAACCTCGTCATCTCCGTGAGGAGCCGAAGGACTGGAGAGATGACATTTTCCTTGTGCGCCGGAGCAGACAAACTCCGATTGATCCTCTTCGCTACCGAGACGTTCAACACTGACTTGCAAAGCAAAGCACCGTACTCGAGGAGATCTGGAGTGCTCGCGCAGACCTTGAGCAGGAGCGCAAGATTCGCGGTAACCTGGGAGAGCAGCATATCGAAGTTGGTTTCGGCAGCGAAATCCCAGGCCTGGAAGAAATCCGGGAGGAAGACGACGTTTTTCTCGCCATTGATCCTGGATTTCTGGGAATCGAGGTATTCGCGTAATATCGCTCGCTTGCGGGGGAGGTCATCGTGGTCGGTTGAGTAGAGGATGGAATCCAGGAATCCCTTGAGCAGCGTGAGACCTGTGTCGATTAGAGAAACGCTGCTCAAGGAAGGATTTGCACAAGCACCTACCGCTCCGAAACCCAGAAGCCGCACCCTGATCAAACACCAGCGCCTTCTGCAGCTGTCGCGCACTCGTCACTTCCACGGTCGCATTGCTGGGACGAGGCGAGTTCCGCTCCGCTGAGTTTTCGACCCGCTGCCTCTTGACATGTCGCGCGTCATGCGACGCCTTGAGTTCGGCATCTGGAGCCGTACGTTTGCCCATAGCTCAGGTCATTGGGTGTGGAAGTGCAGTTGTTCTGGTCCTCGAACTTTTTGGTGGTTCGGAATTTCTGACAGGGTCCCCGCAAATCGGCTAGCCGAGTGGGGTTTAGCTTGGGATGCTCGAAGTACCGAGGTGCCCAGGTGGATAAGACCCAGCTGTTCATGTCATCCTTCCATCGATGGTCTAAAAAATCATAGAATTGACGATACCCTGGAGTGCTCCCTGCATTGGCGATGCTTCCTTGCATTACTTCTCAGCTGTCAAAAGTCCGTCCAATATCTCTATCCCTCCCAACCCCAAAAACCATCACTTCATAATGCCCTTCAAGTGCTGCCTCCAATTACTACCGAAGAACCCCATAGAAAATATGCACACGTGTGATGGCGTACACTTAAGACTTCCAAAGGGAAAATACCCGACACCCCCAAAACGTTTACGTCCGTATCTTCACGCCCTTCGAAAGGATTGCCGCAGCCAGCAGGACACAATTTCAAAGCAGAAAGCTGCAAGACACTGGTTCATTGCATCATCGTGCTCAGAGCTGTTTCTCTTGATAATATATATTCATGTAGAGCATGAGGTCATGCAGAGATATTCAGAGGTGAATTATTAAGCGTAGGGGATTACCCCCTAAAAGATGACCAATCCTTCTGGCCAATGACGTCTGAGGGGAGAAGCCTAACGCGGTAAACCAACTTCCTAAAGGGAAACAGCGTACGCGGCACCTGGGCAGCGTTGGATGGGCGACAATTTGGCCAATGAATACTCCGTAGCCTTGTACTCGGTAGTCGCCCGATGTAAATACCAAGACGAGACTACACATATAAATATGCTGGCATGATCCTTCAGCCTCTAACTCACCCACCTCCCAATCCCCAACTTTCCGCTTCCAAAATCCCCAGCACTCATTCCATCATGCCCGCCCCTGCCGACGACATCCACCCCTTCACCATCTCCATCCCCGACTCCACCATCTCCACCCTAAAACAAAAACTCTCCCTCGCAACCTTCCCCGACGAACTCTCCGGCGCGGAATGGGATTACGGCTGCCCGCTAGCCGACATCAAACGCATCGCCGCGTACTGGCGCGACGAGTACGACTGGCGCAAAGCCGAAGCCAAACTGAACGAACTGCCGCATTTCAAGACGAGGATCGAGTATGACGACGAGAAGTTTGGGGGGCTGGATGTGCATTTTATTCATCAGCCGAGTGAGAGCGAGAACGCGGTGCCGTTGTTGTTTGTGCATGGGTGTAGGTTCTGATTTCTATCGCCTTTGGTGGGATTGGGGAGGAAGGGTTGGTTGGGGAGGGTTTCAACATGTCAAAGCTGACATTGAATCTACAGGGCCAGGAAGTTTCCTCGAAGTCACCAAAATCCTCCCCTTGCTAGCGGAGAGTCCCAAAAACGGAGGTCCGGCATTCCACGTCGTGGCGCCTTCACTGCCCAACTTTGGCTTCTCGGATGGCGTCAAAGAAACGGGGTTCGGCCAGAGACAGTATGCTGAGACTTGCCACAAGTTGATGCTGAAGTTGGGGTATACCGAGTACGTGACGCAGGGAGGCGATTGGGTAAGTCGTCTTGTCACTTTTTCCTTATTGTTAGATGGTCTTGAATTGACCAGACTCAGGGCACCACAATCACGAGAGTAATGGGCTACCTCTACCCCAAGCATGTAAAAGCCTCCCACATCAACATGGTCATCTCCCCGCCCCCCAAACCCACCTCCGCGCCCCTGCAAGTCCTCAAAGCCCTCCTCCGCTGGTTCACCGCCGAGGAAAAAGCCGGTTTCGAACGCACCATGTGGTTCCACAAACAAGGCAGCGGGTACTACAACCTGCAGAACACGAAGCCCCAGACGCTGGGGTACGCACTGCACGATAGCCCCGTGGGTCTCCTGGCGTGGATCTACGAGAAGCTGCATGATTGGACGGATGGGTATGCGTGGACGGACGAGGAGGTGTGCACGTGGATTAGTGTGTATGCGTTTAGTACGGCGGGGCCGGCGGCGAGTTTGAGGATTTATAAGGAGAGTTTTGAAGGGGATTTGCCGGCTTTTGAGACGGCGAGGAAGTATATTCCTGTTAAGCTTGTGAGTCGTCGCTTCCCTTACGGTTCCCTTGGTCCCCCTTTTTTTTTTTTTTTAATTGGGCTTTGCATGGCTAATCTGGATTGCGCAGGGTGTATCCTACTTCCCCAAGGAGCTCGTGCTGCTGCCCAAGTCGTGGAGCCATGGGCTGGGGCCTGTGGTGTTCCAGGGCGAGCATGAGAAAGGCGGCCATTTCGCGGCATGGGAGGAGCCGGAGGCGTTGGTTGGGGACTTGGTGAAGATGTTCGGGAAAGGAGGAGGAGCGTTCGGCGTAGTGAAAGGGAAGAGCGGGTATGCGGCCTAGTCGGGCAATCGTCTTTGAGGGTTAGGAAGTGGAGGTGTAATTGAAATCTCGTTAATGTAATCTTACGGGTTTAATGCGTGGAAGTTCCGAAGGGTTGGTGGTTTTCAAGTCAGCGAGGTTTCGGGATTCGTTGATAGCTCGATATACGTACTGTGCGTGGTTTCTAGTCGAAATCTGGAGATGATTCAGATCTGATTTCCCTTAGATGTTCAGGGGGTAATGCCGTTGAAGAGAGCAGTTGAGTGTTTTCATGTGGTGTTTCGTCGATACTAAATATTCAGGATTGGCTTACTTGCTAGGCTTTGCGTTGATTCTTAGTTCCGAATAATGTATAAGTCTGCATATACTGCTCACTACTACATTGCAGCTCGATCTTTCGCTAAATGAGAAGGAGGGAGTTTGGAGTGATGCTTGTGATGCTTGGCATGGTGTCCATGTTTGTGATAGTCGGCATGGGTATTCATGGTTCTGGTTGTAGGGACGTTGTGGGATAGTCATTGCGGTCCTTGACGAATCCAGCGGTTTCCGGCATAGGCATGCAAATGTCAAGAGCACGTCTCATCAAGCCACACCAGAGAAGAGAAGGGTCAAGGTGTACGTCGAATATGGTTTTCAAATTTCTTTCCTTCGTCGTTAAAATGACTGTATCCATATCCACGAAACCTTTCCCCAAGAAATCTAGACTTCAAGAAGTTGGAATCGCGGAGACCAGAACAGGCGTCGTATCACCGCCCCGGCACGCTTCCTTCCTTCTTCTCTAAACGTTTTTCTCAACCCCATCCAACTTTTAGGCCAACCTCCATCCTACGAGGCAGGCGCCTCGCCCTCGCCCAAACCCTTCTGAATCGCCGCCTCGAGGGCCTTTGGGTTCGCGCCGACCACCTCACCGACCTTCTCGCCGTTCTTGAACAGCAAAAAGGTGGGCATGGCGCGGATGCCGAGTTCCTGGGCGACGTCGGGAACCTCGTCGACGTCGAGCTTGTAGAAGTGGGCGTTGGGGTACGCCTTGGAGAATCTGTGTGGAGGGTCAGGTTACTCCGAGAAGGGATGGGTGGTTCGGAGGTCGAAAGGTAATGGGGTGACGCACTTGACGACCTGCGGCGCAATGACCTTGCAGGGACCGCACCAGGTGGCGAAGCAGTCGAGCACGATGAGGGTGTCTTTGGGCTCGAGAGCCTTGTCCCAGTCGGACTTGCTGTGTGCGCATCCGGCGTTAGCTATCTGTTCGCGGCATATACAGTACAGCAATGACGTCGCGTGCGCCTTGACGAGCGCGCGCAAAGCAGCGAGGAGCAGAGAGGGGGTTGCTCACGAAGTCAAGTTGTGCACGCCTTCCTCGCCCATTCTGCTTGTATTCGAAAAGAATCTCGGAGTGAGGATGGGTCGATAGAGGTTATTGAGGTTGGCAGTCGTCAACGGGGAGAATGAAAATCTCGGAGCTGTGGAGCGGACGGTGGTGAGCAGAGTTCTCCTGAACAGCAATGATGACGTCGCAGCAGCAGCAGAGGCCATGATATAAATACAAGTAGGCAAAGTAACACAGAGACGGAAAAAGAAATACGGCAAGGTAAGACTTGGTATGATTTCAAAGACGAGGGTCGATGGAGGGGACTGGACCTCGTATTGGTTCCGCCGATTACCGTTCGGTACGAAATGGAAGGCTGCTTAGTGATGATGGCGAAGGGAGGGTCCTGGAGGAGCCTGTGCGCCTCATTGACCCAGCACGGCGCGAAAAGGGGTAAAACAGTACTCGTAGACAGTAAAGAGAAGATAGACTTACTGGGGCCGATTTGCGATAGGAGAGATAATCGTGAGAAACTGTGTAGCTAAGAAGGTAGAAAAGCTGATGGTGCTGGTGAAGTGATGATTAATCGGAGTGGCCCCTCACTGCCCCTCGCTTGACCCCTGCCCACTGCCCGCCTGCGCGAATGGCGTACCTAGGTATGACGTGATTGCCTGCCCAACCCCAAAGAGAAAACAGGTGAATGGGATTTGAGCGATCGAATGTGTGCAGGGCAGAGTACGCCTTTTGCCATGCTGTGCACATGTGAAGCTGATATCTGTCTGTTCATCGCCTCTAGTTTATCACGAACTACTGGTAGAACACATATTCTACTCTACTGCTTCCCCCACTGTCACCACCATCCCACACCTTCACCGAGCATGTCTGGCAGCAATGCACAAGATTAATAATAAAGTGTACACATAAACATAGGGTATCCTGCTATCTGCCCAAAACAACTAAACCACATAGCCGCAACTTGCCTTGTTGGGACGAAATTGCAAGCCATATCCCTCTCAAAAGCCTTCGCTCCCTATAACCTAACACCGGTCCAGCATGCCCCCGTCTATATGTGATGCCCGAGATGCTGTCCTTTAAAAAGAGAAGAAAGTATGCCGTGTCGTGTCACACCGAAGCCAGAACGGCGGAGTGAACAGAAACCCCGCGACGCTAACGGCTGGCTATGTTGATGACAAAGTTCAACGCTCCAAATAGTGTCCAAGTCCCCGTCCAACTCTGCGCAACATCCATGAAGGTAGTATCCCTGATGGAGAAAAAAGAGCCAGATGTGCATGTTTGCCGTCCCATAACAGTCATAAACAAAGACGGAAAGGAAAATCAAGGGAGTGACTACGGTCAGCAGAGTTTCAAAGGAAATCGTAACGATCGACTGATACAAAGGAAACAAGCTAAGGAGCGGCGCGGTCTGGCAGAACATGCAACATCTTGACTTCTCCCTCTCTCTCCATCACAGGACACCTCTCACTTCACAGTTGCGACAGGGTATGCTGGGACCCGAGACTCGATCGTCTAGGATCCGCCGAAGTCTTTCTCGCCTTGATATCCAGGAGTTTCGCAGACCCCGCGCTGAGCCGCCGCGAGTCGTGTTTTCCAAGGTTCACGCTCTGCGCACGCTGCAAGATCATCGGCTCGCCCTCTGAAGTGGGCGAGTCGGGCTGGACCTGCTCCTCACCAGCTGCTGTTTTCTTCTCCTCTTCAGGCGACGACTTGTCTGCTTGGTAGAAGCTCAGTAAACCTTCCGCGGACTTGACGCGGGGTTGGCGATGCACAATGGTGGGTTGGCGCGCTACTCCGGTCTTGAGCTGCTCGTCCGATGTGCTCGCTGCAGCAGTGGGTAAGCCTTCATCATCAGCCTCGGCCGCGGGGTCCATGGCAACTATTGCAGCACTGCTGGGCTTCCTATTCATGCATTCGGCCGAGTTTTCTGACCACCGTCGATCGTCGGCTTGCGGTGTTAAACGTCTAAAGTATTCATCATCGGGAATTCCAAGCTCCTCATACGAAGCGTTGAAGTCGTTGCGTTTCGCCGCCGAGGAGCTGATGCTAGAGCGCACATACGCATTATTGGACCTGCGTTTCATGGGCTTTCCTGACAGCCAAGATCCTTCAGAGTCGACGGATGCAAGGGATTGCGACATGAGGCCGGTGTCAGGGACCCCTGGGCTGACAGGAGAATCTGTTCTCGCCTCTGTAGCGGTACTATTCGAGCTGACAAGCAAGCCAGACAACCGCTGGCTCTGTCTTCGAGATGCAATAGCACTAGGAGCTAGCACGTCCGGCGACTGCACCCGCGATTCTGGTGGAGATTTGGAGGATTCCGGGAGATCCTCTCTGAACTTGGACATTGTGCGGCGAGGCACGCTGGGTGGCCGTGCCGGTCGTTTGACTGCGATTGGTTGCAACGGCTGCTTTGGCATTAGGTGAGCGGGGAGAGGTTGACGCGACATGGATTCCCGAGAGGTATTGGAGAAGGAGACTTCGGAGGGGGTGATGTGCCCTTGGTCCTTTGATCCACGTTTTGCGCGTCGGAAGAAGGAGGCAAAGGCGGCCATGCGCCCTCCTTCCGAGCTGCGGCGTCGCCTTGACCCTCGCTTGGAAGTCGCAGTCGTATCGACGGTGGTGACTGGGTATAGCGACCCGCTGGTGCGTGGATCTTGGACAGTCTCCATCGTCTCGATAGGCTTCTCTTGAGCTGCTAGTTCAGAGAGTAAAGCAGGCAGTTCAGATACGTTTGACGGCCCGCGCGTGTGCGCTTGAGGGGTGGGAGATATGCTAGCACGAGATAGCCGAACCGCTTGCGCATCGGCGACGACGGGAGTCTCAAGCGGGCTGTCCACGGGCGTAGGGAGTTGTGCATTCTCGTGACTTCTTTTGGGAGTGCTGAGATGGAGGTGCTGCGGTCTCTGAGAGGGTGTTTGTGGCGTCGATGGCCGCACATCTTCCATGGGTGTAGGGCCGTCTTTCTGTATACCTAGACCGATGGCTCCAGGAGTTTCTACTTCAGGCGGAGAGGGTGGCCCCGCTTGCTCACCGGCTGCGTGGGCGGCGGCCCACTGCTCAGCGGCGCGCTGTTTCTCTGCCCGTCGCTCCAGCTTGCGTTTTAGGCGCTCATCGTTCGCCTTCTTCTTCGCCTCCTTCCGTCTCTTATCCCTCTCCAATATCTGTCTCAATGCACCTGCGTCGAGCGTATCCGCTAAATCGTCGATTCTGCTACTTCTCCTTTGATGACCACTGCTATTCGTACGTCTGAACTCCTCGGATACATTATCCTTCTCTTTCATTGACACTGGAGATTCGCGTGTACTCGAGTAACCGTGGTGCGGCCCCACCGAACACCTGATCTTGGGGCGCGGTGACAGCATATCCAGTGTGCTGACGCGAAACGCTCGGCTCTCCGAGCTCCCGGACATGGACGAGTGTATTGAATCTGCAAGCGGAAGTGATACATCGGAGATGGGTCTTTGGAAGTGCGAATTGAGTCCTCCCTTCACCTTCTTGCTATCTCGCCGAAACATGCCTTGAGAATATCCTGCCGGTCGCTTCTGCGGCATGCTCATGGCTCGTATTTCTTCCTCGCGAACGCTGTCATGCGCTTTTCTCTTGCTGGATCTGCGAGCCAGGAATGTTGTCTCTTGCTCTCCGACGGGAGGTTTGCGCAAAGACTGAGGACGGAGTAGTTTGCGTGGTTTGCGCGGTAGACTGGACTGGGAATCGGAATGGGTTGGGTGGTTTGGCTGGAAGTTGTAGGGGATGGCGTGGGCATGTGCGATAGGGCGAAGGTGGGGGCTCTGCTCGAGGCGCATCGTCTTGGGGAGGGCGGTGATGTCTTCGACGCTCGTGTCGCGGTCAGGCTGTGGAAGCGGCATGGAGGGCGCTGTCGCCGTGGGCCGCGAACGCTTTCCCTTTCGGCGGCTGTTGCGTCTGCTCGGGGATCTCGTCAAGACATGGCTTTGGACGGCGTTGTGGGCGGAAGGCAGCTTCCTGTCTGCATTGAGTCCTGCAACGGCGGCGGTCGACGATGATGACTGCGGGCCATCAGAAGGGGATTTGGGTTTGGCGGTCTTCCCGCTTCGTCGCGCGAACGGCCACATGGCAGTCTCTGCCAACGGTCAGGTCCCTGACGGTCGCGAAACCAGTCGGCGGAGTGTTCCTGTGTGCTTGGGGGCGGGAGCGGCGCGGAATGCTATCTGTTGGCGGACCGGCGGGTGGAGCGCCGCATCATGGTGGGTCGATCGGACGGGTGGACGATGACGCTTGGCAGCCAGGTGGACGGAGAGCGGGTGAGTGAGTGAGTGAGTGAGAGAGAGTGTGTTGATAGAGGTTAGGAGAGAGAGCGGTATGGGAGGGGGGCGAAGTCCAAGGGAGCGAGTTGTGTGGGTGTGTGTTGTGAATGTGAAATGCCTTGCTGGGTTTGGGAGCGTGGGTAGGTAGGTATGTAAGGGTTAGGGCAGCAGCAGTCACGGGGGCCCAGCGGGTCCGTCCATAAGGCAGGCCTTGATTGGGGCTGGAGCGTGGCAGCACAACGGCCGGGAACATTTTTAAAAATAAAAATAATACGAATCCTTGCACCCCCTCGGAAGCTGGAGCTGCCCAGGTGTGCTGAGCCCTCTGACGCTTGCTTGCTTGCTTTCGGAACGCCACTTGGAAGCACGACTGGGTGAGAGGAGCAGAGCGCTCTGGAGACGAAGAGCTCAAAGACGACACAAGGAACGCTCGCAGGCACGGCGGTGCAGTCTGCGGTACAGAGCATGTCGTCGAGTGGGTGGTGGGCGGCAGGTCTTTCGGAAAGATGATGGCACTCCTCTTTCTTCTCCCCGGGGGTCTTCTTCCTCTGCATCTGCCCTCTCATCCTCAAACCTCAAACCTGCTCGACCACGAGATGTGGCGAGATCTCGACGACCAGACACAGTCAGGATCCTCTCCAGGGCTGCTTGCTCCCGCTGCCCCGATGGTTGACAGGCCGCCGCGTGTGGCTGCCGTGGGCGATCGAGACGGTCGAAGTCTGCTCATCACAGCTCATTTTTGCCCTCATTCCCCCACGGCTCCAATCATCAATCGCCATTGATATCATCCACATCCCACACCTTCCCATGAGCACACCCTGCTTCCTGGTGGCGAATTGCGCGTGGTCGACTCGTCTTTCTCTCATTTTGCATTCCATTCAATCCTACCTCTCGTGAGCGTGCGTCGTCATGAACTGCGCCTTGACCGATCGACCCCCTCGCCTCCTGCTCACGAGGCCAACAGAAAGTGGGTGTGCACACGCGCCGTCCTCTGTCTGACGTTGCCAAGGGATGCTGTGTGTGTGAACGCAAGTGACACGGCAGGCTACGACATCGGGACGTGCCTGCGCACCCTCCAGACCAGACAGACTGCTAGATGGAGACAGCGAGAAAATGATAGACTAGCACAGAAGGCTAGACACTAGACGTGGAAACGGGAGAGACACGTCGTGCTGCAGCGCCAGCGGAATCTGACGGCGAGATGCAGGTGCTGCCGCAGCTGCAGAGGCACAGGCATGCAGTTTTGTAACGGCGCCGACCACAAGCGATTCGCCAAAAGTCATTTTCTCGCTGCCAATACTACTGGTTGATTATAGAAGGTGTCAACCACTTTATTGGTGCGATTATTGAGACTTTTTGGAGTGCCATTATTCGACAGGCTTCGTTTTGTGATTTCTCTGGACAACGGTCCCGTCCGACGATATCGCGAGGAGACAATATCAGACATGTCCTTTTCACGAGTTGTGCAACCCTTTCAGCATGGCAACGCTATGTTCTCAACCATGTAACCTGCGTTCCGGTGTATCCCAAACAAGCGCTTCGTACCTGACTACCACTGTTCCAGCCCTCCCGATCCTGGCACTCCATCATCCGAAGCCCTCGGCTACGCTATCCACGCGCCCCACCCCACTTTGGATGAAAAGGTTTTCTGAGAGAAAACGTTCGAGACCAACAAGCCGGATCTTCGTTTCTGTGCAATCGTGGGAAACGGCTGTTGTTGACTCGCTTGTGTGCTTCCTTCCAAGGACGAAGCTATCGTTTGTGTGCGTCAATATCGAGGTGCAGCTTGGATCCACAGCAACTGGAGCTTCTGCAGAAGGCGTGTGGTAATAAAACAGAGATGTCCACTCTTATTATTATTTCGCAAAATTCTCGTGCTGTTGAGAATTTGGCAGGGCTCAGATGTTGAGTTGTCCTTTCCCTGAGGTAAAGGCTCTGGTTCGTCTTCGTCGGCAGGCGTTCAAAAACCCACATATATCTCCTTCGGCTTCTCCCCGAGCATACACAGTAAAAGGATTTATTAGTGAATTGAATTGGATGATAAAATGGCATGGTGGTGCAATGCAGGTACATTCTGTTACAGTAACCCTCAACACAGACATTAGTCTAGTTGGGCGGTACCTGGACACCGCAGGCTTCCAACGGAGAGGGGTCGAATGAATACGTGTATGGAGCGATTTGGACCTCTCGTTGGATTCGATATAACCGCCGATTCTTACAATCCCTGTTGCAGTGCGATCGTGGGACCTAATAGATATTGAGGACCAGGTGGGTGGTCTTTTCATTTGAATGCATGCTGTGGTACACTGAGCATCAGAGGTTCCGACAAAGATCGATCCTGAGTCACCTCGTACCTGCCGACGGATCTCACCTGTCCAAATTCTGGCAACGACATCTACTCTTGGGTTGCATTCTATATTTTCGAACATTGTTAAACAGGTCATAGGAAATCATAGACTAGACGTTGCCGGTCAAGGTGGTGAATTAAGTGTCCGTCACATGTGAGATGGAATGACGCTATTCCCGTTCCGCACTAGACCGACCATGCGCTTGGCAACCTTGTTTGTTTACTTCGACTTCACGCCATCGACTGGCACCATGAACATTGACGTCTTGTGCGCAACCACAATTCCTCTTGATCTCGCTTGAAACTGCACGCCTGAAAGTTGTAGCGGCCCAACATGTCTTATAATCCGCGCATGAGCACCGCGCGAACCCCATCCTACAACCCCCGCACAAAACCACAAGATGAGGATGCATTCATGACCTTGGTATGCTCCTCCTTTCGCCTAATGTTGTAAACTCAGCTAATCCGAACAGTCCGATCAAGAGATCGCGGGATGTATTACGGATATTGGAATCAATTTCACAGTTCACGACCTTCAGAAGCCGAACCCCCAAATCATACAAAAGGTTTTCGAATGGATGGCCGAGCTGTTGATGAACACGACGCGCGAAGTCGTTGCACCTGCCATGAAGGCTGCGGCGGAGGATATCTGTGGCCCGGATGCTGATCGTATATTTACTTCCGACACCCGGGATCTGATGGGCTTCTTTGTGATACTGCGGAAGCTGCTTGTCGAGGTGTGACATTGTCTTCAGAGGCGGTATGCTCGACGGCTGACATGTTCAGTGCGGAATCCACGACTTTACCTTCCAGGATTTGTACAAGCCCAGCCATCAGCGCCTTGTCAAGATATTCTCCTTCATGATCAACTTTATCCGGTTCCGCGAGTCGCAGACCGAAGTCATCGACGAGCACTTCAACAAGGCGGAGCGCACGAAGATCCGAATCGAGCAGCTCTTCAACGACAAGGAAGACAAGGAGATGCAACTCCAGGAGCTGCAGCGCAACCGCCACGCTACCGAGAAGATCATGCAGGACCGAGAAAAGCGCAACAAGGAGCTGAAGAGCAGGCTTTTGGAGCTCAAACAGGGTCAGGAGGCGGTTGCGAAGAAGCTAGAGCGGGCAAGGGAGGAGCAGAATAAGTTGAAGGCGCTTTTGCAGCAAAAGGTGGAGGCCAAGGAGATCGCGCAGCGTGAGGTGCTGAAGTTGAGGCCGTATACGCAGCAGAGTCCCACGGCGCTCGAGAACTCGCTGCGAGATTTGAATGATAAGCTCGTTCAAGAGAAGACTCAGATTGAGACGCTGGATCGACGTGCTCGCGCTCTGCAAACATCGACGGACTCTTTCACGGTTGTTGCGGCAGACGTTACCTCATGCACCAGGCTCCTCACGGACGTACAAAGCGACCTCGCCAAGGAAGAAGAGGAGTTAGCGAAAGCGTCTAGGCACAGGGACGCCCTAGCGGACCGGAGCAACAATGTCCGGGATGTCGAGCGCCAGGAGAAGCTTCTGCAGAAGCAGCTCGCCAACGTGAACGCGCGGACAGAGAAGCTGAAGAGGAAAGCAGATGAAGAAGCAGAGCGGGCAAAGAGAAGAATGGAAGAACTTAGGGAGACGCATGCCAAGTTGGCGGAGGAGAGGGGCGAAAAGGGTCGCGAGATGGAGAGAAGGAGGGTGAGGATCGAACAGACCGAGAAGAAGGTGAGGCTCGATCCTTTCATTGTTGCAGTTGCTGTCTGCTAACGTTCTTCATAGATGGCGGATCTGAAAGACAGCATAGAGAACGAGGTTCGGGAGGCTCATGATGAGTACATCAAGATGGAAAGTCACATCAAGCTGTATATCACAGAGATGGAGCAGAGTATATAGGATTGGGAAATTGGTTTGGTTGGTTCTTCTGATAATTGGTTGGCAGGATTATGCCTCTTGGGATACTGGCTCGGATGGTTATGGCGTTGGGGTAGATACCATGTCTGCTTCTGTGCTATGGATGTCAACGATATCGTTTTTATGAGCATTGTGCATTTCAGTTCGTAGAGCTAGATATTCACATTTCCATCGCTGGGCGCATCTCTGCCCCGCATTCCTGCCCCACTCAAGAATACCTCGATGTTATCGATAACGACTACCACCGAGAAGCTGCTTCCAAGTCGGCCATCTCCTTGACGATTTCTCTGCCAATTTCACGCCTTTGATCTATGGAGAGGAATTCCACAATGTCCTTCTCCAACCTCGACCTCGTAAACGAATGCGACTCGTCAGTCCCCCATGCACCCGTCCCTCCATCCATCCAACCATCGCCGACAACCCGCTAACCTCTCTCACCTCGAACCAGCTTCCCATACTATCAAACCAACCCCTCCCTCTACGCCGCCAGCCTCTCCACCTACTACTCCCTCCGCGTCCACGGCCACGACTACCCCCTCGGCTACCTCCTCCCCTCCGTCGCCCAAGTCTTCCACAACGTCCCGCACTGGGACCTCGACTCCACGCAACGCACCCTCACCCTCATCGCCGGCCACAACGCCGACGAGCGCTCCGAAGCCGTCCGACAAACCCTCCTCGCGCTCCGAAAAACGGGCCACTTCAAAGTCCTGGAGAAATGGCGAGACGAGCTGTACGCCGTTTACGGGCGGAACAAGGAACTGCTGTTCCGCGTCGAGCGGAGCGCGAGTCCGTTGTTGGGCGTTGTGACGTACGGCGTGCATATGACTGCGTATGTGAGAGTGCCAGAGGAGGAAGGGGGAATGAAGATTTGGATCCCGCGCAGGGCCAAGACGAAACAGACGTATGGCGGCATGTTGGATAATGCCGTCGCGGGGGGCATGGCGAGCGGAGAGACGCCCTTGGAGTGTCTGGTTCGCGAATGCGCCGAGGAGGCGTCACTGCCTGAGGATGTGGTGCGCGCGAGGGTGAAGGCTGCGGGCACCGTCACGTATTTCTATATTCGGACGGAGAAGGCGGGTGGGGAGACGGGGCTTATGCAGCCCGAGTGTCAGTATGTGTATGATATAGAGTTGCCCGTGGATGTGGTGCCGAGGCCTGGGGATGACGAGGTGGAGGAGTTTTATCTGTGGAGTGTGGAGGAGGTGAAGGCGGCGTTGGCGAGGGGTGAGTTTAAGCCGAATTGTGCGCTGGTGATGCTGGATTTTTTCGTGAGGCATGGGGTGTTGACCGCTGAGAATGAGGAGGATTATATTGAGATTGTGGCGAGGTGTCATAGGAAGTTGGAGTTTCCTACGCTGTAGAGAGATGGTGGAAAGCGCTGGAGTTTTCTTACGCTAGGAAGATCTGATGAAAACGCGATCGGGGTATCGACCCAAGGCGCAAAAAGGAGGAGTTGTTACAGTGTAGACAAATAGAGGTACCGAACGCCGCCGTATGCAATGATTTCCTTCCCCTTTTCCGCTTGACTCACATCAAACCCCGTCTTATCCCGCAACCCGGAAGTGGAATTCGAGGTCTTTGCGAGCCTACTTCTTGAGCAGCATGTAGATGTACTCAATCCGCAATCCCGTCATCTTCTTATAAGGACCCTCAATGCAGAGTAGTAAGCCGCCAAAACTCGAGTAAAACTTGCTGTAGGACACAGTCAGCTCCCATTGCCAGCCTCGCACCAATCAGCCCGACGTAACGTGAACGCCGCACTCACCAGGTCTCCCCATCATTATCCTCAAACCGGTAATTCTTCCCATGACACACGTAATCGAACATATCCGCGAGCGTCGGCTCCCCTTTCGCCGTATCCCTCCACCCCTTCTCGTCGTCCTTGGAACCATCCAGATTCAGTGTCCGCGCTAGCACCATGTTGATGTTGTCACCCACGTTGACGGGGAAGAGCTCGTGGTTGATGTCCAGTTGCATGGTGACGCTGTGGTCAGCGGAGGTGCCGAATATGCGGGATACGCGGTCGTATTTCTCGTTGTTGATGCTGTTTATCGTGAAGGTTTCTTCGAAAACTTGGGCGTCGGCCATGGTGAATGGTAGGTGAGGAAGCGCGGGGTGGTGAGCGTTATGGGAGTGTTGGATGGCAAGATTCGGAGGTCCGTGTGGGTATGGTAAATCCAGCGAGTGCCTTCAATGAGAAATCTGCTGCGATTGTCTGTTGTTGCCTTGTTGTATGGCTGAATTGCTTGTTCGGTCGAAATGCTGAAAGGGCTCCAAGAATTTCAATCCGGCGCGGGACTGGAATAATATAATTCCGAGATAAACGTCACGTCTTATCGATAACAGCTCCCCGACCCCAACATATTTCTCGGACCCCTCGTTCTGAAGCTGTTGTTGCTCTAGGAATGGCCTTTCGAAAGCGCAACGTGCCGCTTTCGCGGACAGAACAGAAGCCCGGCTCCCCTTCCGTTCCAGCTTCTACAGAACCCTCATCCGCTGAGGTACCTCAAGCAATTACCGGCGTCCGCCCCTCACCTCTTGATGGACGCCCCACTACTTCCACAGGAACTCCATCCCTCGATGCTATCCTTGCCGGCCATGCTGGACTGCCCCTGGGAAACTCTATATTCATAGGCGAACAGGGAACCACAGATTATGCTGGTGCGCTGCTGCGGTTTTATGCTGCTGAGGGAGTAGTGCAAGGGCATCGCGTGCATGTCGTCGGCATGGGAGAAGCATGGGGTAGAGAGTTGCCTGGGTTGAGTGAGAAGGACGAGAGTGGGAGGAAAATAAAAACCAGTGCGGAAGAGGAGAAGATGAAGATCGCATGGAGATATGAAAGCTTGAGTGTCCACGGCGCGGAGAGAGGTGAGCGCTTCAAACATGCTGGAACTTCGCGTGCGGACCACTGACAATATGGGCCCGGGAATAGAGAGAAAAGTCTCTGGCAAGACGGGAGAGGACCAGGCAATATTCTGCCATACATTTGACCTTGCAAAACGTCTAATGCTGCCGGTGGGAACAGCGATAAACTATATCCCCATTGCTCCACAACGAAACCCCTTCCCCTCAATCTTGCAGAACCTACAAAATGACCTCGCATCGACGCCCCCAAACACGATACATCGCCTTGTTATTCCTTCCCTCCTCTCGCCCGCTATATATCCCCCAATCTCGACCCGACCAGACTGCGTTCTACAGTTCCTTCACGGCCTCCGCGCGCTCCTCCGCCTCCATCCAACACAGCTGACAGCCATAATCACATTTCCTCTTACGCTCTATCCTCGATCAACGGGACTCGTCCGATGGATGGAAATACTCTCCGATGGGGTGATGGAGCTCTCGCCCTTTCCCTATGACTATGCGCAGGTGCTGTCGGCAGCGACAAAGGAGGAGGACAAGCCGCAGGGTATCTTTGCGGTGCATAAACTGCCGGTTTACAGCGAGAAGGGTGGAGGTGGAAACGTCGAGGGGCTGGGAGAAGACCTCGCCTTCACCCTGAGTAGGAGGAAGTTTACGGTGACCAAATTCAGTCTTCCACCAGCGGAAGGGGATACGGAGGCGCAGGAGGAGGCTGCCAGAGGCTCTGGTGCGACTCCGATGCCGAAGAAGGAGGATCTCGACTTCTGAAAGAGCTGTGTGCCGACACTTATGTCGTCTACGAGCCTCGAAGAGCCGAGTTCAGGTGTGAGGCTTCAATCCTCCTCACTAGCATTCCGCATGATATCCTGCAGCTCAATCTGCTCCCATCCCCCAATCCCAGGCCCTATCCCTTGGGCATAGCTCCTACCGAAGGATGCATAACGTGGGTTGATGGTGATTCCAGAGATTCGTGCGCGGAATCGGTCGCCCATGCACGATGATAAAGCCAAGAAGACCAGGAACAGGAGGAATGGGATGAAGAAGAGCAAGCTGAGAAGAATAATGATGTTCATGGTGGTACGTTGTTGTTTCCATGGGTCAAGCATTCACACATGCGTGGATGGACTTGGTGGATTGCGCTGCTTAGTCATTAGCGCCTCCTTAGCCTCGAACAGCAAAATCACATTATCGAACCTATTCATTGCTCCTGCTCTTGAACACTTCCGCCATGACTCCATGCAAGGCGAGGTAAGTCTACTCTTTTTCATGCGTCCCTTCCCTCTCAGATGATTAAAAACAAATTTAATCTGTCAATCCCCTGACTCCAAAGGAGACTGAAGATCACAAATTTTGTATTCACACTATGATCCACTCACTCGCACATCTCATAATCTTGGTTGGCTTCGAAGCACGAGACTGACATTGTCAAAGTAGGAGCAATGGGTTCGGTAACAGAACCATTCCCCATATCTCGTATCGCGGGTCGCTATCTGCTGTTTGACATCGATGTCATCAGCTATGCACGTCGCACACACAACACATGCGGTGTCTTGATTGGCACACTGCCTAATCTGTCCCAGCAGAATGTCTTCCTAGGCATTCCCCTGGAGCTCATGCCCGAAGAGGCGCGTGTTCTGATAGAACGAGGACATGCATACATTGTCGACGATGAGGAGACCCACAGGAAAGGGTTCCTTCAGATGAGTCGGGAAGATAGGCTAGCATATCTCCAATACATGGACGAGCTGGGCCTGGAAGCGTCCATGGAGTCAAAGAGGAAGCTCGAGGAAAGGGCAGCGAAAGCATTGAAAGGGAAAGACCTCTCCTCCAGCCTGAAGCAGAAACATGCAGGCCCTGCTCCTTCAGAAGCGACCTCGAACGGTGATGAGGAGTCTCTCTTCGACTCATCTGAGCCGGGCGTACAGCCTAAGGCGTCGCAGTCCAACTTGATCCCACATTTCATTACGCCTGCCACATCATACCCTCCTCTTTCTCACCCGCCCGTAGACCGCGGACTGCCCCTTCCTGAAGTCCCTCGCAGTTACCCACTATTTCGATATATGCATTCGAAAGGGTACTTTTCAACGCCTGGTCTGCGTTTTGGTTGCCATTATACAATCTATCCCGGAGATCCACTCCGCTTCCATAGCCATTTCCTTGCCACCGGTCTGGACTGGGATGAAGAGTTCGACTTGCTTGATGTCATTGGCGGCGGACGACTTGGGACTGGTGTGAAGAAGAGTTATCTCTTAGGTGGAGAGGACCCGACTGCAGACGCCGTCACGGAGCAGAGTGACAATGGGGCAAGCGTAGAAGTCAGGCCAGTTCGGACGTTTTCGATTGAATGGGCGGGAATGTAAAGAGGCCTCGGCGGAAATCTTGTTTACGTGGACGTAACTCTCAATGCAACTATATATCCATATCTTGAACCAATCTTTGCCGCCCATCATGAGTCATTATGCCACGGACGCCTTGTTCAACTTTTCCAACAGCGCCTTCTCCACCGCGGTCAAGTGGACGGGCTCTGTGGTCATACTGGCCATGAGGTAAAGAACGTTGCCAAGCACTCTTGAATGGATGCTCATTCCGTCCTCTCCAATATCATTCAACAAGGCGTCTCTCAATCCGATAGCCGCGTTGGAAGTGTATCCCGCGCCCTCTTCATCCTTCAGTGCAACCGCGAGAACGGATCCAAGAGCAATAACGCTATCCACCCTACGGTGATGAGACAGTCTTGTCACGGTTGACTTCGTCCACATGCTCCAAGCTCCAAAACGCTCGTCCTGGTTTCGTAGCGCAGAATCAACTTCCCCTCCTGCACTGGAAGCCGGAACCCAAGAGCTCCGATATTGAGCCCACGTCTCGCCCTTGGAAAGCCTCTCCAGCGCTGTCAACGAAGTATTGGCAACGTGACATCCAATTGGGTGCGCGGTATAACTGTGACCATGCAGCAGGGCGTCAGCCTTCTCATCGCCCAGGAACGCAGCGAAGATGCTGTCGCTGGCGAGCGTGACGCTCAGCGGTAATAAACCACCAGTCAGCAGTTTGGCGTTTACGGAGATGTCCGGCTGGGTGCGGAGGAAGGACGCAGCGGTGAAGCGGCCGAGGCGGTAGAGGCCGGTGAAGACTTCGTCGAAGAGGATGGGCAGGCCGGTCCAGGAGTGGGGGTCTGCTGGGGTTGAGGTTGGGGTGGCAGGGGAGAAGGTGTAGGAGCGGACGATCTCGACGAGCGTGCGTTGGAAAAGGGGATCGCTTTGGTTGTTAGGTTGCAGAAGATGGTGGTAAAGGCGTGGGGTGGGACTTACACAAAGAGCATACCGCCGGCACCGAGAATGAGGGGTTCCATCATCAGGGCGCCGAATTTCTTCCCTTCTGTCTTTACCAGCCGATCCAAAGTCTCCCGGATGTAATTCTTGTATTGCTGAGAAGATCCTCTCACGTCGAAATCGAAGATCTCGTTCAAGTCACCGAACTGTTTCGCGGGCCCGAACTGTTCCTCCATGCCAGCCGGAGCCTCCACAATCCACTTGCCCTCTCTCATTTTGACGGACGGGAAGTCAAACCAATATCCCCGGCCGCGATACCAATCTACTTTCTTGTTATACACGCACGGTTCCGAAGCGTCCATGGCACCAATAGTATCACCATGGTAACTCCCCTTGAGGCCTATAACACCAATCTCCTCGGTCGAACCATCCCAACCATATCTCTTGCAAGCGGCTCGCAGAGCCATCTTGATACCGACTTCGACAGCCGTGCTGCCATTGTCGCTGTAGAAAACCTTGGTGAGTCGTGGATTCTGGACCCCTTCTATCAGGCTCTCGGCCAGCGTTAAGGCCGGATCATGCGTAGCGCCGGCAAACATGACGTGTCCGTATCTACCCGCTGCATACGCAGCAGCGAGAGACAGTTTCGGATTGCCATGGCCGAGTCCTTGGGTCCACCAGGATGCTGAGCCGTCGAATGCGGGATGGAGAACTGGTTCGTTTGTGTCTTTGGACGTTGATGACTTGGACGTGTGCTTCGCTTGGAAGTAATCCCCGTACGCACTGTCAAATACAAGAATTTCTTCGTCATTTTTTATGCTCTTGTGTTGTGTGAAGGGGTGCCAGATGGTCTTTCTCGTTCTATGCGCCATACTGTTGAGGTTGTCCAGGCGTTTGTCCCGTCGATTTAGGAGCTCTTCCGCCGTCCTTGCGACTTCGGAATGGGTACAGGATCGATCGTAGTACTCCCTCATCATAGCCCGTTCCTCTTCAATGGGACGTCCCTCAACGTCAGGAATCCAAGGTAACCTGAACGCGGGTATTTGCTGTTTCTCGAAATAGGGGCCCAGGTATCCGAAGTTCTCATACTTGCCCTTGTCATCGAAGCAGACCACGGCGTCGATATCGTAGCCACGGAGAAGCAGAGATTCTACTGCGGAAATGGTAGATGAGATGCCACCGAGGCGATGGTCTCCGACCAGGAGAACTGGTAGGCGTAGTGGCCGATACAGATCGGCTTGCGGGGTACCAGAGGGACCGGGGCTTAGGACTCCTCCGGCGGTTTCTACCATGGTGAAGCCTCCTCTTTTGGACGATTGCTCTGAGAAAAGTCTTGCATCTTCCTGCAGGTGGGAATAGAGCGCTTGGATAACTTTATCGTCGCTGGGCTACATTCTGTCAGCAAAGAAGAAGATGGATATTTCTTTGTTGACTAGCTCACAATAGATCTTCGACTCCTGGCGGCAGCAAGATGAGGACTAACAGCTTCATCGTACTTGAACAGCGTCGAGACAGCCACTCCCGAGGCATATCGTCTCAAGTACCTGCGTGATGTTCAGCAAAATTCCACCACTTCTAGAGGGTATTTTCCAACCTCTCGTCCTCCTCGTCTTCCGGGCCCGTAGATACAGGCTTAGTGTAAGACACTTTCCATTTTTCGGGTCTCTGCGCGAAGTGCTTTGCCAGCAGCGTAGAAGCGACGGTCTTGCCTACACCTGTGTTGGCGCCATATACTTGAATGGCAAGGAGGTTGCGCCAGAGAGCTCCCGGGACTCTGGACATTGGATGCTGTCGAGATATTGCAATGAATGCAACCCCAGTTATACGTAAGAGCTCCGCGGCCGGTGCACAATTGTAAATAGCAGAGGTCGATGCAGTCCGATTCTATGGCGCGATCACCCCAATTGGTTCCGTTCCGTGAAGTATTATTCCTCAGCTGTCCTACTCTTACGTATGTACTCTAAAGCGCACGAGTCCGGCATCGGGGGATGCAATCAAAAGTTGAGGTAGGTTTCTTGCGGTTTATACTCGCAAGATATGCTATTCTGAGAGGGGCTTAGCCAAGGACGGCTAGATCTCGCATACATAGGTAGATCTTGGAACCTTGGAATATTTGACTGCCCGTCACCAAGTTCCCAGGCAAGTATTGCGTCCACAGCCCGGGCTGTAGGAAATCCTAGTGCCTGGTCACGGAGGAAACCTCCGGCGGACAATATTCTGACTCATATGCGGCGGAGATACTGAATGTTGGTCACGACCGGGACACAAATTCTCTCATCAATCCAAACGCTCACAACTGCTCGGTACGCTAAACCGTTTTTGGACTCTACTCAGACCTCCCATCAACAACACCCTTCCCATCAATCCTCCAGTTATCTTGAATTGAACCCAAATAAAACCTAAATCCACCATGGATGACCAACAAAAAGAAGACCTCCCTCTAGAAAAAGCCCTCCGCACCCTCCTGGACCGCCGACGTACCCAATCCACCCTCCGCAACTTAACCCTAAACCCTCACCAAAAAATCGACTTCTCATCCAACGACTTCCTCTCCCTCTCCAATTCCCCTCTCCTCCGCTCAACCTTCCTCTCCGAACTCTCACGTGATGCGTCTTTCCCCCTTGGCAGCGGAGGTTCTCGACTTCTAGACGGAAATTCGGCCTACGCGGAGGATTTAGAGAAAGAGATAGCTGCGTTCCACGGCGCTGAGGCAGGACTTCTGTTTAATTCCGGATTCGATGCGAATGCGGGGTTTTTTGCTTGTGTGCCGCAGAAGGGCGATGTGGTGGTTTTTGATGAGTTGATTCATGCGAGTGTGCATGATGGGATGCGGTTGAGTCGCGCTGTCAAGAAGGTCAGATTCAAGCATAATGACGTTCGGGATTTGCGCAGAGTGCTTGAAAGGACTTTGAGGGAGGTTGAGGGAGTGATAGAAGGGAGGAATCATGTCATTGTTGCCGTGGAGGCGGTTTATAGTATGGATGGGGATTTGGCGCCGTTGAAGGAGATTGTTGAGGTGGTGGAGAGGAGTCTCCCCAGGGGAGGTGGGTATGTGGTTGTTGATGAGGCGCATGCGACGGGGGTTATTGGGCCGGAGGGGAGGGGTTTGGTGAATGTTTTGGGGCTAGAGAAGAGGGTGTTTGCGAGATTGCATACCTTTGGGAAGGCGCTGGCATGTAATGGCGGTAAGGGGTCTACTTTGCTCCTTTGGGGATTTTGAGACTGACATCGCGTAGCTATAATACTGGGTTCTCCTTTACTGCGACATTACTTGATCAACTACGCCCGACCCCTCATATATACGACTTTTATGTCATTCCCTACGCTGGCAGCCATCCGAGCATCTTACAGGCTCCTGCAGGAGGGTCAAACAGTTCAAGTAGGGAGGTTATTCGAAACTGAAGAGTTTGTACTCACGTATCTCCAGATGGCGCAGCACCTCAATTCCCTTGTCTCCTTCCTGTACACCGAACTTCGCAGCCGTCCTTCCTTAGTCCAATCTTCGACCCTCCAGATTCCGAAAGAGAAACCCCAATCACCTATTTTCGCCATCTTAGCATCCAACCCCAGAAGCCTTGCAAGTTTTCTTCAGGGCAGGGGAATGATGGTGAGGGCAGTGGTGCCTCCGACTGTACCGGAAGGTACGTCGAGGATAAGAGTGTGTCTGCATGCGGGGAATACTGTGGAGGAGGTGAGGGTTTTGGTGGATAGTATTGAGGAGTGGGTCATGCAAAGTAGGCGTGTGGGCAAGGCGGGTGCACTGGAAACAGGGGTTGGATTTTCTGCGAAGTCCAGGTTATGAGGATGGTTCCTGGAATGGGCTGACAATTGTCTTTGGCTTCCCAACAGCCGCTCTGGGCCGAATATGAGTAAATAGAATCAAACGGAGACTAGGGCAGCATTTGCCCCGACCCCTCGCTTATGCGTAGCACAACGTGGTCATACTTAGGACCAAACTGTGTGCTTTTACTTTGTCCCCTCAAAGACTAGCTGCAGCCTCTATCTTCTGCTCAGCTTCTCCAACCGTGCCTGCAATTGCCTCTTGCTCTTGCTTCCCCTGCATCGTTTCATGAGGAGCCATAGCCCGCAGACCCCACCGCTCAAACATCTCCCTATCTTCGTCCCACCCATTGCACTCAGTCGTCAGCATCTTCTCCCCCGTAAAAACAGCATTGGCGCCCGCCATAAAGCATAGAACCTGTTTCTCTTCTTCCATCGTGTTCCTGCCTGCAGCGAGTCGAATGATGGTAGAAGGAAGGACAAGCCGAGCCGTCGCTATGGTCCGCAGGATGGCGTCGAAGGCGATCGGCTTTCTGTCGCCAAGCGGTGTGCCTTTGATCGGCACCAGTGCGTTGACAGGGAAGGACTCGGGGTGTGTTGGTAGCGTCGCGACGGTGTGAATAAGTCCAATATGGTCCTTCGGCTTCTCTCCCAGCCCAAGGATACCACCCGTGCAGACATGAATCCCCGCCTCACTAACATTCTTGATGGTAGCTAACCGCTCATCATATGTCCGCGTCGTAATCACACTGGGATAATGTTCCCTCGAAGTGTCCACATTGTGATTGTACGCAGTGAGCCCCGACTCCTTCAACTCTTTCGCCTGCTCCGCATCAATCATGCCCAGTGTGACGCATGCCTCCATGCCCAGTTCCCTCACCCCTTTAACCATCTCTTTAATGTTCTTCAGATTCGTCTTGCGACCTCGCATATCTCTCCACGCAGCACCCATGCAGAATCGCGTGCTCCCGTTCTCCTTGGCTATGCGGGCGGCTTCGAGGACGGACTCGACGTTGACCATTTTTGTGGCTTTGAGACCCGTGTTGTAGCGAGAGGATTGGGCGCAGTAGCTGCAGTCTTCGCTGCAGCCGCCGGTTTTGATGTTCATGAGGGTGCACATCTGAATAGCGCCTGGTTTGTGGAAGCGGCGGTGGACGGAGGCCTGGGCGGGGTAGGTGTCAGTTCTTCCCCGCAATCATAAGAGGTCCGGACAGAACTCCAAGGGGCAAGAGACATACGGAAGCATAGGTGAGCTCCATGAGAGGGGTGTTGTACACCTCTGCGATCTCCTCCCGCGTCCAATTGGTTCGTGGGCCGGAGGCTTGCACCGCATCTTGGAAGACGGAGCTGGTGGGCTTTATGACTGGGATGTCGACCACTGTGCTGAACGAGCGTGCCGTTTCTCTTGTTGGAACAAGAAGAGAGGAAGAGCTTGAGACGAGTGGCCGCAAAAGCAGCCGCTGAGCCATGGTGACGGTGAAGAGAGCGAGGAGAGTGAATGAACCTGGAAATTGCCAAAATGGAGGGGCTCAGGTCGACTTTGAGAGATGAGGGGTGTTGTGTCATTGCTGAGCTTCTCATTGGCCAATGCGAATTCCAGAGCTTGCGCCTGGGCATGATTTAAGATTTAGCGTACCCGTCCCGTCTTGGCACGGTAGTTTCAACATCTCGAGCACGGACCATGGTGTCCACCACGCGATACCCACGATTCAATGTGTCGCTATGAACTCTTGAGCCTTATCATCAGATTCCTGCAGAAGCGCTCCATTCGCAACCAAAAGCGGGCAGGGAGTCATCACTTCGAAGAAGAACCGGAGCCGCCGCGCCCATGCTTCACGAAATCCTCCTCTCGCTCTCGGGGCATCCCTCAGCTCTATTCGAGGGCAAAAAGGACGCGTCGCACGTGACCTCTGGACCCCTGAGTCTCCTTTCGCCTCCGGAGGCGGAGCTGCTGTCTTCTCTGGGGCATTTGTCGAGGTTGCATCGCCAGACGAGGGAGCTTGCTGTGAGGATTGCGGGTAGTCATCCTTCGACTGTATGTCGGGCTGTGGCAACTGCGATCAGCTCGCATCATTTGCAGAAGTTCCAGCAAAAGGTGCTTGCTGTTGAAAATCGGATCTTGAGGCGAGATGCTTCGATTGTGGGGGCATACAATATTGTACCCCTTGCTGGAATCGTCAGCGAATTCTCAGAATGGACGAAACTCATGGAATGGCTGTGGGACATCAGCAACTTCATGATACGACCCGGAGGAGATGGAGAAGACGACAAGAAGGCGTCTGGAGCCGAATTGATTGACAAGCTGCGGACAGAAGCACAGACGGGCTATCCGGATATCGAAAGTGCGGCGGTCCATCTGGGTACAGTTGCCGAGACTTCGTGGCTAAGACAGCTTGCGACTTGGCTTCTATACGGTCGTCTCCCATCATTTGGAGCATCCGACTTCTTCATTGTTGCAGACGATGGGGAAGATGTTGCCTTCTCAATCAATCACACCCTGTTGCCGAAATTCGTAACGCGGAGTACAGCATCATCGATTCTGTTCATTGGACGTTCACTAAATCAAATACGTTCACTACCATCTGCTTCACGGGATTTGTCAAGCCCATCATCGAGAAGTTTCGACCTGGAGCTGCTACCTACACACATCGAATACTTGTCTAAAGTCTCTGCGCCAATAGCCTCAGCTAGACTGAGCGAAGCCGTCTCAAACATCCGTCTGTCCCTTTCGCGAAACCTTCTGCAATACCTCCTACCTCAAGAGAAGATAGTGGAGCTCCTTACCGTACTCCATCATTTTTTCCTGCTGGGTCGTGGCGAGTTTGCTATGGCACTCATCAACGAAGCCGACGGCAAGATTCAATCCCGGCATAAGGCTCCCCTTGGTATATCAGGACATGGGATAAGAGGAATACTTCTGAAAGAAGCCGAGATTAGTAACACTTTGTCCCGAGCTTGGACTGTTCTTGCATCATTGAGCGGGGAAGACGACAACACTGACGATGTGCTTGACCTCGCTGCGGACATAGTACATCTCACTGTACATAGCAGCTCATCCTCCGGTCACCGTCCAGGAACCCCGGGCAGAGCGAAAGAGTCCAACGCACTTCTTCCTGCCATCACAGATGTAGTATTCGCCGATTTGCTTCTATCAGTACCCACAAAACTCACCATGGACATCCCCTCCCCTCTTGATCTCTTTATGACCAAATCAGATCTGGATATATATTCAGCCATCAACGCATACCTCGTCGCTATCCGTAGAGCACACCTGCATTTACTTCAACTATGGAGACACGGTGGACTTCGCAGGGAACCAATCGCTCCTCCTATCACTCGACCAGGCCAAAAGGCAGCGGTTATTAGGCGGCGCCAGAAGTACGAAAAGCGGAATCGGGAGATGCGAAAGATATGGGCGACGTGCGCAGCTGCCATCTTCCTCCTCTCGGAAAGTGAGGCATATTTCCAGGGAGAAGTTATCAACGAGTCTTTCAAGCACTTCCGCCATTGGGTAACGGGGCCCCAAGAGGCGGTGGCAGACAGTGCAACTACCCGGCCCAGTTCATCTCACACGACGGAGCCGAATGAAAAGTCTGCGGGAAGGAAACAACATGACCCTGAAGCACTTTCCCTAGCACACAGACAATTCCTAAACTCCATATCCCACCACCTCTTGCTAACCGATACCCCCTTCGCCAAACACCTCCGCCAATTCCTCACCCACGTCGACGAACTCGTCGCCCTCATCGTGCGTCTTCAAAGCGTCCGGCAGAACCTCGATCTGGAAGAAGATGACGGAGTGGAGGACTTCATGGCGAACTACAAGCAAGAAGAGAAGGATGTGGCAAAAGAAATGGATCGGGCAAGAAGGAGATTGGATAGCGATATGAAGTCCCTGCTGGCGAGACTTAGGGATCTTGATGCGGAGAGGGTGGGATCGGTGCCGGGGATTGGGGGGGTGGGGAAGGGGTGGGAGGAGGGCATGTATGAGCCGTTGAGGGTGGGGGGGATTGATACGTTGTTAATGAAGTTGGATTGGGGGAGTGTGGAGGAAGAGGAGCAGGACGGCGACTTACTCGGTCTCTAAGTAGCCCGGGGATATACGGAACTATCCATGACTAAACGTTTCCACCGGCGCAGTCCTCTTTGTATTGAGTGATGTACTCTATGGGGGGGTATGAGGTAAGACATCATCGAAATCCAAGTCCTTGGGTTACGTACAAATGTCCCGACTGCAACACTTTCCAGTGTTTGTTTCGGTGCTGAACTGAGTGAATTGCAACGTCACGTGAAATCTGTATAACAACTTGCTAGATGGGATATTGGGTCCTTTTTCCGCGTCTTTGCACTAGAAATTCAATCTAAGCAGAATAAAGGTGTGAAAAAGGTCTTGAAAGAGCAGTGCTAGTCACGTTGGTTTGCGTCACCCGCGCGTTATCTAGGCAGCTAGGGAGCCGCGTCTCGCGTCTTCTTTGGCATCACCACAAACAACTGCAGGAGTGGAGGATTAGTTCAGACCATCGCTCACAACCGACAAAACAACAACCTGACAACATGAGCAACGAGGCTAGCCCTCTGGCAGAGGAGGCTGTCGTTAAACTTGAGGATGTCATGGAACTGGAAGACGGCGATGTAAAACCGTTGAGTGCTGAAGAGGACAATGAGGAAGACGTTGGCGAAGAGGAAAATGGCCTTGGAGAAGACGAGTTAAAAGTTGCGATCCGGAAGTGTCTCAGCGGCGTGAAACATGAGGGCACCTTTGCGATTGGACTCCGGGTTTCTAGCTACCCAAACCCAGGGCTGCATATTCTGAAATCCGACCATGGGCCTCTGGGCTTGCCTCTGGTCTCGCGGGAAGCAGAAGTACTTGCGAAAGTCTGCAAGTTGTCACCTTTTGGAAAAGGCTTACAGACAGTGGTGGATACAACCGTCCGGAAAACATGGGAGCTGGACGCGGATGATTTCGAATGCCGAAACCCTGCTTGGTCGAGATTCGTCGAAACACTGCTCAAACGCATCGTGGAGAGACTTGGGGTCTGCGTACCAGCTCGAGCAGAACGGTACAAGCTGCTGCTCTACGAGGAGGGAGCGTTTTTCAAACCTCACAAGGATAGCGAGAAAGCACCGGGCATGTTTGGGACTCTTGTGGTCTGTCTACCCTCAAGGCACAGTGGTGGGGACGTCCGGCTGGTGCATGGCAAACGCAGTCTGATCTTGAAGACACAGGAGAGTTCAGAGTTTGACCTGACATTCCTTGCATGGTACTCGGATGTTCAGCATGAGGTTCTCCCAATCATATCCGGACATCGACTCGTCCTGACATACAATCTCATCCAAGATCCGGGCATGCCACGGCAGGTCTCATTAGGCTTGGACAAGAGCCATCGCCAACTCGAATCCTTATTAAGAACCTGGAGGGTGAACCTCAATCATGTGCAAAAGCTTGTATATCCGCTCGAGCACAAGTACACCCAGGAGAGCCTTGCTATACGCAATCTGAAGGGTCCAGATGCAGCAAAGGCGCGGTTACTGGACTATGTTTGCGGAAGAACTGGTTTCTATTGGTTTTTCGCGCAATTGACAAAAGAAAGCTATCAAAATTTTGAAGAATTCGATGCACCTGAAGAAGAGGTTAAATTTTCTCTTATGAATCTGACGACAGCGGCGGGCGTCCGGCTAGCGTATCGTGTGCAATTCGAGAAGAGAGAGCTCCTGGTTGATGACCTGTACGATAAGCGGTCGCCGGACAGCGAGGACCAACATGAATACACGGGCAACGAGGCCACGGGAGCCACGTATCGTTACCATGATACGGTATTTGTCCTTGTGCAAAAAGCAGGACTGCTCGAGATATGCGAGGCGAGATATCTTGATACTCCGGTGGAACTGACTGCCTTCTTCGAAATGATCCGCACAGACCGTATCACCCCGCCTTCCAAGGAGACTGACATCTTAAAGTCGCTCCTGAAGAATCCACTGAGGGAGTGTATAAGGTACCGAAAGTACCCGAAAAGAAATACATACTCATACAAATACTATCTGCACTCAGAAGGGCCAGAAACACAGGACAAAACAGAGAAGGAAGAAGAGTATCTTCGTGAGTCTGTTAACGGGCCCAAATTCATTGGCTTCTTCAAAGCAGTTTCAGAATTCTGCTCCACCATCGGCCAAGCAGATCTGGTTCCAGAAGCGTTGTATGCGGCAATCCAAGACCAAGACTGGTATAGGTCTCCATATCTGCTTCAGATAATGGCAGAACTAGCAGCAAATAATCCTCCGGGAGGCTCCACCAATCGTCCTTGGGAGAACTGGTTCAATCCTCCCTCACAGCTAATGAGCTTCCATACGCTGGATGATTTGAGGCAAGCCTTTGAGATACTCGACTCGCGATTGCCACCTTCCATGAGTCAGGCCTTTAGCGAGTGGCATCATGCTTATTTGAAGGAGGCGTTAACATCCATATGCTCCTTTACACACAGTGATATATACCCTCTTCTAGCACTCGTTCCGGTGTTGCCCAGGGAATGTTTCCTTGAACTGTAAGTCTAACATTCTCAGAGATCGACATATAGCGATAGTTAACTCGTATAAGGGCCCTTCCCACCATCACGAAGAATACGTCTCGAGATACGCTCCTCGCTTTGATGAATGGCTTCGCCGATCGAAGCATTGCAGACCCCGATACATGGCATGGTATCACAAAAGCCACGTGTAAGGAGGTTCTGCGCGTCCAAATAGACGTCTTCAAGGTAGGAAAAGATGAGTTCAGATTACCGTCGACTAAGGTGTCGTACCACTTTTACGGTGGTGGGCCACCATCGCCTCATACTTCTAAGATCCCCGGACGTTGTCCAATTTGGTTCCTCAACTTGGTCGACATTTTTCTGGCCGTTTCCCTCAGGGACGAAGCATTTGAGCTTATCACCAGCTGTCTCCCACACCTACCGCCTCTTGAAAATGACGACTTCTGGGAACACTGGAAGATGCTTCTCCGTTTCATCCGGAAATTCGTGGAACTTCTCACTCGGTACCCTGATCAAGGGTTTTACCAGAAGCTATCAAATTTCTTTCAGACTTCCTTGGACAGGATCATCGAATACATGATAAGCCAAAATCCGGGCGAAGTGCCCGATTGGAAACGCTCAATCCCGAAAAGCCGTTGTACGTGTCGTTACTGTTCACGCCTACATAAATTCCTTAAAGACCGCACCAGTGAGGTGACCATGTTCGGGGATCAGGCTCCTTTTCTTCAGCATCTGCAGGATCAACTCATCCCCGGTGATCTCGACGTGAGGACAGAGAAAATACCCCTCTCGTGGATGCACAAGCTGGTTATCCGAAAAACCGAGGCAGGATATGCTCGCATGTTGAGAGAATGGGAAGACGATATGCGAGAGCTGCTCCGAGTGCGCGAGGAGCTGCGCGAGAAGGATTTTGTTATGAAGCACATCTTGGGGGAGAGCTATGAGAGACTAATTTGTGGACATATTGCAACGGTACCGGAACCAGCGCAAAGGGATAGTAACACAGCATCAGAGCCACAGGCGAGACAGTCGCTTCAACATGTGTCGGCAGCGGCGCAGGGTTTACCAACCGGGACTTCTGCTCCGGCTGCCTCTGACAACGTTTGTGGGGTCCCTCCCGTTGTCGGGGTAAAGAGGAAGGCTGACACTGAGATTGTGGATTGACGGGAGATGCTTCGAATGAGCGTGGTATATGCTTGTACCTTATCGTCTCATGACATGATAGGCTTTGAGGACTTTGAAGCTACAATGACGGCGTAGTATTGGGGGTATCAAGGTCTGAGAGAGTGTGTAGATCTCGAGACGTACCATGAGGGAGCTCAATGTTAGCAGTAATGGAAAATTTCACGGCAGTAGATGGAAGCTTTGAAGGAAGGATGAAATGTGATATTAATGCTACAAGTTTGGAGCAGATCAATGTCGATACAACTCTTGGGCGTTTTCCAGGCTCCGTCCCTAAATGCGCCTGGGGAGATTGACCTTGGGGAAGTGAAGCGGAACAGTCCAGGACTCTGGGCCTCATGCAGCACAGAGGATTACTTCGATGTCTTGCGTGTAGCAGCGACATAGTCTCGCCACCTCTGAGTCATCAGCGAATCTGGCAAAGCAGGATCGGATTCCGCCGCAACCGGAGTCCCGGCTTCGCCGCCCGCCTCTGTGAACTTGGGATGAACCAAGACGATAGACTTCCAAATGCGTTCGTCGTGCTTGACGGCAATTTTGACGCACAACGGGGATATTTGGAAGTCCGTAAGGTATGGATCTTTCTGGTCCCATGAGTTGTCCATGGCCTCTTCGCGAGCTTGTATGCGCAAAACCATTTGGTTGCGTTCATTCTGCCGTAAGGATGTAAGATCTCCCGCACTTCAGGGGGTCAGAACAAGCCTCTGGGTATGAGGATGTCTAGAGACAATGACTGGCAATACCCGACTCGTCAACCCCCCTCGTCTCTGAACTCATGGTCCTGCGTCGGCTTTTCCAGAGGATGATCACGGCCGTAGTTTTTCGCTAATGATGATATTTGTATGTTCAGACGTTCCGCTAAAAGCTGAATCACCTACATCCAAATGTGGTATAAATCAGCAATCATGGCGAAACATCTGAGGGAGCTAAGGTAACCTATACTTTTACATGGAAACATCTACAACCCTGCCGATATAAATAGCGTAAATCTCCTATAAAAAGGTCGGAAAAAGGAAACTGCCGACAATATTCTCCCGTCATGTACTCTCATTCAACCTCATAATCCATGGCCGCCATCAACGTACCCCAATCCTCACCTCAGAATGCTGTTCAGTCATCTGATCCGGCAAGCGCAGGATTAATAATTCCCATGTCGAAGTGCTCAACTCCCTCTGGCGCGTTTTGATCACTCAGGATCACATAGTCGCTCTCGTATTCAATGCTGACGATTGTCCAACAGTCCGATACTAGCTTCGACCTAGGTCTGTCGGGCGTATAGCCAGTGACGTAGTCGTATGGCAGGAAACCATACCCCCTTTCCCCGAAGCTCGTTGTCCAGGAATTCTTGAACTTGAACTGCCGAGTGCCATCGTGGTAGGCTACGATTGCCACAGAGTGTCCTCCAGTTCTGTACGAAGATGCGGTTGGCATGGGGACTTGTCCTGACCTGTAGACCGCGCTATCCTGAGTGAAGTCCGAGTAGCAGACGAACCCAATGTCGACCGGTCGGCCACTCGCAATACTTGCACGAATTGCATCTACAGTACTTGGAACAAACGCCGTCTTAAGGACTTGATTGATAGATCCTCTTACGTACGCAGTTGCTGTAGGGAGGTCTCCGAATTTCGCAATATCATATGGCCAGTCGCATTCACGCGCGTCCCCGTACTTCTGTAAGGCGACCATGGTCTAGGACACATACGCACCTGTATCCTCGTTTGGGTTCCAGCCCGATACTTTCGCCCTGGTATTGTAGTACAAGTAGAGCTCTGACCAGTCTGATGCTCTGCCGTTCCGATTTGCAATGTGCTCAACAATTGCTATTGCTGCAAAGGCGGTACATGCGCCTAGCCTTCCTTGATCTTTGACTGGAGTATCGTAGCCACTCAGATCCTTGGATGGTGGTAAAGTAGTCGAGTCGAAATCGGTTTTCAGTGCAAATTTGGGCACACCGAGCTTGTCTTCTAATGGTGATGGCCTCCAGTTCAGCACATATTGATCCATAGGGTTTCCTGTGCTCGTCATTGCCGCAGCCATAGTGGTTAATGGAGTCATAGTAGCTTGGTGCGAGTCTGGTTTGAGTTGGGGGCTCTTTAAGGAGAGATGGCCGAGGGTTTTAGAGCCCGCTTTTATAAACAATTTGGACCTCCACACAGGGAGGTCGCTAAGGACGTAGTCTTCGGACAAGATATGCAGATGATTAGGGGGCTTTGGATTGGTGGGTGCCACTAGCGAACATCATTTCTCTTGACCTCACAAATATTCAAACCTTGTCCTGCAAATAACATCATCACTCATGCTACGCTCCAGTGCGGGGAGCCGGCGGAATCTATGACCCTGATTTGCCTATCCTTCCAACATTCCCCACCACCCAAATTCATCCACGCGTATTGTGATATCACTCTGCACTTTAGCACGACCAAGCTGCCCCGAACTAGCTGGAGCTGGTCGGTGGCTTAGCTGGTCCAATCAGAACCCCCGGCTGGACTGCGTAGTATACCATCGGGTGATATCACTTTAGCTATCATGATATTACACTACGCAAGTCTGCCGGAATTATAGCTCCAGTTGCTAGTCTCCCAATTCTCGATCTTGCGAATCCAGCTATACTTCGTGAATTGCGTTGGAAAATCTTTTAGTGATATCTAGGATGAGCATGCTAGGACTCGGACGAGAAAATGGCTAGGAATTAGCAATATAAGAACTTAAAAGTCAAGAGATAATTCATCCTGTAAGCAGTATGACACACCTAAGATGGGGAGCATGAAGACTCTGTGTATTGTGTGTGTCTGAGCTTTGCGCAGACGGGCCTAAATAGTCTAACTGATGATCGGTCATTTGATGTGGCCCTAGGCTTACAGTTTACCTACAGGGGCGGAGGTGCTGTCGATAGCTTTTTGCGAGAAAAAGTACCTCTACTAGCTTGAGGCTCTTAGCCTTTGCAAAAGTATGTTGAAAGGGGTACTGTCAATGGCGAAACTCTAAAGTCGTACATGCCGCGGGCACCAATGGCAAGGAATAGTCCATGCATTTTCCTCGATTCGGAACGATCTACGACTGCAAATCTATGGGCTTCGCTGCTCTTGCTTTGTTTGGCTTGTGCACCGAAGTATGCGACCGGACACCCGACGCACTCGACCTAGTCCCGACGTATGGTAAAGCGCTGTTTACACACCCTAAGCTCACGCCGACAGCCAGTACCGTCTGGGTCAGGAGGGTATGCTGCTAGTCAGTCAGCGGAGAGTGCCGTCGATTAAGCAGTGAACTGTTATCTAGTAGATTACATCATTTTTGCAGTCTATGGAACCGCCTGGCCCCTGGCTCGACTCGCCTTGCTACTGATGAAGAGCAATTAGTCCTCTCCGGCAGAAGCAACTTACTTAATTAATAATGTCACGACGGCCTGACTGGTAACGCGTCAAGGCTTGTAATAGAGAGTGCAGGTGCTAATATTGCAACAGGAAGCGTTCAGATAGGCAGCTGAAAATTAATCGGCAATTGCCGGAGGCAGCAACGCAAAGATTTAAGATCGATCAAACTTTGACTTAATGCGGCCAATCAGACCATGCGGCTGGTGGGGGGTATACTGTACTGTATGTGCAGTAGTGCGCGCTATTTCATCCACGGTAATTTACAGATTGATAAATTGGTTCTCTGATTTTTATTTTCTAAATTAGAGTTTTGAGTTTTTGATTCTTGGATTATTATTTTCCAAGTTTGGCTTTGCGCTGTTTGGTTCTCGGATTTAGGGAATTGAAGTAACCTCCAGAACCTCTCGCAGCGGAGGCTTGAGCTGGCCAGGGATCTCATCCTTGGTGGCTTCTCCCTATGCTTGAGCTCGCTTATGGGCCTCGACGATGCTTTTCATGGACGAAGAACCCATATTCAGTTGAGCGAGAAGAGGTGTAGTCCCACTGCTCTGGAATTGATACTCAGTGACTGACTTCCACGTATCTGAGACGCGGCATCGCCACTTCTGGAGCTCGGCAGCGTCTTTTGGAACTCCGCCCGTCCCGTCAAGGGTGCTAGGACGCTTGGCTCGTGGGCGACCGCGCTTTGCCTTTGGCGGTACAGCGTCGTCATTCACGTCGGGATTTGTTCTACGCTTCCCTCCCGCCGTCGGGCTCCCCTTGACGGTTACAGCATCAGTGGCCTGCTCTGTACCATCCATTGCCCTCGCCTTAGGCGCTCGTGCTTTCTTCTTCGGCTTGACCCACTTCTTCACATCAAAGTCACGGCCTAGGTACGCCGACAGAATCGTAAGCGGTTGATGCACGAGCTCCGCAATCTGGTGATCCTCCAGAACCACTTGTCGGCACACCGACTTCACGCGCAGGAGTGTCTCCCTCACACGTCTGAACCTGTCCATGCAGCTGACACCCAGATCTTGCGGAATGGTTCTTTTCCTGCGCCGGGCGGACATGTACTTGCAGTCGTCGCAGAATCCGAGCACGCAGCGCTCGACCAGCTTCACGAGGATCAGGTAGCACGCTGCGAGACGCTCTTCCTCTGAAAGGGTGGCCCCACATATGAAGGCTCGGGCGAACGCGCATTCCGCTTCTACGACATCGTCAGCGTCGTTTAGCGCATCGAGAAGCTCTTCGGCAAGCTCATCTCCCTTGTCGATGACTTCCCGGATGGTGTCGTCTTGGAGGGGGTGGACTTCGGGGTGGTACTGTACCTGGTATCGCTGCGCGATGGTTTGGCTCCAGGGATTGGTGGCAGGCTCCTTCGTTGCGGGATCGTGGATGGCCCTTAAGTTTTTAGCCAGGTTGCTCTGGCTAGTCCCAATGACGGCGTGTATCTGCTGGGCTTCAGACATGCGAGTCCAGCTCGCGGGAGATGCTTCGGGACACCGCGATGATGCTTCATCCGGCACTGCCGGGTTCAAGAGGCGTGAGAGTTCCATGACTAGCGCAGGTTTGAAATCAAGAATGCCAGTAAGCCGAAAACCTGTCCCGTATGTCCTTAAATCCGAAGCTGCAAGAGGGGAGAGGGGATTGTCTGCTCTCCTAGTTTTGTCAAAATTGAGACTTATATACGTCCAGAAATTCCCCGGCAATTGTGCAGGGGCTCTTAACACAATATCCCAATGTACCCGCGCTGTGAACGATGTAGTTACATTGTTTAATTGACAACTGTGGGATAATGCAATTGTTAGTCCACGATGAGTGAGCCCAAGGTTTACCTCATATTCGCATTGAGGTCTTTTCCAGAAAATGTTCTGGCTAGTTGATCTCTCTCCGGCTTGCGCATTCTATGGCAGAGAAGCTATTCTGTGGATTATGTGAGTGTGTTTCATTCATGGGCAGCATTTAACAATGTAACTTAATGGACAATGTGCGAGTCGTCGCCCGCAACCCTCCTTGTACATCGTCTTGAACGACGAATACAGGAAATGAGAGCTCAGAAGTCGGCCGGGGAAGAGTGCCAAGGGTTTCAACAGACGAAGTTCACTATGAAGCAGGCTGATAAGAATGTCTCCACGGATATATTGGTGATACTGCCTAACATATCGTCGGCCTCCCATAAAACGGCAGGCCGCTATTCAGTGGAAGATGAAGCGTCGCAGTAAACTTACAGGGGATATGAGAGGGAGTAAAACTTATCTTGAGTAAACAATTGTTCCAAGTAGAGTGAGCCATCCTATAGTGCGTTGGACTTACTCGCGGCGGAGCATTCAGGCCGGAGTATAGTAATAGTTTCCTTTTATATATTAGAGTTATACCATCTCGCAAAGACTTGATTGGAGATATGGTCAGTTTTCACAGGGCCCCGATGTTCCTCGTCACCGACAGCACCCGCCTTCATACTCCATGCGTGCTGTATATACGAGGGCTTGTACGGTTCCCGACGAAGATTACAATAGGCCTGCCTTCCCGGAAGTTCGCAGTGACAGGCGTCACTCCGTGGATTTCACCAAACCGTTCGATCATCTTTGTACAAGTTGCTCGCATATATAGACATAAGCGCAACTTGTACAAATGCCGGAATGAAATTCCCAACCTGTGTGGACATTGCTGCGAGAAAACCCACGTCGTATTATACCCACTCCAACGCCTCAAAAAACCGACAGCATTAGAAACAGGGGGCGTCAATGTCGTGGAGAAAGTCCCAGAAGACCTGACGTTGAAATTAGAATCAAGTAAAGTTATAGCAGCTAACGAAATGAAGCTAGCGGGCCCACTCATCACTCATCTAGCAAGTCAGTTTGGCAAATTCCCAGGTTATCGTATATTGGTTAGATACCAACTAAATCATGATTACTAGGACGAGTGATTTACAATGTGAAAAGGATAAAGAAGTGAGTAGAGTACATATTGCTACATAGCTGGATTCCCCATAACCATTCTGCGCCAGACGCCACATCCGCAGAATGCAAGACAATCCAAGACCACGGCGAAAAGGCGAGACATCGCCCTGAAGAAAGAATCGGGGTATCTAAGAGGACCAAAATATGAAAGGAGAAGTGAAACACAACAGATCAGTACCGTGTCGCAATGAACAAACTGAAGCTGCGGACAGAAGGCATTCCAGAACAGTCTGAGCCCAGTTCTTCCTGCTCCAAAACACCTTGCCGGAACCGAGACGCTGATAAGACATATAGAATGGTGATTGCAATTTACGAGGTCCGTCTAACACTCGGGTCTTCTTACGCTTCGTCCCATGGACAGCCAGTGAGGAGCGAGTAGCGCCCATACCAGGGCATGCGGGGAGCTCATATAGATTGTCCCCTGTGCTCACCCTGTCCATCCGGGAGCGGATGTACATTCACCTGATTATTCCAGAAGTCTCGGAAAATAGGGTCGACGTTAGTATCAAAGCTTTCCGTATTATTCGAAGCATGCGCAATGCCTGCGAGCTGTGCTTGACCATCGTTAGGGGGTTGCATTGGGCTTTCAAGCTCCCACAAGCGGAAGTCAAATTCACCAGCATCATGCGGAAGCGCGCCGAGTGAATGGTCGAATGTCTCTGTTTGTGGCCATGAGGAGCTGAACGCATCAGTCACGGATTTGTGAACGTTGGAGGTTCTGACTGTGAAGGGTGATGAGCCGTGATAGTGCGTTTGGGGAGACATGAAGGATGGTCGCATTTGTTGTTGGCCCGGGGTTGAGGTGCAGTGAGGAGCGTTTGTAAGGAGTTGCCGCGGGGAGGTGGTTGCTACCTGGTAGCGGCTCGGAGATTGGGGGAATGGCAAGGCCTCGCCAGAGATGGACAGCGCTGCGCTGTCCGTGTGTGCATGTATCGATGAGAAATATGGACCATCTCCCGATGGGCTATGGAAGCTGTCGTCAAGGTTGGAAAAGGTATGGCCAATGTGCGCTGGCGCAGAAATAGACGGTGTTGCCTGACGGGACTTTGTAGCCATTCTTGCAATTTGCTTGCGAGCCCTTGCGCCCCTAGAACCGCCGTCAGACTTTGCAGTGATGACCTTCCCCCTCTTGCTGTTTCCAAGTCGATTTGCCTCCTTTCGGCGAGCATATGCGCGTGGAGCATTGACGAACATTCTAATGTAATGGTTGGACGCCATGACATCCTCACAGATGGTTTTCTCTTCTTCCAACCCGCGAAGAACATTTTCGAGACGCTCAGCGCAGCTGACGGTCTTATCTTCCGGTTCTCCTTTCCTTTCGTCGGACGCATAGTCGTTGTGGCTGAAACCGCGAAAGCCTTCGCAAGCTTGTTCGAGAAGAGTGTCGAACACTTTGTGTGCGTAGGCTTCAACCATTTCAGAAGCATAGAATGCCGCATGAGCCCATCGGCGCATCGCAATGGAATTCACATTGTCTTTGGCAGCGTCTGAACGAGTCATGGCATCGTATATCCGCTTGACTTGGGCGTGGCGATCATTCCTTAGCGCTTCGATAGAAGGGTCGCTACTAGGTGGCCTGTAAGGCTTTCGATCGAAGCGCGTGGCTACAATACGATAATCGCGGGCGCTTTTAGAGTCTGGGAATATCCCCGCAAAAGGAGCGTAATGAGTAGACCCCATTACCTCAGGGTGCGACCTGGGGTAGGAAGAATTATATGTGTAGTTTGAGGATGGAGGAGGTTGCCCGGGGTATCTACCACCTTCCAGGTATTGCGACATCTCACCACTAGCCATGCTAGCGAGTCCAGAACACTGTTTTGCTTCAGGGTCCGTCGCTATAGAGCATGCCTGTTGTCGTGCATGCGAGAAGAGACCTTCCGATTCTGTGGGGGGTCGTGAGACACAGTTTCCAAAGGCGGCGTTTGCGTCCGCGTTGTGATGATCCTCGAAGGTAAAGAGAAGATCAGAATGATGCTCAGACAACGGACTGAAAATTGTAGGCTCCAGGGCATTGAGATCCTTGGGCTCTTCCAGGTTAATAGGTGAGTACTGCCTCCCGAGTTGATCTTCTCGCATCCAGGCTGCTGATTTGTGACAACTCTGCCCAGATGAGGACTTTTTTTCCTGCATCGAGGTGCATACCCTGACGGTATCGATGTCGTTCCGATGTCCGCAACTATGTGGCGTATTCAACTGCGGTGATGAAGATAGGAATAGATCGAATTTGGAGTGGCCCTGGGGATAACGTACTGTCCAAATCCTCGAAGCAAGAGGAGAAGACTTAAGTACAGCGCGGAAGAGAGTGACTTGCAAACGAATAAGTATTACAGACCCATGAAGCATACCTCTTGAAACGTGATTAAGGGCGCTCGTGGCTGGTGACATGTCGATGTGTTGGTGGGTGGGGTGCAAGTGTGAATGAGGGCCTCCGTGTCCATGTTGCATACATGGAAGCCCTCATTCGCGACTGCTCACCCATCGTCCCAACTTCTCCAAACGCCCGAGTAACCCGCAAAGCTGTCACGCCGCAGTTCGGAAGCCCCCTATGCTCTGGGAAAACGTTTCAGGCCATCTTGAACAATTTGAATCCTGTAATTTTCACCTCCTCCAGTCCGCAAAGATTTTCCAAGACTTAATAAATCTGCCTTGTAGTCCTAGAGAATGTCTTAGAACGTGTTGAGATGCCAGAATGTACACGAGCACGGTGAATACCTATCTAGTAGAAGACATCTCATCTATTCGAGGTCCGATTGCGGCCAGCATCTGACTGTCTTTTACTCCAAAAGGCGCCGCGGAGTGAGATTGGTGATTTGTAGATAGACTCGTGCGGGGTTCAAACGGAGTACTCAGGGGCAGTAGTCCTTGGCAAATGTACCCTAGATGTCGAACAAAACGTACTGTCTGCCAGTAGGAGGACTGCCCGGGAGGTATTTTTAGATCTTGTGTACACATCTAGAACATCGGCATTGAGTATTCGGCCAAGCAATAAGCACTGCCATCGCGAACCTGGATGGGGAGGATCGGCCAATACGCATGACCGACTTGGGGCAAAGGAAGCAGCCCGGATCGCCCTATGCCATTTTCGCGACCAGAAAGTGTAGAAATTGAGATGATGGCCGTTGGTAAGTGTCGCCTTCTCCAGCTTCTACTGACCTGCCTGGAGGCGAACTCGGACGCGGGATTTCCGGACAGTATTAGGAGGGCTAGTTGTTCTCCTTACAACTGGTTCTTGTGAAAAGAATGTGCTAGTTCCGACGCTGTTCGTATACGATGTAGCATAATCCAATTCTAACGCAGACTTCTAGCTGTATAGAGCGTCGTCAAACTCATTGTCAATTTCCGGAACGGTTCCGCACATTCCGCACCAGCCTTCCCCGCATTGTTGAGGAAATGTGCATACTTGGTGGCAATCTGAGAGTGCTGAATGTTGGAAGCTCGATGAGAGTTAAGGCTCCTCGCGCCTATCTTTTCTTTTCCTGTACTTGCTGTTAGTTTCGATTTACTGCACTGCCATGTTGTCCGCAATTTTGCCCTTTGAGTTTCCTGAGTTGAAGATCCAGGCGTCGCTACTGATAGGCATGGTAGTCTTGAGCATCGCCCTTGTGTACCTCGTCGTCAATGAGTTCATTCGCCGGGCTGCTCGAGTAAAGGGATTCGCGGGCCCACCTAACTGGCCCATTGTTGGCAATATCCCGTATATCAGATATAACGCAGCGGAAAAGTATCGGCAATGGGCGAAGATATACGGAGACGTCTACCAGATCCAGCTCGGAAATGTCCCCGTTATTGTCGTGAACACTGCGGAAGCGGCGAAGAAACTTTTCGTACAGAACAGTAATGCATTGAGTTCCAGGCCAGTATTTTGGACGTTCCACAAGGTAGGCTGACCATGATCACCGTTACAGGACTCGCCATAATCGGTAAATCACAGGTCTTGTCGAATACCGCAGGCACGACCATCGGTACCTCTCCGTTCAACGAATCTCTGAAGCGCCGAAGAAAGGGAGCGGCATCAGCGTTGAACAAGCCATCTATCTCAACCTATATCGGGCATCTCGATGTCGAAACCAGAGACTTTGTCAGAGAGCTCCTAGAAGACGGGCAAAAAGGTCAAGTGGGAATAGACCCTACGCCGATGATTCAACGCCTCTCATTGTCGCTTGCTCTCACCCTCAACTGGGGAACTCGCATGGGGAGCAGGACGGATCCACTTTTTAGTGAGATTACCGAAGTGGAAGAAGCCATCAGCAAGTTTCGGAGCACCACAGGAAACCTGCAGGATTATATCCCAATTCTGAGGTTGAACCCTTTCAGTTCCGGAAGCCGAACGGCGAGGGAGATGCGTCGTCGGAGGGATGTGTACCTCCATCGTCTCAATCGCGACTTGGATGAGAGGATGAAGAGGAAGATCCATAAACCATGTATCCAGGCTAATATCATTCTGGACAAAGAAGCTGCCTTGAATAAGGAAGAGTTGACGTCCATCAGCCTGACCATGCTCTCTGGAGGCCTGGACACGGTGACCACCCTCATCCAATGGAGCATAGCCCTGCTGGGACAGCGGCCAGACATTCAAGAGAAAGCTATCCAGGGAGTTCGGAAATATCACACGAGCGAACAGCCGCTGTGCAGTGCCCATGATGACCAGAAATGCGAATACATCGTAGCTCTGGTGAGAGAGTGCCTTAGGTACTTTTGCGTTCTCAGACTCGCGCTTCCCCGGACCTCTGTGAAGGATATCAGCTACGACGGGAAGATTATCCCGGCGGGAAGCACACTATACTTGAATGCCTGGGCATGCAACATGGGTGAGTAGTGTTTGATGAAGTGCTCGAATGCCGATATTAACCTACTGCAGACCCCACGATTTGGCCTGATCCGGAGACATTTCGTCCTGAAAGATGGCTTGAACAGCCTGAGGCCCCACTCTTCACCTATGGAGTGGGGTATAGAATGTGTGCAGGATCACTGCTTGCGAACAGGGAATTGTACTTGACGTTCATAAGAATGCTGAACAGCTTTGAGATATTGCCGGATAGTCCAGTGGAGACTGATCCTGTCATTGGGAGCGCAGATCCAACCAGTCTAGTGGCCATGTGTAAGCCATACAAGGTCATATTCAAGCCAAGGAACGAGCAGGCCCTAGAGACGGCAATAAAGGAAGCGCTTGAACAAGACAGAGTGAATAGTTCATGATAGGACCGTATGGTTGGGATCAAGGATAATAGAGGCCTGATTTTGACTGGGGTCTGGCTATCCCCTTTCCAGTGCAGTACAAATTAGGATTAGACGTTCAGCCACATAACACAGCCACACCCCACCTCGATTGCTCGAAAGTCGTATTCATGAACACGCGTTCACTTTGCGCCATCGCTCACCGCCGCCCACCTGTCACAAGAGCTTCGGGCGGACCGCCTGTTCGAACGTCCCACAGCAGCGCACCGCATACTTTGCCCCGTTTGCCCCTTCTCGCTCGCTTCAGCGATTCGCATGCCGGTCCCATCCCTCTGGAGGTGTATCTTAAGCTATGGTATAGAACAATCGAGGAACACGGATGGTTGGTCGCAGGTTCGCACACCGTAGGGTGGCTTTAGGGAGGCTAGAGTCGCGGCAATATGTTAAGCAAGACTCGCATACCCACCGACGAAGAGCTGGGCAAGAAGGACGATGACCACAGGCCAGGGCTTCGCAGCGGTTTGACTGTGGGGAGACCGAGATGGGACATGTTTGCAGGCATCTTTCGATGGCGTCGCAGACGGGTGACGTTAGCTGTGGTCCTCTCTGGTCTACTGTACCTGTCATTGACCAGTATGCCACTCCTGAGCGGCTTGTGGACACCTTCAGCACCATGGGGAGATGTCTATGTCCCCGAACAAGAGCCGAAAGGACCACCACCAGCCTTTACGATATCCGGGACCGGCCGGGGCCTAAAGCGCAAGTATGCAGGCCCTGTCAGATTCTACAGGCTGGCTTCGTCCCTCAATGCGGCAGCACATACGGGGGGCTACCACCCTTCGAACCGCAACGTGCTCTTTGCAATCTCGAACCTGAAGAGCGCGTCTGTGGTTCTTCCATTGGCTTGTGAAATGGCCAAATGGAACCGGAACTACGTGCACATTGCCTTCATGGGTTGGGATGACGTCCCGATCTCCGCTCTACTGGACTTCCACGGGGTTGACAATGCTTCGTGTCCAGCCATGTGGCATGACGCGAGACCGGATTACATGGAGTACAGTAACGAAGCTCGCGCTGAGTCAAGCGTCGTAGCGGCGTTGATGCACATTAACAACTACCTGCATCCCCAGGTAGCGATTATGGACGACTCAGCTGCAGAGGACCCTTTCTTCGTAAGAGGGATCCGGACTAAGACGAAGATGCTCAGCATACCTCTCATCGAGATCCCCAAAGATCGTTGGCGGAACTTCTTGTGGATCACGAGATTAGACGCGGGTTCCTTGAAGAGTTGGCACAAACCCACCATCGAGGTGGTTCTGCAGCTGCCATCCGCCTCCACCGGCGGTGTATTTCGCCTTTTGAAATCACTCGCTGATGCCGACTACAATGGTGTCAGACCCCCCTGGCTTACTATTGATGTAGCAGCGGATGCGGATCCATCTGTCGAACAGTATCTGAAAGATTTCCATTGGCCTCCAGACGACAGGGCTGTAGCTGAGCGGAGTCAGTTTACTATACGCCGTCGTGTCACAGATCCAGCTACTCGAGAAGGTGCAGCAGTTCGATTGCTGGAATCATTTTACCCGGATGACACCCTGCACTCGCACGTGCTGGTGCTAACACCTAACTCAGAGCTCTCACCCTTGTTCTATCATTACCTATTCTACCTCCTACTCGAGTACCGATATTCCGCCTACAGCGATGCTGACGGTGCTAATATTATGGGTATCAGTTTGGAGCAACCCGCAGTGTTATTGGATGGCAGGACGAAGCTTCCCGCATTTCAGGTTTCTGATCTGCACTCTTCCAGGTACTCTGATCGTTTTCCCGAAGAAGAGAATATCCCTTTCCTATGGCAAGGTCCTGGAACGCATGCCGCCCTTTACTTCAGCGACAAGTGGACTGAGATGCACTCGTTCGTCCGTAATCGTATTGCAAAAAGCTACCAGCAAGGAGCCAACATAACCGCTCCCGCCCCTGTGAAGCCGGAAACTCTCTCATCACTGGCAGATTATATGGTAGAGCTGATGCGTGTGAGAGGATACTCGCTGCTCTATCCTGGTACAAACTCGTTGCAATCCTTGGTTAAACTGCATAACGAGTTGCGCCATCCTCTCGAGACCAAGGATCGGGCTATACCACCGGAAAACGTACTCATTCCCTACTCTTGGCCGTTACATGTCGCTCTTCCTTTTGACGGGGACTTGCCAGAGGTTGCACATTTGCCATTCTTGGATACCGATGGAAATAAGGTGGACCACGAGAGTGCGACGGCTAGTGCTGCTGTTCATGCAGATGAGTTCAGAGAGACAGTTGGAGGGTGCAATGGAACCAAAACCATGCACAGGAAAGCGATACATGGCGGTGCGGAAGATCTCTTCTGCTTCGGCGGTGCGGACGAGGATGATCTGGTGGAAGACGGTCTCGCTGTTTCCCGATCTAGTTTTGCTCTTCCCCAAAATGACGAGAATCCAGATTGAGATATCCTCGCATGTACCAACACCGGCTGCTGTTTCTGGATATACACTATCCATAAGTTCTGACTTGGGGGCGGTTAAGGGCAGCTCAGCGGACATTGTGTTATTGAGTCTAGCAGTATGATATGGTGAACGAAGACACGGGCAATGACATACTATTGCTGTCTGGATCTCTCGACAGCTCTGTCTTGCAGAAAATTTCAAGTTGAATTCCGTACATGTTCGGTCCCTTGACACGGCGCAGTGTATTTCCCAAGAGCCACCCTCGTGCACCTAGACATAAGATAGTCAAAATTGCATACCGGTTTTATGTCAATATGGTAAGTCCTTTACGGAGTACAACTCCGCCAATTGCAGCTGGTTAAAGAGGCTAGATCACGTGATAAGCTCGGACCGCTCCCGGAACATTGAAGTCTCGGTGCATGGGTCAAGTCTTGGTGAGGCAAAGTCGACTACGCTCCCGTCAATTTTCTGCCTCCTGTATCCTTCATCAATCACAAGCCACCTTCTACAGGCCGGTGCTCTTCAATCCACTCGTGCACCAAGTGTGCGCAATTCCTTCCTTTATCTGCATTACGAGCGCTGTGTTGTCTTTTCGTTTCTGTATTGCTTTTAATCTATCCCAAGATGCTTTCCCGCGCGCTCCGGCCGCACGTTCGACGAGATGCTCTCCGTTCAACTTCTAGATCTCCAGCTGTGGAGCAATTGACCCTGCCATGGCTCTGTCCTGCCCAAATGCGATGGGCGGCTCGCATAGCAACCAGCAAATCGAATCCTTCTAGCAATACCCGGCAGCCTCATCACGTACCCGCTTCCGTCGCGTCGCGGCGCCGCACCGTTCGATCCCTAGCTACCGCCACCGAGTTTGCATCCGCTACAGCGCCCGCCTTCGCTTTCGAGGGACTCTCTCGCGCTTTTGCCACTCGACAACCTGACGCAGAGCTGGCCAAGTTGCTGCCTTGGGACACCTCACGACCTCTTGTGCTCGACGAGTTTCCTGCAATGAATGCAATACCGGTCACACCCATCAAGTATGGCATCGGCGGCGATCCTGTGGAGCTACATCAAAACCTATACGCTTGCCTTCGCGTTGGGCGAATGGACAGAGCCTCGGCCATCCTGCACCGTTTGACCATGATGTATAATCCATCTGCGCCCGATCTGATCGAGGCGCATAACCTCTACTTGCAGGCCATGTTCGAACTCGCCGAGCAGACGCCTTCGGAAAGGGGCATGCGCGAAATAGAAGAATTTTATGAGACGCAAATGGTTGCCAAGGGCATCGAGCACAACGCTCAGACTTTGGTCACACTTTTGCGGGCAGCCATGAACCTCTTACCCGAGGGAATGCGGGAAGCGTCTATACAAAAATACCTCCACCTCGCACGTCGATCCGGACCTGTGATACTGGAGGATGTAAATGGCTCGCCGGAGTTTTCAGACGAGGAATGGGATACGCTCATCAGGCTTCAAAGCGATCATTTTGAAGAACCTCCACCGATTGAGACAGCAGATCCGTTACAAATCAACACTCCTGACGGCCTAGCCCGCGCTCTGCAGCACGGCGTCGTGCCGGAAACTTTGACCTCCATCAAACCTGTGGAGCAGAAAGGGCTTGGCCTCTCCACTCTGAAGCAAGCGCTGTCACTCTTCGAACCCGGTAAAGATATCCCGTATCCTCACGAGATGGAAGCATCCAAAGAAGAAAAGGATCGCGCGTACGCGTTCATGCGCCAAATTCGGACGGAGCAGGATGCGATACATGCTGCAACAGAGCGGTGGAAAGCAGAAGATTTGAAGTTGCAAGAGATGGGTATTCACGGCGTTCTACAATGGAAACCGATACAAGCTCTGATGTGGAATTGGTACACTGCCCTTGTTCCAAAGCTAGAGGCGGAAGTCAAGAAAGCCAAAGAAGTTCTGTCAAATCCTTGCGAGGAGAACATGCGGGACGACCGCTACTTGTATGGGACTTATCTGGAGTTGATTCCCATCAAGAAAGTGGCCGCACTCTCCATAACACGACTTCTCAGTAGCATGGCCGGCGGAATTCGTGATGATATCCATGCGCTTAAGCTCAGCGCACTAACGACATCGTTGGGCATGGAAATTGAGGAAACATACCATGCAGATTCAAAGGAACGGCATGAGAGCTTTGTGAAGAAGATGCGCACGCAAGCGCGCCGCGAGATGCTTCAGCAACTCAGCAAGGAGAAGACCGCGACTGATGCAGAAGCTCGACCCACCGAACCACATCCCCATCTTTCCGATTCGTACCAAAGGAAGGACTTCCCTTCGGCGATAAGGGTAAGGCTGGGTGCCTTGGTGCTGGACCACCTGATTCAATCAGCCACGATCACAGTCTCCCGTGAAGATCCCAAATCGGGCAAGCAACTAACGCGGACCCAACCCGCCTTCCATCATCATATCGTCTTCGCTCAAGGCAAGAAGACTGCTTTCATAGTACCGCACGAGGAGATTGTCAAAAAGCTCCGGTCCGAGCCCGTCAACGATATTCAAACAGTTCGATTACCCATGCTTGTTGAGCCGAGGCCTTGGACTGCAATCGATGAGGGCGGTTACTACACGATAAAGGAGAAGGCAGTGCGGATCAAAATTCGCGATAGGTCTCAGCATGCTTACACTGTCTCGGCAATTGAAAACGGCGACATGAAGCAAGTCCTTGCCGGCCTTGATACCCTAGGAAAAGTCCCATGGAAGATCAACAAAGACGTCTACAAGGTTATGGCCGAATGCTGGAATGCCGGCGAGGGTATTGCAGGCTTGGTGCCGGAAGATGCAAACCTGCGACGTCCTGTGGAACCTGCACCGACCGCAACCTTCGCGGACCGCATGAAGTACCTGAATCAAGTGCGGGAATACGAGAATCTCAAATCGGGCCTTCACTCTCGAAGATGCTTCCAGAACTTTCAACTAGAGATCGCAAGGGCCTTTCTGAACGAGGAGAAGATTTTCTACCCCCACAGCGTTGACTTCCGTGGAAGAGCTTATCCCATTCCGCCGATTCTGAATCATATCGGGTCTGACCTATCCAGAGGGTTGCTATTGTTCGCCAATGGCAAAGAGCTGGGCGAAGCTGGCTTGCAGTGGTTGAAGGTGCATCTCGCCAACCTTTACGGTTACGACAAAGCCAGTCTAAAGGAGCGAGAACAATTTGCTATGGACAACATCGAGGAAATCTACGACTCCGCCAACAACCCCTTGAACGGAAATCGTTGGTGGACCAAGGCGGATGACCCGTGGCAGTGTCTAGCGTGCTGTATCGAGCTGCGGAATGCCCTTGAGAGTGCGGATCCGACTCGCTACGTTTCCCACCTGCCAGTACACCAAGACGGAACATGCAACGGGTTGCAGCATTACGCTGCGCTCGGGGGTGACGAGGCTGGAGCAAGCCAAGTCAATCTCGAGCCAGCAGATAAACCCAAAGACATCTACACTGGTGTTGCCGAGATTGTCAAGGAATTGGTTGCCGAAGATGCAAAGCAAGGCGGGGTCATCCCGAACTTCTTAAACGGCAAAATCACTCGGAGCGTCGTCAAGCGGACAGTCATGACCAATGTATACGGGGTCACGTTCGTGGGCGCCAAGCAGCAGGTCCTGGAGGAGCTCAAAACCATGTTCCCCGATTTCCAGGGGCAGATTGGTATGCAAGATCTAGGGGCACCGGCCACATACATTGCGAAAAAGATCTTCATTGCGCTTGGACGGATCTTCAACGGTGCCCAGGAGATTCAGTGTTGGCTGGGCGAATGCGGCGATCGCATCACAAGTTCCATATCTGCCGAACAGATCCAGAAGATCAAGATGCGCTACGAGGGCCAACCGGCCGGTTATGACGCCAAGTACAAACATCCCAAAACGAAGAGCGAGAGAATGTCGAAGAAGTTCGACAAGGATCTGGACACGTTCAAAACGAGCATCATCTGGACTACGCCGCTGAAGATGCCCGTTGTGCAGCATTATCGCAAGGACCACACCAAAACCGTCAAGACGGGCAAGGCTAACATCACCATCGCCGCCGCCTCCAAAACGGGCGAAGTCAACAAGCGCAAACAGCTACAAGCCTTCCCTCCCAACTTCATCCACTCGCTCGACGCCACACACATGATCCTCTCGGCCCTCAAGTGCGCCGAGGTGGGCATAGATTTCGCCGCCGTGCACGACAGCTTCTGGACCCATGCCGCCGACGTGGAGAACCTGAACATTGTGCTGCGCGACGCCTTCGTGCGCATGCATTCCGAGGATATCGTCGGGCGCCTCGCGGCAGAGTTCAAGGCTCGCTACGCCGGCGCCATGTACCTGGCCACCTTGAATCCGAAGTCGACGGCCGCGGCGGAAATCCGTCGCTGGAGACAGACGCACCGCGAATTCCAGGCTTCTTCTTCGAAGAGGTCGTTGAAGGGCATCGAAGCGTCGTTCACGGAGGTGGCGCTCGAGGCGCAGAGGCAGGAGCTGTTGAAGAGCGAGGATCCGGAGCAGAGGAAGAAGGGCGAGGAAATGGTCACGCCGACGAGTATCTGGCTGAAGTACGGGGATACGAAGTCGCTGTCGAGTCCGAGGCTGGCGCTACTGGGGGAGATGAAGGTGGCGAACGGGCGGTCCAAGGCGCAGGAGGTGAAGGAGAAGATTCTGGAGAAGGAGGCTGAGACGATACCCGAGGTGGCGGAATCCGTGGGCGTGAAGCCCGTGGCTAAAGAGGAGGCTGTGGAGGGGGAGGCAGTCGAGGAGCCAGTCGAGGAGCCAGTCGAGGAGGAGGAGGCGGCAGAGGAAGAAGCAGGAGAGGAGCTCCTCGCCGATGAGGGTAAGGAGGAGCGTCCGGCGAAGAAGCTGAAGATCAAGTCGAATTTCGTCAAGGTGTGGTTGCCGCTGACGTTCCCGCCGGTGCCGGAAAAGGGCAGCTGGGACGTGGCGAGGTTGCGCGAGTCCAAGTATTTCTTCTCTTGAGAGGCGTGTGTGCTAATACTGGCGCGAAAAGTGGTAGAGGGCGTTTTGGGATCTGGATTGCATTTACATGGCCGTCGGTGGGGGGATGGGTTTCTTCGGTCAGGCGTCATTTTTGGGGGGATACCTCGTGCTGCATCTGGATTTTTTGGTGATGGCAGTTATTGTATTTGTAGTAAGTGCATTGCCGTCAACTCAGCAAGATAAGGGGAGGGAATCGCCGAGGTGGATGATGAATCTGTACGAGTACATGTACATGTATGGGTCAAGATCTGGTCTTGTAAAACAAATAGCGTGCTGTTGAATTCTCTCTTCCCTATACTGAAGGTCTTTCTTTCCATGTGAAGAAGACGCCGTTGCTTTCTTGTACTATCACCTCATTCACACCACTCTATATACCGCAGTACAGCAGTGTCTACCGCTGCTGTCGTCGGTGTCTTTGTTCTCCGATCAGAGAATCACCTCCCTCTTCCTCCCCGTCCTCCCTCCTCCCCTTCCTCCCTTATATTCAAAAAACCTTATTTCCACTAGGAATTCTGCAGCCTTCATCTAATCGAACTTTGAAGTGTCCTCCAACAACAACAACCGCTCCGGGGCCGACGGACCGATGCGCATTCCCAAAACGGGGTGCGATCGGCATTGCAGTACTGTATGTACAGTACAGTACGAAGGATATCTACGCCGCATCTCACCGGGTCCTTGCGGGAATGAGGTGCATGGAACCTAAGGTACTATAAGCTACGGGACTAGATACGGAGTACTACTACGAATGAGGAAGGTTGGATTGGATAGAGGTATTGTATGTGTCATTGTCTCGACAAGAGCGATGAAGATGCCGTGAAAGGCGACAAGCTGTAAATATATGGAATGTACAGTAGTAAGACGCCATAGCAGCAAGCAGCGAGGAATCGAGAAGCTAGCGAGTACACAGAGTACACAGAGTACGCACCAAATGTGCAAGTCAACCTACCGGGTCCTTGACCATTGCCTCAACTCAATGTCCGTACGTAAACCTTCAGCAGGGCAATTGGTAAAATATCATCCTTGTAGAGAGTTGCAGATGATTGTGAGACGACGAACTGGTTTCTTTTTTTTTGGTATAATGATGGGTGCCAAAGTCGCGTTTTAAACTCCACAGCAAGCAAAATCGACACCTCCCAGCGGCTTCTACCCTATCTATACCATCGCGGAACCTCGATCTTACCACGGTCCGTTACACAGCGCACTACCGGATCCACACACACTAGGCCTCCAGCCAGCTCCACTCAAATCCCGTAAATACAGGGGTTAGCCAAATACTCCATCCAAGCCCCATCCAACCACCATCATACCACCACATCCCCCATCCCCGCACCGCCCATTCCCCCTAAACCCCCGTCCGAAATCCCAAGCAAGCCCAGTCCCAAAAGCGAAAACAAGAACAAGTATCTATATTCATCATCGAAGAAAAATGCGCAAGAGACGAGACGAGACGCGGGTTTTGGGGCCCTTCGGAAAACACGATGCCATTCACGACATGGATTTGACATTTTCACATTTCAACATATGCTACTCGGTACACGGCACACGGCGGGGGTCATGATGGATGGATGGATGGATATGGCGCCGTGGTACACGAGTGCTAAATATGATGGGTGGTAGACTTGGTACGGGTGATGCTGATGCTGGAGAGAGAAACTTGGAAACTTCTGTTATGTATGTGGGGTGTTGTCATACCTACAGCTAGGTAAACGTTTAGCGGAGAGCGAAATGTAAGAAGCGTGTCGATGTCAGCGGAGGCAGAGATGTGGACGAGGCTGGGGAGGAACGGAACGCGGAGAGGCATGGCACTTGTGTCAAGTAGAAACCGTTCCTCCCTCCCGAAAGAAAGGGTACACGGTATTGTGTGAGGGGATATTTGAAGGGCCCTGCGCTGCAGACTACCAGCCTTGACCGATGCTTTTTGTTTTTCCTTGACAATCTACCATAAACCTGTTCAAACGTTGCGCTGGGCATGTGCGATGCAGACTGCGAATAGAGTGAAGGGAAGGAGAAACATAAGGCTGCAAAGGGGGTTTTGAAGAAGACGGGTTCTATAGACAAACAAAAAATCACGCTTGCGATGCTTGCCAAACAAACAAACAAAGTGCGTCGTTGAATTCGTCGTCTCGGGTCGTAAACTACCAACTACTACGTAGATGCAATGCAATGCATGGATGGATATTAGATCTAGGCGGTTTCGGCACCGGACGTGACGTGATCATCGTCGACGGCGAGGGCGCGCAACTTCTCCTCGACGGCGCGCACGATGTCCGGGTCGAACTGCTGTTCCCTCTTCACCTTCTTGGCCCTGTGTCGACGATGTTAGATATAGGTTTAAGGTGACATGTTACACGGAGGCAGCCAAAACTTACGGTTTGCGGGTACACTTGTCGCAGCGCTCGTGGCCGCAGCCGGGACAGAGGGCAGTGCCCGGGAAGAAGTGGCTCTGGCACTGCTCGCACTGCCAGTGGACCCTCATCCGCGGCTTCCTCCACACACGGCGGACCTGGATGGTGCGCTCGACCTCGGTGTCGCTCTCGGCGGGAGCGTCACCCGGATAGCCGTGCGGCCACTTGGTCAGCTTGGCGGGTTCCCGAGGGCACTTGGTGCAGCGGACGTGGCGGCACTGCTCGCAGACGGTGGCACTCGGAGGGATGAAGTACGTCTGGCACTTGTGGCACTGGCGGCGGACGCGCTGCTTGACGGGGCGCAGGACGCGCTCGTCTCCGGCCTTGGTGGTCATGGTCAAGAGGTGCTTCTTCTTCTGCTTCCTCTTGGTGGCATCTTCGACGGCCGGCTGGTCCTCCTTCTGCTTGCCCTTGTCCTCGGGGGTCTTACGCTTCGGGTAGCGAGGGCACTTCTTGCAGCGGCGATGCTCGCAGTTGTGGCAGACCTTGTCGGCGCCGAAGGTGGTGCCGCAGTGGTGGCAGAAGCGGTGGACGCGCATGCGGATGGGGCGCTCGACGCGCTGGACCATGATGGGCTCGGCAGAGGCGGAGATCCATTCGTGGGACTCGAGGGTGAGGCCATATTTGGCGAAGAGGGCGCGGGCCCGTTCCTGCTGGAGGGCGGCGCGGTTGAGCTGGCGGGTGACGGGTGCTGCGGCGGGAGTGGTCGAAGCGGGAAGAGGGGGAGGAGAGGTGGTGGCAGCAGTAGCAGCAGGTTCAGTAGAAGTGGTGGTGGTAGGGGCGGTCACGGGACTGATGCCATGTTAGCGTTCAGGTCGATTCGAGTGAAGGTTGGAGAAGGATGAGGGCACTCACGCAGCAGCGGTGCCTTCCTCTTTCTCTTTCTTGGGTTGCTCCTGCTTGGCGGGGTCTGTTTCTGCGGCGGGGGCAGGAGTGGAAGGTGCGGCGGAAGAAGAGGACGGGTTGGTCCTGGCCGACTTGTCTCGCTTGAAGACGCTGCTCATCCGCTTCATGTACTTTCCCAGGCTCCTTCTCCTCTCCTCCTTCCCCTCTGACGGCCCAGCTTCTGGGGTGGACATTTTTCTTCTTTTCCTTTTCTTTTTCTCTTCTTCCTAGCGGAGTTTGGACGTTGCTAGAATCAAGGTCAGGGCGCAGCGAGTCGAATAATAAAACACCAAGAGCGGACCCGAGGACGTGCTGGGAGGCGGGTTACAGGTCAGCGGACACTGGGGTCAGACATGCAGCGGACGGGGCGAGATGACAATATCCGTGGACGTGGAGCTGGGATAAAGCCGTCACCAAGGACCAGCGGCTGGGGAAAACAAAAAAAAGAGAAGAGGTGTTTGGATGTGGGCAGCACACGTATGGCTGCGGCGAAGGCGAAGGAGTGGTGCTTGATGGGGACTTGATGGGGGTGGGCCTCCAGGCGGGCAGGGCGAGACGGCGGCGGGAGATGGAGGGCGGGTTATTATGTAGCTAGCTAGGGACGGGCTTCCGGTAGCTAGCTAGCCAGACAGCAGCACGGGCAGACGACGCACGGCGTTGAGTGGTTGGGAGGGAAGACCCAGGAGGGTGGAAGCGTTGAGGCAAGCGTCGCCAGCAAGAGCAGGGGCAGGATCGAGAGAAGACCAGATACTCAAGAGAGGGCGGAAATCACGTCTCGGATTTTGCACTTTTGCACTCGTTAAATCCAGCGTGGAAGATTCAATAATGTTGGCCTCAGGCCTCTTCAGCAATCGAAGAAGGAAAGAACGACAGCCTCGCCCTGGCGGATTTCCCAGACGGCACCGCGTCTAGGGACTTTTTCCTTGTTTGTGGTTGCTGCTGCGTTGCTGATGAAAGTCCCCTAAGGCTGGGTGCCAGTGGAAAGTGAACGCGACACCGGAGCAAGCTCTGGATTGGGAACCCGTGCAGCGCAGCGACTTCGAAGCGTGCGAATTGCATGTCGTCGCGAAATGCACTCCCTGGGCGCTTTGAGCACTCCTCTCCGCGGCGTCGTCTGCGCTGTCTCGCTGCGTCTTCCCGACTGTCCCAGACAAGACTCCACCCCGACTCCACGGGAGAACGGCCGGGACTGCCCATTCCTGGAATCTGCCCCGGCCTGTGGGCTGGCGGGTCCCAAGGGCAAGCGAGCGCAGTCCCCATCATCCATCACCATCGCCATCACCACCGTGATCCATCACCACCGACAACAAACACCATCATCGAAACAAACCACACAGCTGGAGCGCACCCATTCCGCGCTGCATACTGTCTACACACCATCTTCCGCCAACTGCCTGTTCCGTCGGTCGGTGTGTCGCCGCCCCGAAGAATCCAGAGGGACCGGTGCAGCCCAGGGTGCGAATACCCAGCAAATCGTCACCCACGCCTAGGCCCCCAACTCCGCTTTCCATATTGCCCTTCATCTGCATCCTGCACCGCTGCACCGCTGCACCACCTCACCCTCCCTCACCCTCCCTCACCCTCCCTCACGGTACACGGGTGGCGCGCCACTTGTTCGCCGCTGCTTCGAGAAGCTCGCCATGATTGCCCATCATCCATCCGGCTTGACTTGCTTCTGACGCTGTGTCGTCGACCTTCGTTAGAGACGATAAAGACTTCGAACTTACTTTGTCCTGTGTGAGACGCACTGTCGATATTCCGAGTTGATGGCTTGTTTAGGATACAACGCTCTGGTGCTACCCTTCTGCATTCCAGCACCGGCTTGCGTGCATTTGCTTGCATTTTCATCCTGGTACCGCTTCGCATGAGCTCCTCCAGCCACGCTGCCGGATTGGCTCCTGCTGCACACGGTCCCGTATACCCGCGCCTCGCTCCCGGAGCAAACTTTCATGCACACGTACTTACGCGTCTGTTTGACTGACTGGTATTCTCCAATTCACTCATTGCACTCGATATGCTGTGCACTGCGAAATGAGGAGCTTTTGAGCAGTCCGAGTTCCTGCGACAACAAAAACATGTTCGGTCATCAGACTACTCCGTACGGAGTACATACTTGTATAAACAACGGCCGGACTATATCGCTGTTTGCGGAAGCCACTAACTTAATAATGAAGCCATCCTTGCTGACGAGGTTACCGATATTCCAGTATAGTAGTCCGGTGCGAATTCACCCGAGACATGAGATCATGGCCCGACATTACCACAGTATTTCTTATCGATATCCTCCTCTGCGAAGCTTCATCGGTTCCCTGGTTCCATATGAATATGAATGCCGAACCCTGCATGTTTCATCAACTTGGCGAAGTTTCCATCCAGGCCCCTTCCCGGACTGTTTTCATTCTTCCACTTGGTTTGTTGGCCTGCGAGTCATGGCTCTTGGATCCCCCTTGGCCAGACCCCCCAATGCTGACTACCACAGTATCCTGTCCTGGGTCAGACGTTTCACCTCTGCATCACTACTCTCACCGAGTACCAGGAAATGCATCTCTCATGCTTCATGCAACAGGCTTGCCGTGTCCAACTCTATTTCAACCCCCAGGTCAGGTCGCCGACCAATACTTGTATACCTTTTGCACCAGAACTTGCAATATACACAAAGTTTGTTATAACGTACCTCACGGGCGAGTCGGTCACACAGGCGAGTCGGTCACTATGCCAAGACCCCACCAGAATGTACTCTCACCTCTACTATAATCATGATGTCTCAACAACACAACGAATTACCTGAATCAAGAGAAGCTCGTATACAGCTTGCACTTCAGGCTATCAAACAAGATATGACTTTAACCCAGCGACGTGCTGCAGCTCTCTACAATGTCGCTCAAAGTACCCTAAGTGACCGACGGGCTGGAAAGATCTTTCGACGTGACTGCATGCCCAACTCAATGAAACTACTGAAGACAGAAGAAGAGG